GGGCTCTGAACCCCAACAACATAAAAAACAACCAATAGTTTATCATCGAGCACGACTGATCTATCACATGAACTCCTATTGGCTGATCTAAATTTGATTTTATTATTAGACCAAACTAAACTATAAAAGTTAACTAACATTATGGAACCTTTTCGTAATACAAAGTGATGGCATTGTGATTATTTTAGTTTATAAGGTTATTGAATGATAGTTATTTCTTACATACATAACGCTTGAACAAATATGTTACATAAGTAAGGTAACTGTATTACTAATTCATGTTGTGCGGACGATCTCTTAGTGTTTGCTAATGGATATGCGAGGGCTGTTGCAGGGATCCGAAGGTTGCTGGACCAGTTCTATAGTGCCTTAGGGTTACAATGTAATATGTCAAAGTGTTATTTGTTTTGTTCTGGTGTCTCAGAGAAGGAAAAAAACCTTTATTTCTCAGACAACAGGTTTCCCTTTAGGTGTTCTCTCCCAGTCAGGTATCTTGGGATTTCCCTCATTACTGTTAAATTGAGTTCTACTGAATGACAACTGCTGGTGAAAAGGATCACTGCAAAAATTAGTAGCTGGAATGGCCACTTACTTAGCTATACTGAAAGACTTCAATTAATCTCCTCAATTGTAACGTAATATTGCGTGAGGTAGAGTATATCTGTAATCTTTTGTCTCTGGGGTGTATGTGGTGAAATGTTATTCGTGATCACATAACTGTAATGCATGACCATTTGTACATTTAGTGGTCATTTGCTTACTGTTTTCGAGAAAGTCATTTTTACTAGATTTGAAATTATATTACCAAAAAAATAATTAGCTAATAACCGCACCGAAGCGCGGGCCAAAAATCTAATTGTGCTTGATTAGTCAAGACACTCAAAATATACAAAATAAACGATTTTATATCCTACTTCTTGGTGTGATTTGATTTACACGGTTTTGATAAATCTGTAACTACTTTTTACTTTGGAATTGCTCTATAAACGTTCAAATGTGCATTTTGTAGCCTTCGAAAATATTTTTATACTTTTGATACTTTTTTTTATAGATTCTCGTTATTTTTGGGCCAAGGCAGAAAATAGGGAAAATGTGGGTATGAACCAGTATTTGATCCATAAGAAAGAAATGTAATTTGCATGGTTGTCACGCCGGCCGGCGTACCACTGGTTGAACCTGGTTCAACCTGTACCGGTCATAAAACCGGTATGACACCACTGGTATGACCGGCATGATCAAATACGAATTTCTAAGTAAAATGATCTTATATTAGTGAATTTATTTGATAAAAAGTAATTTATTATTTATTTTATGTGTTAAAAAGTTAAATGTTGATGTTATTTGTTGGATTCAAGTACAAATATTTAGGTATTGACGTTAAATGTCGTGCTTAAATATGAGTATTTGTAAATTATTTGTAATATTAACCGGCATGAACCGGCACAAACCGGTATGTACCACTGGTCGAACCATTCCACTTGCTAAACCGGCACACTGGCACAAACCGGTTTGACAACCTTGGTAATTTGCACAGCCACTAGCTAGGTGGCCCATTTAGGTGGTCCTGAAGCCTCTGGGACGGTCCAAACTATGGCTGGGAATCCGGTCTCAGATTTTACGGGCAAACCGAAAACCGGGCAGTTTAAATCGTTCCGGTTGTAATCGAAAATCGGATTCCAAGCAAATGCAATCCAATTTGCGGTTGTACTAGCCATTGTCCCGGTCCGATTCAGTTAAAACCGAAAAACGGATCCATAACATTTCCATTTCGTAAGCCCAAAACCAGCCCATTGATCTGTAGAATAAAGCCCTGCCCTAAAGAAAAAATAAAACCCATCCCCAACCCAACAAAACACGAAGCCCAACCCAGTCCCAAGTGAAGCCCTTCTAAGTTCTAACTAGGGCTGTCCATTTGGTTTTGGTTTTTTGGTTTTAACAGAAACTAAATCAATTGGAAAGCTAATGGTTTTAAACCAATAAGTAACTTAATGGTTTTGGTTTGGTTAAAACCGAAAACCAATAGAAACCATTAAGAAACCAATAAGAATAAAAATATTTATCAACAAATATTTTTTTTTTGTTTCTTTTGAGTTTTGACACTCATGCCAACCAATAATTTGTAATGGCCATTTACCATTATTATGACGTTTATTCAATAAAAAGGAGGGAAATTGGAATAAATACGAGTGCATGAGTACATGTTGATTTTTTGGTTATCCAAACCAAAACCATTAAACGTTTTAAAAAACCGGGTTAATCCGGTCTTGTTTTGACCGAATTAAACCGTTACCCGCCCCTAGTCCAAACCATATCAGCTCAAAGAAAATAAGTCTTGTGAAATATGACCATAAAAATCTTTGTGCTTGCTAGGCTATCGTTCAATCAATGTTTTATAACAGATCAAATTTTGGCGTTACCGTCTTATCGGGGACGATTCAAATACTGGAGGATCAACGCAACTTTTTGAGATGCATTGATGATGATTTAGCCGCTCATATAACAAATTTCATAATGATTTCTCCGTCCACAGTACCTTGGGGAGTCTTGAGATATGCTATTAGATTACGTCTCTTTCCTTTCTTATTAAAAAGAAAGGCACAAACAACGGCAGATCTAGGGGGTCGCCCCTGGACCACAGCCCAGCTCTCCACTGGATCTAAAGCTAGTATATCCCTTGTAAAATTTTGATTTTCAGTATTTGTTTCAGTGTTTGTCGGATTACGGCTCAGTCCTCTCCGCCTCTTTTTTAAATGTTCCACAGTGCTCTACGCTATTCTGGATTCGCCGCTGGGCACAAATCTAGTTGAAATCTAATATAAGAGGAACTTCCATGACTTGGTCGGGACAAACTTTTCCACTCTTCCATGGAAGAATACTTCTCTTCATGAAAGACTGATGAGATCAAACAGTAAGGTAAAAGGATTCAAACCAAAAGAGGCTGTGATAACTCTATCAAAATTGGGCCAAGCATTTTGCTCACATCATGGATTTCATTTGGAACAATTGGTTGATATTCTACAAGATCTCTAATGATTCTTCAAATCATATATAATGAACATGACTGCCAACGGAGACATCACCCAGTTTACTGCAAAAGAAGCAGTGAAACATTTTTGAATCTATGACTCGTCGGTTATTAAGAAATGGGCTGGGAGTAAGTAAATGCCATACATGCAAGTTGCAACTCCGACCCTTATACTATTCCACTAGAGCACCATAAAAAATAAAAGTGCCAAAGGTAACATAGCCCAGTGGTGAAACCATTGGACTTGGATCAATTGAGCTTTGGATGTGAGAGGTCCTGAGTTCAATTCCCTGTGGCGCCACTTGAGCGTCTCCACTCTCCAGTGGCGCCACTTGGTATCGGAGATGAAACCTCCCCGATGTTGGTAGCAGAAAGTTCCGGTTAGTATGCAGGTACCCCAGTGGTTTAATAGGCCCCGCTGTCGCTCAAGTGGCACGTGGAGCTGAGGTTTCCTGGGTTATCAAATAAATAAAAACATCCTCCAAACTCAGCTTGCCTCTTACACACCCAATCGTGTGGCGAGTATACAAGTTTATTAATAAAAAAGAGAAAATAACAAAATTTTATAATCTACCCATTTTGATTAGTCAGATATATAACCGAGAGTATTCCAAACCAAATGAGTCTGATCTAGAAATCTTACATCTAGCAATTAAAACTACTACACCACATGATTAAGAACGTTTCAATAAGATTTTAATAATATCCAAGCAATGTAGGACCTAGGAAAGGGAGCGGTGGCTTAACAATTATTAGGCTGAATCGCTGTTTGGAAATGGACTATCCCTGAATTGCAAGCCAGCCGTTTTCGCCGAGGCCCCGGCGGCTAACTTTTTTATTGCACATAATCACTATGTATGGCAACTAGGGGTGGAAATTTGAGAGATTAAGTTGAGGGTAAATTATTGGGTGTAAGTTATTGGGGTGTAAGTGAAGAGATAAATTGTTGTTTGGATGAAAAAATAGGGATACAAATTAGTGAAAAGTAAGTAAATTATATTATTATAAAATAGATATATCAAATTTTCAAAAAATTATTATAAAATATTCACACATTAATTAAAAAAATATATTAAAAAATAATTTAATAAAAGAACATTAAAATAGTAATGCTCAAGTAGTAATTAATTACAAATATTCATAAATAAAATTGTTGGATCCATAATAATAATAATTGGTTGAACGACCTCGAATGACTATGCTAAAAAGCTCAATCCGTGGCCAAGACATACGTTGCGGTTCAACATATAACTAGCTCATGTCTCCCACCCGGGCGTTGATTTATCAAAATGATGGTTAAATCAGGGTAAAACGGACATTATCAAATCGATTTTAACCATAAATGATCATCCTATCTCGATTCGACTTGACGAATCTTGACTCACTTGTTTTATCGAGTCTAACAGTTGAATCCAATTTGACAAACTTTCTCATTGTATATCAAATGATGTCTCCCGGAATCAATGTAAAAATCATAATAATTATTCTTAGTATCATAATAATAATAATAATAAGTATTATTGTAGAATAATGATTACATGACATTTTTAGTCACAACAATCATAAAACATAATCATATACATATAAAACATATATATATATTATTTTTTATCCATCATTCCACTCTTTCTCTCTCCATTTGTACCCCAAATTGGGGGGTTAATGAGAATAGTGAATTTGTCCCCCTAATTGCACCCCCTATAGTATTTATAATTATCCAAACGGGGTAAATGCATTTTCCACTTGCTCCCCTCCCATTAACACCCCCCCCCCCCCACCCCCACCATAGTGAACATGTGTTTTAGCCTGTTACGACTTAGGCGTAGTAAAGTAGTCGGCCGTCCGACCTAATAAGCAGCGGTGGATTAGGGGCTGCTCCCGAGCCACGGTCCAGCCTTTCTTGGATCCAAAGACCATATAACACTTGTAAATTTTTGATTTTGGTATATATTTCAATGTTTATAAGGTAATGGCCCAGCCCTCTCCACCGTTTTTAAATGCGGCCCAATGCTCTAATTTGTTCTGGATCTGCCGCTACTAATAAGGCAATGACCAAACTCATATTTTTCAGTTGTTGGGTGGTAACCCTGATAGTACTCTCGATGCATACTCTTTCAATTAAAATTAAAATTTTCTCTTAATTACAAGCAGCAGCGGATCCAGGGGGCGCGGCCCAACCCTCCTTTGGATCTCGAGCTAGTAAAGTATAACACTTATAATTTCCGATTTTTGTATTCGTTTCAGTGTTTTTCACGTTACGGCCAGCCATCTCCGTCTTTTTACAAAAATGGCCCAGTGCTCTACCCTGTCCTAGATCTGCCGCCGATTACAATAATAGAGAAGGAAAAATATGAAGCTAATGACATAGTGTACACTCCCTCTCTAATAATATTTCACCTGATACATACAGGACAAGACATGAAGACAAACTCACGAGACTATCACCCTCAGGCCTCAACGAAGAAGAAACGAAGTTTCACTTTATGGTAAAGGTTTGTTGTCTCTATATGAGTTACGGCATCTAATTCATCGAGTTCATTTATACCATTTGTTAATTATTCATGTAATAATTACTGTTACACACGTAAATTAAATTCTAATTTTTTAATTTTAATAATTTATATTGATCATATTTTATAGAGTTTAATTAAAAAAATTGTTGCATGGATGATGATATACGCAATGACTTTCATTTTAACATATTTCAAATTTTAAAAATCAATTTTACAACGGCATGAATGAATGACAACATCGATGTGAATAAATTCTCTTATTTTTTATATATTTCAAATTTTAAAAATCAATTTTACAATGTAACATCTATTTTCCTTCTCTCTTGTTTTTCAAATTTTCTACCTTCTCTCTAACAATTTTGTCCAAGCTTTCATGGGGCTGCTGCCGGTGCTACTTCGTCGACCGGCGGCAGCCCTCCGCCTCTCTGACTTTCCATCTTGCTTTTCCTTGATATTTTCTTGATTTTCAGTGTTCTTCCCCCTGCATCTCGTGCTCTGTTTTTCATCCTTTTTTGGCATCTTTTCAACCCTGTGTGGGTTCTGTTCTTGGCCCTTATGTGGTTGGATGTTGTTTTGTCCTTCGATTTGGTTTCCAGATCTGAAGATGTTTGCACGGTTCTTGATGCGACGAGGTCGGATCTGACGTAGACCCAACTTCTCTTCTCCTCTTCCCATCTTGGTTTAGCTTCTTGTCTTTGCCTTGCAGTTCTTGGCGAGTCGGAGATGCAGCCCTTGGCGTGGATCCGGTTGGGAGAGCTTGAAGACAGTGGTATTCTAACTCTCGGTCTCTTCCACCGGTCATCCGGTTCTTTTGTTTCCCTTGGCGTGTCGGTGGGTTGCAGGCGGTGATCGACCCGAGGTGAGTTGGTTGGAGGTGTTTCCTCCTCCTCTCGTCTCCTGGGTTGGGTGAGGTCCTGGCCTCGTGCGCGGCTCGCGACATCCTCTTCAATGGGTCGGTGGCCCGCGGTGGTGGAGGTTGACAGAGAGGGCACTGACGACTAGGGTTTGGGGGCTCATCCTTTATTTTGGCCATGAGCCTGGGCCCTACTGGGCTTTTGGGTTTTTCTGTGGGCCTTGTTTGTGTTTAGTTTCTTTCCATCCTTAGTTTGTTTGTTTCACTTGTACTACTCCTTTGTAGGCTTAGCCCAGTCATATTAATGAACATCATCTTTAAAAAAAAATCAATGTAAATAAATACCAAGATGCATCAATAATCCTACATTTTGCGTGAATAACTATGACACAAATGAACATCAATGTGACATAAATAAATATAAAATTGTCTGAATATCTATCTGACACTCTCTTTCGTCAATTTTGTGCTCATATTCAATAGTGCATTGGGGCTTCACGATAACACCCTCCGGCCTCCACGGACTCTTGTGGCCGTGCACGTCTGGCGGGCTGTTCGTGCGTTTCGACGATGCCCTTTGCCGGATGTAGGTGGCAGTGTGGGTTTTGCGGGGTTCACAAGTACCTCCTCCCTAGCTTTTGTGTTCGGTAAGTTTTACAAAGGTATGGAGGTTCCTTTCCTAATGAAAGTCTTGGCACTAACATATGCAATGGTTTGGTGTTTAAATCATGGACTCTATAATATTTGATTCTATGAAGATTCGCAACTGGTAGTTCGCAAGGCATATCGGAGGGCAATGTTCACCACGATTGTGTGAGTGCGATTCTAGAAGAAGTTCGATTGTTTAAGACTTCCTTTTTGTTTATTCAAATTGTTTGTGCTCTTCGTCCCACTAACAGAGTTGTTTATTTTGTTTTAAAAACGACCCTTTCATCGATAACTCGAAATTTGAATAACTGTCGCAATTTACTTTAGAACGATTTGTGGGGGGACACAGAAAATCTACTAGGGTCGTTTAGTTTTGGTGATTGTTTGATTGGGATAGTTACAATGCATGTATTGTCCATAATGCATGGTTTTTTTGAATTTCATGCACAAACAATACATGCATTGTTTGCTTGATGTGATGGACTATATCTACTAAAACTTGAGATTGTTGAGTACATTACATCATTTTCCTAAATTGCATATATATTACAATACTTGCATTAACCACACTGCATTGATTTAAATATCACCAGAATTAAACGACATATTGAATACTAAAGGAACTATCACGAAAATCAAACAATATAAAGTATATTATATTATTTTTCTTAATTGCATATATATTACAATGCATGTTGTTAACAATACATTGATTAAAATCATACCAAAATCAAACGACCCCTACGTGTTCAGAGGACAACAAAATAAATTATTCAATTCAATTATTCCGCCCCTGGAAAAAAAATGGCGGAGATAGAACAGTTACAAAGTTACGGTCACAGAGTCGCTCAGTCGGTCTACGGAGGCTATAATTGAAGTCCACACTTCTTATGAAAATTCCATCATTCAGCGCAGATCTCCTCTTTCACTCCGAGAACACTCAAAACCTTCAGGCTCCGTCGACATGGAGATTTCTTCTTCCGCTCTCCGCCTTCCATTTCTATTCTTGCTGGTACCTCTACTTCTTTTCTTCCTCCTCTCCCCTTGGAACCCGCTCCACAACCTTTCCGGCGGTGGCGACTCCGCCGGCCGCCGGACCCAGTTCCCTCCCAAGTCCCTTACCTCAATATCTCCCCCGCCTGCCGAACCCCTATCGCCGCCGCCCAGGAACCACAACTCCGCCACCGCCCGCAACCCGCTCGACCCGCTCACCGTCGGCGAAATTCACCGTGTCCGATCGATTCTCTCCTCCTACCAACCTTTTCTCCATCACTTCCCTTCGATTCAATCCATGTCCCTCGACGAACCGGACAAATCGCGGGTCCTCGGGTGGAAATCGGGCGACCCGATTCCGTCCAGGAAGGCATTCGTCATCGCACTGCTGGACAATCAGTCGCACCTGCTCACGATTGACCTCGACTCGGGCCGGGTCGAGACCCACGAGATCAGTTCCGGGTCGGGTTACCCTATGCTGACGATGGAGGACGTCGTGGCGGCGGTGCAGACGGCGGTTTCGTACCCAGAATTGGAGGCATCCGCCGCTGCTCGCGGACTCTCGGTGGCGAATCTGTCCTGCATCTCGCCCTCGCCGGGCTGGTTCGGACCCGACGAGGAAGGGAAGCGGATCTTGAAGGTGCTCTGCTTCTCCAAACAGGGGACGCCCAATTTCTACATGAGGCCGCTCGAAGGGCTGGTCATGACCGTCGATGTTGATCGGCGAGAAGTCGTCCAGTTCTCCGACACGGGGAAAGGGATTCCGATCCCCGGCAGAGCCAACACCGATTACAGATTCCGACCCGGGAACAAGCCGCCGGAGATGGAGCGGATCAACCCGATTTCGATGGAACAGCCGCGTGGGCCCAGCTTCACTGTGACGGACGGACATTTGGTGAAGTGGGCAAATTGGGAATTTCACTTGAAGCCGGATCAGCGGGCCGGATTGGTAGTGTCCCGGGTCGTGGTTCGGGACTCCGAAACAGGGGCGGCGAGGAGCGTGATGTACAAAGGGTTCCCGTCGGAGCTTTTCGTGCCGTACATGGACGCCGACGAAGGATGGTACTTTAAGTCGTACATGGACGCCGGCGAGTTCGGGTTGGGCGCCACGGCGATGCCGCTTGTTCCTCTGAACGATTGCCCTCGAAATGCTTATTACATGGACGGGATTTTCGTGTCAGCGGATGGGCAGCCGTTTGTTCAGAGCAACATGATCTGCTTGTTCGAACGCTACGCCGGCGACGCCGCCTGGAGACATTCCGAGCTCACTGTTAGCTCCGGCGGTCAAGAGGTACGTAATTGACAGCCGGAATTAAAAAGTAACTACTACAATTCTGCCCCCAACAAGTTTAATTGAGGATCGTGCAATGTTGCAGTTAAGGGAAGCTAGAGCTAAGGTCACACTGGTGGCTCGAATGGCTGCATCAGTTGGAAACTACGACTACACATTTGATTGGGAATTTCAGACCGATGGCTTGATCAAGATCACTGTAAACTGCTAATTACTACTATACTAGCACCTAATCATGTAGCTCTTTCTCCTAACGACGTTAAATTCGGTTGGTTGTTACAGGTATCTCTATCAGGAATGCTGATGGTGAAAGGGACTGTGCATGACAACATGAACCAAGTCCAGAACCAGGATGAGATGGGACCGTTAGTTTCGGAGAATGCGATCGGAGTAGTTCATGACCACTTCATCACGTTCCACCTCGACATGGATGTCGACGGGCCAAACAACACGTTCGTGAAGGTGAACCTGGTGAAGGAAGAGAATGTGGAAGGGAAAACCCCGAGGAAAAGCTATCTGAAACCCAAGAGACATGTCGCCAAGACGGAGGATGATGCTCGAATCAAGCTGAGCCTTTACGATCCTTCCGAGTTCCATGTGGTGAACCCTTCGAGGATGTCGAGGTTGGGGAACCCTTCGGGTTACAAAGTTGTTCCTGGAGGGAATGCTGCTAGCCTGCTCGATCACTCGGACCCTCCTCAACTGAGGAGCGCTTTCACTAACAATCAGGTGAAAAGATATGTAAAATATGATTTGAATTTCGATACGAATGACGAGTAGTGCTAACAGAGACATGTTTTCAGATATGGGTGACACCCTATAATCGGAGCGAGCTATGGGCCGGAGGACTTCTGGTGTACCAGAGTCATGGAGATGACACCTTGGATGTTTGGTCTCAGAGGTACTTGGCATTTGGCAAGGCGACGACATGAGAAGTATTGTTAAGAGCTGAGGGGTAGCTAAAAATTCTGTTGTTTGGTTTGTGTTACAGGAACAGGGCAATTGAGGACAGGGACGTCGTTCTATGGTACACATTGGGATTTCATCACGTTCCATGTCAAGAGGATTTCCCGGTGATGCCCACTGTTGCGGCCAGCTTCCAGCTTAAGCCGGTGAACTTCTTTGAACGGAATCCAATTCTGACGGCTCGGCCGGTGTTCGAGGAGGACCTGCCGGTTTGCCGGCCTTCTGAGTCGGCTTCAATCATTTAAGTAGTAGGAACATGATAAGATAATGGAGTGTTATAGATATAGGGGGAAAAAGGGGGATTATGAGCCGCTGGCAACATAACTATTGCAAATTGGAGGTGAAACAACTGCTTTGGGATGGCTGATTTATGATAAGTGATATTGAAGCAATTGCAAATTAGTTGACTAGGCACATAAACAATGGAATCAGACCACAAGGCAGCAGTAAACTGACTGTGATGCACCAGTGAGGAAACATTTTATTCAACTTAAATGCTCTAGACAAGGAGAATGGAGAAGCAACCAAAATAGGCTTAATAAACCCAGGCCAGAAGTAACCTCAGAGGCAGAGTAATGGTCCGTCGTTATGCCTACACATTCATAACTTTCGAGCATTAAGCTCTCTAGTCTCTACCATAACAAAAGTGATTTGCTCTTACCGTCTTTGGCAAGCCGTGCATTAGAATCTAACAACTCACAAGTTTACAAAGCATGATATGAAGCTTGAATGCTCTACATAAGAGAATGCAGAATCAACAAAAGTTGAAAACAGCCCAGCTGCAGCAAACACCAGACATGACTGACATTACCCTAGAGAATGATTGCTGACTGGAACCAATCCCGCAGCTAATTAAATGAATAACTCACAAATGCTGAGCTGACAATCATCACAAACATGATACAGAATCAACCAGTAGGTCAGAACTCAGAACAGGCCAACACCCCATAAGAGCGATGATAGCTGATTAAAAGCCATCAGCACTTCACCAGATATTTACATGCACAAACTTGCACAAGTTTCATCCTGGCATTTGATTACCAGTTCTTCGACTGCAGCACACTGGATAACATTGACACCCTAGTAATCCCTCATCCATACCAACTTTGCAACATGGCTACTGATACATAACACAAGCAGAGTAACCAGGCGCTCTATGGTTCAGTCAGAGTCTATCTTACAGTAACTACAAGATGTCAATTAGCAGTCCGGTAACTGCTTCACAAACTTGGGAACAGAAAGGACACATTACACAAACAAATATTCTCAAGGACAACCTTAACTCCAGTGGACCAGATGCACCCCTGTATAATTGTCATGCTTTGAAAGTTACTACACCAGTGTACAAAACTAGTTCATCATTCTCTCCACCAAACAACAAGCTGGCCAGTTATCATTGAATGCACACCACTTTGCATATCAAAACCGTGGCAAGAATACTTGACTATGTGCAGCCGCACACATGGAGCTAAGAACAAGAAGTCCTTCGCATGCAACCAAGTAACTTCCATAAGAGGGAAATTGTACAAGAAATATGAATAGACAAACCCCACTGGGTAAAGGATTTCCAGATCTTAATAAAAGAGCCAGAGATTTAGCAAAGGCGTTAATACAATTGGATTCCCATTTGAAATACCAGATGTAGACTACCCATTAAGGGAACATAGTATCAAAACGCAAAAACCAAAGAAAACCCCAAAATGCTCAACAGAGAGGTGCAGCATTCCTTCATCAAATTCAAATTCAACACATACTGTCAGTCATCCACCACATCGAAATGCCCAAACAAACAAGCAAACCCTAATTTCTCCTCTCCAAATCACAAACAAAAAGGAAGCGAAATCTTAAGCCAGATTACTTCAGAAAAGCAGAATCGACAAACAAACAAGACAAAGAACCCAATTCCCTTTACCGCAATCCATTACAGCGAAGGGTCTTTCGTTTCTTCACTTCGCAACCATCCTCGCAATGAAATCCTCGTACTTGATCTTCCCATCCGACCCGACGTCCACCTCCCGGATCCACTCGTCGAACTCCGCCGGCTCCAGCTTCTCCCCAATGCTGGTCAAGATGTGACGCAGATCCTGAACGGAGACGAACCCAGTGGAATCCTTGTCGAGCACCTTGAAGGCGTCGCGGAGCTGTCGATCGAAGGGCTCGGTCTTCATGTGCTTCCCCATGATGTCGAGGAACCTCGGGAAATCGAAAGGAGCGGTTAGCTTCTCCTCCGCGACGATGGCCTTGAGCTGGGCCTGGGTTGGGTTCCCGCCCAGAGAGCGCATCAGGATCCCGAGCTCAGAGGGGGCGATTTTGCCGTCGCCGTCGGTGTCGAAGAGGACGAAGGCCTCCTTCATCGAGTGGACCTGGTCGTCGCTGAGATCCTTGCCCATGTTTCTTTCTTCCGGTTCGGGTTTGCGGGTCTCCGATCGGGCTCTTGCTTTCTCGCACAGAAGCGGAAATTGGCCTGGGGAAATGGAGACTCTGTCTCTTTTGTAAGCTTTTTCTGAACGAATGATTTGGCGAGGTTGGGGGAAAAAGGAATAAAAACGTATGGCAGGTTCGAGAGGAGGGAGAGAGAGAGAGATAATGAAACGGCTGCGCTTGAAGTTTACTTTTGCAGCGCAGATATCTCGCTGGAAACAGGGCCGGATAAAACATGGTGGGCTTGAGGAGTGGAGGGCCCAAGGAGTGATGTGTGAGTTGTGGCTGATCCAGATATTTTAATCTTGAAATAAAATGGGGTTTTCGGTCTCAAGGGCCCAATCCAATTGGGCTGCTTAACAGTTAGGTTGTTAATCTGGATTTGGATCTTCGATCTGGTCAAGCAATTGGGTTATGGCCTTATGGGTCGATGGTTAAATCGAAATTAACTCGTATCGACCCATTTTTATACTCATTTGACTCATGACAACCTTATTTGCCATCCCATCAATCGTTTTGTGAATGTGGTCGATTGTTTTGTCCAAATCATGGTGACTTTGAAATGCATATACTCAAATTTATATTTTTGTTAACTATATGATGAAATAAATTATAAAATTGATTATTTGTTGGGTCGTTCAAAGCCATGACAATAATTCCACATTGCCACAAATCTCACTCTAAAGTTGGAGCACTCTAGGTTGATATCTGAAGAATTTAACTTGCTATAGAAAGAGGATAATTTTTTCTACTTCTTCTTTAATGACTTTTCCGTCGCAGGTTAAATGGATGCCAGACCATAAACCAAAGTCATCGTGTCTATGTTGCTTTAATTTTCAACACTAATCTCCTGAGCAGTTGGAGCAATAAACGAAGCTTGCAAAGACGTGTTTAAATAAAATGTTTAACTCTGTACACCGTTTTTCATTTTAGAATTTGTTTGGTTTTGGTGATACTTATATCAATGCATTGTGGTCATGTATTGTAATATACATGTAATTAAAGAAAATGATGTAATGTACTTTACATTGTTTGATTTTGGTGATAGTTCTTTTAGTATTCAACATGTTGTATTACTTTTTGTGAGAAATGTCACTTTTGCACTTGCTTTTATGAGAAGGTATATATATATAACTAGGGGTATACTTGGAACAAAAAAGGACACAACAATCTCTTCAAAACTATCTCAACAATCTTAAATTTTAGTAGAGCTAGTACTATCACTTATTTTGAGTGATAGTTTCCATCACATCAAGCAAACAATGCATGTATTGTTTGTGCAGAAAAATAAAAAATAAAAACATTGTGAACAATACATGCATTGTAACTATCCCAACCAAACTATCACAAAAACCAAATGACCTCTAATGAAATTACCCAACAACATTAAAAAAAAATGTTAATGTTTAATCCCGTAAAAATATTAATGTTAAAGATCAATAAGTCAAAATCACGTCATATTTTGATCATAGAAAACTCTACCTGCATGTAGTGGCGGCTCGGTGTCCTCTTTCAAAAATTAAATGTACTTAAAATTTAAATTATATAATTATTAAATTTGAAAATATCCGACTAGTAAAAATTATAATAAAAGTACATACGTGTTAAGGATTATGAAAAAAATGGTAAAATACATTTGGTGTCTATACTGCTCAACAAATCTCTCTCGACGTAGATCGTATTGGACAAGGGTAGTCCGTAATTGGGTTTAATCGTTAGGTTTTGAAAATTTTGGTATAAAAATAGCCTTTTACTATTATATTTAGATCTAAAATACAACAACAAATGAGTTATAGACTAAATGAAAATATATTTAACAATAGTAGCAGTGTGCCAAGTTAAAATCACATAGACTATGACTTAGATATTATTTGTACCAGTACGTAAATTACTACAGGTAGTTAGGTCAACCTTTTCCCCAAAATTTAAGGGTATCCCGCTACTACTTAATTTTCTTTATCCATACACAAACTACTATCAGAGGTTGAATAATCGTTTTTCCAAAATTTAGGGGTGTTCTACATGTATTCGCCACCGCGTGCATGCTCCCAAGTCTTAAGATTCATTCGTTTAATGATACGAAGAAACCTTTAAATTTAGTTATGTATTTATTGCTTCGTATTGTGTTTATGTTCTTGAATTTGTTTTACATCGATGGTCCTTATCGTGATTTTTTCTTATTGTTATAAACGCGCTGCTACCGATCGGGAAATCGCCGGAATCGATAAAGCAAGAATACGAAAGCGAGAATCAAAAAACACAGACACACGATTTACGTGGTTCACTAACACGACGTGTGTTAGCTAGTCCACGGGCGAGAGAGAGCCAGTTTCACTATATCGAGAAGATTAAAGATTACAGAGGAGTATGAGAAGTATTTATAATACTTCTCCATGTGGGTCTAAACCTAATCCGATCTGGCAAAAGGAAACGGTTACAGACCAGGTCTAGAATCCAAACCCAAATAACATTGTGCCCATACACCGCGGCCTGGGGGCATTGCCCCTAGACCCCACTCGCTGACCGGGCAGCGAGACCTCCGACTAATCCAGTCGTAGCAGCTGATAGTCCGATCAAGTCAAATCGACACTTATGATGATGAACCCCCTATCCACGGTTTTTACATTGATGACATCACAAACAAACTAAACTCGGATCGTCGATCATCAACCGAGTTTTTAATAACTGGACGGTATGTACTACTCAAGAGTTGTAGCACCAATCTAACAAAGACGGGGATCGACCACAAGATACTGTACATGCCAATCCACCTCTCCACCAGCCAGCTAGCCCTAGTGGCTTACATTTTCTTTGTCTTAATAAAATGTGTTATCTTTAGTATGAAAAAAAAATTAATTAACTTGTCTTTTTTTTTTGGTAGAAAATTAACTTGTCTTTGGCAGTAGTGCTAACCCCTCTGCATTTCAATTTTCAAACGTAAGAGTTGGGAACCAACTTTCTTTCTTTGTGCGACATGATTGTGATATTTTGAGATCTGGGTCCAAAATCGACCCCATTCACTTTAGGCCAAGATTTAACTTTGCGTCTATGTAATTTTTGTCTTCCTTTTGCTTAATTTCTACCCACGCCATGATACCTAATTGGAAGTCGGGGCCAATTTTTTCAATTTGTCCCTTTAGTCATCATTTCCTTTGTAATTGGTTCACTAGTGGGTATCTTTTACCCCCAAGGCAATAAAAAAAAAAAGTTGTACTTATTCATCAAAAGAAAAATAAAGGTTTGGTAAGACAAAACTTTTACAACTATTGGTCAATGAAAAGATGATTTTCAATGTTTGGCATGTTAGCAACATCTTATATTATCCTTAACATAATTCCTCACAATATTATCTAACTTTATGAAAAAATTTGGTATCTTTTGCATAATTCTTTACCTTGAATTGAACTATCTTTCTTACTTCTAATATATATATTAAAGGGTAAATACAATATAATAGTCAAACCTTTCGTTTTAACGAAATAATAGTCAAATATTTTTTAAAATAATTTAATAGTCAAACCATTAATTTTTTTCCAGTCAAACGTAAGTTGACTCTAGCCGTTTGACGTGACAAATCCATGCTAGATCACAATTGATTTCTCTTCCTATTTCTTGATTTTCCCTCGTCCACAGCCTCCACCAGCACCGCCATCTCCCCCATCCATCACCACCATCAAAATCAAGAACAAAGGCAAAGTCTTCCCTTCCCTCCTTAACCTCCTCCCCGCCATTACAGTCGAACAGCCCGACAGGAACAAGCGTCGCGACAAAACCTCTCGTCGTATCGATATCGCTGAGATTGCTTCATATTCCAAGCTAAACCATCACATCAGCTCCTTTCGCCACTCCCACCACCACCGCCGACTAACAATGAATCAGCTTCTCCGGATTTTTTGACCAAGATTGAGGTTGAGACTTGAGACTACCCCACCCGAAGCGAAGAGGGAGGAGAGGGAAATGGTGTTGAGGTTGCCACCGGCAGGTGAAGGCGACAATAGGCATAAGGGGATTGGAAGGAACGTGCTTCCGGGCGTGTTAGGGTTGTTGAAATTGTGAATCTGACACTGGCATAGACCTTCTCCGGATTTTTTCCGTTAGTTGATCGTTAAACGAGACGAAAAATCATCAAATTGGCCTCACTTAGTAGATAATTTTTTTAATTGCGAGAATTAAATTAATGAGATAGTTCATGTCTTATTTCTAATAGAACATAAATATAATTTATATAATAAGTTAGGGGCAATTTGGTCATCTTCAGTTCCCTTTAACGGTTAACTAACGGACTTTTAGATGGTAGCCTACGTTTGTTATGTTTCGATAATATATGAATACATTTATACTAAAAAATAGTTGAGAGATATATTTGTTAATTTACAATAGTAGAAGGATATAAAACGATATTAACCCTATAGTATTAACTCTATGTTTTATGAGATTCATGTCTACTGTGTTTGATCTTTGTAGCTAGCTAGCTTCTTTAGTACGTGCAACTAACAATATTGGCCAACTCCAAGTACTTTCGAGACTTCTCACTACTTAGTAGAAGCAATGCTTGCTACCGAAATTTCGACATTTCAATCGAAAAACAACATTGATGGTAACCATCTCTGAAATAGTTCACAGCTCTTTTAAAACAAGGGGTAAACTGAGTTGGAAAACAGTTACAAACATATTTATAATTTATTTAGCCTTATTCCCAAGATAAAGCTATTTTCTTAAGATATTTGAATATGTTTGGGTTTGGCACTATATGTTAGCATTGGTTGGCCTTCTTGTTTCTTGTTGAGCAAATTAAAAGGGGATAAGGAAAACGAAAATGACTTGAGAGAAAGTTTGGTTTGTTTGAGCTTTCCAGCGGAGGGATCCGATGTTATTATGTCGTCGATCCCACTTTGGCTTTGCTCTCTGCCTGTCCAACTCCGAGGTTTAGCTTGGCTTTTGGACACGTAGTGTAGTTTTTGCAAGAGAAACAAAATAGCTGTACTATACTACAGGGTCTGGCAATCAAACGCCGGCAGCCAAAATAGAAATGAGGAATTTTAATATCTTAATAAGTATTAGTACTTTAATGTATTAGTTGAAATAGGTGGTTATGACGCGCCGTGTCGCGCGGTGGAGTTGGCTATGTACATGTATTATGTGACCCGTTATAATGCTTTGTTAGTATTATTAGTTTAAAATTAATTTTTTGTTAGCAGTTTTGTTAGTAATGTTTACTTGACAATATGATATTGACTAAGAAGAGATATATGGAGGTCAAATCCTTTTTTTTTGTTGAAAATTTTGGCTATTAAATGATATTTTACCTAAACCCAAGTGAACCCATTGATTATGGGTAGGGGATATTTTTTTTTTTTTTTGCTTTCACAGGAGGCTAAAAAGCCACAGAAGGAGAGAGGAACAGGAGGGAGAGAGAGTTACAGAGAGGGGGAGGTGTCAACAGTACTTATGATGTTTCTAGGAAAAGTTTGACCTCTGAGATCATCACCAAGGATAGTAGTGAGCCCTTGGGGGGGTAAATCCAGATCACATTTACCGTAGGGATAGACGAGACTGTGCTTCGAGAGCCAGTCCGCGACTCTATTCCCTTCTCGATAAGTGTGAACTAGCTTTACCACCCAGTCTTGAGCTATTCTCCGCCTGATAGCAGTCAAAAGAGTGGCTTGAGGGTGAACCAAATCATTTCTCTTCTCTATAAGCTGTAGAGCCATCTGAGAGTCGGATTCCACGATGAGGGTTCTGCTGCCAGCTTGCCAAGCTACACCCAAACCATGATAAATGCCCCACAGCTCCGCCTGAACCGCCGAGCAAGTTCCCAGGTTGACGACAAAGCCCTTGAGCCAACCGCCAAGATGGTCCCTCAACACGCCGCCTGCTCCTGCCGGTCCCTGAGTCCCATTAGCTGCGCCATCAACATTAATCTTTGTCCAACCCGCCGGAGGGGGAGTCCACCCAATTTCTCTGAGCGTGCGATGAGCTGGTGCAGAGCCGCGCCCGAGGATGTCCTGCGGAGCCATCCAAGCTTTATGCCACAGAGCTGCCTTGATCTTAATTGCCTGGGTCAAGGAGGGCGGTGATAAAGTCTTGTCACTCCCTTTGAAGACGCCATCATTCCTGTTCTTCCACAGGTTCCAAATCGCAATGCTGAAAAAGGCTTTCCAAGGGGTCTCAATTCCCGTCATCTCTTCAGTCTGCAGATTCTTCGTCAGCCACTGCCTGAGCTGCATACTGAAAAATTCTCCCTGTTCCTCCGAGGGGACAGTGCGCGCCCAGAAAAAAGCTGCAGGAGGGCAATCTCTGAAGATGTGGAGAGTAGTCTCTTCCTGAGTCGAGCACCTGTAACAGAAAGGAGAGGAAGTAATTTTCCTTTTAACCCGTTGCACGTTACTACTCACCTTATCATGGGCCACCACCCACATGAAGCAACGGACTCTCTCCGGAACTGGGAGACTCCAGATAGCCTTCCAAAGGTTATTTGGTTCACTAGCTGTGGATTGTTGCGTGAGTTGGTAGGCACTTTTAGCTGAGAAGTTGCCATCCGAGGTGGGATGCCAAAAAAGGACGTCGTTCTCCCTAGACAGCGGATCAACAGCTCGGGCAGTTATTAGATGGACCACCCTCTCCGGAAGGAAGTCTCCGAATTTCTCAGTGAGCCAGGACCCTTCCTCATCCACGTAATCAGCAACCATAGCGCCTTTCTCCTCTTCCGGGATTGGGCTAGTGGCCATTTCCTGAAGAGGAACCTGCGAAATCCAAACATCAGTACAGAAGTGGGTGAGATTTCCTCTATGAATATTCCACCCACAACCTTTTTTCAGCAAATCTCCAGCTTTAGAAATGCTGTTCCAAGTAAAGGAACTTCCCTTTAAAGGTTTGATAATGTCGAGGTTATCCTTGCCCTTGCCATACTTGGATCGCATCAACTGAGCCCAGAGAGTCTCCTTCTCTGTCAGGAGTCTCCATCCGCACTTAGCTAACATTGCTAGGTTGACCTCTCTCGCAGGACGGAGTCCAAGTCCTCCCTTCTCCTTTGGAAGGGTCAACTGTTGCCATCTCACAAGGTGAAGCTTCTTTTCTCATTTGTATCTCCCCAAAGGAACCCGCGATTAATTCTATCCAAAGACTTGCAGACCATCTTGGGCATAAGCTCCACCTGCATGGGATAAACAGGAATGGACGCAGCAATGGACTTAACAAGAGTCATACGAGCTGCAAGGGAGAGATGCTTAGCTTTCCAAGGGGCTAGTTTTCTTTGAATTTTGAGAAGAAGGTCCTGGTATCTGCCCCGGGTCACTCTGCCATGAATTGCCATGACCCCGAGATATCTCCCAAGATCCACCGTTAGAGGAATCTCCATGCGAGTGCTCAAGGATCTCGCTTGTCGTCTGCTGATGTTGGCGGAGACGAACATAGCCGACTTGTGGAAATTCACCCTCTGCCCTGAGCTGCTACAGAAATCATCCAAACACTGTTTGATAATTCTGACCTGCGATCCCCCTGTTTCTGCAAACAAAACCAGATCATCGGCAAAAAAGAGGTGAGAGAGAGCCGGGCTGTCCTTGGATAGCCTGAGCGGCCGCCAAAGCTTATCCTGAACAGCCCGATCAATTCTGTGGGACAAACGTTCCATACACAAGACAAAAAGATAAGGGGATAGGGGGTCTCCCTGCCGAACCCCTCTGGTAGGGGTGATGGGTTGAGACAGCTCGCCGTTCCAGAGGAGGCGCATTCTGTTGTGCTCTACGCAGTACATGATGCACCCTATCCACGAACTGGGTAAACCCAACTCCTTGAGGGTGTCCCTCAGGAAATCCCACCTCAGGCAGTCATAGGCCTTCTCGAGATCGATTTTCATCACCATCCCTCCCTTTTTTTCTTTCTTCTTCCGCAGAGTGTGGAGAACCTCCTGCAGGACAATGATATTATCTGTGGTCTGCCGTCCGGGGATGAAGCTGCTCTGGCGAGGAGAGACCAACTTCCTCATGATAGGTTTCAACCTGTTGGTAATGGCCTTCGTGATGGCTTTCAGGCAGACATTGTTAAGAGATATGGGTCTGAGCTGGGACGCCGTCTCCGGGTGCTCCACTTTAGGGATGAGAACCACAGTCGAATCAGTGACATTATCAGGAAGACCACCTGCATTAAAAAACTCCATAGCCATGTTAATCAAGGATTTCCCCACGACTTTCCACTCCCGCTGGTAGAAAGCTGCATGGAAGCCATCAGGGCCTGGCGCTTGAAACGGCTTCATCTCATGGATCGCACGATGGATGTCCTCTGCTCCAAAAGGTCTCAACAGAGCAACTAGATCTTCTTGGCTAAGGCGGGGGAAAGTCCCTCTGGGCATAAGGTCTTCATAGTTGTTGTTATCCTGAACAAACAGTGAAGAAAACACGTTAAAAACCAAATCAGCCAGCTCCTGGGGGTCCGTGATCCAATCTCCATTGGCTCCTTTGAGGCTGCTAATGTTGTTCCTGCGTCTGCGGATGACCGCCTGGTTATGAAAGTAACCAGTGTTCCGTTCTCCCTGTTGAACCCATTTTTCTCTTGATCGTTGGAACCAGAAAAGCTCCTCCTGCTCAAGAACCTCATCCAACTCTCTCTCTAACTTGGTTTGAAGCTTGAGGAGCCCTGGAGAGAAACAATTAGCCACCCTTTCCTGGATCCCATGGATGCGGGCCATCAGTCTTCTCTTCTTGTGGAAGATGCTTCCAAAGGTAGTTTTGTTCCAATGGTTAAGATTGGAAGCCATCTTCTCAAGTGCAGCAGGTAGAGTAGCCTGGTGATCCCATCCCCTCTCAACAACCTGGTCAAAAACATCACTAGTTAACCAAGCAGCCTCAAAACGAAAAGGGCGGGAAAAGGATGAGTGGACTCCCTGGTTTCCAATGGTGGTAAGGATAGGATGATGATCAGAGTGAAGGCGGGGTAGGTGCTTGACAGTAGTATTCGGAAAGCACGAGTTCCAGTTGATGTTGCAGAGGCTTCGGTCGATACGGCTTGCTTTGTACGTGTTGGGATTTTCCCCTCTAGTCCAAGTGAAGCGCGGGCCTGAGAAGCCAAGATCTATAAGCTCAGCCTGCTGGATTCTGTCATTGAAAACTCTGCACTTGTAAAGCGTGGAAGGGGAGGCGTGGCCTGATTTCTCCTCCGGCTTCATGATAGCATTGAAATCCCCGGAGAGGAGCCAAGGCAGGTCGTTTGTTTGGCTGGTGTGGAGGAGAGCTCGCCAAAGACTATGCTGCTGGGACTGATGGGGGCTAGCATAAACTGCTGTGAACAGCCATCTTGGGGAAGATCCAGCAGCGACTATAACCGACAGATGCTGAGAGCAGGCAGAAAGAACTTGAAGTTGAAAAGAGGCAGAATTCCAGCAGAGCCAGATGCCTCCTTTCCTCCCATCAGCCTCTACTCTCATAATGTTTGGAAACCCCATGCGCTCACAGATTTTGTTGGCAGAGCTTCCACTCACCTGAGGTTCCAAGATAACAAGAAAATCAGGATTATAATTCTTGACAATCAGCCTAAGAGCTCTGGTTGATGCAGCGCTACCTGCACCCCCAATGTTCCAGGCAATAATTTTAAAATTTTGCAAAAGGGAAATAGACATGGCAGAAAAACAAGGAAAGCAGAGGGGAAAAGGGAGAAAGAAAATTGTCGAGCAGCCAAAGGGGAACATCATGGCACGGCGGTCGGGGGGCCTCCGCGGTGGTCGTCGCGTTGCTGTCGCCGAGGTTGTTCTGAGCTAGCTCATTTTCCCCTGCCCGGATGGCCGCCCCTGTCCACGCCTCGATCTCCTGTAGCGTCAGCGCCGCAAGCTTCGCTCGAGCTTTGCCTTTCTTCTCTTTCACAGGTGTCCAAATTTGGAGCGCCTTGGTCACAGCCGGTCTCGAATTTTTGCTCGGGGATTTCAGCTTCTTCCGTTGCTTTTTCTGGCTTTTGGTGCGGGCAGAGGCTGACGGAGAAGCTTCCCCAACCTGCTGGCCGACTTTTTCTTCCGGTTGGGAAAAGGTAACTAGCTGTATGGTCGTTCCTTTAGTGCCTTGAACGGTGGACAGGGAGGGGGGATTTGGGGCCTGGTCCAAACCCGACTTGGGCTCTTTCCGTGGGCTAGAAGGTTGAAAATTTTTAGTGCCAGAGCTCGACGGCCCAACATCAGCCGAGCGGCTATTTTGGGGAACATCTATTGGGCCTTGGGAGCTGGCCTGTTGCTTCTGGGGGGCTGGCCCAAGAATTCCTTTCGCCACTTCTTTTCCATTGGCAGTCTCCGCTGCACCTTTCCCTTTTTTCTTTGTCATGGCCGCCCGCTCCTTCCCGATTTTACCTCCGCCATTAAATCCTTCCACCCGTTGAGATCCTGCACTTCCAGCTCCGTGGGATTGTTCAGCGCAAGCGTGGCTTTCCTTTGCGGTAACCTTTCCTTTTCCTCCTCTTTCTTGGTTCTCAATTTCCTTTTGGAAAGAATCCGAATTTCCTTTTCCTGCGTTGCTATTACCACGCCGCGATCTACGCGTAACTAGCATCCACGGCCCGAAGCCAGAATTCTCCTCCGATGTATTCCCCACCTTCGGCGCCGACGAAGCTCCGGCCACCACTATGCTAAGCTGTGGGGAAGGGGGTTTCAGATTGGGGCAAACCTCTTTGGTGTGGCCGATTTTGCCACACTCAAAGCAGCACACCGGAAGATTCTCGTATTCCAGGTATTGCCAGGCTCCGTCTAACCGGATTCGTGTAACCAGTGGCTTTGAGAGATCAATTTCCACCGCAATCCTTGCAAATTTTGCCCGCTGCTGATGAAGGGTGTGGTAATCTAGCTTGATGGTGCGTCCGATCATATTCCCCAGCGAGAAGAGCACTTCCTTGTGATAAAAGTGGACCGGAAACGCCGGAAGTTGAACCCAGACGATCATCGAGCTCGGCAGTTTGTCCGAGAGACGGAATTCCGGGGTCCATTGCTGGACTAACAAGTAATGATCAAAAATCGTCCAAGGTCCCTCCGTAAGAGCGCGGAAATAGTCCACATCATTGCTGAGTTTCACCATAAAACATTCCGATCCGAGGAACATGATTTCCATAGGCCCCGCTGGGCGCCATAGAGCACGAAGCTTGCTGCTAAAAGTGGTGAAAGAGATTTGTAGCCCTAATGTGCGAACCACAAGAGATCGCTGCCAAGGTTTGCTGAGTTTGGATCGAAAACTGTCGGAGACTTTCAGCTCAGGTTCTCCGTTGAAAAAACCACTTACTAAATCGTGTTCGCCTACCGGTGTCTAGGCTAACATCCCCACCGAAGGGCTAGCAGGCACCCCGGAGACTGCATTCGCATAAGAAATAGGTCCCGTTTTTGAGGATCCTTCTGCAGTTTGATTCGGCTGATCGTCGACCGCCATAGAGTCGGTCCCTGCAGTGGGGCCTCCAGTATTGGTGGCTGAGATCGCGGCTGTATTACTCTGCCCAGGAGATGGTGGAGTTCCTGGATCTGGTGGTCTGTCAGAAGGGTTGAGGTTTCCGGTCGCCGGTGAGATTTCAGAGAGCATGACTAGCGTTCAGCTTAGTGCCATCCTTCATGGGTAGGGGATATATGAGTCTGGAAGTTTGTAAATGGGTTTGGGTAAGGTATGAATATTTACTTCCATAATCTAAATGTTTATGAGTTGGGTATGAATACTCATTTATTCAAGTGTATTTTAATTACACATACAAAAATTAGACCTATTTGCATAAATTCAAAATTTAGGTACCAAAATGTAATACAAAAAAATTTTAGGGACTAAAATGTAATGTTCCATCAATATGTGAGGACTTATATGTCACAAAAATAAATTTACGTTATAAATCTAAAGATCTATTAAGTTTAGGTACATAACTATAATTTGCATGGTTAAGACTTAATTTATTTTACGATGATGTATTTAAGATGATAATTATTTAATTTTATATGGAAAAATGAAAAATATTTATTTGATATGTGTAGATATCTAGCTAAACATTTCATGTATAATTGTTGAAAATTGTAGCACGGGTGAAAAAAGAAAAACTCTAGAGAGACGCAAAAGGAATACAAACTGGAACTCGCTTAAAATTTCACGCCTTCAAATCCCATAGTGAAAATTGACGAATTTATAATAAATAATAAACACATATATTTATTTTTAATTAAACTCGACATTGAGCTGAAAAATTTAGTGGTTCATGGTTCAATTATTTTTTTCTCTAGACTGTTAGTGAGTCGTGTATGGATTTGTTCATACTTGTGATTAGAATATATAAAAATAGTATACTAATTAGGGTTAGATGAAGAACGCAAAGAAAGAAATAAAAACGGGTTATGAAAGGCGAGTCAAAATGAAACGAAGAGAAAGTAGATGATGGAAAAGTTTGAACCAATTCTTTAGTTGGCCGTCAATACAACAGTCAACCCTTTTCACCGCAACTATTTATTGACACTTGCATATTTCGTTACATGTAGTTAGTAGAAGTTTGCTTAGTACCCCGTAAATGTACTAAATGAGTTTATAAATTCGCTTTTATAATATTTTAGAGTCGTTTTTCTTTTATCATTTATTTAATATTTCACATTAATATTATACTTTTATGTTATGGTGGATTGGATTCGTGGATTGGTTCAAAAGGATTGGTAGATTAGATTCATGGATTCAAGTGAAATCTAAAAATTGGACCAATATGTAAATTTTAAAAATTGTAGGTATGAAAATATCATAAAATGTAGATACCAAAACATAATTGTTCAATGATTTTACATTTATAAAATTAAATGTGGGGTATCAGATGTAAAATATACATTATAGTGACTAAGTTGTGATTTAATTAAATTTGGGGTATCAAATTATAAATTTTATACAAGGGTAACCAAATTCAGCTTAAAATTAAATTTTGGGCATCAAAATATAAAATATACATTATAATAACTACGTTGTGATGTAATTAAATTTGTGGTATCAAAATGTGAATATTATACTTATAATGACTAAGTAGTGATTTAATTAAATTTGAGATATCGAAATGTAAATATTTATGCAACAGTATCACTACTTCAAGTTTATATATAATAAAAATATGTATCTAATTTTAGTTTGCATCACAAATGAAAATATATAGGCAGAGTATTAAGATACATGTTCAAATTGGTGCCCAAAAAAAATTATAGGAAAAATGTAAAGATACAAATTGTATATATATCATAACGTTCACTTTGTACCATAATGTTATTAAAATATAAGTATTAATACATGACATACATGTCATAAAATAGAATTATTTACATACTCTGGTTTGAGCGTTGAACAAGATATACATGTCATAATAATTACGTATGTTTACTAGTTTTATTATTAAACGATAAAGTATATAAACGCAATAGTTATACTTACCCATAAGCCATAATAACCAAATTTACTATCAAGCTAGGAAAAAAAATTACAAAAGTACGAAGAATCCAATAAGAAGAAACAAAAGTTAACCAAGCAATATTCCATTCCACACGGTTAGCTAACAGCAATAAATAAGTATGTATATGACACTAATGATTGACTATATCCAAAATACTCATCTAGAAGCTGAATTAATGATACATTCTTTTAATACCCCACTAATCATATGTTAGTAGTTAATTATCGTAGACAAATAAATGTTCATAATTAATTGATCATGTTATATAATTGCTTCCCCCTTGAAATCCACAATTGTAGTGCATGTTTTTCCATTTCAAGACTCTTGTCTATTTTTTTCCTTCTTCTTTCTCTACTAAATTCCATTGATTGAAGCACAAAAAGATATAATAGTCAACCAGCTAGCCTATGCATATTCAAATGGTCATGGTTTGTGTGCATACGACGGTAGTAGGAATTAGGAAACCTATAAACTTGACTTCCACCATCGTTTTCCTTCATTAATAATGCAGAGAAAGAACGAAACAAAGACCCACTTCCACCAATATTTTTCAAACCATAATAAATACACAAGATCCAAATGTTCTAATAAGCTAAGTTTGCCCGTTACCACTCCCAAATATTAAAAGAGTAGGGACCAAGATATGAGGGGGAAAGTTGAGGCACCACTTTTCTCTATCAATGATTTGAAACCTACAAAATTGTTTGTGAGTAAAGCTATGTTGCACTATCAACTTGAATTATCTCGTGAATTCGTTTACACTTCATTTTGGTCTGATTTGTTTTTATAAGGAGATCAATTCTCAATTAGTTATCAATCAATGGTTTCGACATATTTACTACATTGATCACACGAATCACCGCATTGGCAAACACATACACTTTTGTTTTTAGTTTCGTTTCTCTTTCGCTATGTTTCCTTTCATTCTTTGATTGATTCTCCTCTCTTCATTGTCCTCTTGGAGTTAGTCCACCTTTTATCGACCTTCCACTCTTTTGATGAATAAAATCAAGTACACATTCATAAAAAAAGATCAAGGATCTCGACGTTGTAATTTGAGACAAATATCAACCTCCTTCACTCGAGGTGAAAATTTCAACTAGCATTGCGAATATGGGTTTATCCTGATTGTAATAGAGTTAATACCTTATTTTGGCCCGAACTATAATCATATAATCAACTTTGACCCGTGGTATCAGAAATTAATATCATGGTCTCAACTATGCAGCATATAGACTCAATTGGCCCGACACATAGTTTGACCGTCAATTTGGACGGTCAACTCCATTGACCGTTAGTCAACATGTCATGTCATTGCCTAGTCAGCATAAAAATCATTAATCAAATTCAAATTCAATTACACCTAATTATAATAATTAAACATCAACTTATATCACCTTGTCAAGAGAATTTGGATAATTTTAAGCATAGTAATTTTGAAGTAGATTATGGGGATACAAATTACTCCAAGAATACCAAACTCTCCAACAAAGAGACAAATAATGGCCACTTTCCTTGGTTCCTCTCTTAATCACATGCATCGCATTATGGGGCAGATTTGGACTTCACTATGAACAGTCATTTTTGGTTCCTTTCTGGCCATTATCTCAAGTTTCCCATCCAACACGTACCCCCAAAATCTAACAAATGTGCAATGAGCCAATGCTACTTCCATGTCATTATCCCTTCCTTAGCCTTTTGTTTCTTAGGACCTTTTTAAATTACAAATTTTGATGATGATATAGCATTTGGTGTCAATACTTATCCATACCAGGTTATGTGTTGGTCGCAAAAGTTATACATAATTGTGTTACTAGAACTAAATTGACAAGTACATGATTTTGAAATGGTTTGCGGAATATAGTTCGTCGAAGAAGTTTTATCGACGGATCTTATAATTATGTCATCCGATATGTTAATCACATATATCTTTCATATGTGTACGTCTACATTACAATGATTCATGTATTTGAGTGAAATTTTCTGTATTTTTTTTTATGTCCAACGGGAGAATAATTTTGCAGCAATTCATCTCAATTATCATAATCACGAGACAGATTTAGATTATCACATTACATATACCATTTTAATTTAGTACCAGTTTTCAACAACAAAAAAATAAATAAATAAATCCATAGAACAAAGTGAAAAAATGATAGCAAACAACAAAACCGACATTAAATTCCAAAATGTGAATGTGGCATTAGAGCCCTCCAAAAAAGTCGTTGTTTCTTAACTTGCTTTTCCACTTCCACTACAAACAACTTTTTCTCCGCTTTCTGTTTCCTTCTGTCTTCCATTCTCACATCCTTCACTAATCTTCTCCCCACCATCCGCCATCTCCGAATCCCCGCAAAACCCCAAAAACCAGCAACCCCATCTTCCACACACATTCAACTCTGCTCCAGTTCTCCATCTTCAATTCCTCACACAACAGAAACAGAGCACTCTGCTCCAGCCATCTTCAATTTCGCACACAACAGAAACGGAGCAATGGCCTCTGCATATTCTCGTCCTAGTTCCCAGTGAGACAAATCCAAGCAAAAGAAAGAACCCATCCTTGAATTTGAACAGAAACAAAAAAACAAAATCATGGGTCTCTCTCTTTCCCCCTTCTTCTCCATGGGTCTGCTCTTACTCTCACTATGTTTGACCCCTCACCTCGCTTCCGCAAACACCGAGCTACGAGCTTTAATGGAGCTGAAATCGACACTCGACCCAACCAACAAGCTATTAAGATCGTGGAACCCCACCGGCGACCCTTGTACCGGTTCATTCGAAGGCGTCGCCTGCAACGAGCATCGCAAAGTTGCCAACATCTCCTTACAAGGAAAAGGTCTCTCTGGTACACTCTCCACTGCCATCGCCGAGCTCAAATGCTTATCCGGCCTCTACTTGCACTACAATTCCCTTTCTGGGGAAATCCCCAGAGAGCTAACAAATCTCGCAGAGCTTTCTGATCTTTACCTGAATGTCAACAATCTATCTGGAACCATACCTCCACAGATCGGCAACATGGCAGCCTTACAAGGTCTGTCAAAAATTTCTTCCTTTTCTTGTCGGCTTTCTTCTCCAAGATTCCAGCTTTAATACAGAATCTCACGAAAATGTTATCTTTTTGGGTGGATAGTTATGGATCTGTGCTGCAACCAGCTGACAGGGAATATACCTTCGGCGATTGGCTCCTTGAAGAAGCTGAGCGTTGTAGCATTGCAGCACAACAAGCTAACCGGCGAAATTCCTTCCAGTTTATCCAACTCCTTAACTTTGACCAGGCTGGATTTGGGGTTCAACTCTTTGTCCGGCGGAATCCCAATGGGAGTAGCTCAAATCACGCAACTGGAGCTTCTGGATGTCAGAAACAATTCCCTCTCAGGAATCGTCCCTTCTGGTATATACTCCCCTGTTTCTTTCTATCTTGTCCTTCCCATTTAGTACTCCGTTTAGAGCAAAACTGACTTCTAAGAATCCCGCTTATTATGAAGCTTTACAGAGAATGAACGAAAGTTTCCAATTCGAGAACAACAGAGGTTTATGCGGAAATGGGATTCCGGGACTAAGACAATGCTCTGCTTTCGACAATGTGAACATCAACCAAATCGGCGGCCAGTCGGGACCTCTAATAAACGATACATTGTCGAGACAAACCCCGGAGGAGAAGCCGGTGATCGTTGAGCCCAAATCACAATCCAAATCCAAGTCCAAATCTTCCCTCAAGCTCCCACAGGTCGCAATAGTCGCCGGAGTAATAATCATCACGATCTCACTCATCAGCTTATGTTTTGTGATCGTTTTCCGATACCGGAGGCAAAAACAGAGGATTGGGAACGTATCCGAGTCTCCTGACAGCCGCCGTTCGAGCAGCGATCAGACCAAGAAGGAATTCCAGAGGGGGAGCAGCATTTCTCCACTAGTGAGCCTGGAGTATCCCAATGGGTTTCATTTACCGGAAGAAAATCAGAATCTCAACAGCTTCATGTTCAATTTAGAAGAGATCGAGTCTGCCACACTCTGTTTCTCTGAAGCGAATCTGTTGGGGAAAGGTAGCTTCTCCTCTGTCTACAGAGGAGTACTGAGAGATGGGTCTGTCGTGGCAATCAGGGTGATCAACATGACAAGCTGCAAGTCGGAGGATTCCGAGTTTGCAAAAGGAATGAGCTTGCTTACTTCCTTGCGGCATGATAACCTGGTCAGGTTGAGAGGATTCTGTTGCTCGAGGGGGAGAGGTGAATGTTACCTGGTTTATGATTTTGCTCCAAGAGGGAAGCTTTCGAAATATCTTGAAGCAGAGGAAGGGAGTGGGTTGGTGCTTGATTGGTCCACTAGGGTTTCCATCATCGATGGCATTGCTAAAGGTACAATTTTTTTTGGTTTTCCTAACAATATTCCTTACATTCAACAATCAATTCGCAACGGCCAATGAATCCCTGCATTTTGTCTCTCTTATTGTTTTGAACAGGCCTTGGTTATCTGCACAGAACAGAAGGAAGCCGGCCAGGGATCATCCACCGGAGCATATCGGTGGCGAAGATTCTGCTCGACCGACAGTTCAACCCGTTGATCGCCGATTCAGGGCTTCCCAAACTTCTAGCAGATGACATCATTTTCTTGACTCTGAAAACAAGTGCAGCAATGGGGTATCTGGCTCCAGAGTACATAACAACTGGAAGCTTCACGGAGAAGAGCGACGTCTACGCATTTGGAGCCATCGTCCTCCAAATCCTCTGTGGAAGAAGCATGCTCCCTACCTCCATGAGGGTGGCCGCTGCTTCATGTCAATACGAAGATTTCATCGACAAAAGCATACAGGGGAAATTCTCGGAGCATGAGGCTGGGAAGCTGGCACGCATTGCTCTTCGTTGCACTCACGAGCTGCCAGAGGAACGGCCAGACATGGAAGCAGTGATTGAAGAGCTGAACAGAGTCCACGAACTTGCTTCTTCTTGATTTGCATCATATTTGTTTGCTGTACCCTTCAATGATCTTGGTGAGAAGAGAAAAAGATGAAAAACAGAGTTTAGCTGATGGATGAAAGATAGTTTCAATGTTTAGATTGGTCATCCATCCACGTTATTATGTAAAGAGTTGTTTGGATTGTGCATTTGTGAAGGTGGATTGTGCACACAATTCCGTTTTTCATACAAATATATCGCTTGGCCATACAAAAGATAGGGTTTGCTGCTGTAACAAAAAGTAAAAACATGATATGATATAAACTTCTACAAAGCTTCTAGATTCTTGGTGAAAGAAAACAACGAGAATAGAGTTTCAGTACAACAATTCTTGGCTAAGCTATGCGCCAACTTTATTTCCATGTAAACAAAGGAATGCAAAACAAGTTTCATCAACAGAGTGCAGAGCAGTATAAAGATTCTTCGTGAGTTCATAAAACAGGAGAGGCAGAGGAGTTTACTAGTCTACATCTTATATGTTAGCATTCTAAGCTACTGCACTCTGTTGATGATGCTCTGGAACCCATTCATGAGGCCACCATTTCGGTCTAAAGCTTCGACCTTCACATCGTTTTGACCCTCTACGGCCAAAGAACCAGATCCTTTGAATGCATCATCCAATCTCAATAGACCGAGCCCTCGGCTACCAATTGCTGTCGTCACGGATCCTATTTTTTTGCCTGATCCGGCGTCCATCACTTGAGAACCAGCAGAAACTCGCTGTTCCACCTCTGGGGAGAAGAAAAAAAACATAGGGATGTAGTAATACATTAGCAGAAAATAGCTATCCAATTGTACTAGAGCAAACCACTGATTAAACATGAGTCTAAACCTTTTCCATCGTCATTAACGAACTTCAAAGGAACCAAGCGTTTACGAATGACCCCTCTGTGGTGTGTCCTGGCCACAAGTTCCTGACCCACATAGCAACCTTTATCAAAGCTTATTGCATTTAATCCCACGAGGTTGAACTCAAGAGGAATCGCCTCGCCTTTGGGTATCTCGGATGAGCCTTCTGCGATTCCATTCTCGATTCTCCATAGTAAGTAGTTTTCCTCATTCGTTTCCTTATCAGCTTCAACCAATGGTGCTGCAGTAGAATCAGCAGTTCTGTCAACTAAGCATCAGGCTGCTCGATATCAATTAACATATGTCCTGATAATACGAAATACTCACGGACTGTATTAGTTGGGAAGATCCCTCTCAAACCAAGGCAATCCAGTCTAGGATCCTTGAACCACTGCCATCCACCATCACTGCCATGTGAAGCTGAAATACCAGCAAGATCAACACCAGATCCCCATCCAAGACTTGCTGTCCCTGGATCTTCTACTTCACTAGATTTCTCGCCGATATCACCCCCGAATCGCTGCCAGCACTGAAAGTCTTCCCCTACATTCTCAATCTCAACCTTAGACCTTAGCCGGTACCTGTAAAATCATTACCACCAAGCATAGCTCCTCAACATCATCATCAATCTACCACCATTTCCACAACACAATGAGGAGCATTCAGAAAGGTTAAAGAACTCTACACCTAACGGAAGAAACTCCCCTACAAAGCACCAAGATAATCCAATGGTGTACAATCACTCCAGAGTAACCAACCCAAAGGGAAAACGGGAGCTGACCTTTTCAATGTTTGCAAGAGCTCATCAAGATCGGAAGCATCTACATCGGCGAACAATTCGGTCGACTCAGTGGATCCCGACCCGGGACCCGAACCCGTCGGGTCAAGCTTCTCAGCCTCCTTTGCGTGCCTGTAGAGAAAGAAATCGTACAGAAACCGGCCCTGGGGAGTCAGCAGCGCGGCGTACATCGGCGGCTCGGAGACGGAGGGCATGTTCGGAGTGGGGACGGTCGAAGTCCGCTCGTGCGGCGGCTCACCGAATTTCCGGACATCGTTGGTGAGCAGACCTTGAAGGAATTTGATGGTGTCGGGGCCGGAGAAGCGGATTACAGATCGAGATTTAAGGAGGGAGGCGAGGGGCCCGGCGGATTTCACGGCGCTGGAGTGGGAGCGGTGGCCGATGGCGGCGACGAAGGGTTTGAAAGAGCCGAACCGGCGCATTTTCTGACGACGTTTTGAACTGTGGGGAGGAAGGGAGGGTGGGGTTTCTGGAGGAAGCGAAAGAGCTGTGAAAGTTAGGCTTTCACAAGCCACGTGGAGGTTCGTCGGTCCGTCGTTTGGAACACGTGGAGCTTTTAGGGACGCCAGCGAGAAATAGACGCCACCTCGGGATACCTCGGTCGACGAAGCGTTTTATCCTTCGTTTTGCGGAAAAATGGGCTTAGACTTATTGAAATTTGTAAATGAATTGGGCTTTGTGCAATTTAAACCCAATTAATTTAATAAATGCCATGGATCTTGACGAAAATGAGCAGGCCCCAGTTCAACTGGACTGGGCCATTTAAACTGGGAGTTGATATTGTCGAGTGGCTTCTGGAATGGGGCCTTGGAAATGGTTGTGCAAAAGACAAATTCTATAGATTAAATTTGTAAGACTTCCAAATTCGAATACTTGCGGGAATATCAACTAATAATCGGTTTCCTAAAAAAAAATCTCAATTTAACAGAAATCATGTATGCAAAAAATAAAAATAAAATATGTATTTTAAACAATATAAGTATAACAACAACTAACAATCTCACAAAAATCAATGGCAACTTTCACTAATAGTCAATGTCGACCGTCTCGCTAATTATCTGCAACCCAATTCACACTTTCAATTTACCCATGCTATTGAAAGTTGGCCTATCAGGAAAATGGATAACCCTCCTTTCAATTCTAACTTGGAATCTATAGATTGAAAATCAACAATAAAATCATTAGATCAACTCCTCATTCACGTTATAGCAAGTGAGAGTTGGTCTTTTTTCTGAAGTCACAGTGTAATTGAGCTACTTTTACATTTGTTGCAGAATGAGCTTGCAAGTGTGTGGCCATACGTATCCAACAACATAAATCCTCTAATTTAAGTGAAAGTGGTGCTTGACATCATAAGTGGAGATTGGAAGTTGTAGAGTAAGAAACCATATAAGGTGGTTAAATTAGGTCACCACTAATATGTCCCATGGCATATACTTGGCCCAGAATTAAAGTAAGAACATAGATATTGCCAGAGTCTTGTATTTCTATTTCCATTTTCCACAACCAGCTGACGTTGCAATTACTTTTTACCAATGAATTCTTCTCGAAAAAATTAGGTAAACTCAAGAGACTACAGAGTGAACAGACAAAACACAAACAATCATTATTATTACCCGGTCCCTTCATTTTTTGCATGCACAAAAAAATTTAGGTAAACATTTGATTGTTTGGTAATGGTGAATTGGTGATTGTTAACATCTAATAGAAAAAAGGAAAATTAAATTTACTTATCATTAATAAGAAGAATTAGAGTGATCAACCGACTTGACTCACTGCGATTGGAATCCTATTTCCTTGTGACCAGCTGACTTCCATTACTACCACAGAAGAGCTAATAGTAAGAGTAGAAATATCAATGATTTATTGATAGGATATTAGTGGGATAAAAAAAAAAGATTAAGTAGGAGCAAGAAAAAATATAAAAAATCAAGATGTAGTGTATATTTGAGTGTGATATGAGAGATTGGATATATCTGTATTTTAGTGATTTTGAAATCTCTAACACTAAAATTCACTATACAAAAAGCAGGAAAAATATAATTTTCTGTCGAATCAATAAATTCACTGAATTCATTATACAAATTCTTTTATCCAAAACGGTCATCAGTACAACTTAAAAAGACCGACCAACGATTCTTATAACTGTTGAATACAGATAGTGCTACGTAATTGTCGAACATAATTTGCAAGTAAATAATAAGTAAATAGTAATAGAGAATTACTAACAATAAGCTACATGACCACTACTTAACTTTGTCAAAAATCATCGAATGCTTTTTTGTTTTTTTGTTTGAGAGAGTGATTAAATCTCATGATTTCGCCCTGAATCAATTAGAATGACAAGTTGGGATTAACATTGATAATTGTTTATACTTAAAAAAAAAACATTGATAATTGTTTAAGGCGGGTGGTTTTAATTTCAATATATGCTGACGGTCTAGCTTGGTTGTGATTATCATTATGGTGTGCTTCTACTTTAAATGTCAACTCTTGTGTCTGTCTCGACCTATAAATTACTTCCACCGCCCCTTAATTAAAAAATTAATCCTCCATTCATTTATCAATATTTGCAATTGGGAAACGTTGGCTACGTATGTCATCTTATGATGTTAAACAAAGAGGTTGATATTGATACACAATACAATATTTTTTTTAATCCTAAAACTATTAATTGAAGAACATAGGGAAAGCGTAGAAACAGTGAAATTATGATTCTCTTATTCCCAACGTAAACAACCAAATGAACAGGAAGCAGATTATACATATATGTTCAACGATTTCTTAAGAACAAGTGAGTCCGCTGATTGGTTAGAGTAAAATATCATATATCAAAAAATTTATCATTATATTATAATCAAATTCCCTCTCTTCTCGAGAATCCATACATCTCTTATAAGTGTATGGATTGTTATCTCTCGAGCGTAGGTTTATGTTCGATCTCAATGGGTAAATAAAATGGAGCACCAAACAACGTATCTTCACAGAACAAGAACTAAGAGATCGCTCGTTTGCATTATGAAGCAACGGACAATTGCTCTTCCTTTTTGTTTTTCTTTATGTAAGGGTCACTACAAGAAAATTGACTTTTAGCAGCTAAGCTTATTTGCCACAGTAAGTGATTTATGTGCCTCAATAGCCTAATAGCGGGCACATACATGTGTGTCACCAATACTGTTGCCGCTAATTCTCTTTAGAGGCAAATGTTAGCGACAAATATCATTTTTCGCTAGTTGATAAATTTGCGACTCATAATTTTGCTGCTAATTTCAGTTTTGAAATACTATTCTATTGTCACGTCTTCTAGCTTTAGTGACACACCAATATGCCGCTAATGATATTTTAGGTGGAAATAGTGGTTCTTTTTTATTTATGATTAATAGTGTATTTCATATACATTGTAATTTTTAAAGGCATATAACATATTAGTCGTATATAATATATTTTTAGAGAAAAATACTTTATTTGCCGCAAAGATTAGCTGCTAAAACCTATTTTTCTTGTAGTGATGATCATGGGGTTTCGTACTTAACATCATTAATTAAAAGGAAACTCATGTTCTGACTTTTTGGTTAAGACCAAGTATAATTGATAGATGCAAGTGGGTAGACACAAATTAATGATGTAATCATGCAAGTTAATCTTTGAAGAAACAAAAAAAAAAAAAGAAGTAGCTAGCTAGCTAGCTAGTGGCATCTTCATTGGAAATCCGTACCGTTCCGGGGTTCAGTTCTCTCGTCATTAGGGCGACTTTAGCAACAATGGCGTTGACAAACGAGGGCAACGGTAGTTGTACGTTTGTACCACTCCAGTCTTACGGATGGATTATTGCTGATTTGCTGTTATATCTTTCAGCATCTGCCATTGACAAAACACTGAGGTTATACGACAAAAATAGTCGGTTATACATATATGCAATATTTTAGCGAACTGCTTGCTTTGACAATGAGGTTTTTGTGTTCGTATATGTTAAACTACGGAAGCCAAACTCAGCTTGAGAAGTTCCAAACTTATCCATTAGTGTATTATGTATAGGATGAGCAGGTGGGTGGTTCAATTGTGGTTTGATCGTGAATATCCTGGATTGTTGTGAGTGAGTGATCATTGATGTGTGTGAGTGGATCGTGGATCGATATATTTCATACTCGTACCTATTTTAGTGGATGGTGTGTGGTTTGCGAGTTACTGAGTAACCCACACCCCGCTTTCATATGACATAGGGTTATTTCTTTGTAATAGTACTATCGAAGGGGCATAATATATCTAACCGCACTCCATATTGATCATTGACTTCTAAAGGTGGAAAACACAGAATACCTTTGGACTAATGGTGTTGGTTATCATGTTGTAAAATGTCGATTGCGGATTACAAACAGTTTATTGTAACAAATTAAAGGGGCCAAAAGCGTCATTTTTCTCTACCGTTGGTTAATGGTATGGTAAGGAATTGATACATTTACAAAAGACGTGAATTCCTGTGTGCGTAAAGAGTCGTTGTCTCTGCGGATCCGTGGTTGATGACTTTCATTTTTCTTTCAATGTTTACTTCATCGAAAGTGACCGGCCAAATGAATGTTGGTATGAGAATTGGAAACTTTGCACGTCATAAAATGTAGTAAAAATCAGTGGTTAAAATCTAAGGTTGGGGACAGAATAGTAATTTGACACTAGAAAGAAAGTCGACTAACGAAGGAGATAAGAGTTATGATGATAAGAGGTATAGATTCACCAAATCCATACGGGACAAGGTCTCAATCAGCCGTCCCTTTTCTTCTTCTCGTGTTGAAATTAATTAGAATGAGAAAATAGCGGTCATCATGATTAATTAGGTATTAACAAACTTATTATGGATTAAATTCTCAGCCTTAGCAAATCAACCCCGCATTAATTAATTAACCGAGAGATCGAATAATGTACGTACGCAATAGCTCAGTAAGCTAGCTTTTAGCTAGTTGCTTAAATATCTGTAATAGTATATAAACTATATACACATTAGTTTTCAAAGTAGCTAGTGGCTGTAACCAATATTCTAACCAGCACTTAATTATGTGAATGACATTACTGATTAAGCACCATTAGTACCATTGCAATGCAAGTTGACCTCTTCGTTCTTTAAGCCAGAGAGATCTATCTTAGAGTATTGGAAGGTGATAGGAGGAGACTTTTTAGTTGGGATGTTGATTGACATCTCTCTAGTCACACACATATACACTAAGATTAGGAGTGCACATGGGTCGGTTAGTTTGGGTTTAACCATTTTAATCACCTGACCCATGCACTACAGTTTGGGAATTATCAAACCCAAACCCACCCAAAAATATTTAAACCCTACGGTTTGTTTCTAATTGGGTTGGGTCAGGTTGGCGATATTTTTAAGTAAAAACCCAACCCAACATAAAATATATAATTATTATACATCATAAAAATATTCTATAACTAATTAAAATTTCAAACGAATAAACCGAGGTGAAATGTATCAAAATTCACAAATGCTATGAATTTTAATAAAATGTGATTTACTTCAACATATGTCTATTTTTTTTCACGATATTTGTTGAAATAGGCTAAAAAGTTTATAAACAAACGCATCCATAATATATTATTCTATTAAAGTTATACACAAGAAAAAAGATTACGTGAATCATAACTATATTCAATTTATGTCTAAACTTTAAGTCGAAGAAGGCATTAGATTAGGGAGACCATGATAGGAAAACATGGCGAAATATCTTAATTTTCTCCTAAGTATGGCTATATACGACATAAATATTTTTATATACGAACTCATACTAATAGTTGGAACACGGGTTGGGTCGGGTTCTACGGGTTGTGTAATCCAAAATCCAAACCCAACCCAAAAGAGGCGGGTTGTACAAAAGAAAACTCTCATCCAACCCAAAATCTTCATTTTAGCGATAAATACGGGTGGCTTGGGTCGGATTGGACGGGTGGGTCGGTTTGCAGGTGTGTTTGTTCACCCCTATACAATAGGACAAAACCCTTGAAAAATATATGTATAGAGAACAACATTTATATTAAACCAATAGAGCAACAAACACGAAAAGTTATGTTTGCATCGTGGGTCAATCAACTGATTTTTACTAAATTGAGTTATTCCATACAATGAATACGATAAAAACATGAACAAAAACTAGAGCATTAACAAGGAAAAGATTGTGAAAAATTCTTTGTCTCTTTGTTTGTGGTGGAATATTCTTTTATAATGAATAACTTATATTTGTAGTCGTCGCATTGATAGTTTCACAAACAGGCTAAATTCTGAATTACTGACTATCGATCGAGTTATTAATAAATGGTCGGACGTGTGATACCCAAACAGAGCACCAACTGTCTAAAGAAGGGTTGAACACACAATCTCTGGTGTGGTCATCCACTTCTTTCGTTGTGGAAATATATTTAGGTGTAATCCCTAATGAATTTTTGGTTAGGGTAAGAGGAAATCGTATCTCAATTAGCGGTGAGATGACCGACCAATCAGAGGTATTAGGAATCTAATCAACTAGGATAATTAATCAACAACATGTGACCCAATTGGGACTTAAATATTCATAAAAAAAAAAAGAATTGGACTTAAATATAGTTGGCGGCTGGCTGCTGCCCGGCTGCTGCTTTCTAGGGTTTGGTTAGTTTTATAATCATAAGAAGTTAAGCAGTGATGGCAACGAATCGGGTCTGTTTTGATAGTGCATATTTATTCGCTGCTAAGAAGTTTGGCTTTTATTCATATTTATATACACATAAGAATCGAGTAAACAAATTAAATCATGTTCAAATTTTTATCGAGTTTTGCATATCCATAGTTATCCATTTTTTTCATAATTTCAACAGACATGTTATTAATTATATGTATATGTTGACATTACATAAGTGAAAGTTAATTATAACAATAAATTACCAGAACAAAGAAAATTAGTGGAAGATAACACGGTTTCATGAAAATTTTATATATGTATAGAAAATATCAAATTTTATGAGAAAAATAAAGACCATTTCTAGATAAAAATACATACACTTATGTATAATCAGGCGGGTTCGGGTTGAATCGTGAGAAAATCATGCCCACCAATTATACTCAACACTCGTATTCAGGTTTTGCCCCATATCCACAAAAAATGCTTCGGGTTTAAGTTTTACCCTACCCGATTATATCAGATTCGGATGGATATCCACGAATAGGAATAGTCATTCATAAAGTTAGCATGATACTAATTAGGAATCACAATAGTACAATCATAGTTGTAGTGAATATATTTGCGATTTGCCATCATTTTTTATACAATTGTTGCATTACACTTTCGACACATAATACTACAACCTATTTTTGTTAATATAAACCGTAGCACTACTGCAGCCTGCAGCATCTCTAAGCATGGCCGTCTCATCTAATTAAAAGTTAAAATTCGTAGGATTAATGTATTTATTTAGCTATATCTATATATTATACTAAACCACCAAAATATGTGTTGTCTGACTCTGATCGTACCGCGTCTCAAAATACGGATCCGCTGACCCTAACCCTAACCCTAACCCCATTCCCATTTCTTTCCCTCTCTCGTTTGTTCCTCACGTTCTCTTCTCTTCTATTCATCATTCTCCTTCTACATGCATTATCGCCCGTCAATCGTAATACTCTGGTTACTTTACTGGTGTGATTATAAATTATATAAATCAAACTAACCAAGCAAGAGGGGAGTTAATGGGTTAATTTGTAGGATCGTGTGGAGCATATATGCCCACATTGAGGGTGTTTTTGATAGATTGAGAAGTGGATATGGGTGAGGTTGACGGTGATTTAACACCAACTTGTCATTTTTAACCATCGACTTATGGTAGCCAGATGGATGGAATGGACTAAACCAAGAAAGCTGATTGTTTAAGAATCACAATAGAAAAAGAGTTACTTCCGTGCAAGAATTAGGATATATAGCCATTTGGGAGATTTATCCACCGAAAAATAAAGTTTTCTAACATGGCGAATCCCACGTTCACAAAGCACGTGAGATATTCATGATTTATTAGTAAGAAACCGACCTTAACTGACAATACGTGTTTTGGGGTGGAATGGAGAGCTCTGAACTCAAACGTGCTCAATACAGAGCACGACAAATATTGATAACCATATGAGAAGTCACCTTAATATACATCTCAAGACAATTCGTGAGGGTCTGGGTCCAAAACGGACAGGAATAATGATATGATTAAAGTTTATTACAAATTAACCTTGTTGGTAAATGAAAAAACTACCGTGCAGTCGGTGCAGATAGCTAGCAGAAACGGTAGTTGACATTATATAGGCAACCAAATTTAGAAACAAGAGCTTCAAAACTATGGGCTCTGAATTCAGTTGGAAAGGGAAAAGAAAGGAAGAAGAATTCAAGAATTGACTGGGCAACAACATCTGGAACCAAAAAGCAGTTCTACTTTTCTGGTCTGAATTCAATTTTTTTTTTTCAGGGAAGAAGAAGTCAAGCCAAGGGTCCTAACCTAACTAACACATGGTATATCCAATTCTCATAATCGTCCATTTTCCTCATCATTTTTTACTTATTGAAGATTTGTCACCAGTAGGACTGCAAACAAGTTGTTTACGAATTATTCGACAATTGGGTGAGAGAAAATTCGCTAGGAATTCGAGTTGTTTAATAAACAAGTTGATCAGTTTCAGGTAAGTCTTGTTTAGTCCGTGAATCTCGCGAGTTTGCTCGACTTGGTGACTTGTTGAACACGAATTTTGAGGTGGCTCGTTTTGAGCTCATCATATAGTGTTTAGTAAGTCAACTCGACTATCGACTTATAAGGGAATTGATCTGTATCTGATGTATTGGTTTGTTGATACCTCATAGGTTTGTAAAATTATACATCTAACCCCCTTATGATGCTTAAGATTCTGAGCATCCCTTATGATGCTTAAGATTTTGAGCATGTGAGCAAATATGTCTCGATTATAATTTAAAAGAGGAATTATGTTTCATAGATTAGGTATATACGAATTACTATGAAATAAGATAATATGAAATAGTTGACATTTATGAACTAAATAATATAATACAAATATAGAGAAATTTTAATTTACAATGCTATATAGTATTGGTGCTATAGGGTTTTGCCTTTATGGTACAACTTAAAATTGTATATTTACGTTATGGTACAACTTCGAATTGTACCTATACTTTTTGTACAAATTCTTTTATGGTACAACTTGAACTTGTACCTTTATGTGACGGTACAACTTTAAGTTGTAAAGTTGTACCATAACATAATGGTACAAATTACTTTATGGTACAACCTAAACTTATACATTTAATGTTATGGTACAACTTTAAGTTGTACATTAAAATATCAATACTATATAGCATAGTAGAAGTGCTCGACAAATATAAACATAGAATGAGTTAATGATGAAAAATTGACTATATTATTGTATTAGAATTATAATTATTTTAGAAATTAGTTTAAAAGTTCAGCTATATTATAATTTACAAGTATCATACATAATATACAAATATCGATTGATTAACCGAAACATATTTGGTGCATTGCACTCACAACTCGGATGAATCTGTAAATTTTTCAAATGGTTTCCAAACACACTGTTAACTACTCATAACAATTTTCTTAAAAAAAAACTACTCATAAGTCATAACAATAACAAATATTTTGCATGCACATGAAATTCAATACATGATAAGAGAACATAGTTCATCAACATTTACCCCCGGTCGTTTTCAAGTGACCGATTTCAACTGCTGGTATATATTTGCAGAGGAATCTCATTTCACACTTCGAATTTAGAAAAAAACTCTAAAATATGATGGGATAAAATTTGATCAAGCGGGCAGAAAATGGTGAAAAATGAAGAAGTGGATAGCAGTTGGCAGATAAGAGTTTTTTCCTTTCTTGTTCAGCAATACAAGGAATAGTCATAAATAGAAGCCAAAAGAAAAGAAGGCGGGTAAAAATGGGTTATGGCGCCATGAATGAATTGACTAATATCCCCGTAACAGTCCCAATCCCCAAAACACGTATTTGCTTCTGTAATGTAAAATCCCCCTTTCCTCTTTCCTTTCCGTGCTGCCTCAATGTCAACGGTCTAATTAATACTACCAATACCACCCCTTCTCTCTCTCTTCCTCTTTCCTTTATATAAAGCCAGAGTTGCAGAGCTAGGCCCCCTCCATTCATAACTTGCTCCCAAAGCTAGCAAAACCCCCATTGATAACCAGAAGAAGAAGATCAGCTGAAGAACCAGAGGAAGAAGATTAAGAAGAAACGAAGGAGAAAGGAAATGAAGCTGATATGGTCCCCTGAATTGGCTACAAAAGCCTACCTCGATACTGTTAAAGCAGTAAGCCAGCCAGATTACTTTCTGTAAGACTGGATGAATAATTGTGTTTTAGGTTTTTTTTCCCCCTCCGATTCTGATTTCGCCTTCTTCTGGATGGCGATTTTTAATTCCTGGTTTTTTTTGGGTTTTGACAGTGTGGGATTAGTCAGGAATCCGGCGTAGCAGAGCTGGTTTCAGCTATGGCGGCGGGCTGGAACGCGAAATTCATCGTGGAGACGTGGTCCCACGGCGGGCCTGTGGCGACCAGCATCGGGCTCGCGGTCGCCAGCCGCCACTCCGGCGGCCGCCACGTGTGCGTGGTCCCCGACGAGGATTCCAGATCGGAGTATATGCGAGCCCTGCGTCAGGCGGCGGCGGCTGGCGGTGGGAATTCGATTGATGTTCCGGCGGGCGATCAGGTCGTGGTCGGGGAGCCGGAGGAGGTGATGCGTGGGCTGGCCGGGATCGATTTCCTGGTGGTGGATTCGCGGCGGAAGGACTTCGCTAGGGTTTTGAGGGCGGCGAGGCTCAGCGGCAGGGGAGCGGTGCTGGTTTGCAAGAACGCTGGCTCGAAGCAGTCGGCGAGCTTTCGGTGGCGGAGCGTGATGGACGGCGGGTCGACCCGGCGGTTGGTCCGGTCGGTTTATCTGCCGGTTGGGAGGGGGCTGGATATTGCACACGTGGCGACCAGCGGGGCGGGTAATTCTACCGGCGGCGGCGGGCAGGGTAAAGGGCAGAGCCGGTGGATCAAGCATGTGGATAGAGAGTCAGGGGAGCTTCATGTTATCAGAAAGTGAAGAAGTTGGGGACTTCTTTTTATGAACTCGGTAAAAAGAAAAAGTTACTGCTTGGAGTATGTACAGAAGTCGTGGTTAGCGAAGATTACCGTAATTTCTTTCGTTTTTTTACCGTTAGTTGAATTTTGCTGACCATAATCAAGTTGGCTTTGTAAATTACAGTTTTAAATTTGGGGACTAACTATGAATGAGGAGTAGTCGGCGAAACAAAAGTTGGTGATCAACTGATCATAATCCAGTTGGCTTTGTACGATGCATTTTGCTGACCATAATCAAGTTAGCCTTTTACCATTAGGTGCATTTTGTTTTATTCCCTTTTGTCTCATGGATCAATTTGAAAGAGCTTCCAACTTTTGAGAGGCCTTTGCTAGAGGGAGTAATTCTCTTTCTATATTGGGATATTGGAGGTGCGGAAAGGCACTCGATTGAGATTGATTCTTCTTCTTCATAGTGGAAGTGGACTGAGTCTTCGTCTCGAATGGTCGAATGTCTAGCCTCCCACCTTTTATAGAGTTGCATTGGGACACGTGAACATAATACTTACATCTACTTGGTAATTGAATTGAAAAGATACATCTTGTATTCTTAAAATCGCTTGATTGAATGAATTCACGACGGTGTTGAAGGGTTAAGATTGCACTTTTCAACATAATGACTTTAATGGACGATTATAAAAAGGAGTACTAGAAACTGATTAAAAGTATATTTGATGATAGAATATAAATAACCACAAGAACTCAAGTCTTTTGCTTGTTGAGTTTTGAAAAACTCTATATTCATGATATTTATTTATTTATTGTGGATTAAAAAACATTATTGTTTACTAGTTGAATTCAATGATGAATTTGATTAATGGATGGGAAACACAAATTTACATGTTTGTGGATCTTTCGAATTTGAAATCTCCAAATCCACGTACCCTCAAATATGATACTCGACAATCTATAATGAATTGAATTTGGGCTAAATCCATCCTCCAAATCAACAAACAACCCAATCTAAGGTGAAAGTGATAACTTAATTAGACTATTGTGATTAAGGCTGCAAATGAGTCGAGCTATTCACGAACGGTTCGACGCTTGACTCGGGAAAAACTCGTTCGAAACTCGATTCGTTTACTAACGAAGCGAACTTGAGCTATGCATTCTGTAGCTCGCGAAGCTCGCAAGCTAGCTCGACTCAATGGCTTGTTGAGCTCAACTGCTCGTTTAGAGCTCATGTGGTGTCTCAACTCACAACCTTGTGGTTAGAGAGTCAACTCGATTACCGACTTATTAGCAAATTGATCTATATGTTGACTTTGATAATTCATATAATTATTAAATTATATATCTCACCCTATATGAAGTTTAACTGGTAGATATACGTAGGGGTGGTAAACGGTAATTCGGTAAACGGTAGCCGAGCGGGAAGTTGGGGGAGTCGGTTTACCGAACACGGTATCGGTAAATACCGACGGTAAATCGGTATTACCGATACCGAATCCCCCCTCCCTACTCCCTAGTGCTACACTGCGTTTTGTTGCTTTACCACAAAAAATATAAAGTATTACATGCATGAATGTAAGTGTAGGCCTCAAAAATATTGTAAATAAGAGTTAATAATAAATTATTAATTACAAAAATGATGAAAAAAACTCAAAAAAATCAAAATATTACAACATCACCTCACTTCCAGAAATTCGGTTCGGTAAATATTCGGTAAACCGACCGAAAAACCGCCCGAAATCGCTTCTCACGGTATTTTGGTAATACCGGGTTGTAACCGTTTACCGGTAATTCGGTAATCGGTAAACCGGTTACAAACCGGTATCGGTAATCGGTAACCAATTTGGCCAACTTCGGTATACCGAAACCGGTAAATTCGGTAAACGGTAAATTGTTTACCGACCGAATCCCACCCCTAGATATACGTAGATATATGAAGGTGCAAAGTGGTAACTTAATTAGACTATCTACACATAATATAATACACCGAAGGGAAAAACGGGAGCCCCATTTCAAATTTCCTGCAATGAGAGTGAAAGTAGGAAGGACATTTTGGTCTTCACAATTACTTTTTTTTATTCATTAAAAAGATACATACTGGGATTCGAAACATGACCATTTTAAAGAAAGGCAAAAATCATAACCAATCACACTAAATACATTTGTTGTATCTTTTTAAATTAAAAACATATAATAGCAGGGTGGGAAAAACTCTTCCCCTATTTCAAATTTCCTATTCCAGGAGCGTTTGTAGGAATGGTGGAATAGGGAGTGTCAATTTTTTTCTCTTTCCTCTGTGGAACGGGCCAACTTACCGTACACATGCGGATTTAAACGGGTCCAGGAGTGTCAATTTTTTTCTTTATACCCTTTTATTTCTCCGTGGTGATAAAATATATATGAAAAGGCAAAAATAATACTCCTTTTTATTATTAAAAATAAAAATTTAACAATAAACTAATGCATGGTATCTAATGGGCTAACCGCTAACCATAAAACAAAAGAGTTGAATGAGCCTGACCTACATGGGATTTGGTCATCAAGTAAAACAAATGAACATCATTGGTTTGCCATTCTAAAACAAGCTATTTTCTCTGACATAATATATATTATGCTATTATTTTATATCTTAGTGGCTAAAATATAATGTATTTTAAAGTTATTCAATGGTTCAACCTCGACCAACCCAATTAGTCCAATTTTTATCATTTCAAATATATATTTTATAATTATTTGACATCATAATGATCAAATTATAGTGTATTTTATAGGGAATCGTTTGGTATTTGTTAGTAAAAAACTAAACATAAAGATCTATTTGGTTATTTTAAACATTAAAACGATCCTAAACATTTTCAGTTCCTTTTGAATTTATATGGTTTTATTCCCAAATAAGTCATGTGCAAATGGCGAATTGTAGTCGTCTCTTTTCTTTCACTATTTTTTATTTTCAAATAGAAAGTTTAAAAGTAAAGAATAATTAGAATTTGGCATGGGTCGGTCAAACAGGTTGAATTTCAAGTTTTGGCCTGTTTGTTTTATGCATTGCAAATTTATTAGCATGTTGATGGAAATGGCTTGGAAAAAAGACATATAAGTTGTACCTTTGCAGAAATGTCCTCAAATGTTTGAATGCTTTGTGAATCAGGTTCTGTGACTTTTGTGATGGTGTATGTGCTTGACGATTGCTCGATGTTGTAACTACTTAATTTGAGAGTAAATCTTTTGATTTTCCCTATGAGTTGTGATACCAGTTCTGGTGGTTGCAGCATGTTGTCGTTGTTGGACTGTAAAAGTTGTTCCGTCGTGATGATAAATACCTTTCTTTCTTTTTTAACAAATTGTGTAGTAGTGCTATGAAACAGACCACCCATGAACGCTACGCTTATTATGGTCTGTTCTTACTTCCGGTGGTGAGAAATTGTGAATTGAGAATCATATTCGCCTACCGCACTGTGTCTGGTTGGTGGCTGCTTACTATGCTCTCTAGAGTTATGAAACAGACTACCCATGAACGTTACCCTTAAGAGTCCATAACTTTGCGAAAAACCAAATTTAGGCAATCAAAGGTGGTGGATGTTTGATGATTTTTTATGGCTTAATTGTTTGTGAATTGGATATCTGATCTTTGTATGATTAGAGGGGATGTTTGCTTAATAGAATAATCCATTTTAATTCATATTTATTTTTAACATGAACTTTAGTAACTCAAAACCTTCGAGACACATATCACCTACTGCATTGTATCATTTTGCCTGGGTGCTTGCTGTGTTGTCAAACTTCTTTGCTGCTGCTGCATTTACACTAACAGGGGAGTTAAGAACCCATGAATGTTTCCGTTTGACACAAACAAGAGGACTTACTTCTAAATCGTGCACTAAAGATGATTGGAGGAAACATCTCTGTTGCAGTTGATACACTGGAGACCAGAACAAAAGCAACGTATAACATCAAAACCAACCATCTGAACTATTAGCATTGTTGGTTTACTCTTTTTTCGTGGTTGAGTATCCTTCAAAAAATTTAGTTTGATTTTAGAAAATTTTGTTTCTGCAGTCCTGTCTTGCCACCAACGCGTTCAATAGATGGAGATGGCAGAGGCGAAGGCTATTTTTGTGTTGTTGTTGCTGGTTTAGGGATCGGTTTGTGAAGAAGAGGGAGAAGAGAGGGGGAAAGGGAAATGCATGAGAGGGGGATAACTCTTTTCTCCGACAAAAATGGAGTGAAGAAAGGAATTATGATCAGTAAGGATATGGTTATCTTACATAACTGTGTCTATTCTGTTTGAATTGAGCTTGGGAGGTAGTGATAAGGACGAGCTGCAACCAATTCATAGTGATAAGAGTGCTATGAACTGTGATCATGTATTATTTCAAGTTAGAAGGTAGTTTCAGTATAAGGATTATTTAATTTGACAAGTTGTTTCGTCCATGATTTTTGGTAGTTTCAGTGCCATTCTAGCCATTGTTTAGTCTGTAATTTTTGAGAATTGATGTGCGAGTAATGACTTTCACTTAGCTTCAACTATTATGTGTGTATTTATTGGCATGTGATAGAATTCTCTTTTCCTTTTCTTTGATATCAGTTTCATACTCTAATTGTATCATTTGTACATAGGCAAATCATGCTCGAGATGACAACTCGCCGATATGGCTGGTGCAAGGAATGAAGCCATCATTAAAATTCAGACCGACAACGGGGAGGGATGCCTAGGACTAATTCAACGATGATTGATGATGGTATGATAAAAACTGCAGTCTGCATCAGCACCAATTTCTAGGACTAAGTAAAGTTATTCAACCCAGAACTCTGCTTAGCGCTAAAAATTGCCCTCACCCAACATTGATCCTGTTTGACCCACCTCTGAAGAGTCAAGATATATTACTAATTCTCTCTGTTCGTATTTTCTTATTGACTCTTTCTTACCATTTAGGTTGGGGCGGGTCGGGAAGAATCAGATTAGTGGGTCGGTCCTAATCAAGTGGAATCACAATCCCTTCACTCTCACTTACTTTCTCTCCCATTCCACAAGTGGGTAACATACAGTAATCCGGCCAACGGGCCGGGTAACAGGGTAACAAGCTAGTTGCAATATATCGACTATAGGGTTTGCAAGCCAGCACTCTGAAGGATCGGCCAAAGCAGCGAATGGGAAGGTCCAACTGGAAGAAACCCTAAAGCTGTATTTAACCCTGAAGGTTCCTCCTCTGCCTCTTCCTTTTTTTCTATTCGTTTCCCCTCACGTCAGTGGCCATATTCAATCTCGCCGCTGCGCCGTCGCTATTGTCCTTCCCTGCCTCCGCCTTCCTAGTTCTGTCTATTCAGAGACCCGCTCTTCTTCTCTCCGCCATTCTGCCTCACCTATCTGACATTAGCGTCTTCAGTGTGAGCACCCCTACGTCAGACTTGTGCTTCTGGGTTTTCTTGTGGTTTACGTCTCCTCACATTTGCTTCTATGTCTGTGTTCTGCTCGGAGTTTCTGTGGTTTGTGTTGAAATTTCATTGTAGTTGGGTATAGAAGGTGGCTGATTCATTTCTCTGGGGTTTGCTATTTCTGAATTTTCAAGAAAGGAAGCATTTTGACGACTAACAGAAGCAGTATCTAGTCAAATGATTATACTAGTAGGACTAGGACCAGTTTTGTGGTTTCCCATTAGGGTTAAATATCTTGTTATTTTTGCTGGTCTTGGGAAGTAATTTTGGGACTCTGGTGTTCTTGCTATTTTGATTTCTTCTTTAATTGGTAACTAGCTAGGAGATGATCTGGGCATGCCTTGTTCTCATGGCGAAATCGATCAGGCTAATATGCTATAAGGATGGGTGTTTAGGATTGCTACTGTTGTGGTTTCTTGTAATTTCTGTTTCCCTTGCACTGATCCTCTGGTTGTGATGATCATAGCCTTCCAGTGTTGTGGTTGACATTCTGCTTCGGGTTCACCTCGTGTCTTTGTTTAATCTGATCATCTACCTTACTGTGAAGTGTGTTGTACATAGAACTTTGGCGCTGCTTACTTGTTTTACTCGTCCTGGAAAATGATGGACTGTGAGATAGCTGATGATGGAGAGGTCTACATCGACGATGCTGACATAATCACTGAGACCACCCTTGATGATGAAGGTACTGCTTTGTTTCCCAATGTCTGTTGCTATAACCTGTCTTTTACTCTGCTTTCTTACGGGATCATGAATTATCTGCTTGCAGATCTTCCTGATGGCAGTGATGAAGACGACGAGTATGATGAACAGGCTGACTTTGATGGTATTGTTTTTGTGATGATTCGAATATTGTGGTTATAATGTTTCTTTAACTCTAAACTAAAACCCATACTCTGATTTCTTTATCAGAGGACCTGGGCGATTCAATATACAAATTTACTGGCCATACATGTAAGGGATATTGCTGTTGAGTTAAACTAGCAAATAGTCAACTGTTCTGCAACCCCTCCTTGGTTGATTTTATGGCTTCTGTGATGCAATGTTTATTGTTTAGTACCTTTGGTGTGTAGCTGGAGTATTTGCTCTTGCATGCAGCCCGACAAATCCTTTGTTGGTAGCAACCGGAGGTGGTGATGACCGAGGATTTCTTTGGAAGATAGGACAGGGAGATTGGGTTGCTGAACTTGGAGGTATTTACAATATGCATGAATCGCTTATTAACTTTGACTGGTGTTCTCTCTTGGTTCATTCTTCTGGGAGTCGTCAAATCATAGTGTATGCATTTACATGCTCTTTATTGAACTTTTCTTTTTGTAATTCATTCAAGGTCATAAGGAAACTGTCACTAGCTTAGCATTTAGTAGCGACGGACAGTTTCTTGCTTCTGGGGGACTTGATTCTGTTGTTAATGTCTGGGATGCATCTGGAAATTTCAAATGTAAGCTTGAAGTACCTGTCCCGACTGGGGGCTTTGAGGTGCGACAGTTCTGTATCCCTGATCGATCGTATTCTGCATATTAATATGTGATCTAGAGATCCTGATTATGTAACTTATATTCACAGTTGATCAGTTGGCATCCTACAGATCATGTAGTCTTGGCTGGTTCAAATGATTTCTCTGCTAGGATGTGGGGACTCAACACAGGTGCTTTCACTGAATTGTCTGGCCACAGGGGAAGTACCTGTGGAGATTTCACACCTGATGGTATTGGGATGTTCTTCAACTTTGTTGTTGGTTTATTTCTAAGACAACTTTCCATACATCTTTACATTAGCTGCATTTCTGAAATATTATTCCTTTCATTTGACTGATGAAGGCAAAACCATATGCATCGGTTCCAGTGATTCGACTTTGAGAATATGGACGTCAGAAACTGGGGATCCTATATATGTTGTAGGAGGTAACATATGCGAATTCTTCAGAACGCTATTTCAGTTTGCTTGCATGTTGGTCTCTTGTACTAGGACAGGCATACTGAAACTCAATTCTTTTACAAGTCAATATCCAATGATAGACATAATTGAGTGCTAGTTTAGTTAACAGCCGCAGTGGTCAATTGATTTGAATGCAAGGGGTCTTGTTGCGCTTTATCTGTAACCTCTTTTCAAAGGTACCAGTTAGTTCTGGTTTGCTTACTTCTTTGAGGATGATTTTTGACTTGCTTGCATAATTTTTTTTGGTTGCAAGGCCATCCCTATCACAGTAAAGGACTAACTTGCTTAGCCATCACCTCTGATTCACGTTGTGCTCTGACTGGTTCTGAGGATGCTTCTGTGAAAATTGTGAACATTAAGACTGGAAAGGTTTGGAAATTTTTGTCATGCCTAACATTATTTGTCATCCCCCCTGTTAGTGCAAAATACTTGACCTGTTTCAACATTGTTTAAGAACAGGTGGTCGGTACGTTATCGCCTGGTCACTCAAAAACAGTTAATTGCATCGGTTTGTCACGTTCACCAAGGTATGGCCAATGGAAAGCTAGCTTCACACTCTGTCCCTGTGTATTGTTCGTGTTCCCCTCAATGCATGGTTCTCTCTTCTAATCCAACATCCTCCTGAATGCAACGATATCCATGATCAGCTTCTTCCCTTGTGCGGCGACTGGGGGCGAAGATGAGAGACTTGTTATCTGGGATCTTGAACGTTCATCTCCTCGCAGCATATGCAACCTTGAGGTCTGCTTATACGTTACCTTTTATCGTTACATTTTGTTTGCGATGTTGTGACCTGTGTATATCTGCTTCGTAAAACCACCAGTTGTAACTGGAAGGAGGGTTTTTTGTTGATGCAGAGTGAAGTGACGTGCTTGACATGGATAGGCACGTCGAGGTATGTGGCTGCTGGATGGGGATATAGTGATATGGGACGGTCTGTCTGGAGACAAGGTGAAGACATTTAGGGGGCATAGCGAATGCATAGAGTCTTTGTCCGTGAGCTGTAATCAAGATTTTCTGGTTTCGGCGTCAGCGTCGGCCTCAGGAGATGGTACTGGTAGTCATGGTACTGCCAGAGTCTTTGAGATTGCAGGATTCAGATAACAAGAAGCGTCTCCATTTCCCCCAATATTTAAGAACAGGATTGATAGTAGTAGTTTTTTCCCACTCTAGATTTGCTGCATTCTGAGGGATTCACTGAAGGTTATTTGGGAATTTGCCCAGTTTTCTGTTATTTTCCTAATAATTTTATGTTTTACATCTTTGGAGCCTGGAGGTCCGCCATACTTGACTAGTAGGAGGTGTCAAGCTCGGGGGGTCTTGATGACTAGAGTGTTCTTGCTTGTGATGGCTTCATTGACTAGCCATCATGCTTGACACCTAGGAAGATTATTATTCAATTTAAATCAATTTATTTAACTAACCATTCCCATTGGTATCTCTTCCAAAACGTGTTTCAATTTTGTATTCGATTATTGAGAAAATTATAGGTTTTCAAGCAATTGATTCGGATTCACTAATCAACGCGAAGGATACGTCACACGCTCTAGATGACGCTCTTTTGTTTGAGGTTCAAGTACTTCGCACTTCTCTTTAGTGTGCGTCATTTCATTTTGCATCACGAAATGTATAATGGAGCTGTTCATGTCATGATAAAAAAAACTTTTTTTCCGTTGGATCGTCTCTTGTTCGGGAATGAAAGAGAGGGGAAAAGCCGACGGGGTCAGAAACCAACGACAACTGCATGGTTAATTACGGCCCCAAGATACAAGGTGGTCGCACTTGAGCAACAGAAACAAGAAGAGAGGAAAGGAGGAGAGTAATAGGAATTTTAAAATTGTAGTAAAACTGTAAAATAATGAAGAAAAAAAGTCACTCCCATTCTACATGGTCAAAAGTCAAAACACATTGTCCAAACTACAGATCTCAACAAAAACATTAATTGAGAATGCACAATGTCTATTTGGAACAATATACCCAGTTACCTACAAGTGCTGCTTCACTGCAATTGAACGATTTTCGTGACAGAATGTGGAAACTGGAAGATGTAGGGGAGAAGAACAGAATCAACAAAGATGTTTTACCTACAAGTGCTGCTTCACTGCAATTGAACGATTTTCGTGACAGAATGTGGAAACTGAAAGCGTAACATTTAGATAATCTGTTGAGGGAGTAATTAGTAGCCTTACAAGTATTGATAATCAGTCATTCAGTCCCAGCTGTCTCGGCTTCTTCTAAAAGCTTTCTTATCTGAAAGAACCTTCTTGTTATTCAGTCTCCTCTGCTCACCTATGGCAGCTCTTTAACCCCCCAAAAAATGCAAGTAACCAAACCTGTTACTTCTCTTCCATATCAAGCAGACTGCATCAATATAACTGAAAATAGCACTTACAGCTTTGCAATTTTCTTCTTTTGCTCTTCTGAAGGAGGTGGTGGAACATAAGATGCAGCTTCTATGATTGCCTGTTTAATTTAACGAGAACAAACAAGACAAATAAGTTACTTTTGCTTCGATTGTGACAGAAGTATTGCGGCAATACTCCATACCTGCAGTTTTTCCAAGGCATCATCAATATTACCCCTGAGGACAAGTTGCAATGAGATCAGTACTTCAGAATTTAGACACAAATAAGCAGAAACAACAATCAGAGGACGGAACCGACTGAAACAACAAAAGCTAATAAAAGGGGAAAGATCAGGAAGCAAAAACTAACTTCTGGGTTCTGGTCCTAGTCGAAGAAATGACAATTTCACCATCTTTGTTGATTCTGTTCTTCTCCTGCCATGCAAAAAATAAAACATAGTATCTTATCCACAAAATCAAGAACAGTGCGAAGGTTAACTTTATTTACTAGTTTCATCTAACCATGCTCAACAATACCCCCAGAAGAGGTCGTGTACAGCAGATTCAAGCAATTATAGGAACCCAATTAATCATTTCCCAGTTCTCATAGCCCTTTCTCATTTTAACTTAGCTACTGAATCTTTAGTTGGACTAAGATTCAAAACGTATGTATACTTAATAGTAGGTCATCACATTGTGTTCCCTACCATAAGAGCGAAAGAAGCAGAGGCAAACCGTTTGCAATATCTTCTCCTTGATCCTGTCACTTAGCCAGTATGCATTTTTAACATTGAAGCGCATGTCCACTTTGGTGTTCACTACAAAAACCCAACAGCAAGGTAGCAAGTTTATGGTTATGTAAGCACACAAAACACATAGGCTTTTGCATACAAAATTCGCCGACCAGTAACAACATAGAGCGTGGCAGGAGAAAAGGTTAAGCTGAATACCTTTGTTCACATTCTGACCTCCAGGGCCGCCACTTCTAGCGAAGCTAACAGTTACTTGGTCTGTGTATGCATAAAAATACGTTCATTAGGACCACTAATAAGAGTGCAAATGCATCACAATGACAGGAGGACGATTTTAGACCATTTCAATTAAGACTGCTAAACCATATAGCAGCAACTAAGGGGCATCTTGAAGCCTAGGATAGACATTGCCGCACACCAATATAAGGCGTATTAATCATATAAATAGATTAGGGCTAAGGAAATGAAATGAAATGAAATTCTAGGGTTTGGTAAATGGTCTGATGATCGATAATCTTGAATTCTTATGGATGATGCTACACAAATGCACACCAAAACAATCACCGAATCGAGATAGTAGCAGGGAGAAACCATAATCGGATTGAGAGTTTCCTGGAAGTACCGAGAGTGATTTGAGGAGTAGGTTCGTCGCCGGCGGAGCTAGCCCGTTCCTCGGCTTCATGGAGTAGCTGCTGAACTTGAGAGAGGCGAGCGGACACCTTCTTGTCGGAGGAGGACGCCGCCGCGCAGACGACCTTGGCGGAGCTGATTTGGCGGTGGGTAGAGTGAAGAGCGATGGAACTCAACGGCGAGAGAGACGGCGGCGTAAATAAAGAGGAAGGGAAATGGCGGGAATTGAAAGCTCGGAGAATCATGATGGTTGTAGCTCTGGCAACGGCCATCCTTGTAATGTTCCCCAATTTTTCCTCCTTTCATTTTGTGGACTTTTTATACCTCTGGTTCTAAAGACTCTTATCAGAAGGGCGATTAATGGGTTTTACAACTCTGGTTATGGGCTCTGACTTTGGGCCTGACATTTTCTCACATCCGGGCTCCGGCCCATTGATTTTATGAATTGTGACACGAGCCCTTTTCGCAGAACGGAATCAAAGTATAACCACACAAAGGTGTAAGTTTATTATAACAATTAACAAGAACGAGAAATCAAACACAAGATCCAATGTTGGAAGGACAACACAAGGCAAAAGAAAGTCAGGACACACTGTTGTTGTACGCAACTGGAATCAAGCACAATGGGCTATTTCTCCGCAATGTGATCCCAAACCTTTCGGACATGTCCACCTCTTCGGGTTTCATTCCGTCAGGGAGTTGCCAGTCGAAATGATAAAGCAAGTTGGCCAGTGCGAGCTGAACGATAGCCATCCCAAAGGACATTCCGGAACACATCCTCCTTCCCGCCCCAAACGGAATGAACTCGAAGTCTCTCCCCTTAAAGTCCATCGAGCAATCCAGGAATCTCTCCGGATAGAAGTTATCCGGATCAGCCCAGTAGCTCGGATCCCTCCCGATAGCCCAGACATTAACCATGACCTTAGTTCCGGTCGGGACCATATACCCACCGATAACCACATCCTCGATACTTTCTCTCGGAACAAGTAGAGGACCCGCCGGGTGCATCCTTAGAGCCTCCTTGATGACCGCATTCATGTACTTCAAGTCGTCCAGACCTTGCTCTTCGACTTTCCCTTTCCCACCAATCACTTCCCGGACTTCTTCTTGTGCTTTTTGAAGCACTCTGGGATTCTTCATCAGTTCAGACATCGTCCACTCCATCGTCGCGGATAGAGTTCCGCTAGCAGCCAGAAACAACTCCTAATATACACATTCACGTTATTAGTAACTAGTTTGATCAACTTTTTTTTTAACAAAAGCAATATAAAACTGGTAAGGTAATTATTAATAACTTACGGTAATGACTGCTTTAATGTGGTCATCCGTCAATGAAGATTCCATATCATCAGTACAATTCTCCTGTAGATCAAGAAGAACGTCGACAAGATCATCTGCTGCCTCCTTCTCTTTCCCTCCTGCGGCGGCGGCGGCGGCTCTTCTGGCGGCTTTGTGCTCGTCGACTATCTCCTTGATCAGAGCGTCCGCTTGGTGATGGAGATGGGTGACTTTTGCTCGGAACCCGGTCAACGCGGGCAGGAATTTGACCGAAGGGTATAAATCGGAGAGGTCCAGCCCACTGAGCAGGTCCGATCCACCACTCACCAAGCCCATGAAAGACTTGGTGTTGTCTCGCACCACGCCGAATGCTGACCTGGCAATGACGCGGTTCATCGCCGGGAACAGGACCTCGGCGAAATTGATCGTCGCTGGGGTTTGTTGATTGGCCGACGAGTCGGTGATGCGGCGGACCAGATCGGCGGACAGCTCTTCTTCCCTGATGGAGCGGTAGGAGAGGACGCGCTTGTTGCTGAGCAGCTCCGCCGTGGCTATCTTCCGCATCAGCTTCCAGTACTCGCCGTAGGGAGTGAAGGAGATGCCCTTTCCGCCGTAGTAAAAGATGTTGGCGGCCAGAATGAAGGGCCTGGAGTAGTAGTAGTCGGTAAAATACGCACGGTAAGTCATGGCATATAATATGTACGGATTCTATATGTTGTAAAAAAAAAATCAGGTAATTTGTGGGGAGTAGATCCGTTGGTAACTCAATTTTGCATAGTAATTTTTATCCACTGTTCATAGGATACACACAATTTTTCGTCGGATTAATTACATATCTTTCGTTTTAAGTTGTAATTTAATTATTCGCACAGAATAATTAGATTAGTTGTGTTATTCAAAATGACATTCATGTTGAAGTCTTTCACATAAAAAAAGAGAGATATATTATCAGTATATATATAATTGTTATTATAAAATAATATATATTATATAATTGTTAATAATTTTATTTATAAAATAATATTTTTTTTTGTGAATTCCACCTAAAATCAACATAAAAGAAGAACTGTAAAATTCTAATTGAATTGTTGATTTTAAATTTGAGTTCTATTTTTTGTTGATTTCATGCCTAGGCAAAGAAATAATATTTTTTTTCTTGTTTTCGTTTGTATGCGAATATCATATTTCATTTTTTATTTTATATAGAGATAGAAGGCTTATTGAAATTTCTCCTTAATCAATCCATCAACTAAATACTCAACAATCAAACAATGTAATATCAAACTAAAATAAATATATTATGTTAATCTATATATTTATATTATGATCTAAAAAATACAAAAAAAAAATTACAAAACTTTCAAATCACGCTTAACGTATTATTAACTACAATTATTAATATGATAAAACAAAATATTAATTATATATACCTGGAAGCGAGTGGTGCATCATGTGTTTTCAAGACTTCCTTGGCAGCCTCCGCGGAGGAAATCACCACGTGGCGCAGTTCCCCGAGCTGGAGGAGCATCACGGGCCCGTACTTTTGGGCCAGTTCTCGAAGTCGGTGATGGGGCGGCTTTGGGCCCATCAGATGGTGGAGGTTGCCTATGATGGGGAGCTTCCATGGGCCTGGTGGTAGGTTTGGTACCCTTTTTGATGATCTCTTTAGAATTAAGTTGGTCAAGAGCACGATGGCCGTTAGTGAGAGAAGGAGATGGATAGTAGACAGAGAGAGGTATAAATTCTGTAGTTCCATGGTCACAAGCCACCACTGTGATTTTAATTTTATGAATGACACCTAGTCATTTTGCTTGAAATGATGGCTGGGTTAATATAGTTGCAAAGGAATATTTACCTAAAGAAAAAAAAATTTAAATTTATGAATAAATATGGAATCAATATAATAATAAAATATGAAAAAAAAGGAAACAAAATCTATAAAAATCATCAAAATAAAGAAGCAAAATAAAGAATATTCAATAAGAAAAAGGAAACAAAATCAGGAAAGGTGATAACTGATACCAAGTAGAAACAAAAAAAATTTTGACAAAATATAATCATATATTGATTAAAAAAAAGATAGTTACATCCTGGAGTTCAGCCTGGTCTGAAAATCAAATAAACGACTCATAGTCGGAGATAAAGAGAGGGTCTTTCTAGCCACCAACTGGGCTACCTTATTGTTACGCCGACCTACAAAACGTACATTAAATCCGGAATGAACGACCAAAGAATGCACAATTTCTTCTAGCACAGCCCCCATCCGGTTATCCCTGGTCTCCGCCTGATTGACCTTGTCAATGATGACTTTGACATCCCCCTCAAAGTTAACTTCCGTAAAGCCGTGATCTAGACACCAACAAATAGCCTATCGCATGATAAACAATTCAACCACCATAGGGTCATCTATACTTGGAAACTGAACCCCTTTAGCCAAAAGGATCTCTTTCGCTGGGATCATTAGCACCATTCCTTCTGCCGCGTGAGACCCATTCCGGGTAGCCTCGTCCCACATGCACACCACCAAACTAGACCCCCCAAGGACTCAAGTGAGTTGGCGCAGGAGCGAAAGGGTGAAGTACTGGGTCCAACGGCAAACGAATCCATTCCTCAACCTGCTAGTGAAACTGTCGCATCAAGGCAGGGATCCCAAACTGCTTGCCCTCAAAGACAACCCAGTTACGAGATCGCCAAATCCTCCAAAGGACAGCAACAACCTCCATAAACAGTGTTGGTTGATGAATGAGAGATAATAACCTTTTGAAAAAAAGAGGGAAAGTGTGACGAGGCAACCCTTGACCAAAATACTCCAGCCCGAATAGTCCCATAGAGAGCGGGCCACGGGGCAGTAAAGAAACAAGTGTTCCATTGTTTCAGACTCTATCCAACAAACCGGACAACGAGGAAGCACCGGGACACCCTTCTCAATTAGGGCCTCCGTAGTTGGTAGTATCCGGTTAAGGATTTGCCAAACAAACACCTTTAACTTAGGCGGGATATTAGCTTCCTACAAACGACAGGAATCAAAATAAGTATTACATAGAACGTAAGGGAAGAGAATATGAAAAATTAATCACACTTAGAAAGAAAAAAATGTTAGTGAAATTGTACCGTACTAGTGGTCCGATCAAAATTACCTCTAATCGGAGTCTAAATCAGTAGACGGTTTATAACGTTATGAAATAATTAAATCATGATTTAGCATAAAATATCATACTATTGACTTACCACTTCCAATACAATTTTATAATCTTTGAAAATCCAAAACCCTAAGTTTTGGATTTTCAAGATTGTGATCGTCGAGTTTCTTGCACAAACGCTGTTAGTAATAGTATATTAAAAATGACGAATTACAATCACCAAACTGATTTAAAGAGGTTGGTTTTCCGAAGGGTCGTTTGGATGACAAATTTTAGGGCTCGTTTGTGTCGTGGATTTGAAAAATGAAAGAAGAGGTCGTTTGCTTGTAGGATTCTGAAAAATCAAGGATTTGTGTAAAACCCTGGATTTTATCATAGAAGGATTATGTGGGATTTTGTCATTTTGGATTTGTGTTGGATTTGCAAAAGTACTTGTTTGCTTCATGGATTTTGTATTGGCTTTATGTCTTTGTAATTGATTAGTTAAAGGTTGAATTTACAACTTTATCCTTGTTAACTACCATCTCCAAGAGAAGAACAAAAGCCACTGCCCTCCGCCATTACCTTCTCCATCTCCTTCCAAGTTTATTTTACAGCTTACTCCGCCAACACCACTTGTTCCTTGTGGCTAGCTAACTAAATTTGTATGGACTAAATAAAAAATTGCATCACCTTACACAAACTTGTAGCAGCTACTAAGCAACCTCAAATGTGTTCAAAACTTATAATGATGATAACTTTCAGCAGGTAACGCAAATTTGCAGTAGCTGCTAATAGAAATTTGTAACTTACAATAACGACAACAGAAATTTGTAGCAGCTACTTCATAACAAAAACATGTCAAAAGTTGCAGTAACTACTTCACTCGATACGGAGGAAGCTTCATACGGTACACAAACGAGAATGTGATGGAGGTTGCTTGTCAAACCCTACAAATAATGAGGGCAACATCGGAATATTGAAAATATATAAGGTTACTTTTGTCATTTGCTTTCATGGATTATGACTCTTCCCAAAATTCCACCTAAAGAGGTAGGATTTTATAATCCGTGGACCCCACGGATTTTGATCCCACTATAATCCCTTATGCATGGGTCCCACAAGAACTAATCCAACACAATTTTTGCAACAAACATGGACTTTGTCCATAATCCCATAAGTGTGGGTTTTTAGCCCAAAATCCTTGATCAAAATCCCAATAGCAAACGACAAGGTTTTGGTATAACTTGGATTTTGAAAAACCATGGATATATGAGGGTTTTAGGTTTATTATGGATTTGATAAACACAATTGTTTGTTTGATGGATTTCATTATGAATTTCGTTAATTAAATTTGTATGTATGAAGTGTAATTTACTTTAATTGCCCTTAATGATATAAGAAGAGAAAGCAAATATGAAGGGTATGTTGGTAAAAAATGATGGACTTCAAACTTCAAAGTCCATAATCAATTCCCACCTAAATAGGTGGAACTTTCAAGTCCGTGGGGTCCACGGATTTGGTCCCTTAAAGTTCGTGAGACCACAGATTTGTTTCCCTAAATGCATGAAACAAACAATGGATTTTGGACAAAGTCCATAATGGATCTAAATCCCTCACCAAATCCATCAAGCAAACAAGCTCTTAATGTATCAATCTGGCGCAAACATATGCTCTCTAATAATTTGGCAACTAAATAAGTTTAGTTTGAGCCTTCATATGCTCAGTTTGCCATCTAGATTTGAGATTCGCAGTATGCATGATGCATATAACTCTTCTATCTATCCCTTTGCTGCTCATGGTGGACTACAGGAGACAAGAAGGAGATAAAGAAAGAGCAGATAGATCAACTCTAGCAAAAGATTGTAGCAATATTAACTAATCGCAAACGATTGATTCATTAACATTAAGTGAACATCAATGCAGCCATACATTAAAACCGATTTCCGCAACAACAACACAACAACAGATGATTAAGTAATATGAAATTCCACTCTCTTATTGACATCCTTAATTTAAGCAGCTCACTCCATAAACTCTTACATCAAACAAAGACGACAACAATAGTACTCACGACCTTGTACCCATCATCACCAATAGAGTACCAGACCAAGGAACCTTGACCAACGTTACTGCTTCTTGTCACATTCTCATCCAACCTGGTAAACGTCACAGTATAGCTCGCCTTCTCTTTCACCTCCTTGAACCTCATCACACTAGGCACGACTTTGACAGCAACCCCTTCCGGTGACGAAACCTTACTGAAGTAGGTCGAGAAAGGTCGACCCACATTAGTAACAGTGCGAGTGTAAGTCATTTGATCACCAGTGTACAACAACGTCACAAAAAATGTCGGGTAGTTCAGCTCAACCTCCGGTTTCGAAGTAATTCCCCTCGAGCAATTCACCTTTCGCTGCACGATAAACCTCACCTGCTGCTCGCTGTAACCCAACCCACAGAGGTAAGGAATGTAGTCGTCTGGCTCGATATCATAAACCAGCCCGGGGTGCAATGCTCTCGACGCGTCCACGTGACCCGAACCCATGTCGAAGACCGTGGCAGAAACGTTCTTCTCGGTGGAGATCGGGTTGTTGTTGAGGTCGAAGGTGTAGGCAGTCGTCATAATTGCCGATTTTATCGCTGCAGGGGACCAATCAGGGTGAGCACTCTTGATCAGAGCTGCGACCCCGCTCAGATGTGGACACGACATTGAAGTTCCTGATTCGATTTTGAATGGTTTGGTAGCATTGTCAATTGAGACCCCCCAAGCAGACAAAATGTCGACACCGGGGCCAATGATGTCGGGCTTCAGGATCCCAGGAGATTGCAGGCTAGGACCTCGAGCAGAGAACGAGGCGATTCGCGGAGCAGTTTGTGATGACTTGCCAATCAAGGTACCTTGGAATGAGATTGTTGCAGTGGGGGATTGCGTGGAGGACAAGTAATCCTTGAGTACCAATCCATCCCTGTAACTGAGGTATGATGCAGGGAGAACATGTGCATAAGCAAAAGTAGTGTATCCACCAGGCTGGTAATTGAGCACGATCATGGCTGTGCCGCCATTGTTCTTCACTTCTTGCCCCATCTCCTCGGTTCCCTCACTTCCAATTTGGCATATGACTATCTTGCCTTCAACATCAATGTTCTTCAGTGACCCTTTCGCACAAAAGGCTGCTAATTCATTCTTGCCAGTTGCATCGACGATTGGGAGTTGCTGCTGTGAATGGAAATCCTTAGTAAGGAAGAGGGACTGCCCATGGAGCTCCACATTGTTCCCCAGCTTCACTGTAGCTCTGATCTCCCTGTCGATCGTGCTCGCTCCAACGGTCAGCATCCATGGCGCATCGTTGATCACAGTAGACGCCCAAGGTCCTGCATTTCCAGCTGATCAGCTCACAAAGATACCCTTTTGAATGGCTCTAAATGTACCCAACGCAACCCCATCGTTGTAGAATGGAAAAGGATGTGGAGGTCCAAGGGAGATTGAGAGCACATCAACGCCATCATCAATAGCAGCATCGATTGCTGCCAATGCATCACCTTCGTCGCAGAAATCTCCACAGGCCTTGTACATTGCCAAATGGGCTCTAGGCGCGATCCCCATGGCTGTCCCATTCGCTTGTCCAAACACGTTGGCACCATCTACAGGGCACCCTGCAGCTATCCCTGAAGTATGACTCCCATGGTAGCTTTCTTCCCACGGTAGATCAGTGCCTCGAGCAGTAGAGACGAAGCTTCGAGCACCAACGAGCTTGTTGTTACATGTTTGCTTGCCGTTGAAGTCACACCTGCCTCTCCATTTGGAGGGCGGGGGAGGCATGTCTTTGTCGGAGAAAGAAGCGTGATCGTACTTTATCCCCGAGTCAATCATACCAATGATCACTCCCTCTCCGTAATTCGAGGCGTTCCAAGCTCCTAGCTTTGTTGGCCTCCGTGGCAGCCCGAGAAACTTGGGAGTGAGGGTTGTGTGTAGTGAGAAAGATCGCTGGACCCGAGCTGCGATGAAGCCTTCCTTCTGTTCCATTGCTTTGGCTTCCTGTGGTGTGAGCCTAGCTGCGAAGCCTGTGATCACGTTGCGGTAGGAGTGGACGATTCGTGGTTGGTTCGAGCTTAGACTCGAAGTAGTTTCCGGGAGGAATGTGGTGTACCAGTCATGTAGATTGGATTCTAGCAGGTTTTCTGGTTTCTCTACAAACACAATGTAGGTTTCCAAGTTGGCTTGCCTGGAGAAAACTGATGCTTCCTGGGAGAAGGTGGAGAAGAAGAATGTGGAAGTTAAAGTGAGGAGGAAAAGGGTTTTCATTGTTCCCATTTCTTTTCCCTAGTAATCACCAAGCTGGTTTATTTCGAGGTTGCTTGCTGCTATGTGACTGAACCCAGATTATCAATATATATAGTAAACTATTTGGCCTTTTTAACTCTTTACTGATGAGGGTTTTGAGACAAAGGTAAAAACTATCTGTTTCAGTCAGTTGCATGTCTCTGTCTGCAAGATGAACTAGTGAGACATTCCTTAAGTAAAAGACAAACCGGCAGGTGGCTGGCATTGTCTCTGTAGTTTCCATTGATGATAATAGTTAAGGAATCAGTAAGGAGTAGATATGGCAAATTGATTTCTTGTACGTTAGGAAGTGCTACATTATTCACTGGTTTAGTGTCTGCTTTGAGAGGGGTTGGGTATTGGGGATTGGATTTGGGGCTGAAGTTTTATCGTTATTCAACTTATTACTAATATGCTTCCATAACTACTTATGTTTTTGTCATATTGAAAGGCTGAAAATGCTTTGGATTGACTTGTATTTCACAGAGTATGTAGGGTATATGCTAATAATTAAGTGGGATTAGTGTGATCATGCTCACGATAGATGGTGATGGATCAACTACTGAGGTCATAATTTGGAAATATGAGGTAACTATGGACGGGTTGAGTATAGGTATAGAAATATCCGTCATGCTATTTTACTTTACGAACTTGTGCGGTAATATCCGATTCGTGTAAAGAGAGGGTGGAAACGGCTAAGTTGATACTTCTTTTAATTCATGTGGTCTATGAGTATCAAAATCATGATAATTTTAGTGTCTAAAAGACCTTTAATAGTTGATATATGAATTGTTAGATCACACGGACAAATAATCTCATATTCCTATCAACACGGACTAGTGAGGTAGCCCTTCCATCTCCGCTTTTAAATTTTTACTCAATCACTTTAGTTGTTTTGCCTACCTTTAAACTCGCTACCTAAAGGTGGTGCAATCGGTTTGTTCGTATTAGACTGTGTTGGACTAAAACAATGATTGGATCGAATCACACCAAATCAAATATAATGTAATCCAGTCTTTGATCCCGTTAATTTTATAATTATTTTAAAAAAATTTGATCGAATTAATATTTGAATCAGACCAAATACACTATTAATCTTGTTTTTAATACTAAAATATTTTTACTATTGGACCGCACTTTGTTTGATTTTGGACTTTTGGTACTCATCCAACCGGACTAAACAACACCCTAAAAATGGTATTAAAAAAAACAGCGAACGGGCCTGTATAAAAATGGACCAGGCAATTAAGTTAAGCCCAGCAGAAAACAATACACTAATACAGCATGGGCGTAAAGTACTAACAGGCCCAATGAAGAAACCTTGGCTCTTGGTCGATCAAACAGAGGAGAAATGAGTTTGGCTCCTCTGTTCGTTTCTGTTCTTCCAAACACATCAATTTTCTGGGAACTTCTTGTTCCTTTTAACTAAATTGAAAAGCCCATAAGTTTTGTATTACGTTTCAATCAAAACCCTCAAACCCATTAGCTATCCCAACCTTTTCCCTTCTTCCATGGTGCGCGGTTTCATATTGATTCACCTAAGTGCTGCTAACCCATCTCCAGATCGATTTATTCCTAAGGTCACAGGCGATCCCTTTCTACAATCATCACCAAAGATCTTCGCAAGATGGAACCGACTGCTAATGATCGATTCATTTAATATTAAGGAGTAGACATCAAACAAGCTGCTACATTGAACCGACCACCACAACAACAACAGTAGGTAAGACGAAATTTTTGCTCCCTTATTAGCATTCTGTATTTTAAGCGGTTCCCATAAACTCATTTTCAAACAAAGTTAACGGCAATAGTACTCACAACCTCATACCGATCATCACCATCAGCAACAGCAGCAAGAGATGACCAGACCAAGGAACCTTGACCAACATCACTGCTTCTAGCCACATTATCCAACCTGGTAAACGTTACAGAGTAGCTGGCTTTCTCGTTCACCTCCTTGAACTTGATCTCACTAGGCACAATTGTGACTGCAACACCAACCCCTTCCAGTGACCGAACCTTGCCGTAGTACGTCGAGTTAGGCTGGCCAACGTTAGTCACCGTTCTAGTGTATGTCTGCTTTTCACCCAGAGCCAGCGAGATGGAGAATGTCGGGTAGTTCAGCTGAGCCTCCGGTATCGAAGATCCAGGACTCGAGCAGTTCACCTTTCGCTGCACGATCATTCTCACTTGGTTGTCGCTATAACCCAACCCACAGAGGTAAGGGATGTAGTCATCCGGCTCGATATCATAGACCAGACCCGGGTTCAATGCCTTTGATGGGTTCACGTGGCCTGAACCCATGTCGAAAACTGTAGCAGAAACATTATGCTCGTTCGAGATCGGGTTGCCACTGAGATCGAATGTGTAGGCAGTGGTCAAAATGGCCGACCTTATGGCAGCAGGGGACCAATGGGGATGAACACTCTTGATCAGAGCTGCAACTCCACTGAGATGTGGGCAAGACATTGAAGTTCCTGATTCCACGCTGAATGGGGTTGTAGCATTGTCGATTGAGACTCCCCAAGCAGCCAAAATGTTGACCCCGGGGCCAATGATGTCGGGCTTCAGGATCCCCGGAGATTGCAGGCTAGGACCTCTAGAGGAGAACGAGGCGACTTGTGGAGCTATTTTCGACTTGCCAATCAAGGTACCTTGGAATGAGATTGCTGCAGTTGGGGACTGCGTGGAGTTCAAGTAACCTTTGACTACCAATCCATCATTGTAACCGAGGTATGATGCAGGGAGGACATGAGCATCAGGAATAGTAGTGTCTCCATCTTTCACACCATTGATAAAGATCACGCCTGCTCCTCCATTGTCCTTCACTTCTTTCCCCTGATCGGTTCTCGGAGCTCTCAATTCGGTCTGGCACATGACTATCTTGCCCTTAATATCAATATTCTTCAGTGACCCTTTACCACAATATGCTGCTGATGCAGTATAGGTAGAAAGGTCCACAAGTGGCAGCTGCTTTGAGTGGAAGTCAGTAGGCTGGAAGAGGGACTGGCCATGGAGCTCCACATTGTTCCCCAACGTCACCGTCGCCCTGATCTCCCTATCGATTGTACTTGCTCCGACGGTTAGAATCCAAGGTGCGGCGTTGGTTACTGTATTCGGGAAAGGTCCACCATTTCCAGCAGAGCAGCTCACAAAGATACCCTTCTGGATGGCTCTAAATGCTCCCAATACAAACAGATCGTCAAAGAAAGGAAACCTGACATTGAAGTAACCCATTGAGATTGAAAGCACATCAACGCCATCCTCAATAGCTGCATCAATTGCTGCCAATACGCTACTATCAACCCCACGGACCTTGTACATTGCCAAGTGGGCTTTTGGCGCGATCCCCATGGCTGTTCCGTTCGCTTGTCCAAACACATTGGCAGCTTCTACAGGGCTCCCTGCAGCTTCTGCTGCAGTATGACTCCCATGGAGTACTGCCTTCTCCACTGGGGTATCCCCTTCCCCTAAGAAGCTTCTAGCACCGAGGAGCTTGTTATTACATGTTTTCTTGCCGTTGAAGGCACACCTGCCTCTCCACCTGGCTGGCGGGGGAGGCATGCCTTTGTCGTAGAAAGAAGGGTGATCGTGCTTTATCCCCGAGTCAATCAGGCCAATGATCACTCCCTTGCCGTAATGCGAGGACTTCCAAGGCCCTCCAATCTGTTGCAGGCCAAGGAACTTGGGAGTAAAGGTTGTGTGAAAGGATACAGGTCGCTCGACTCTAGCCGAAATAAAGCCTTCCTTCTGTTCCATTGCTTTGGCCTCTTGCGGGGTGAGTTTAGCAGCAAAGCCTGTGATCACATTGCGGTAGGAATGGACGATCCGTTGTTTGCTTGGAACTATGTTTGAAGTAGTTTCTGAGAGGAATGTGGTGTACCACTCATGTAGATTGGATTCTAGTAGGCCTTCTGGTTTCTCTAAAAACACAATGTAGGTTTCCAAGTCGGTTTTCAGGGAAGCTTCTGATGCTTCATGGGAAAAGGAGAAGGTGGGGAAGAACAATGTGGAAGCTAAAGTGAGGGAGATGAGGAAGAGGGCTTTCATTTTTTGTTTTCTTTTTTTGCACTGACCGAGCTGGTTTACATTGAGGTTGTTTGCTGCTATTGAAACTTGAACCCTGATGATCAATATATAGCGACAATGCTAGTCAAAGTAAAAATTGGCCTTTTTAACTCTAGTCTTTACTGAAGGAAGCTTGCGGAAGGGTGAAAGTAATTATCTGATCTGTTGCATGTCTCAATCTGCAGGATGTGTTAGTGAGACACTCCTCAAGTAAATGACAACCAGCTAATGGTTTCTAGTTATGATAATGGCCATGATACCAGCAATGGATGTGGTAAATTCCCTTCTTCTACATTACAAAATACTAATAATTTTGGTCACTAGCATCTATTTAGAAACCCCCAACAGGGCCACAGAGAATGTTGTAAACTACTTTTGTGGCATTTTCTGCATTATGATAATACTGTTGCTAACGATGATGAGTAATGACATTTCGTCCATGTCCAGGAACGCAAAATATTTTCTTCTGGTATGGAGTGTTTCTTCCACGTCTGTGTTTAGTATCCTGGGCGAGTGGGACAATAGAAATTGGTTACGAAAGAAGATGATGGATAATCTGCAGGACAAACGGCAGATCAGTTATCATAGGTTGGATCAACCGTTTCTCAACCTTTAATCAGTTCAAGAAAATTCATAGGACTTTTTCTATAACCTTTTATGCAAGATTGGACACTGGTATCTACCTTCTTTTCTCATTCTGCCTGCAACCATCCAGGTATTTACATGCTGTATCGAAATACATGACTTTCGTAATGACTCCATTCACATGGAGTAGCTCTATTTCTCTTATCGCATTTGATATAGACTTCACGGTCACGATTCAAGTTCTCGCAGTTGCATGGCTAGTTTCTGCATACCTTGAACACTCATCCATGTGTGGAATCAGATATTATGTTCATATAGACTATAGTGGAACATATCCTTAAGATTGCAGCGCAAGTACAAGTTTAAGCAGCAGTATGGAGATTATTGTCTTTTCTTCATCTGGTGTGTCATCAAGAAGCATAACCTCTTCCTCCACATCCAGAAGAATGGTGATACTTGTCTCTGGCATCTGCACGATTCGCCTTCCCTCTGCCGGGTGGCTTACAACCAACCGTCCAATCATCGGCTTCGGATGTTCTGTCGAAGGACGTGCCCAGCCTCCATGAGCCAACCTGTGGATTATTCTGGGCACTGCCAACAGCCCCTGAGCAATATGACTTGGTAGCAGAAATGAGTTACCATATAAAGACAGTGGGTATACATTTGAGAAACAAAAAGATAGAACAGGAGTAACAAGTTCAAGCAGGCACATTACAGCATAACTAGACAAATGAGGGACTATCCAGAGTCTCGGACATCAAGAACAAGGACAGGCAGATCATGAAAAGTTCAAGCATACGACTCTTTTGCAGAAGAAACGGGCGGGGGGGGGGGGGGGGGGGGGGGGGGGGGGGGGGGGGAACATAAAGCCACAATTTTACTGTTGAAGCTTCTTCCCCAGCCAAGCAAAGGAAATCAAACACTACCATTCCAAGCTTGTTTAAAATTAGGAAGTTCATCTAGACACACAAATGGGGGAAATTAGGCTACAGTGTACGTCATGCTGGGACAAAAAATAAGAAGTTAGAATTAGGAAGCTCACCTTGCTCAAAATTAGGAAGTTCAATTGTACAAAAAGATGCAGGTTGGCTTTAGTTGTCCAATGCACGTCATGCTCGGCAATCTAGATGACCTTTTGCGTCCTCAGATTCTATGGTTTCTCGACCTTAGATCGAGTTAAGAAAATTCATAGACTTTCTGATAATCTTTTATGTATTCGATCTTCGCCCGCTATTTTAATATCGAGATCTTATACTGGCATCCCCTTTCTTCATGCCACATAAAAATACACCTTTTGTAATGGCTCCATTCATGTGGACTAGCTACTCCGAAGGTACAATGTTAAACAGATTGCTCGCAACGACAACAACAGATTTAAATATGAAACTCTGCTCTCTTATTTACCTGTGCTTCAAGTAAAGTGGCTCGTAGTTCGTATATAAACTCCTCTTCAAACAAAGACAACCACATAGGTGCTCGTCACCACGTACTTACTTCCATCATCATCATGACCAGCCCAAACCAAGTAACCTTGACGAACAGCAGTACTGTCACTTGCTGTCACATTCCCCAACCTGGTAAACGTAACAGAGTAACTCGCTTTCTCTCCCACCTCCTTGAACGATATCTCCCTAGGAGCGACTTCAACGTCGAGAATCCCTTTCCACGAATCAGCCACGCTCATGTACCTCGAGTTAGGCCGGCCAACATTAGTAACCGTTCGAGTGTACGTCTTCTTCTGCTCGCCAGCACCCAGCGAGATGGAGAATGTCGGGTAGTTCAGCTGAGCCTCCGGTATCGAAGACCCAGTACTCGAGCAGTTCACCTTCCGCTGCACGATCATTCTCACTTGCTTGTCGTCATAACCCAACCCACAGAGGTATGGAACAAAGTCATCCGGCTCGATATCGTAGACCAGCCCTGGGTTCAGCGCCTTGGGTGGGTCCACATGGCCCGCACCCATGTCAAAGACCGTGGCAGGAACGTTCTGCTCGGTGGAGATCGGGTTGTAGTCGAGATCGTAGGTGTAAGCGGTGGTCAAAATGGCCGACTTTATGGCTGCAGGGGACCAATTGGGATGAGCACTCTTGATCAGAGCTGCAACTCCACTCAGATGTGGGCAAGACATTGAAGTTCCTGATACCACGTTGAATGGGGTTGTAGCATTGTCGACTGATTCCCCCCAAGCAGCCAGAATGTTGACCCCGGGGCCGATGATGTCCGGCTTCAGGATCCCGGGAGATTGCAGGTTGGGACCTCTGGAGGAGAAAGAGGCCACTCGTGGAGCGATTTTCGACTTGCCAATCAAGGTACCTTGGAATGAGATTGCTGCAGTTGGGGATGACGTGGAGTTCAAGTAATCGAGGACGCGCAATCCATCCTTGTAACCGAGGTTCGATGCAGGGAGTACATGAGGTTCAGGACTAGTAGTGTCGCCGTCTTCCGCACGGTTGATCAAGATCACGCCTGCTCCTCCGTTGTCCTTCACTTCTTGCCCCTGGGCAGTTATCAGAGCTATCGATACCACATGGCATATGACTATCTTGCCCTTCACGTCAATGTTCTTCAGTGACCCTTCCCAACAAAATGCTGCTGATGAACTGTAGGTAGAAGGGTCCACAATTGGCAGCTGCTTTGAATGGAAGTTCGTAGGCTGGAAGAGGGATTGGCCATGGAGCTCCACATTGTTCCCCAACGTCACCGTCGCCCTGATCTCCCTATCGATCGTACTTGCTCCGACGGTTAGAATCCATGGCGCTGCGTTGGTTACTGAACTCGGTAAGGGTCCACCATTTCCAGCAGAGCAGCTCACAAAGATACCCTTCTGGATGGCTCTAAATGCTCCCAATACAAACACATCATCAAAGAAAGGATAATGAACTAAGTTACCCATTGAGATTGAAAGCACATCAACGCCATCCTCAATAGCTGCATCAATAGCTGCTAATACGCTACTATCAGTTTCATCGACCTTGTACATTGCCAAGTGGGCTTTTGGCGCGATCCCCATGGCTGTTCCGTTCGCTTGTCCAAACACATTGGCAGCTTCTACAGGGCTCCCTGCAGCTTCTGCTGCAGTATGACTCCCATGGAGTACTGCCTTCTCCACTGGGGTATCCCCGGCCTCTAAGAAGCTTCTAGCACCGAGGAGCTTGTTATTACATGTTTTCTTGCCGTTGAAGTCACACCTGCCTCCCCACCTGGCTGGCGGGGGAGGCATACCTTTGTCGAAGAAAGAAGGGTGATCGTGCTTTATGCCCGAGTCAATCAGGCCAATAATCACTCCCTTGCCGTAATGCGTGGACTTCCAAGCTCCTTCATTCTGTTGCAGGCCAAGGAACTTGGGAGAGAAGGTTGTGTGGAAGGATACAGGTCGCTCGACTCTAGCCGAAATAAAGCCTTCCTTCTGTTCCATTGCTTTGGCCTCTTGCGGGGTGAGCTTAGCAGCAAAGCCTGTGATCACATTGCGGTAGGAGTGGACGATCCTTTGGTGGCTTGGAATTAAGCTTGAAGTAGTTTCCGAGAGGAATGTGGTGTACCACTCATGTAGGTTGGATTCTAGTAGGCCTTCTGGTTTCTCTAAAAACACAATGTAGGTTTCCAAGTCGGTTTTCAGGAAAGCTTCTGATGCTTCATGGGAGAAGGGGGAGGTGGAGAAAAACAATGTGGAAGCTAAAGTGAGGGAGAAGAGGAAGAGGGCTTTCATATTTACTTTTCTTTTCTGCACTGTCCAAGCTGGTTTACTATGAGCTTGCTTGCTGCTGTTGAAGCCCTGATGATCAATATATAGTGACAATGCTAGTCAAAGTAAAAATGTGCCTTTTTAACTCCTTGCTGAAGGAAGCTTGCGGAAGGGTGAAAGTCATTATCTGATCTGTTGCATGTCTCAATCTGCAGGATGCATTAGTGAGACATTCTTCCAAGTAAATGACAAACGGCTACTGGTTACGATAATAACCATGATATCAGCAATGGATGTGGTAAATTCCCTTCGTGGGCATTACAAGATACTGATAATGTAGTTACTGGCATCTATTTAGAAACCCCCCACAGGGCCATGTGCAATGTTTTGAACTACTTTTTCTGTTATTTTCTGCATTGTCATAATACTGTTGCTGGAGATGATGAGTAATGAACTTTCAGCCATCTCCAGGAAATCTTCTTCTGGTTTAGAGTGTTTCTTGGACGTCTGTGTTTCATATACGCAGCATGCGTGTGGGAACAATGGAAACTGGCTACAAAAGAAGATGATGGATCATTTGCAGAACAAACGGCAGATCTATTTTGGTTATCTGATGACCACAATTCGGAGACTAGATAGTTTCCCGAGCTTGAATCAAATTAAGAAGATTCATAGGACTTCTTTTAAAACATTTAATGCAAGATTGGATACTAGTAACTCCATTCTTTTCTCATTGTTCTTTGAAACATACAGCTATTTACATGCTACATCGAAATACAACCCTTCTGTAATGACTCCATTCAGATGGAGTAGCTCCATTTCCCTTTAAGGCCTTTGATACAGAGATCATAAGCCGTAGCCAGCAAGTAGGGGCACGATTCAAGTTCTAGCAGTTGCCTGGCTAGTTTCAGCATACCTCGAACACGCATCCATATGTGGAACACATCTATTTTGTATATATAGACTAGAGTGGACTATCTACTTAAGATTGCATACAAGTTTAAGCAGCAGCAGAACGGATGCTATTGTCTCTTCAAGCAGCCTAATCTCTTCCTCCCCGTCCAGAAGAATGGTGATGCTTGTCTCTGGCAGCTGCACGATTCGCCATTCCTGAGACCTGTCGCCGTGAAGATCCACTCCCCTCTGCCGGGTGGCTTACAACCGACCGGCCAATCGGATTCGGACGTTCTGTCGAAGGAAGTGCCCACCCTCCATGACCTACCTGTGGATTATTCTGACTACTGCCAACAGCCCCTGAGCAATATGAGTTGGTAGTGAAAATTAGTTACCATATAAAGACAGTGGCTACACGTTTTAGAAACAAAAAGATTGAGAATAGGAGTAACAAGTTCAAGCAGCACAGTGCTGACAATTAGACAAATGACGGACTATCCACAGCCCCGGACATCAAGAACAAGGACAGGCAGATCAGGAAGAGTTCAAGCAAATGACTCTTTTACAGACGAAACGAAAAAACAAAAGCCAAATTATACTTACTCATATTCTCACTACCATTGAAGTTTCTTCCCCAGCCAGGCAAATGAGGTCCAGCACTACCATTCCAAGCTTGTTCAAAATTAGGAAGTTCATCTAGAAATACAAATAGGGAAAGTTAGGCTACAGTGAACGTCATGCTGGGACAAAAAATAAGAAGCTAGAATTAGGAAGCTCACCTTGCTCAAGATTATGCAGGATCTGCTGTGAATCCACATTCCCATCTGAGTTAAGCTTCCGTGCTACGGTATGACCCTGTGCCATTGATAAATACAGCATTAATCAAACCTAAAATACACCATATATGCAGTAACCAATAACTGCCACAAATTACTCACACACCTTGTTGTGTAGCCCCCTTGAAATCCTGTGAGATGCTTTGCCTGTAGAACTATCAGCTTCTTTGCTTTCTTCATATGTTACCTGTTAATCCACCCAAAGCTACAATAAAAACAAGACAGAAAAACCAAAACAGCAATTTGTAAAAACATTCCATAGCTAGAGGTCCTCACCCCGTCACTTCCCGTTCTCCTTGTCTTGGATGAAGTGTAATAAGTTCCACCAGCACCACCGTATGAGACACTTGAACTTTGAAACACAAAGCTCTGACTTTGAGGAGGCTTAGACTGCACTCTACTGAAATTGTTATGCCTATTTCCAGCCATCAACATCTTGCGGTGCCTCCCTGTTGCATGAAGAGAAATTTTTTAGCTAAGCAATGGTTATAGATAGCTCTCTACAGAATCACAGAAGTTATTTCAACACAAGATAACCACGAGTTTACCTTCATATTCTTCATCCACTTCCTCAACATATGGCCCTTTACCAGACCTACCATGCTTTCTGGAATTCTCTTTCCTCTCCTTATCAGCATCCTGCTTCTCATCATCAGACTCTAGTTCCTCAATGATTGGCCCCTGTGATCTGTTGGGTACTGGAGCTTGATGCTCGATATATGCAGGTGGATGCATAGGCACGAAAGGATTTGCATTGGGACCAAAGAAACTGGGCTCGAACATTCCTCCAAATGGACGAGTAAAGAAAGGATCGTTAAATGGGTTCCTCCCCTCGAAAATGCCAGACAACATGCTCCTCCGCCCTCCAAATCCCCCAAAACCAGCAAATGGATCACCACCGAAACCAAAAAAGGGATCCCCGCCTCCCCTTCCTCCTTGCATATTCAGATGACTGGTTCAATGAAATAGCAACACGCAGCAGCAAATGAGTAGAGAACTCAATGATCCTCCATTTTGTACAAGGAAAACACAGACCGATTCCAATCAGGAAACTAACCGATAACCTAACCTCTATTCACTTCAACAATCACAATACACAATTCTACAATAAACAAAACGTGACTCAAAGCTAAGGAAGGCAGCGACTGAATTTCTTCGCCTAATCTCAAAGCAACTAACCGGAGCTAGGTTGATCCAGAAGAGGAACGAACAGACTATCACAAGTTCCGCAAAAGTAACTTGCAAGATATCACCCGAATAGTGCCGACAGCTAATCCGCTAAACAGAACAACAATCTCGAAGAAACGACGGCGACGAAAGCACCAAGCTCTATCACTGGATAGAGCAATGGGCTCACGGGAGCGGCAAAGGGAATGATAATTCAGAAATGACGATAACAGGGAGACGAGGCGATACCTTTCAAAAGCGAAGGAATCAGAATTCCCGGCGAAGGAACCAAAACCCTAATCCGGACGGCGAGTGGCTGGTATTGATGAGCCCGAATCCCAGATTCCCAGTTTGAAGGCACAAATATTTCTCTCTTCTCTTCTCGACGACTAAAAGAAACGGAATTAGAGGAGAGAGCTCGGAGCTGGTACAGCGGAAGGTTCTAGCTCCGGTACGGCACGGTTCTTGATGATGTATTGTCAGTATTGAGAGCGGATATCTCAATTTGGTCACCGAACTTGTTTATAGGTACAAATCGTACACTAAACTTTAGTATTTCTGAAAACAGATGCATATTAATTTGTCATGCTATAAATAAATCATAGTAGCAATGTCAGTATGTCACTATGTTAGTGTTCTCATTTTTCACTGATTTTTAGGTTATATTGTTAACGTGATCAGCTTCTCTGCACTTATTAAAGGTTACTATGGAAGCAACATAACAATAAAAATTAACAGAAGAAACATAAAAAAAAAATGTTAACAACGACTTGGTTTGATGAATTCACAATTTCAGATATCAATATTAAATCTGGCTTCCAAGAGATCTAAGTGCAAACTTGGTAAACAATTAGTATTTACCCTGATTTTCACGGTAAGTTGTGTACATACTAGTAACAAACATGAATGATAAAAAAGGATTAATATTGAGGAGGGAAAATGAACTAATCAATACGAGGGCCAGTCCCGAGGGTGTGTCCACTGTGTCGGCAGGCCTCCGACACAGGGCCTCAAAATTATAGGGGTCTACGGCCCCCCATCGTGTATATGACTAATTATTATTGTGAATTGTTGGGTTTTGATTATGAATTTAAAACGATATAAAATTTATGAATTGAATTTTGCTTATGGGTCTAGAACAATGAAATTAAAAATTGTAAGTCCGAATACTAATAGAGCGAACATATCACATGAGGGAAATACTTGCTTTCTTATTAGGCTTTTTCAAACCATATAAAATAACTCATTTTTGTATTGTGTTTCCTAAATATAATAAAAGAGATAAAACTGTGGATGTCTCCTTATTAGCATTGTTAAATTTATTGCATTAAGTTCTTTCATTTTCAGCTTTCCAAGTGGGAATTATAATTCAATATCGTCAATTAATTTGTGTACTAGCAAGGCAGTAATGCTAAATTAATTAAATAATTTGCATTGATCTATTAAATGTTAACTGGAATAATTAGGTACAAGCCACCAATAGTAGAAAAGTAAAAATAACTAAATTAATTATTAATAGTTTCTACCATATTTAACTTTAGACTAAAAAAATTATCAATTTATCCTATCTAATTTAGTTTACTCTATTATTTGTTTATACTATTTGATTGTTCTAAAATTATTTTCATTTTTTACCTAATTAAGTTCTCATTACCTATTCAGTTGAGTCTAGTTAATTGATTCATTATCATTTTAGTTATAATTGGATTCTTTTATTTGGATTTATGTCATTCAATCTCTCAAATAATCAATTTTTTACTTACATCTTCCTATTTAAATAATGGTCACTCTTTATTTCAAATCATATTATATATATTATTTTTAAATAATGTTATGATTTGTATTTATTGATTGATGTTTAATTTGTATTTTATTACATGTTTAGAAAAAATAATTTGGACCACATTTTGTTTACAGAATAGGGCCTCCAAAATCTCAGGCTCGACCCTCATCAATACCACTTCCCAATAGTAATAAACATATCTCCTTCAATGCGTTTTCAATTAATCATCACCTCGTAGCCATGGACTCATGATTTTCATGGTATTTTGTTCACGTTAAAAAAAATATTAACAAAGACTTTTGGACAAGAGTGTGATTAAAAAGTATAAAACTAATCGGCTCCAACGATTGTCTAATACGAAAAGATAAAAACTCAATGCTTGGCCTAGTGATAGTGTGGGGTTAGATCATTCAACACATTCTGAATTGAATTCGAGTCTTGTAACCAACAACCAAAAAAAAACTAAAAATATAAAGATCATGCGTTCAAAATTTATGTACTTTTATTCGTTGTTCTCATTTACAACACAAATCATTGTTATAGGCTGGTCCAATTACAAAAGATAACATAAATTTAACCATGATGACAATTAGGTCCTAACTCCTAATGGTTACAACTTACAAGCCCGAACCCTTGGAGCAGGCTTGTCCTCTAAGCATATTGAAAACAATAAAGAAGCAAACAACAATACTAAGACTCAACAATGCTAAAGAACAGTGAAACAAATCAGTGATGACCCATTGGTATTTGGTAGTAAGCTTGGAAGCTATAACAACTACACCTTATCTAAATAAGAGAACAAGTTCTTATAGTAGGAAGAGCAAAACCATTGCTAAACTCCATCAACCCACGCAAGAGCAACCATTCCATCATACTAAACACAACACTCTTTAAAATCAGACAAGTTACTCGTCCACATTATTCAACTTCATCACAACAATAAACCAAAATTTTCAACTCATACACAGCACAAACAATGTTTCTAGTGCTGCCATTCAGCCCCATGCATTTTGAAGCTTCCAATCACATGGTTCTTCATAGTTGAACTACTTGCACAGCAACTCCGTTGTCTCTGCCTACTAGGTGGTGTCATTGCATCAATAGGGAAAACGAGACCTTAGGTTAATCTAAGGATATAACATTGCTAGCGAGATAAGGTCGTTCTTCTCCATAAATCTAATACTAGTAAATAACAACTTTAGTTTTTGCTTGCACAATATGATACCTACAGAACCAGGAGTCTCTTGAAATTTATTCCCTCTTTTGTTGGTTCTACGTCATGCCACAACTAACTGCTATCATGATAGAGACTTATCTCGCTAGTTGATTGAATTTAATTTCAGCGAGTTATGAGTAGCAAAACTGAAATTGAAGAGGAGAAGTTAAAGTATTGAGAAGAGATGGGAAGATCGAGAAAGAAGAAGAACGTAAACAATTGACAACCTAAACTTAACCATTATGACAATTAGTTTTTTTTTTTTTACCAATAGATCACTTGTATTACCAAGGCAAACAGCTAGAAAAGTTTACATCTCAAAAGCAAACCAACGATAAAAATCAAAAGTATCTACACTCGCAGGCAACAAAGAAAGGGTCTTCCTAACCACCTCATGGGCCACCCGATTGTTACTTCTGCCAACAAATGCCACCTCAAAGCGCTGGTAGAAATGTCGTAGCTTCCGAATTTCTTCCAGAATCCGCCCGCCTTTCACATCCCGAGCATCCCTGGTCTGGATTTTGTCAATAGCCACCTTCGCATCCCCGCAGAATTGCACTTCAACTAAGCCCTTCAAAGAGCGACACTGAACTGCATCACGAAACGCCACCAACTCGACCAGAAAGGGATCCACCAAACCTGCATACCGAAAACCTTGAACAAAACACACCCTGCCCAACCCATCATACACCACCATTCCCCCAGCTCCATGAGACCCATCAAGAACAGCACCATCCACAAAACAACAATACGGCATGGCAGGCTGCAATCCCTTAACCCCACCAGACTCACCGCGCCCTTGCTGCTCCTGAACCTGCTTATAATTACCAGACTCAATCAGCGCCAACCACTCACGAACCTGCTCCTCAAACTGTCTCACCAATGTACTCATCCCAAACTGGACCTGATCAAACACCACCCAATTCCGACTTTTCCAAATCCTCCACAGCAATGCCACAAATCGAATTATCCTTTCTACATTGGTCTCTTGTTCAAAGAATCTGCGAAGGAACAAAGCAAAATTCACTGGAGGCTGCCTCACCATACTTGTCCCCAAACCCGACCTCTCCCATAACTCCAATGCCAGCCGACAAGATAAAAACATATGTTCTAATGTCTTTAACGGTTCCCAGCACACCGGACACTTGGGGTCCACCGCCGCACCATGCCCATCAATACCAGGGTCAAGCTCACAATCCTCCGGTAATCTACTTGTCCTCTCAATTATGGTTTCCATAGTCGGAAGGATCCTCTTCATGCACTACCAAAAAAAAATTTTCAATTTCGGAGGAATGGGTAGCCCCCACAGCTTTTTCCAACATCGCACATAAAAAACGACACCTCAGCCTTCCACTCCTGCACCCTTTTAGCAGTTTGAACCATTAGATTAGATACTAATCATTTCAAGATACTTTGTAGATAAAATTAATTCTGATCATCCTTAAAATATCTTAGTTAATATCCATTGCTATTTTCCAATACTTAAAAATGAAATATTGCCATTCTCCAAGTAGAAAAGAAAAGGGGGAAACCTTTTCGGCCTCCATTGCCGACTTACCGTCCTTGTTTTTTTTTTTTACTGGAAAAAATATATATTTTTTTAAATTATTAACTGCCCTCTCGCTACAGTCTATATAATTACTGGGGACTCGATAGACGAAACGAAAAGGCAAAATAAATAATCGAGGAAAATACAGCTTCAGGAATCTCTCTCCCTCTCTTCTTCCCATCGCTCTCGTCGTCTTCGCAAATCTCCTCGCTCAGCCTTAGGGTTTCACCATCCCGTCCGCTGCATTGTCTGCTTCCTTGCTTCGGTGTTCATCTGGTAATCCAATGGACAACTTCTCTTTCTAATCCTATTTCAGTTCTTTCCTCCGCCCCTCGATTCCTAGGGTTTACTTCGAAGTTCTCTTTCCCTTTCTCGTCATTTTGGTTTTTGTTCCCGCGCATTGCTTCGATTGCGGAGTGCTTGCTACTGCTTCGAGTTTCCCCTTCGCTGCAGTTACCTCATCGCGTTTTCGAGTTTGTGTATCTATCCTCTTAATTAGGATTGATTACTGTTCAGTTTGACGGTTATAGGGTTTCGCAGCTCCAACACACTATTGGATTGTGTATTCTTTTGAACTTGGTTCGTTTCGGCGGGGTTTTGGAGTTCTCGATTCAATCTGTCCCTCGTTTTTCTTCCTTCGTGTGATCGGTTCCTATATGAGTTCCAATTCGTGATTGAACGTCGTTACTCTGTATTGGGGATTGTTCTTGGTTTGTATTGATTGATATGGTATGGTTAGGGTTCTGATTCCTTTTGGTTCCACGTTTCCTTGGCAGAAGTTGGGCTGTACAATGGAGCGTAAGGTGATTGAACTTGACCAGGGATGGGACTACATGCAGAAGGGGATCACGAAGCTGAAGAGGATTCTGGAGGGATCGGTTGAGCAATTCAATTCCGAGGAATATATGATGCTTTACACGTAGGGTTTTCTTTGTTCATATAAGTGCACTTTTTAATAACAAGTAACTCCTTGCACTTTCTAATACCTTATTCCATGGCACAGAACTATCTATAATATGTGTACACAGAAGCCTCCTCATGATTACTCTCAGCAGCTTTATGATAAATATAAGGACTCGTTTGAAGAATACATTAGTTCCACTGTGAGTACTATGTTTAGTTCTGTCACGCTGATTATGTATGGATTGCTTCCTTCATAGAGATGGAAGAAGATGATTTTGGGGGAGGGATGTGATACTTTCTCGTCTGTTTGTTAGGTACTGCCAGCTATTAGGGAGAAGCATGACGAGTTTATGCTGAGGGAACTTGTGAAAAGATGGGCCAATCATAAACTCATGGTTAGGTGGCTGTCTCGGTTCTTCCATTATCTTGATCGTTACTTCATTGCTCGGAGGTCACTTCCAGCACTTAATGAAGTTGGCCTTACCTGCTTCCGCTCTCTGGTTCGTCTCTGACTTGGACAACTATTTTTAATCCATAATATAGGCTTTCTGTATGGCTTCTTTTCCAACATTGTTTTAATGGTATACTATAATTTACTTTCCTTAATTCAGGTGTATACGGAAATAAGTGGCAAAGCCAGAAATGCTGTCATCGTTCTTGTGAGTTAAACTTTGTGAGCTGCTTGTTGGTACTCATTAGTTCTTTCAACGGAATCTTGACACTTATGTATTCTGATCCAGATCGATAAGGAACGTGAGGGAGAGCAAATTGACAAAGCTCTGTTGAAGAATGTCTTGGACATTTTTGTCGAGATTGGGATGGGGCAAATGGATTGCTATGAGGTTGATTTTGAGGCCCCTATGCTGGAAGATACAGGTGTGTACTACAGCCACAAGGCATCAAACTGGATTGTGGATGACTCTTGTCCAGCATACATGTTAAAGGTATAACTTAGTGTTTTGGTCCATTATAAGTCAGTTTTCTACAATTACTCCTGTTGTAACAAGGCAACCCTGAATTGCAGTCCGAGGAATGCTTGAAGAAGGAAAGAGACAGAGTTGCACATTATCTGCACTCAAGCAGCGAGACGAAATTAGTAGAGGTTAGTTCAATATCAGACTATTTTTAGGGGGGTTAATGGTTGTACTTTCTGTTGCTCAATTAATGCAGTGTTTAGCTTTTACTAAATCCCCATGAGTTAAAGACACTTGTTGGTGCAGTATGTTTAAAGTTCTTGCTTCTGATGCAGAAAGTACAACATGAACTGCTAGTGAACTTCTCCACTCAGTTGCTTGACAAGGAGAATTCTGGGTGTCGTGCTTTGCTGAGGGATGACAAGGTATATCTGATTTAACAATTTCCATGAAACTGATTGTCTCCACATTTTTTGTAGTGTAAGATAACATTAATGATTTCTATGTACCCTATCTAGGTCGATGACCTTTCCCGGATGTATAGGCTTTATCATAAGATACCTAAAGGCCTAGATCCTGTTGCAACCATATTCAAGCAGGTTGGCTATTGTATATTGTCATTTTGTTGAGAAAATGGCCGTCTATATCTCTGGTACTCATCATGTATATTTTACAGCACATTACTGCCGAAGGGATGTTACTGGTACAGCAGGCTGAAGATACTGCGAGTAACCAGGTGGTTCAGGTCAGTCGTGGCTTGGATTATTTTTCACTCATTGTTTGCTTTTTCTTTATATGCTTGTAGTTTCTTAATATATATATGTATATATATATCGTTAAAGGGGTTAGCACCTGGAGATTTAGTTTCAAATCTTTTACTCTTAAAATTTCATTTTTCTGATCTGACATTTTATGTTGATGCCTCTTCTGCAGGCCACAAGTGGTGGTGTTCAAGAACAGGTAATTATCTCCTGTTTTGCTCCCAGAATTCTGTTTTCTCAACTCTTTGCTGATTTGTATTGTTTGGTTCCCAGGTGCTGATAAGGAAGGTGATTGAGCTCCATGATAAGTATCTCGCTTACGTGAGCGATTGTTTCCAGAACCATACTCTGTTTCACAAGGTTAGGATCCATCCATATGTGAATGCATCTGTCATATTGCTTTATCTAGCTGTTCTGCCCATTAATTTATCATTCTTGCCTGGTGAATAGGCTATGAAAGAGGCGTTTGAAATCTTCTGCAATAAAACTGTTGGTGGAAGTCCTAGTGCTGAACTTCTGGCAACATTCTGTGATAACATCCTCAAGAAAGGAGGCAGTGAGAAACTTAGTGATGAAGCTATTGAGGACATATTGGAGAAGGTTAGCCTAGTGTGATGAGCACTCGACTTAATATGCTTTGTATTCTGTGGTAGTGTTTTTTGCCAAATAAAACCAGAAAATTTTGCAGGTCGTCAAGCTGCTTGCATATATTAGCGACAAGGACTTGTTTGCTGAGTTCTATAGGTAATTGTTGGTTGAAGTCGCTTATTATTATAATTATGTGCTGGTTGTTTCTTACTAGGTAGTTCATTTGCTATCTAAGTTTCTCTGTATCAGTCATACTTATAGTAACATTGTTAATTATTGTAGGAAAAAGCTTGCTCGTCGCCTGCTCTTTGAACGCAGTGCTAACGAGGAGCATGAGAAGAGCATTCTGACGAAGCTTAAGCAGCAATGTGGTGGACAATTTACTTCAAAGATGGAAGGAATGGTAATGCCTATGCGAGGTTCATTTTGCATTGCACTATGAATATGGTCCCCTTTTTATATTGATTGGTGTCCTTTTTACTTTTAGGTCACTGATTTGACACTGGCAAAGGATAATCAGAACGAGTTTGAGAATTATCTTTCTAATAACCCAAATGCGCATCCGGGTATCGACTTGTCAGTCAATGTTCTTACAACTGGATTCTGGCCAAGCTACAAGTCTTCTGATTTGAACCTTCCTTCGGAGATGGTAATGTGGAGTTTTTTCCTTTATGTTATGTATAGTACCCTATATCTCCTCCTGCATATTATTCATTCTGTCTTGTTGCAATACAGGTTAGGGGCGTTCAAGTATTCAAAGAGTTCTACGACACAAAAAGTAAACATAGGAAGCTAACATGGATTTACTCCCTTGGGTCTTGTCAACTAATCGGCAACTTTGAAGCCAAAAAAATTGAGATGGTTGTCTCAACTTATCAGGTACTGTCAATATCTGATTGGAAGAGTCTGAATGTTGCAGAAATGTTGCCCGGTCTATTAACACTTTACTTTGTAATTTCTGCAGGCTGCCATACTTCTATTGTTCAACACCTCAGACAGGCTCAGCTACTCTGAGATTATGACCCAGTCAAACTTGGGTCATGATGACTTGGTCCGATTGCTGCATTCTCTGTCATGTGCCAAATACAAGATCCTTATTAAGGAACCAAGTTCAAAGACGGTTTCCCCGAATGACATCTTCGAGTTCAACCCGAAGTTCACCGACAGAATGAGGAGGATCAAGGTAATTTCACTTTCTTTATGCTCTTAACTTCAACCGCTTTAAAAAAGGAATTGCTGCGGTATTCAGTATTGCACTCACAGATGCATTTTTCATGTTTAAGGGGGAACAATAACTTATAGAACACTTATTTAATTTGCAGATTCCACTTCCAGTTGTGGATGAAAGGAAGAAGGTTGTTGAAGATGTTGACAAGGACAGGCGATATGCAATAGATGCAGCCATCGTTCGCATAATGAAGAGCAGGAAGGTTCTTGGTCATCAGCAGTTGGTCTCGGAGTGTGTGGAGCAGCTCAGCCGCATGTTCAAGGTATATTATTATATATATGTTCGCTTAACAGTACAAATGAGGCCTGATTCAGTATCACCACTCAAAGCTAGATGGCGGTTATTAAGCCTCGTGTCTTCGTCATATATATTCTTGCTGTCCGATTTGGTTTTCTGAATTTGGGGTGTCTTTGTCTATCTTGTATTCTGCAGCCGGACATCAAAGCTATCAAGAAGCGGATGGAAGACTTGATTGCCCGAGACTACTTGGAGAGGGATAAGGAGAACGCCAACCTGTTTAGGTATCTGGCTTAAATAACGGCAGCTGATCTCCTCTGCAAGAGGATATCAGCATCTTTGCCGGAGACGATATGAAGAAGCGAGAGGGATGGATGGATGGATATCGGAACAAGCGAGGGAGCTCTGAACAGTGCTTCATATATAGTTCAAGATTGACTTGTTCTTAATTACCAAAAAAAATTGCTTGATGTAAATGGCTGTAGTAGGAAAGTGCCCTCTTTCTTTCTAGGGTAAACAGACTAGAAATCTACTGGGAAGGATTTCTTCTTTTGAGTGCCTAGCTTCTTTGACAAGCAGTTTTGTGAGATAGGTCCTTCCTACTTATCTCTCTCCCTTCTACCTTGATTGGTTGCAGACATATTGATGGCGCAAAATATGTTGATATGGAAAATGGAAAACTGGGGGAAGAAATTCAAGTATATTTTTCCAATCTCAGCTTTTCCTCGTATATGTTACTTTTATCATGGGTTACTCTTTCCTGGTTTGTCCTGTTCTAGTGACGGTGTTAGAATTTTCTTTTGGTAGGCTTGTGCTACCATCCTGTCCTGTGTACAATTTGGGAATGGAGAGCCGTAATTAGCAACGACAAAACAACTCGCCCCGAGTAACTGTAAACATTACCATTTCGAGACATTATAGTTTTGGGGTCGATCCCGTTAACAAAGAAGGAAATCTGTTACTAAGAACAGACATTATGGATCTGTGGTAGATGCCGGTAACAAAGAAGGAATCTATTAAAACTTGGGATTCGGCACCATAATAAAACGCTACCATGATTGTTGAAGAATATGATGCAAGTGAGTTTTCCTGGGTAAGGCTTAGAATGTCATGTTCATAGTAAAAAAACACGGCTCAGGATAGGAAGATTTCCCCATTTGCACCAGTCGCGAGCAATCAGACTAAAAGCTTTACTCATAAAATCATGACCTATAGCTCTAATAAGGAGATAAAACCGAGTGTTAACAGTTACAGGGTCTTCTTCCACTCAAGTATGTACAAAAATTACAAGGTTGTGGCACACGCCAACAAAAACTACATGAGCTTCAGCACACAAGTCAGTCAGAGGGATCTGTCCAATAAGGAGAGCTGGCTCCAGTGCTGGTGTGGTCCTGGCTGGTGTTGCTTCCCCTTCAGTTTTGTTTTCAGGTTGACCCAGGATAATGTCAAGCATGTTACAGAATTTCAGCTGTTACTTTTGTCATCTAGCCCCTGACTGCAGTAGTAATCAGAGCTCCTGAAGCTCATCCAAGTTGGGTCTGATTGGGTACTCCAACCCATGCAGTGCTGGCATATGCTTCAAGTCTTCAGCTGCATAAGCTGGGATTAGCCAGTATCTCTTGTCAGTGCCGAATACCTGATCCAGAAAAACAACAGTTAATGAGGGGGTCTTGGTTATTTATAATGAGATTCATAAGGTTGTGTCTTTTAATCTTGTTTAGAAATGCAATCTAGGATTCCAAAAGCCAACCCATGTACCATGCTGAGAGGCAGAAGTATAACAATGCTATGTGTGATACAGATAAGTTGATGATGCAAAATGCGAAGGCTGAAACCAGTTTCAAGTTCTAGGTCTGGGTTCTAGATACCATGCTGAGAATGTCGTTGACTGACAAGAACATGGACAGGTTTGAAAATGCATGGGGTATCCAGGTGCAAATTAGGGGATGAAGGATGTAAAGGTGACAGATGATAAAGAACCTGTTCAAAGTTCCTCATTCGACCAAGGTCGTAACGCCATCTGGGATCAGTTTTCTTTTCATAAGCCTGTAAAAAGGGTCAGAAAGAGAAAAATAAGATTTGATATCAGTTTCAAATTTGAATAGACACGTTGACGTCACATGCATATAAGAGAAGGCGCCACCACCTTCACAAAAAACAAAGGAAAAACAGAAGTCATCACCTCAATAGTAGTGGTATTTGCTAACACCAATGATATGTGCAGAATAACGAAGCCCAGAAGACTCAATGCAAATGACAAATTCAACACTGTTTCAAAGCAAACAAGTATAACAAACTGTTAAGAACTTCAGTACATAACATAATATGGTCAAACAAAGAACAATAAAACACTTGAAGTATTACCAAATGCAATAAACGTAGCCACAAGATCCCCTGCAGTTCCATCTATTTCGCCATCCCCAAAGAATGCTATGAACAGCCGCAGCAACGATACAGTGACCAGAGCTGTTTCAAGAAATGTGTAGAACTGCAAAAGGAAATAGACATAACTAAATGGGTAATAAATTTCTTTCCCCCAAAAATGAATCTGAAGTATTAAGAAAAATTACAATGTAATAAAGCAATCATGCAAGGACAAGCCCTTACCAGAAAGAGAAGGAAATACTTGTAGTTTAGTGCGCCGACACAATTAACGACCCAAACGCAGTGGTGATCCATCTTCAATATGCATCTTCGGCCTACCAAAGAGACGAATAATGCATAGCTTTATTAGAAGGAAAAGCAAATTAAGACTCATGCCAAAAGAGTTAGGTTAGTAAAAGAAAAAGAAACTCACAAACCGAGCAGTGGTGGCTACGAGGCGGTTTGAACTGGTTGCACTTTCGACAGAATCGTGCTTTCTGCATTTGATCCTTGTTTAGAACTAAACCAGCCGTACTTTGATCTGTACCCACCAATGGATCTACAACACCACCCTCCTCCTCATCTGTTATTGGCCTCCAAGTTTGTGGGACGCCACCAGGATCCGTCAGAATAGTGGTAAAGTAGCTCCAAACAAGCATCACCAACTACGTAACCCAACTGACAGAGTGTTAATGTTGTACGTAATATACTTCATTTGACCGAAAATTTAACAGACTATGAATCAAGTGAAGCCAAAAGCTTGAAATTCTAAAAAGACAAACTCTGTGTGTTCCCTGGTCATACAACAACTCAATAGTTGAGAATGTGAAGCTTTGGACTAGATTTAGGACTACTCTACAAACTTAATGTAGCCATTAGTGTAACCAATATCAACGAGATGTCTCTGGCTCTGAAGAAGCGCTCATTATGTTGATCTGATTTCAAACTAATTCACTCCCATGCCACAACCACCAAAGAGTCCAGGGTTTAGCAGGCTCAATTCAACAACTTAAGGTAGTAGCAAATAGCCAAAAACTCGACCTGAATAGAGCAAAAACCAGATAACCCCTTGTTATTACGACTAGAGTTCTGATTTCTTCACTTAGATGGGAAATGTAGATTCCAATTCAGCAGTCTAGAATTGAACTCTTTCACATTCACAACCAATAGATAAAGATTCCAAATTTAATGATCGAAGTCCACAGAACGTCATTTCTGAATCTTAACAGCCGATAGCTACTTAGCAAAGACCTTGTTGCCACCTAATCTAACTTACCATCTCATCTCATCCTAACAAGGGGAGGTTCAAACCATCATTCAGCTATCAACAAGAATTCCAACAGCTCAGCTGATCCACAACCACATAACAAATCGAAATCTCAGCAAAAGAGAACCATAAAAAAGGAAGTTGGAACTGCTTACGAAAGCATGGAAGAAAAGCAGGACGAGGAAAGCAACAAACGAATCGAGCCCGCCGTTGAACAGAGCTGGGCCGTAATTCTCAACGACGATAACATAATAGGTCAACCCGATGACGCCCACCACGAAGAAGATCATTATGGAACCAAGGGCGCGCAGGAAAGTGCAGAACTTGAACACGTTCAGCGCCATTATTGACCCCCCACCCCCTCCTCCAGATTTCTGCTGAAACATTTTCTTTTCCTCCACCGCAATCGAGCTCCGGAAGAATCGAAAAGGGGAAGCTGACAATAGAGAAAAGGAGGGAACTTTCAGCAATCAACTGTAGAGCTCAAGAATGGGTCGCCGTCGGATTTCCGTGGGAAAATCTATTCGCCACGCAGCATTGAAACTTCCGGGGCGGTGAAGTCCGGACCGGAAGTCTTCTTGTTTCTTTTTCCCCCTTCTCTCCTTTTCTTTTCTGGATTTCTGTTTTGTTCCCTTTTCTGATGAGTTTTGTTTTCGTTGCTTTCTTCTTTTCTTATTTTCTACTAAAAAATTCGCCGGATTTACTTGCGTAAGACACGTGGCGGATATTTTGGGCCGGGGTACCCATAATTGAGCAAATCTAGACGGGCCTAGGCTAGTACTGTGGCCAGTTGAGCCTATTGTGGGCTTTATTGAATGGTCAAGTTCTGCTTCGAAAATTAGGTCCATAATAAAGAAAACAAAGGGTACTGACTCCACGAAAATTTACAAAATTAGGCCATTGATTAGGGTGGGAGGTAAGTGGTTTTCAAACCGGAATATTTAAACCGGTCAATGGTTATGGGAGAGATGGCCGGACCGGCTGGTATTTACTCAAGTGACTCGTGAGAGGTGGAAGTTAGTGACCAACCCTTAAAATATAAGGGAGCCAAATTGAGTTTATGGGTGAACTAATGGAGGGGCTATTAGGTATAAGTTTATTGTTAAGACGATTTAATATATACAACTACAAATTAAAGAAATGGTTTGCTAGGTTCTTACCAATTCGGCATGCAACCATGTGACTGTGAGGTAGGGCACCAACCTAACATATGTCCTACTAAGACACTAAAACTAGTGACATCAATATGATTAATAACTAAACATACTCTCCTTATCAATTTAAAATAAATTTGGGTCAATTGATGATTTATCTCTTTCTTTTTTTTTGTTGTCTTGGTGGAAGCATTGAGAGAGGCTCTTGCACAGGGGCACTAACTCAAGCATGCTTCCTCAAAGTTATCCACCAAGTCAACAACCCCTTCTTCCTTATTCTTGTTTGAAGACACCCAGTTTCAAATCTTATATATACAAAATACGAGGAGCGAGCTAGCTCGAACTCTAGGTCTCAATACTTAAACTGAAAGAATAATTTGTTAGTATATCAACATTTATGCCTTGCACGCTTCTTAGCTTATTGGTTTAACTTCGAGGTGGTTCTAGAGGGGACAAAAGTACCATAGAAATTGTGTGGTGGGGGTAGCATGAAAGCAACCAGCAAGAAATTTCACGTGATCCCTCAGACATCTATCTCGCCATTCAATACAATAGAAAAGTCGACAGTTTTAGATCCGAATTTTGTTTAGGAAGGGCAAAATAATGAAATAGCGGTCGGGCGTAAATTCTATCTCCCTAAAAAGGGTTTCCCTTGCTTTCAGTAGAGCAAAGCAAGTAGGTGATAAAAGAAATAGGGTGAGATAGAGAGTGCAAATGTCGCCAATCTTCTTTCCTCAAAAAACCCAAGTTGTACTGGTATTATATCGACCAAGCTAGCTGCCATCCCGTGCAGCCATAAACTGGAAAATGGCGTTTTGCCACATTTAATGGCTTCACATGCATTTATGTGCTCTGTTATAGAATAGTGTTGTCGTCGTCTCTGCAAGTCTTCGCTGCCTTTGGCAGAAAGTGTAAAGAAGCTAGCTAGCTAGAAGGGAGAGCTGATGAGCAGGCAGGCGGGCGGTGAGTTGTGCGCCAAGCCAATGCAGGCAGGGAGGAGTTGGTGTTGGTGCTGCCATTTACTACTCCACAGCGCAGGAATAGAATAAATGCGAGTGGGCAGTTGAGGGATAGGGAGAGCATGGCATCACATTAAATGTGGTTTTTTTTTTTTTTTGCCTGTGGGGCTCTTTCCCTACAGAAAAAGAAGAAGGGGGAAAAGCCTCTAAATTTAATGGAAAAGACCCCATCAATCGCCAACACCATATTGTATAATCAATACGATCGAATGTGACACTCTTTCTACCCTCCATTCATCGCCATTATACTCATGTATAGTGACCATATTGCACACCACAGCCGTCCCATGATATTTGGAGGCCCTGTTCGAAAATTTAACATGTGGCCCCTAATTTTTTTCTCAATAAATTTATTAAAAATAAAATTTATTAAATAATTATAAAGTACATAAGTTCAGAAAATGATTTCAAAATGAATAAACAATCTCATTTCCTGTTTGACCAATAAACCAAGACCAAATTCTCACTCCTAGCAGGGAGGGAGAAAAGTAAATCTGGAGGGAACAGAAAATGGATATAGAGCAAAAATTGAATGGAGAAATGAAAATAATATAAATTGATCGAGAGGTGGGTGCGGGTCTATCTAATGGATCGTGTAGGCCCTATTCCAAAATTGAGACATGATCCAAATTGACTTTTAACTATAATAAAACTAAAATGATTATAATACCATTATTTAAAAAGTAATATCTTTCTTTATTGTTTAAATTAAAATTATCTATTATCTCTCTGATTTTCGTATTCTCCATGAGATCTTTTTCAATTGTTATTATAGCTAAAATTATCTATTAAATTCGTTATCATATTCATAATCTATCAATCATACACTAAAAAACAACTTGCAATATTCGATCGGTAACTAACGAATCTAAGTGGAGGCCCCTAATATTCGGAGACCCTGTGCCGGAGGGCGGGCTGGCACACCCTCTTGGCCGGCCCTGTTGCACACCATTCTTTAATCACTATTAGTGATTCCGATGTATAGTAATTACCATTTCTTAATGCACATACGTCGTATGAGTTTCATTTCAACTCATTCGCACATGTTATTTGAAAAAAAAATGAAAAATGTAAGAATTTGAATTTTTTTTCACGATAAAATAAATGGTAAACACTTCATAAATGAAAAATAGAGATGATATAAGAAGTAATTGGGTTCGGCTACAAGAAAGATGAATTCTTACACTTATTCAGAGTGTCATTCGACGACTTCAGAGAAATATCATTCAAGAAAATGAAAATAGAAAAAATACAAATAAACGAAGGCAATAAGATTAGTTCAAATTGCCATTACTATATAGTTCGCTCCGCCAAGTGGAAGGTATATTATATATTGTTTAACCATGTTTTGTGAAAACCCTACTGGTTGATGATGTTATTATATATATATATGTGAATTTCCCTGTCTATATGTTTGGATGGTTCGATTGGATATATACCACAATTCATGGATGTATATGAATATTATCACACACTTGAGACCAAAAAAGGAAATTAAGCTGCTAAGTTCCAGTAAAGTGTTCTCATGTGAAATGTTGTACCCTGGAGTGCCTTGTGTTGCGGGGCACTACTGTATATATTTGCAGAACGTTACAAAATCCCATGGCGTGGACTCTAGTTGGGTTATGATTAAGGTCACGAGTTCGTTCATATTGTCGGTTTACTTTTCTCTTGTTTGGTCAAATAATAAATTATTGCACACTTGATTATCATAACCAAACTAATCTAAAAGAGTACCTGTCATACATGTGAATGATGATACAAGTGAGATTTGGCTTTGGATCCATAATCTTTAAACAATTAAACAACTATTAATAAGTACTCACTAGCTTGAGTGAAAATTAAACCACCTTATATAAGCTTATCACATTCTAAGTGATGTTGAGCTCGACATATATATAGTTCAACAAAGCAGAGTACAAAGTGCATCTATATATCGGTTGTTATAATTGTTAGTGAAAATGTTAAAAAATTATGATTCAATATGTCATAACTCAATCGAGGGAGGGACGAGAGTGGGGATGGGAGATACTTCATACAATTAGGTTTACATTTTGGTAGGAAAAATGTTAGTTGGGTCATATTGTCATAGAGCTCCAAAAGTATTTTATACAGGCGTGCAAGATATCAATATTGATAAGAATCGGTTAAAAACTTACGATAAACCTAACAGTCGTGAAGCTAGACTCGCTCTATGTTGAAATAAGATGCTAACCAAAGTAACTAGCCCAACTCGAATTCCTAATTAACATACCAAATCTGTCTAACTACGGTATTCTATATATACTAAACTAACTGAATTGATCCTAATCTTTTACACTAGACAACATTCTTGTCCTAACCTAATCCTGAGCATAATCAACAGGGTGATTTTGATCTTGATCACCCCTAATGTACACCACCATATATTAGATGTCCATCCAGAAGCCATTATAGGGTGTAAAGAAAAGCAATTACATGTTTCTTAAGAATGAAGGCAACTAACTAACTAGTTAAAATGGTGGTTATATATTTCATCATTGGCAGGCAGTTAGAGTCTTGACTTTCAGAAATTCCCGCACATCCATCACATGCATTGAAGAAGAAGAAGAAGAAGAATGTTGATCAAGGCAATTAATGGTAAAGGTAAACCATCTCGGACTCAAAGGGAAATGAGAGACTATCGATCTCTCTTGATGAGCACTCCAAGGTGTGATAGCCATAGCCGTAGAGGTAGAGCCACTGAGCACAGTCTTGTCGTAATTCAATGTAAAGCATTTATGTAAGGTTCCAAGGCCATACTGTTTGCATGGCCCAAGCTAGCAACCTGCCTCGCTACCTCTCTTATTTTTTTCAACAAAAACGACTGCACGCCCTTTTGGTTTTTACTGAAATATCGATTGCCACCTACACCTAGCAACCATGGCCGGTACCCGACCGTCTCCGACCCAGTTAACGCAGGAAATTTTTACTTTGATTGAGTATGGGGTGTGTATGGGTAAAACTCGCAAAAAGGTTGATGGGTATGGGCGGGTATGGTTTTGGACTCTCCCGCCACATACTCATACTCAAACCCGCCCCACCAAAGATATTATGTTATATAGATAAAATATAAGGAGTTTATTGTAACTTGTCAATGGAATGAAAGGTAATTAAAAGAAATAACAAAGTGTTAAAATGTAACTGATGGCAACCAAACCAGAATTTCATCCTCTTATGTATGAGTTCCATAATTTTGGGTTGGTAGTATCCATATTTGTCACCATGTTCTTTTATTAACGGTGAGTAGTTTATTGGGTGGGTATTAACCATGGGTATCCGAAAACCGCGGATATGAGGATGAGTTTGTAAAACCTTCCACCGCATGGGTATGAGACGGGTATGAATTTGGGTATTTGAAAACGGGGATGGGGTTGGTTTAGAGGGTTAATTGCACAGGTTGTCACTTAAGTTCTATACTGGTTGCATGTTGACCATTGGAGTAATATTTGTTGCAACTAAACCACTTAACTCTAACTTTTGTTGCAACGTTATCTTTTCCGTCCCAAAACTTAACGACGGGTATGAAAACGTAATTATTCATGCCACGTGGGCAATCCAACTAAGTTGAGTTGTCGTTGTGTTATCATTCGCCAGTGCGCACCATCCAACGACGATCCCTTCAAAATTTTACACTATTCATTTAGCAAGAAGTCAAGAACTTGGAGGTAAAGCATGGGAGTGTTTGCCGAAAATTCAAGCTCGGGCCCAAATTTGGAAGAGAATCATGTAATTAGCGAATGTATTTGGATGAGGAGGAGTGGAGGACGATGTCTTTTACACGGTGAATGAATCCTCTACTTTAAGCTTGAGGCGGTATTGCTTCCTATTTGGGACAAACTTGAAGAAATTGCAGACGAAGATAGTGAGCAAGAGGAAGAGAATGAAGAAGAGCAATTACAAAAGAAAGCATTGAATAACAGAGGCCTTTGTCATTTTCATGGCTGAATTGGAGAGCTGTCGGCGCTAGATTTAGTATTTGTGAATGAATCTAGTTCAAGAGAAATGGATAGACTGTTTTGTTGGACGCTTCAACTCTGGCCCCTGAAAATAACACAAAGGCAAAGCCTCAAGCCGGTCAGTCTCTGTTTTCTATGAGATAAAAACAGAGTGAATTTTTTTTATAGTTTCTTTTGTCTTGGCTGGGTGGATTGAGAGCAATTGAATGGATTTCGACTTGTATCACAGTTGGATGTAAGCATTGGTAGGATCTCTAGAGGATTGGTTCTTTTGATTTGGGGCCGCTGGCTTCTCCCAACACCTCTGCTGTTGTCCTGTTTTTCTCTCTGGCTTCTGTATTTTGTTGTGTTTAATTAATACTAATAAGATCACCATGAAAAAATAACAGAATGAAGCAAAGCGAACTAAGCACTGAAATTGTAAATAAGACGAGATGTTTTGTTAACCCAAAGCTTAATCACTAATGCCCTCCATTTGTGAGTTGTCCAAGTAAAAGATTGGTTGATAATATATTTGTCTTCATTATTTGAGGTCTTCCACCTAATAGTAATAATTTAGCTCCTTTGATCCAGCAATTACAACGGTGCTAAGGACAACATATTGGCTTAAACAAAAGTATATTTGCTTACCATGTTACCATCATTATACGTTTATATGCTAATATGTGGTATATGCAGAGTGTGCCAGTGTGGTATTGTCGAAGAGAGCCAACGGTGGTGGTGGGTTACGGTGAGGGAATTTCCCAACAATTCAGACTGATTAGGATTGTCTACGTGTCATGAATAATTACAATTTCATACCCATTGTTAAATTTTGGACGGAGAAAATAACTATGAAAAAAAAAATAGAGTTAGGTGGTTTAATTGCAACAAATATTACTTCCATGGTCAACGTGCAACAAGTCTATAACTTAAGTGACATCCTGTGCAATTAACCCTTGGTTTAGACAAACCCGTCCCAAAACCCGCCACATTGTTATCCCTAGTTACATATTATAAGAAATCAGGTTTAGAATATTGATTCAATTATTTAAAAGATTAGATATAGCAAGAGAAAGAGCAACCCAATAAGTTCTGACATTATGCCTTCGAAGAATTTCTTGAGCTTTGATAATAGGGCAAGAGTTGAGGATCGAAGACAATGCTCGAACTATAACCTAATATTCCGATTGGACAACACATTAGTCTTTTCAATAACGACGTCGCTTCTACTTCAATGCCCCGTTGTTGATGATATATATCGCACATTTGGGTCGGTTTGGCATTTCTCTACACGCATACACTAATACAAGTAATTTCCCTATACATACCCTAATGTTAGGATAGCGTCTTGAAGTGAGATTAGGGTGGTTCCACTCTGTTTTAGTAAAGGTGGTTAAGCTAGAGCCCTTTAATTTTCACCTAAACATGAATTAATCCATGGCATGCTTCACTCCAATGATGTAACCCGATGCCTACGCATATAAACCCAAACCTGAAAATGTAAATTTACGTGCCCTAATTGATGACTGTCTATAATCTATATATATACGGTTTGCCTATCAAATCGACTAATCCAGCTCAACTACTGCTGATAAATGATACTTAAATAATCCAGTGCACAGATGACCAACTACTGATTGGATTAAGTTATATTTTGTGACACGAATTGGGAGCTAACTATACATGTATTTGTTATATAGAGGCAGTCCAATCATTTTAGCACAAGCTTGCAACACCACCCACCAGAAGAGAGTTCCAGACAGTGTACAACACCATCATCATGTTTTCTTCCATTAATTGAGAGGGTGGTGATTAGTGATCCATCCCAATCAAAACCATTAACTCCCTCTTAAAAAATGTTTAAGAAAGATTAACTCAAAATGGTCCACTCACTATTAATTAATATTGTTAAAGTTTAATGAAGGTATATTCTATGCATCCGCACTCCTCACAAACAAAAAAAAGAGAGAGATATTGTTGGTTTTGAAAAAGAGAATCTACAAACTAAAGTTGTTCATTGTTTCTGGCGCCTAACACGTCATTTTCTGGGGAGGGTTAAATATTGTAATGTGGTTAGTTTGAATGCTGCTGTGTATGTGGAAGGGTGACGATGCAACTTGGGTGAGTTAGCTGGGCTGGGCTGGGCTGGGTTGGTTGCAGAGAGTTGTGGATAGGAGCTTTGGTTAAGAAGTGGACAGATTGTGCCTCGAGGGTCGATCCCATTGACCTACACTGTCTTTTTTTGTGTGCACATGAAATCTCAACTTTTGGTTGCTAGCTGGGAATTCCATTAGTTTTGCATATGGCACCAGGACCACGACATTGACCTTCCTCGGCTCTAATATTTCAATTTCTGCCTTTTTCTTTTTCACTCTTCTCCTTTCTAGTATGGACCCAACCCAACTGCGGGTGGATGAATTTGAATGGGATGATAACAGGGTTGTATGTTTAGGCTGAATTCTTAGATTGGTTTCTATGATTATATTAGGTTAGGTTGGATTTGGATGTTCATGTTATTTGTGTTACTTTGTCTTATCAGGTGGTTGGAATCTATTAGGGTGATTCAATAGTGTTAATCTAAGCACAGACCCTCTGTCAACACATATACTCATCGGATATTGGATATACGTGCAATACTCACTGACCAATGATAACGTATATTTCACTAATCAAACTTGCGAGAAATTACAGAGAAAAATATGATACGATAAGACACTTAACTTGTCAACGTCAAAACATCTATCAAAGTGTAAACTTGGACCAGCAACGGAGGATGGGTTCCTCTCCCAGTTGATAGTAGTTGGTAGCATATAAGGGATCACTTAATAAAATCTAAAAAGCTATCTTTCATGTTACTCTCAGGCAATGCACAATTACACACGATAAGAATCAAGATGTTATTCACGGACTAAATACAATATGATAGCCGGGATTTAAAAAAAAACACACACACATATGAAGATTGATTCCATCCTATATCCTCACAAGTCACAACTCATCACAGGGAAGATATATACTACAGCCCAAGTATGAGGATTCACAAGACAACTCAAATCAAAATTAGAAAATGGAGTTACCCCAATGATATTATATGCCATTTTGCGACCGTTTAAAAAGGAAATAAACCTCTTAATTACTTGCTTAATTATCATTGCAGCAAAAATAAGCAAAGAGTAAAGGAAAAAACAGAGTCTGGAAACATACTACCCCATATCCCAAAAGAGTTTCAACTCTCAAATGAGCTTACTTGTCCAGCTGAAAGCAAAACAGTAAATAAAAAGAAACGAACAGATCAAACAGTAAATAAAAATAATCCTGGAGTGCAGCTGTGAACCCACATCTCACATGGTCAGTACTCAGTACCCCGCCCGAAGACAGGCAAAACAGCCAGAAAGCTTTATAACTTCACGGCAAAACCCAACGCTCCCTCTGCCTGCAGTCTGCGCCCAAGATCTACCGCCATAATTACAAGACGACGACGAACGAACCAATATCTCTCTCCCGCACCTCTCAACCTCAAGAAAACGAAATGGAAGCCCCTAATTATTAGTTTATCATTACCTAATCCATCTACCCTAATCGCTAAATTAAATTAGCCCACAAAACAGAGTCACCCTCACCCCGCTGATTCCCATCGGGATTAGTTCTCTGTCATTATTAAAAAGATGCAGACTTCAGACCACCCCCCGCCATAGCTATTACTAAGCTCTGAACCAAGGAAGAAGAAAAGGGAAAGCTTTCTTTCTAATCCCATCAATGGCGCCATCTTCTTCTTCACCTTCTCCTCTTTCTTCCTCTTCCCCTGTTTCGCCCAACCCTCCTCCCCCTCCACCTCCATTGCTATCGTCCTCCTACCACTTCTCCCACTTCACTCCCGTGAGTATCAACATTAATCAATCAGCCTCTGTTTGAGAAAATTCTGGGTACTGGGTCGATGGTAACGTGATTTGGGTTGTTGTTGTTGTTTTTGCAGATTCAGGAATGCGAGAGAGAAGAGCAGGAGGATGATTACAGCGAGTCGAGGAGCCAGCCCAGATCGACTCCCAAGCTCCACCCCACTCCGCTGCACGAGAGGAAGGAGCAGAAGAGCAAGATTTCCGGCGGACGGAGCAGCAAGAAGCGGCAGGATTCCGGCAGGGAGAGTTCGCGTTCTTCCGATGACGGTTCCGTGTCCTGCAACAAGTGCCGCCCCAACGCTAGGGAGAAGATCTTCGTGGTTCCTCTGGACAGCAGCAACAACAATGGCGGATTGAGCAGGCACTCGTTTCCTTCCTCGATTCCCAGCCCCAACGGGATTTTCAAATCTATTTTCTCTTCCCTTGCGAGGAAAAGCCCCAAATCGTCCCCCGCCGACCGCGGCGTTGGCGGCGGGGATAGTGCCTCGTCGGCGAGGGAGGAGCAGTGGAAATTGGCCGTCGCCGAGCTCTCCCACAAACTGATTCAGACGACGAGGAAGAGAGACGAGGCGATCCTTGAGGCTTCCCGGCTGAAATACTCCATGACCGAGCTCGAGAAGAAGCTCAACAAGCTCGAAATCTACTGCCGCAACTTGAAATCGGGCCTCGACGAGTGCAGCAGCGGCAGCAACAACAACTCGCCTTCGCCCTACTCCTCCCTCTACAACCCCAAAACTCTCGACGACGGCGGCAACAAGCTCATTGTCGACCAATTTCTCCTCGCCGTCTCCGAATCCAGATCCTCCGTCCGGGTCCTGACCCGAGCCCTGACCCTCCAGCTCCGACAGATGGGTGCAGGCAAGGTGTTCGACAAATTGTCCGCCTTGCTCCACCCATACGACGTCAAAATCTCCCTCTCCAAAAACCCCAAGGGGGTCGTCTTCTACCTCGAGTCCCTCCTCAACCGAGCCTTCTTCGAAGACTTCGAGACCATAGCCTTCCAGAAAAGCTCCAACCTCCAGATCCTGAACCCAATCGACAGATGCGAAGCAAATTACTCCCTCTTCGAGACCCTGAAAGAGCTGACGTGGGAGGAAGTCCTGAGCAAAGGGACGCGCCATTTCAGCGAGGAGTTCAGCAGGTTCTGCGACAGGAAGATGAACGAGATCGTGGCGATGCTGGGCTGGAACCGAGCCTGGCCGGAGCCATTGCTCCAGGCTTTCTTCGGAGCTTCAAAAGCCGTCTGGTTAGTTCACCTGCTGGCCAACTCGGTCCACCCAGGGCTGCCAGTGTTTCGGGTGGACCGAGGAGTGGGATTCGAGTCGGTTTACATGGAGGATATGGGTGGAGATCGAGCCAGGAAGCTGGTCCCAGCCACGGTTCGAATCATGGTCGCACCCGGGTTCTATGTCTATGGGAACGTCGTCAAGTGCAAGGTTCTGTGCAGGTACCATAACTATGGTAGCAGTAGTAGTACTAGTAGTGTGATTACGTGCAATCCAACTCCGTGATTTCGATTGGGTGTTTTCGCTTTGTGGTGATGAATCCGTATCGGATCTGGATTATGATTTGCTTCATTTTGTGATACTGTTTTCCGGTTTTACATGGAGAATTGAATTGAATTGAATATATTAGCTTGTTGTTCTGAGTGCAGCCATTGTACGTTTCCAATGTGATGGGTATAATGTCTCGAAACGAGTTATTGTCGATCGGCTCTTTCATTTGCCAAGTTTTTCTTCGCAATCCTGCCGACGAAGTAATCTAACGAAGTTAGCCAATGTGTCATGTATGCGGATAAGACATTCTTTGTGTTGATTAGTGACAAACAGAAAACGGAGTCCGAAAGAGAAAAGTTGATGTGGGGAGTTTAGTGGACGGGGATTGGCGTTTTGTGGGTAAACTTTTGTTGGGTTGGTGAATTTAGTCGGATTGGGGGATTGTTCTTTTGTCTTTTGTTTTGTTTTCTAGGGTTTGGAGTTTGGACTTGAAGTTCTATTGTTTTTTTTTCCCGTCTTCCTTTAATCTCTTTTTATTTATGGGATCGAAAAAGTCAGCTATATAGAATAAGCAGAAAGGACTGGGGAGGAGGAGGGGAAGCTTGGGCGATTGCAATTTGCAGGATGCAATTTCCTTCCCCTCCTTTTTTATTCCATCTCTCAGTTGCTTTCTTGAGCTGGGTTTTGTGGTCACCCTCACGGCCAGGCTTGCAATGGCACATGGTGGTTCCACTGTCAGCTAACGAAACGTCAATCTCATTCCTGCATTTTGTTCCAGCACCAAGGTTGTCAACCCGCGGGTCGACCCACTTTGATCCTGACCCGGTGAGAAAAACAGGCCGCACGCACCCACCATGTCGACCGCTACAAGGTACCGGGTTGGAAGTCAAATTGTGTCATTTTTTTCTTTGTTTTGCGAAATGCGCCTATTTTTCGATTTTTCTTTTCGCCTAACTTAATCCTTGAAATCCTAAGTTGAACATTTGAATATTAATGTTATATAAGTGTGTGAATTTTTACTATGTGTTGAATCTAAATACGACATGTTGTTTTGGTGTAATATTATATGTTATAACTCATATGTTAGATGTGATTTGATATAATTTATCAGAATAAGTACAATATAATGACGCTTTCCATATTTTCGGGCTAAACCGGACTAAAACGGTTGACCCATTAGCCCTTAACCCTATAGCTCAACCGGGTCCGGGTCAACCGCGGGTTGACAACCTTGTCCAGCACAAAACCAGGCTTTGGCATTTCATGTTCTTCCCCTGGTTTATCAAATTGCACTTGCATATGCCTATATGTTATTAGTTGTTTGATCGGAATATTGGTGTTATCTAACAAATTATCATCACGTCCGATCCAATGATTAAAAATATATAAGAAGATGATTCAATAACATCAGCACATGCTCATCGCTCCAGTTAGCATATAGTCAAATTTGATCTCACCATTTCAGTTTGAAGGAAAAGGTGGGGAGGACACCCAAGAGTAAATCCGTGCGAGCTTGGCCCAAAGCGGACAATATCGTATTAATTGAGCAGGCCCGATTATGACAAGTGGTATCAGAGCCTGGTTCGGTGCGGGGCGGTGGACGTCAGTTTGGTGGACCCTCATTCGGTGGCTTCGGGATTTGCGATCTGCGTCTGGTTTGGTGGATTCACGAGAGATCCATGTTTGGGCTCATGATTTGGCGGATCAAAGAGAGTTCCGCGTCTGGAAAAATCCTTGTAACGAGAGGCCCATCGATACAAGGTGTATGGCGGATCAAGATAATCGCTGAGGTGATGACACGATGTTCGTGGTCCTTGGCTTGAGGGGAGGATTGTTATGGGACAATCCAAGTACCACATCGGAAATACATGGGAAGGATCCCTTGTATATTAGTGTCCACCAATCTCATTAGTACGAGGCCTTTTGGGGAGGACACCCAAGAGTAAATCCGTGCGGGCTTGGCCCAAAGCAAACAATATCGTACTAATTGAGCAGGCCGTGGTTTAGACCCATACGTGCTGTGAGTACAGGCAGAGGCAGCGTAGCAGCAACCAATCTGCAACCTTTTCCCGCTGTGATTGATGCTTTGACGGGGTTGAAAAGTGACGATACTCCCAATTATTACCTGCAAAAAAGTGGAAGCTTTGATTTTGTTCGTTTGCCCTTTGTTCTGTTCTGCAACTCGAACTACAGTCTACAGAAGAAGAGAGACTACTAGGGCTTGAGTGAGGTTAGACAGATGGTAATTAAAGGGTATACTTTTTGTTTCTTTGCTTAATGTAGAATGAAATGGCTTCTCGATCGGTCCAAAAAGTTGCATACACTAGCAGGAAGGAACGTGCAGATGGTTGATACAAATTGGGGGGGGAAAGGTATTAAACTTTTCTGTGTCAAAAGCTAATCGCTAATAATAAAATCAGCAAAGTGTGTCAGTGTGTGGTTTGGGGAGAGATTATTTAATAAGTAATCATCATTAATCAAAAGTCTTGGGTTAAAAAAATGTTGGGGAACTTTTTTGGTTATTATGTGAGGTTGAAGGGCCCATTATCTGTGTACCGACGCACCTACACATGGAGTCGGTCCAAGACAATGAGGAATTCGTAAGTGGCCCAGTCTCGCAAACGGAAAAGCCTTTTTTCTTCCAGCTCTTTCCACATAATGGGCCTATTAGGTTTTTAGTTCATGTCCGTTCCACTTAATGGATTTTTTTACAAAGAGATCACAGGAGCCAAATCGCTCGCGAGCAACTCGGCTTAAATCGGAAAAAATTCGTTCGACACTCGTCTCGTTAGTAAATGAGCTAAGCTTAAGCTAGACCATGCTCAGCTTGATAAGCTCGTGAGCTAGTTTGACTCGGGGGTTTGTTGAGCTAAGCCCATGAGCTGACTTGTTTGGAGCTAGTGGAAGGATTAATTACTCTTCTGAACATGAACATTATCTTGTTAATACGGATGTGTATGAAAGTTAGCTGTTATTTTAGTTTTCAGTGTTCTTTTTATCATTTAAATCCTTATGTGTACACGTTTTTCAACAAGAATGATTTAAAATCGAGCTCATCTTAAGCCAAGCTTGTATATAGCTTGACAAGTTGTTTTAACGAGCATTTACCGAGCTCTATCGAGTCGAGCTCGAGCTGGATTATCAAAATTAGAGCTCGAGCTTAAACATTTATTGACGAGCCGAGCTCAAGCTAAGCAAAAACTCGACTCGTCAAGGCTCGTTTGCGGCTCTAATCACATCTCTCTGCTTATATCATTGGAGGAGTGATAGTGATATATGCAAACAATGTGAACAAATATCATATCAACAATGAAAACAATAAAAAAACAAGACGTGTTTTTTTCCATGAAATGAATGAGTTTTTGAAAGAACCCAAGAAATTAAATGTGTTCAGTATGAAACTATGCATAGATGAGTAATTTTTCCAAAAGTCACGATAATACATCCCCAAAAGTAAAACCGTATAGAATTGATTCAAACCAAACAATTTTTATAAGAAAAAAAATTGAGATGTTATAATATCTCTAATTCTTCACAAAAAAAAGTCATGCACGTATCTCTTATACTTTTCTGCAATCTCATCAATTTATCATGCAAATTAACATGTATTTAGGAAATCATCTCATTGATTCATTTATCATTTTCCCCCCACCCAATTGATGACAGTTTAGCTGGCCTGTTTTAATTGAATGATTCGTAATTCATACATAGGAATGAGATGACAGTTTGCTTGGGGAGGGGGACAACCATAGGAGACTCAGCCAAACTGAACCAGAAAGTTCCTTAGTCAATTTACTGCCATCAAACTCTCTTCTTAATTAATTAATTATTAAGTTAGGAGGAAATTTCCATGCACATCCCCGTTGGTTACAGAAGCCGCAAAGTTAATTTATAGAGTAGCAATAATCGTGTGAATGCACAGCGAATTTCTTCCCAAATTGTTCCTTTACGTGATTTCCTTTCTTTGGATGATTTTCAACAACCGCATGCAATCCATGTGTCGTTGGAATATTTTTGTCAAGTCCTTTTCGTTTTACTAGTAAACACGGGATACAAATACAATTAAATTAATAAAAACGACTCCAGAAAAGGATTGAAGAAGAGAAGCTTCTTAATTATAAACCAATTTAAGTCAAAGTTGGGGTTACCAGGTTTAGCTACCTAATATATACATCATCCCATAAGAGGTAATAGGCAATATTCTCAACTATGTGATTTGCATTTGGTAATACTTTAATGTTCATCACATCATCGATTCTTAGATATTCGACGTTGAATAGATTAAGAGATTATAGACACACCACGTGTTGTTCAAATAAAATCATCTTCTCGCGTAATCCTCCTCTTCGAATAAAACAGTAACCTAAATGTTTTCTAATATAAGAATAAGCTCATAGGTAAATGACAACAATCATTCTGAACGACTGAATTGAATTTTGAAAAACGAATGCAAACAATCTAAGTCGTGAGTGAAATTATAAATTTTAGTGTAACAACTTAATCTATCTGTTATAATATATGATAATAAAAGTTGAATAAGAGACCAAAATAGTATGTTCTTTTCGAGGTCAAGCTAGCTAAGCCGTGACGGAGCAAGGGTTCAAATTAGTTGTGTCTAATTTTTATATAATATACATGTAATTAAATAATAATAATATCCATGAAAAATTAAATAATCAACTAATACAATTATCATTTTCGTATACAAACCAACATTTTCCTATTCTTAACAAGCATAAAATACATTGATTATTGTACTATTTAACAAGTTTCTTTCCAGATGGACTAGTCGTCCACATTTTTTTATAGGACCTAGTCGTCAACATTTCTTTAACCGTTTGTGGACGGCAGAATTATTAATGAGTTAAACGGTAAAAAACAGACAAACCCTATTTACCTTCGTGTTTAAGAAAAAAAAAATATTAATAATAATCATAATTGTCCTCTCATTTTCTTCTCTCCTTCCTCGTCCCCGTCACGCTTGCTTTTCAATTTTTGATCTCTCTCTCGACACCTTTTTCGTCCTCTCTCTACTTCGATCACTGCACGTTCCCCTGCCTCCCTCCTGCGAATCCTCGTTGCTGGATCCACCCGATCGTCCGGCCGGTGGGAGAATCATTTGCAGCATCGAAGCCGAGTTGACCGGGTAGCCATGTCGTTCTCCGACTCCGATTCCTCATCCTCCTCCTACGGTGCCGACTACAAGAATTTCAAGCAAATCACTCGCGAGCGTAAGTTCAATCTCCGCCTCTGGTTCTAGATATTTACATACCCGAGCATCTGCCGCTATGTCTAGGTATGCATTTGGAATCAGTTATGGTTTAATTGGGTTGGAGTGGGTGGCAATTGGGTGCTCCGATTTCTGCTATGGCGACAAGTTATTTCCCCATTTGATGGAGTTGAGGGTTCCAATTTGGTGTTAGCCAGTTCTTGTTTAAGTGATTCGAGCAGTTTGAGCTGAAAGTCGTACTCTAGTAATGGTAATGGGTTACTTGATAATGCTTAATCGATCTGATTCGAGGTGCTAGCTTTAAAATTAGCAACTTCCCATTCACCTTCAGCAGCTTATTAAAATTACCCATCCTTAGAAGTTGGAACACCGTTAGTTCTCTGCAATTGGAGTTGATGAACTAGAGGTCAAATCTTAGCAAGAAATAGAGTACGAGGCAGATCTTAATGGTTAAATATCTTATGAGGTTAATGCTGCTGCTGTTGCTGCCATTATTTCCCTATTACTCTATGCTTTGAGGCTAGATCAGCCAGAATTGGGGATTCATAAGTTTAGGTTGGCTCGCCGGCTGAGAATGATCTCATTAGAATCCACGAGAAAATCTGATCAGGTTGTAGTTTTAATTCTTAGGCGCTGTATTGGAGTATCATATGGCAATATTGAGATGAGGTGAGATGTTGGGGTGTTGAAGATGCGACTTCTCTATAGGAAGATCATCGAATAGTGGTGGCTTGTTGACTGTGTTGGCAAGTAGTATACACAGTCCAGGCTATACCTATTGGTATACTGACGTGTAGTCCTTTGGTGATGAGTGATGTGGTAGCAAAACCATTGGTGACCAGTACGATCTTTAGCATTTCATTTGGAGTTCTACATTGAATAAGGAGGAATATAAAATAGCTAGATTTGATTTATGCAAGATTCTTTTTGATTCTTTGCTACTATCTTATTAGAATTTCTGCTAAGCATTGATATATATCGTCAAGGATAACTTATTGATTAGAATTTCTGCTAAGCATTGATATATCTCCTCAAAGATAACTTAAAAATGTTGCATCCATATGTGTGAAATGATGAAAATATTATGGTCTAACTTTGATGGTTCAGTTGGGGGGATTGAAGTTTGTTACAATAATGGTTGAGCTTACAAAACTTCTTTACTTGAAACTAGCAGCTTTTCATGGTCTTATTTGGTTTTAGGCAAATGAAATTCGTCTTTATTCAAGTTTAGAATTATATACTAGACGTTGTCAGATGTTTTGCTGGCAAGGAAAATCTGAAGCATGGTGTGAACAAATCCTGTATGCAATGGTGGTTGTGTTTCTCTATCCCCTTTTCCCCTTCTTCTTGCTTGAGTGAGGTGCTGTTGTTTGTGATGGCACAGTGCCTAAAATTTCTGTGTGGTTTGATTACTTGTGGAAAGCTAGTGGCCCAGGTGATCCAGAACCGGGCACTATGTGAGTGTGGAAACTCAAGTTGATGCGAGGTAGTGGTGATGAGCAATCCTATAGCAGTTTGACAAAACAGTGATGTAGCCAGGATTAGGATTGTTGAAGGGGCAGAAAGGTTTGCTCTGCTAGCAGTAGCAGGGTATTTTTTTTATTTTTGTTGTCAAAAGTAGCAGGGTATTGTTGTATTGCAGTGATCTTTTCATCTTTTGAAGTATCAGCTTTATTGGTCATAATGAGGTTACTTGGTTTTCTTCCTTATCCGGTAACTGCACCTACCCCAATTGCAAATTCAGGTTTGTTACAAGAAATGTTGCGATCGGCAAAAGCAGGGGACTCAAGGTCAACCTGGAAGGTATTTTAACTTCTCGATTTTACAAAGCTCTTAAAGCTTTCTGCAGTGATAATCCTTAAACAAGTTACGTATCATGGCTCTGCTATTGAGCTCTTTGCCGACAATTAATGTAATACCATATTTTGATATCATGGTGCTTTTAGCAGCTACCTTCTTTGCGATAACTAATTCAGTGTCTTCAGACTTATTGAGTTGCATGAGCATGTTTGCTGACTGGTTTTGATGTAGCAGTATGCTCTTTGCGATAACATTGTCCGTACTGTTTTTGTGTGTTTCAACGTAGTAGTTGTTGATAATTAGTCGTCAAAAGTCCCTCCTAACTGCTGCTACCCAGAGAACCAGGCTTGCTGAACGGGTTTAGGTCAAGCAATGATGAAAAACTGTGCTTGAAGAGAGTTTTAGGCACTCCCTTATAATTCTCAGCTTAAGTGTGCTTCTTGGAGATATCATTTACTGGAACAAAGCCTTTTTTTGCTTTACACTTAATCGCCATAGATCCCAATCGGCTTGGTCATGTTGTCTCCTTCATATTTGTCTTATTTAAATTGTGAATATTTGGTTCATACTTACCCTTTGCTCCTTGACCATGTACAATATAGGTACTCATCATGGATAAACTTACTGTGAAGATGATGTCTTATGCATGCAAGATGGCAGACATCACGCAGGAAGGAGTTTCTTGTAAGAATTTTAAAGACTCGTCCAAAATTAAAAGATTCCTGCAAATTATGTTATTGAAAGTTCACTATTCAGTGAGACATATTCATGTTATACATTCATCGAGGACTAGCCAAGATCTGGAGCAATATTTTGTCTTAATGTGAAAGCTTTCTTAAACATATGCTGTCATTGGTTTATCTGTATACGTATTAAATTGAAAAGTTCAGCTTCAAGGTACATTGACTCTGAACTTTTAATTTAGTATTACTACCATGATAATTTGGCAAATCAACTGTTTCACGTTTCGTCCTGTAGTGGTGGAGGATATATACAAAAGAAGACAGCCTTTACCCTCCATGGAAGCCATATACTTCATCCAACCGACTAAAGAGAAGTAATATTCTTTGGCTGAATTTCAACTGCTCTTTTTTGTGTTCCTGAATACCATTGCCTTCATTTTTTGGGGTCTCTTTGTTTCCCAGGCATTAGAATGATTATTGTATGCTGACGATTTCTGTTTTGCAGCATTATCATGTTCCTGTCAGACATGTCTGGGAAATCACCCTTATACAAGAAGTATGTTAAACAAATTTTGTGTTTTATTTTTGGACTATTTAAGCTAACTTGTCAGAGTTCGTACAATTCCATGGCTCGCTACTGACAATTATTTTATTTTCTGCATTTTGAAGGGCTTATGTTTTCTTTAGTTCATCTGTCTCCCGGGATTTGGTAACTCATATCAAAAGAGATGGCACTGTGTTACCTCGGATTGGTGCTTTGAGAGAGGTAGGCATTTCTTACCCTGACTAGTCAATCTTTTGATTTATCCACGTGTGTTCCAGAGTAATTTGTTGTCAGCTTGTATGTATTATTTCAAGTGTTAACTAAGTTAAAGCTTGTGTGCAGATGAATTTGGAGTATTTTGCTATAGATAGCCAGGTATGTTTGTCCACTTCTTCTAGTACTTGGGTTTGTCGCACATTACAAATCAAATTATGTAATTTTCTTTTATTGTTGGTTTTGTTTATATAGCCCGGCACTTTGGATGCTATCTTAGTCTTGTGTAAATATATTGATTTTTGAAGTCTTGAACAGCAATGGAACGGTAGATGCGATTGATGCTTAGACAAACATGCTTAGAGTTATATTCTGTAGAACTGATGGAGTCGTAAATAATCTTCTGGCATTCATGTTGTCTGAGCCTTATTTTCTCTCTTTCTCTCTCACACCCTAATTTTTCATGTCTCAATACAGGCTTTCCTAACTGACCATGAAAGGGCTTTAGAAGAGCTTTTCGGGGATGAAGAAGATTCCCGAAGAGGTGACGCAGCTTTGAGTGTCATTGCTACTCGGATAGCGACGGTTTTTGCTTCACTAAGGGTATGTAAAAGAGTGTTTCCCCAGTTACTTATGCTGCTTCAGTGATATATTGACTCATACATCTGTCCAACTTACAGGAATTTCCTTATGTGCGATATCGTGCTGCCAAGTCGCTTGATGTGACGACAATGACTACTTCTCGTGATCTTATTACCACGAAACTTGCTGCTAGAGTCTGGGATCGAATTTCACAGCATAAACAAAAGATTGAACAGTTCCCTCAGACTGAAACCTGTGACTTACTCATCCTTGATAGATCTGTGGATCAGGTATTAATATTTAATTGCCTGAGCTGATTATTCAGTCATACCATAGTTTGGTTATATGTTGATACAGTTCTCTTTGTGGTGCTAGATTGCTCCCATCATTCATGAGTGGACATATGATGCGATATGCCATGATCTATTAAATATGGAGGGCAACAAATATGTCCATGAGGTATTTTATAACAGCATATCCGTTTTCATTCTTCCTAAAATTCGTAGTATAAATTTATAATAGTACAAACAGTTTGAGGAATTAATTCTCAAGGGTTTTGCTGTTTAGGTTTCCAGCAAATCAGGTGCTCCACCTGAGAAAAAGGAGGTCCTATTAGAGGAACATGATCCTGTGTGGGTCGAGCTTCGCCATGCACATATTGCAGATGTAAGTTGGTGGTTAGTACTCTTTGCGGTCTTTAGGTTCCCAGTTAACCACCTTTGGATATGTTGCCTGTGCAGGCCAGTGTGAGGTTGCACGACAAGATGACAAATTTTGTATCAAAAAACAAAGCTGCACAGATCCAACATGGTTCAAGGTTGGTGCAAAATTCTTCTGAAAATTCATTACCAAAGGTAGCTTTATATAGCAGCAGACATGGATATTATCCCAGTACAGCTATTTGCAAGAGAAAAGAAAGATTGTTGGATCCAAGCCGCTTGTGAATTCTTGTTCTGGGCCTTTCGTAGTGACTTGTTGGTGCTCGGTTTGTTGCTAGTTTGACTCATCAGCTGTGCTGACTGCAATGTTAAAATAAATAGCCAATATATGCTTCTCTAGTCTCGCTATATCCTATTTTCTACCAGAGTTTCTCTTCTGCTTAGTTGAGAACAATATAAGATTGCATACAGCTTTCTTTTATCTAATGAGTCACTGGTCATTGTTGTATATAGTGGGTCAGGTTCTTGCTCTGCTTGATTCATGCTTATCCCTGAATCATGATTAGATCTTTGGAGTTTGCTATTACTGATGCTCTGCATATTTGTACATCTGGTGTGAAAAGGTCCTGATAGTGACATAAAAACTGGGCTTGTAGTTTAGACTTCTATTTTGTTTGATGGAGCTGTTTCTCGGCTTAAATTTTGATATTGTGCAGAGATGGTGGCGAACTTTCTACACGAGACTTACAGAGGATGGTTCAATCATTACCGCAATACAGTGAGCAAATTGAAAAGCTCTCTCTTCATGTAGAGGTGTGGTCCTTTACTTCGGACACTTGAGCTTTTTCTACATATGGTTTCCTCACAAGGGTCGTGTTGTATTGGTGCAGATCGCAGGGAAAGTTAACCAAATTATCAAGGACTCTGGCCTTCGAGACCTTGGACAATTGGAGCAAGATCTTGTATTCGGAGATGCTGGGACAAAGGATGTTATCAAGTATTTGACTACAAAAGAGGTAAGCAGGTTTCCTAAAAGATGTACAGTGGAAAACTATTGCTGGTCACGACCCTTAATAGTTGCAATGTCCTATGCAGGATGCAAGCCGTGAAAACAAGCTACGATTGTTGATGATTCTTGCAGCAATATACCCTGAGAAGTTTGAGGGGGAGAAGGGGTTTAATCTAATGAAGGTAATCCTCTTTTTATTGGCTTTCTTGTTCAACAATGCATTACCTTCCAAATCCTCTGATCCTATCTACATTGAGAGAACATATTTGAACTTTTTTCCTCTACATACAAAAGACATGTATAAAACTGATATTGCAGTACCTCACTCTCATGGTGTGCGTGCTTGGTGGCATATACTGGTCTATTAATTTGAATGCCTTGCAGTTAGCTAAGTTACCGCAAGATGACATGAATGCTGTAAACAACATGAGATTGCTTGGCGGTGCCGCAGAGACTAAGAAAAGCTCAGCTGCTAGTTTCAGTCTGAAGTTTGATATAAAGGTGATAAATATTTCTTTACTAAAATAGTGGTTTCAACTTGTTGAGATTGTAATTTAGAAGCATTCAGTCTTACTTTCTTTTCTCTTATCTTATTCAGAAGAAGCGAGCAGCAAGGAAAGACCGTGCTGGCCAGGAAGAAACAGGATGGCAGCTATCCCGGTTTTACCCCATGGTAGAGGTATGCGCTGATTAGGCTTCTTCTATTTTATTTTCTTACTCTACTCACTGTGGCTTGCAAGTGTTCGGTTCTCACCCATCTTCCGCGATTTCTCTCAGGAACTTGTTGAAAAACTGAGCAAGGGGGAATTGTCAAAAGATGAGTACCCGTGTCTAAACGACCCGAGTGCAACCTTTCACGGTACATCTCCAGCTGCGATAATGAATAGCTCTCCAGCTCCTCACTCCATGCGATCAAGACGAACACCAACATGGGCTCGCCCTCGACACTCCGATGATGGTTATTCAAGGTAACAGGGCATTGTAGAACACACAATGCATCCTTGTCCTATCATCTACCAGTTGGTGAAATGCCATTTTCTTTCTCTTATCTCATTATATCAGAGTGATTGTTGGGCCCCAAATGTTGGCCTATGTTTACTGGTGTCGCTCTGCAGTTTGCTGTTGCTAGTTTTAGTTTCTGCTCGTGATTGGGGACCGTTTTCTGGTTTGGGTGCATTTTGCTTGCTCCTTGGTTAATTACTATGTTCCATGTTCCACGTTAAGGCCTTTCATTCTTTTGTGGAGTTCTGTCCGTTGTGGGCCTTCTCCATGACCTCTATATATGCTTCTTTGTCATCCTCCTTTTCCTTGATAAATTCTTCATCGCCTTATAGGAAAAAACAGAATCATAACAAACATTTCCGTTGATTTTCCTCCTGTTGGATCTAACTCATATCATGCATACAGTGAGTCGGTGCTAAGGCATGCATCTAGTGACTTCAAGAAGATGGGCCGCCGGATATTTGTGTTCATCGTTGGTGGAGCTACGAGATCTGAGGTTTGTATGATTTATAAAGCCCACTCAATATACCAGTCTGCCACCACACTGATACTTGTCATCCTTTCATCTAACATTTACTTTTCTTTGTTCTTCACTTGTCATAGCTTCGGGCTTGTCACAAGCTGACAAGCAAGCTGCAAAGAGAAGTCGTGCTAGGTTCTACCAGTCTTGATGATCCTCCCAATTTCATCACGGTATATTTTGATATTGTCACAATAATTCCCCACTCTTCCTTATAGCTTATAAGTGCCAAATATTGACCCTAAGGCTTCTGAAAATTGCAGAAGCTTAAACTTTTGACGGCACATGAACTTTCATTGGACGATCTGGAGATATGAAAGCATGGTTACATTGTTGTCTGATAGAAACCTGAAACAGGAAATGGTCATTCACCTGGTGTCTGTACTGTTAGATTGATTAATCACATTGTGTATCTACCATTGTTCATCTTTAGCATCTCATGTAAAATGTCCAGTGCTTATGGTCTCCCTATTCTCATTGTAGCGGTGCTATTTCGGCGTAAGCTTGTTAAGATATCCAGGCTGTAGCTTCTGCTGTTTTTCTCTCATTGATTTTCATTGTAATTGAGGTACAGGATACAGACATTCCCAGAGGAGTTCTTGTGTATAAATATATTGCTACTAACCAATAGGAAAGAAACATACTGCTTGTGATTCCTGATTCGTGTAGCATGGATTCGTCGACATGAATCCACCTAACTTTGTGTATTCGATAAAGTTAGTTTCAGTCGTTATGTGTAACTATGTTTGCCTATTGATACACTAGATGGTCTTATGAATCACAAGAGCTAGAAATGAACAGCCATTGCAGTCTTACGTCGCTAATCCGCGCAAGCTGTATGCATAATCAGGTACCAATTAAACAATGCGAGTAGAGAATATGTTGATTAACATGAATTCAGGTGTGTAACCACACAATTACAGGGGGATGTTAGACTACAACAAAGCAGAAACCAGGAGGAGAGTCTGGCAGGTGCCAACTAAGGAAGAAGCCAAAGGCTAACGACACAGTTCCTTAGCATTTCTGGAAAGTTCGGACTCTGCTTTCCTCTTCTTCACTTCACAAACCAGCCTCTTCACGTAAGAAACGTAACCATCGACGTCAAATTTCCTTTTGCAACCAGCATAGTTCATGTACCGTATTTTTCCGAAAACAGGTCTCTCCCGCCAACCCTATATATGGCAAACAACAGAGACAAACTTCAAATTGTAATATGCTATATTTGTGTAGAGTATGTAAGAAACACAGGATGCAGTTGCAAATGCATTCTCTATCTGTATACTTGAGGCATGAGCTATGCCTTGTGCAGTAAGGAACTATATGAGAGCGAAATGATAGAACCCATACCTGATCATGAACACCGCATATTGACCACATGCAACCAACGTATCCATTCGGATCCCTTCCATCTATCTCATACTGCAACGATTGTTGTTAGCGTCAGCTGAATATTCATATGGGGTTTTTTTTTTGAGAAAACATTCATATGGTTGATAACGAGCTAACTAACAGCAGTCGGCCATCTACCTTGTTATTTAAATGTATTGCAACTGCCAGGGCTTCTTCTGGTCCTTTTGTCCATTCCAGTATCTTTTTGGCCCAATACATTCTGCATCAATTGTATCTAATCGCTTTAAATGATGAATGGAAATAAATTTCAGTTCTGGCCTCCTAGCATCATGAGAAAAATAAAAAGACTGCAGCTAGTGGCACAATTCTGGTCAGGATGGTACAGCCCTGCCTCCATAGTCAGAGAGCTTAAAAGACTACAATATCAGGTTCTTAGAGTGCTAGTATTTTGTTTAAACCCAATTGTTGCTAAAAGATCAATGCAACAAGTAAGTGTTAAAGAATGATAAAAAAGGAAGAGGTCGCTTGCCTCATGAATCCATGCATCTTTCCATAGACGACCATCTCCAGTTGAGAAGCATTCCAAAGCTGAAGTTTAAGAGCACATATAAGAATAAAATCCAGAAGGACAAACAAAAAGCTGACCGTAGCAATATGGTATGGACACAGCCAACTTACAGGATCACTTGTTTTTGCCTTCTCTAGCTGTTCCAACCTATTAATATTTAATTCAGTGTCAATAGCGAGTATTAAGAAATCTGCCAATTGAGACAACATAAAACAAGAGACTGAGAGAAACAGTACACACGAGTAGACATGCTCCCTCTTGTCAGCAGCATGATCCTGCAAGGTCTTCCTTGCCCATTCCCATGCCCCTGCCAGTGAATCATAGTGCGGCTGGTAGTAGCAATAGTTATCAGCAAGTTCTCTGCGCACGATAAGCTCCTCCAAAAATGCATCGACTGACTTCAAAGCAGCAGGCAGATACTAAAAATTTCAGCTACTAATCAAATGTGGCAGCTAATTGGTCCATATATAGAAAAGCAATTTCAAGTTGAAGAGCATAATCTAACAAACCTGGGGGCTCCGCAGCTTCACTTTATGTGCCTCTATGGCGCACCTCTGAGCAGATATTTGTCCAAAATGAAGATATGGAGATAACCCAGAGAGTCCTTTAGGTTTTAACGGGTTATTCCGATCACTAGAATACAACTTTAACCTTTTGGTCAAGAAACCATCTTTAGACCCCATCAATACTTCCATTGCAGCATCTTCTCCTGGTATGCACCATTCAATTTCTGGGACTTCGGCTCCTTTCCTGTGGTAGAGAAAATCAGGACATCAAATTTCTAATCCCTCGGTGCACAACTTAACCTAAAAACAATTGGAAGAAACGAGTCAATTTCTAACCTCAAAACCTCAAGGATGATATTATCCCAATCCACAACAGTTTGATCTTTGGCAGAAACCCACTTAGCTTTTGGTGGAAGTAACACAGGGAAATCAATGAGATACTCTGATAACCTTTTCGTTATCTTGGTCCGTATGGTCCTAGCACTGTACTCCAACTTCTCCGACGCTACCCATAGTGGCACCAAATTGTGCGCATCAACTTCGTGAATTGTCACCGAATCGCCCACTCTCTTCAGGATCTCTTCTTTACACTTACGAATTTCCCTTAAAGGTGAGAAATCAGTTACTAAAAGTGATGCACCACACTCCTCTAAGAACTTTGGCACATTTTCTTCAGCTTCTCCCTAAGCAATAGATCATATTCAGAATTATGTTTCAAACAAGACCTCCGAAGGAAAATGTAGCAATGGGTCTGATTCCAAAGGAGGAATAAACCTTACCCGGAATAAAAAGAACGGGATTTGAAGCTTCTCTTCAATATCCACTTGAACCTGCCGCAAACCCTTCAGCATAAACCCTAATTGTCTAGCCTTTGCCCCCAAAAACTGATCAAACAGATTAAAAGCAACCGCCACGGGGACATTCCGCTTGTTCGCCTGATCAACAGCGTGTATCAAAGCCCAGTTGTCCCTATGGCGTTGATCCCGGAACATCCAGTACACAACAGGACCCATTTGCTTCGCCGATCCTTCTTTGAGGACCCGGATCCGACCCGGTTGCACGGCAGCGGATTGGCCCGGAGGGGGTGCCAAGGAAGAAGCCATTGTGAATAACGCACGGAAGAGTCGGTTGAACGGAAAGTGGCTGTTAAATTGCGCCGGCGTCGTGCGGAAGCGCAGAGCTAAGCGCGCCAGAGTCGCCGGCGGAGTCGAGAAGGCGAGGAAATGGAGGGAAATCAGGAGGGGGAAAGTGAAGGAAATAGTTAAATAAGTGGCTTCGAACCAAAATACGTGGACCACTCAGTAAATGACAAGTGTAAACGCGTTCGTTAATTCGGCGGGAAGGTATGCCTCATTTGTTGGCCGGATCCGTGGGCTGTCCTGTTGGGCTTGATAAATCTGGCCCAGCTGTCAAAGAAGGATTATGGGCTTCACAAGATACCACTTAATCATAAATACAGTATCGTACCGGCGGTTCGACCAGAAAAACCTGCTAGTGGAAGCGAAATCGGTAGGATGTATTAAACAGTATGAAGCGATTGAACCACGGTTAAACCACAATTTTAACATAAAATATCCTACGGTTGACTTTTCCGGTACAACCTCCGATACAGTATTTCAATCCTTGATCATAGGTCATTCCTCATAGCATCTCCATTATTGCAATTAATTAGCAATTTCATATATGAGTCCCACTGTCATATCAACACTTAAGCAATAGCTCTTTCAAGTCATCCATATCATTGCAATGCTTTCGTACGACGTTAACGATTAATAGTAAATGACCTGATAATACGTTATTTTGTTCTCTACTTTGTACGACGTTAACGATTGTTGATGTATATTCTTAGATAGATGTTCTTGTCGGTATGCTAAGAGTGTAGTGGTAGTAGTTAAGCCTCGTTTTCTCCTTTAGTCTGCCTCTGAAGGCGCCCTACATCATCACATACACTATGGTTATATGCCACGTGAAACACGCCGTTTCCTATACATCCAATTGTCAAACTTGGAACATAATTACGATAAAGAAATACCTAAAAAGTCATTAGGCAAGTGTAGTCTCTATTTCAATTTTTCTTTTTAAATACCGAATCAGCCAATCCTAGCAGGTACCTTTGGGTTGAGCAAATACATTCATTCCCTCGCCCACCAAATCTTTTCCAAAAGATATTGCAATCCTCTTGCATTACGACTTAATGAGTGTAAAGTGTGTGTTAAGACAATTTCTTTAGTGCGTAATATTGATGAAAGCAATAGGAAAGAGAACTCATACAAAAATTTGGAATCAACAATTCCACAAAACGAAAGCGAAAAATAAGAAGTGAATAACAACACTCCATATCGAAGCAGAAAACAAAACGCAATATACAAAAGTCGATAAAAACTCTCAACGAAGTTTAATGATACAAGGACTTGATCCGTCCATGGTTGAGGCCGAGGGCAACTTAACACCTAATTGAACAAGATTAGTCGTAATGCAACACAAAAAAGCTATATTCCAAAAGGACCAATGAAAATAAAAGGCGAAGTCTAACTTTAGCTAAATCGTTTATGTTTTGAGCATCAAATTAGCTCGAATATTAATGTATAGTAAGTACCTTACAATTTTAAAAATCAGAACAAATCCTTCCAATACTATATAGATGTTCCCCGTGAGAACATGCACGATTGAGAAAAGCTAGCTCTCTGCGCAATCCAAGGAAGGACTCTCGTCATTTTGGACCAATCATTTTTCTACCATGCAATTGCAATCCTTCTTCCGGTGTTTCAGTTTGATTCCTCTTCTATTTGGGTTCCGGTAGAGTGTAATATGGGCTTGGCCTTAATTTGATACTTGGACCACTTATCATACAAGCACATTTGAAAGAAATCTATAGATTGAAATCATTCACGGTTTTGTCACCTCACTAAAATTTACCAAACTCATCAATTATGTTGTCACATCATCGTCAACTAACGAGATGTCGGATGAAAAGTTAACGATTTGGTTATTCTATTATATTTCAAAAATTCTAACTTTTATTTTGCCAAATTCGAAAGGTTTGGCTACTAAATAATTTTAGCCCAAATAATTTTTAAAAAATTCATTCATTCTTTGTTCGTTGTATTAGGATTAAGATTTTGAATTGCCTAATCAAAATGACTGTTCAATATGAAGTGGGTGCAAAAACACCATCTAAATCTTGAATAATAAATTTCGGAGCATTGTACTGTCATCTAAACCCTAATGAGTAAAAACTATGTGCTACTTTTCTAGATCCTAGGTTTTTTGGTAGTAAACTCAAACGGTAGTTTATTTGGGTATTTTGCGAACTACGAATTTGATTTATGGTTGCGATGTATGTAGTAATGAATTTGGGTAATCTATCTTAAAAAAATTCACACATGTCATTACCGCCACAAAACTTGAATGAAGTGGGATTTACTCTGTGTTGATTTGTAAGTGACTAATATTTTTGTTGGAAAAGTAAGTGACTAATCTGAGTGATCGCTATTGAATGAAAACACATTTGAATTACTCTTTTAAAAGCTAAGTGGCAACATTTTGCTTACTATATATTGATGAAACTCCATTAGCTTCAGTTGTCGAACCAAAATTTCTGGATCTCCTTGGTATAAATGCTAACAATTTGCTTTCCAATTGGTTGTGATGGTCAATAGATGATGATTTAATTTGTTGAATAGTCTCAATTATCTATCCGTCAATCCACCAATATTATTGGTTTAAAATCCTAACTCCTAAGACTACACGACTTCGCTTAACGAAAATGCTACATGTTTGCTTGACATATTTAAGATATGATAGTAGTTTGAGTACATTGTTCGACTAACTATTGGCAACCAATTTGCAAATTGTTCTACCTCATTCAGCTTATGCATGTAATTCCGTTATATTCTGTGCACTGATAATAACAAAGATGACTATTGACAAAATTATTTCATGGATACTCTAAACTTAATCAAAAGAAAAACTTTTTTTTTATTGCGAATATCTCATGGAAAACAACTCTTTTGTTGTTCTTTACCAACTTTTTATAGCGATAATATTTTTCTCACAAATATGTAGTTGAATTAGATAATGAATATAATGTATATATTAGGTATAATTATTATATTTGACATGTTTTTTATGCATTGTTTGGTATTTAATTTTATGACCCTACTTCTCTAAATTATTCATTGGCAACTCTCGGAAGAAGACAGTAAACTGAGCCTTTACATTATATAGATAAAAATGAGCTACTTGCTTATCACACTAATACCTGCAAATTGAGTACATCTCAATTTCAAACTCTTCGAACCAAATGAATCATACTCTCCTGCCAACGTGCGGGGCCTATCCTAGTTAGGTGTTATTGTACAACGGATAACAACTTCATATATTTTCTATGGCTATTCCATTCTAGCGTCACTTGTCACCTCCCTCACCTGGTCTATTATATGCAATATTGTTGCCAATCAAACCTTATGATGAAGTTTGAATTAGGAAAAAAGGTGACGCCAATAAGAGAAAAATAAATGGACATAAAGAAAGAAAAAGGGCTGAAAAACAAGTGACGGGCATTTATAATTGGGCTTTTGTTTGGCCCACAACAAGAACCCAATAAAAGCAAGTCCACTATCTCAATATTCCCCATCAGAATTCAGAACTGTGAGCCCCCCTCCTCTCCTCCTCTTCCTTCCATTTGTATCCTAATACAGAGAATAAGCCAAAATAGTAAATTTACAACCACGATTTGCAATCTCTTATCATTACAAAATAAGCTTCTCGAAACTTATTTTTACCCCTCTCATTTGCACCCTTTTCAAACAAAGTATTGGTTTTCACCTCGGAGGACTCTTTCACTCTCTTACAAGGAAAACAATGTTAATTTTCTATAAGCAGGGGACTGCTGGTGGCCCAATCAAACTCCAGGTATGTGAAAGGAATATATGAAAAATTAGACAAAGAAAAAAAAATGAAGAAATAGAATATAATATAGTCGAGAATTCATTAATCCTTGTTGTTAGAGCTGCCCGTACAAGGAACAACCAAATTTTATATGGACCACGAGGAACACAAAGGAATATAATACTCTGAAAATAATTAAGTAAGTGCAAGATATTGATCAACAGGGCATGTTTATCGTTAGTGTCTTGTATCAACATGTTTGCTTGTTGAGCAAGAACACAGACTCCGTTAGGCGGCCTTGATAGATAGATCAAAGGTCGACTTTTACTGGAGCTGAGTTTATGTAAATACCGAATAATTTTAAATTGCACGTATATTTGTGTAACAAACAATTTTGTGAATTTTTCGTTAGAAGTTTAACCTTATCGAACTTCCATACACCATATTTTTGGGGCATCTAGCTAAATCAGAATCAAGTAACAATAGATAATAGAGATCTTCTACATATATCATTTTCTAATTCCTATATTAAATTATATATATATATATATATTTCAATAGTACGTACGTATAGTGTTAGTGATAGGGGTTGGGGGCAGCTAATGATAGTTGCTTAATTAGGCTACAACTTGAGGTTGAAGCTTCCACACTTCTCAAGAGACATAATCATCATGAGAAAAGGGAAGAGTTTTAAAGAGAATGTGATTTGTGTACTTTTAATTTGTTGTTAATTACATATATGCAAATGCAATCATCATCATCATTAATATTCATCCAAGGTAAAGGGGAAAACTATTGTTATTCGATTCTAGCAGCAGCCGAGGAGGAACCGGCCTAGCTAGCCTAGTTTTGCTTTCATGGCTCATCTTATTCTTTGATGAACCAATTAAATTAATTAATGATGTAGTTAGTGTCACTATTTTCCATGAGTCGCGACCAAAATATTGAACTTGGATATGATAATGGCCATCTCAGCTGGTTTAAAATTCCATTTTCATTATTATCTTTTTAATGAATTTATATTAAACAAATGCCACAAATGCTATATTAAACATGTGTTAGTTCGGCTTACTGCGTTCATTTTGAAGGTGCCATACCACTTTGTATACAATATTACTTCTGCATAAAAAAAAAATACTAACATGTATAGTTCATGTATGCCTTGTAATTTTTATTTCAGTACTTAAAAAACTCGACGTACTAGCACGAGCGTGAAAAAAGACATGATTTCTGTTACTAGCTAGCTAGGAACTCGATCGAGTTCTTGTTTTGCTTATATACAAGCTTGCCACTAAAAGCTAGATGTCTCCAACCACTAACTATATATATAGTAACCACCAATCTCTGGGCCTGCCGAATTAACAACCTAACTAACGACCGGACCAATATAACTAACTAACTAACTAACCAATCTAACCTCCTCAACTAATAACATAATTAGCTAGCTAGCTTAATATGAACGGGCCGCGACGTCCAACAAACATTTTCTTTTGTTTCCTCTTAATTACTAGCCTACACAGCGTAATATATATTTTCAATGGCATTAGGCATATGATATGTAGGCCGTCTTACCTAATCGTAAAAACACCCATGCACCTTGATTTCATTTAACAGTTCCTGAACATATCTATCATACTCTGATACTGACATGCATCTCTCTCTACGTATATGCATGCTGAGTTGCCGACGACGATTCTTTTAATGCATGTGTTTAGTCTCGCTAACATATTAATCCAGATATATCTTAAACAAAAGAAAACAACAAATGAAACCTTCAATTTAATAGTGAAACATTAATGGTTATAAACTAAAGAAAACAACAAATGAAACCTTCAATTTAATAGTGAAAAATTAATGGTTATAATACCACGATAAGTCGATAACAATATCACTATATATATGTTATAACTACGCTACGACGAATCAGAAAATCGCGGAATCTACAAAGCAAGAATATGAAAGAACGGGAAGCACACGACACGCGATTTACTTTGTTCACTAACACAATGTGTGTTAGCTAGTCAACGGGCAGAAGAGACCCCGTAACTTTCAATCGTAGCGACTGACGATCCGACTCAAATCACATCAACTATATATACCAACTTCCGACCAACTTATTCCTAATACGTAATTCAACTGCTACAATTAATGGTTAGGAGATGGTATCCGAAATGAGAAGAAGAAAAAGATATGCACGGCTAGGAGAAAATGAGAGGAACGTCAATTGGGAGGAATTGTCACGTGACGTGTACAGACATCTGTTGACCAATTAGATACATACTACTGGCCACCGGAGGAAAAAGGAGTACGGGATGAGTTAGAGACTTAGAGCACTCACTTTGTTTTTTTTTTTTTAAAAATTTGTGGTGAATTGAGATTAATACACATCTTAATTTTTTAGACAACGATAACTAAGACACGATTCATACATGTTTAAAGAAAGTCCTAACGAGAGAGTTTGATTGATGATTGATTGAAAAAGACGTTTCATCCAAAATATGTAACTTGGTAACAATGACTCTTTGTTTACAAGAAAAGGGTTGTTCATTGTATTCCAACCATCTTTCAACGACCAGGATTTCATATTGTTAAAAAAAAAGACCAGGATTTCAGGACCACATTCAAGGATGGAATGAAACTATATATATATATATATATAGTGGCGGACCCAGTAATTTTACATAGGGTGTTCCTTTTTAAAAAATAAATTAAATAAAATAAATTTTAAATAATTAATAAAAATTAAATAATTCTTAAATAAGAAAAATACTTGACTCGTACAACTTAAAAAAATTCCACTATGTTTTCATTTTGAAAATAATTGGAGAATACACTTGGTGCCTACACTGCTCAAAAAAATTGTATTTGTGTATCCTACTAGACAAAAATTCACAAACTAATCACATATTCGATCTCTAAACTTGTTTTTTTTATGTAATCCAAAGCTGAAAAGACTCTTTCAACACTTATCGTACAATCATAAAATCAATACAAATTAAGATAGCTTGAAATTTGTTTAATTGTTAGGTATATAAAATAATTAGAGATAGTGAATGACATCTTACTATTACACAGTGTTTAAAATCGAACAACAAATGAGTTGTAGCTTGTAGATTAATGGAAATTATGTTTATTAATAATCTTAGTGTCCTAGATTTGAATTACCCAAACTACCACTTATATTCTCATACCCAAACTAGAAGATGAGAGTAGCTAGGATAATCATTTTTTTCAAATTTCAGCAGTGTCCTTGACTATCAATTACAAAAATTTTTTGTTCATACGTAATCTACCACCGAAGTTAAATAATCGTTTTCCAAAATTTCGGGGTGTCAAACATGCGTGGGTCCGCCCCAAATATATATATATATATGATCACTTATAATTGCACAGAAAACTATGAGAAACACCAAGGACAAAATAGACATACATAGTTTAGACAGGAAACCCTAAGGTTGGGTGAAAAAGAATCTAAAGAGGGATGACTTTTTTTTGGCAGCACCTACTGGAGAAAAGAGTACTGCTCTTGCTTTCTGTAGACAATAATAATGTGAAATTAGTGGTTAGCTTATAGCAGCATGTGGATGAACAGTGATTTAAAATAATAAAACCTCCCAGTACGTTGCTGTAGTGCTATTATATTTTATATATATGCTCTAGTACCGTATCTTTTCCTTTGCTATCAGCTTTTGCAAAAGCAAAAAAGGAGTTCTTCTTGTAATTAATTTCTCACATATTCGACTTTTTGTAGGAAGGAAGTAAGGATGCGGTCTTCCTTATATGGCAACATTAAGCCCTTACTCTTTATGCTCTCCCGTCGTCCCAACCAGAATACATAACAAAATAAATAATGCAACCACCAGACTCTCATAACTATAATTACTCCTTGTGGTCCATTCAATAGGGTTCCCACTGGGAGACATCATTTTTTCACTCTACTATAATCGCTAGATGATGATATCGAATTTGGCAGAGAATCACCATGTTGGTGTTTTCACAGAGGGTTATCAGTTACCACAATGTCTTCATCATGGCTCTACATATACCTATCAGTACTCGAGTAGTCGTGGTTTGGTTTAAATTTAAGATGAATATTATCCACGTGACATTCTTCTATATGTTCATTTTATCATAACTTTGTTGTGTTTGATGACAAATTTTTTATGAATGAACATGTTGTAGGCTTATGTAGCTAGCTAGCTGGCTTCTGCTTGCATAGATGCATCAACAGTCAACCGTACTGCATGATCTTTCTTCGGGTATTTGAATTAACTACGCGTGAAGAACGTTGAGTTGCTTAAGAGATCGAAGAATTGGTTCTTATAATCTTTAATTTGTACTCATCCTCCTAAACATAAAGTGAACTTGTGAGGTTTGAGGTTGTTCTACCCTATTATATTTACACACATATACGTTATGCTAAAATTAATTGTTATCATAATCAATGCAGTTAAAGTCGCGTTTTAAAACTTAAAAGGTTACGGTTTTACGCTTCTAGCAGGTCACCAAAACGCTTTCGTTTCCATATAAAATTGCTAGTCCATAAAATCGGACTAAATTACGTTTTACAGCTTAAAAGCTTACGCTTTTACGCTTCAAGTTAAAACGCTTTAAGATTTTACGCTTTTAGTTCACTAAATGGGTATTCTTTTCATGAAATTAATTATAAAAAGTATATTTGATAAGTAAATCATTAACAGTATGATACATTTTAGATTAACATATGCTTGGATGCATTCTCAGCTTCAATAGAGTAATCTAATTCACCAGCTAGGCCCTTCCCAAATTCATTAGCATAGAGGGGAAGATGACATTGTTAAGATGCTATGAGTTGCTCTACTTTATATAAGAATTGCATGTATTTAATAACTTATCTAAATTCTGTGCTCATATTTTATATACTATATGTCGTACTTAACCGATTTTTAGTTATTTTACATTATGCGTAAAAAACTTACGCTTTTACGCTTTGACTCTACGTTTTACGATTTTACTCCTTTTTCGCTTCTAGGTAAAATTACGTTTTTGACTGCATTGATCATAATGCGAACACGAAACCTCTTTACCAATAATTGACCGTAAGAGGGCATAGGAGGATGGGAGGAAGTCAAACTAGAAAACTCACATTGGGTTTAAGGGAGAATCATATTCGAACCGATGACTTCCACCACATCAAGGTGACACCATAACAATGAGTTATACACCCTTTTTTCTTATATGCATCGAGAAATTGACACCGTGCATATTACAAACTAGTTAATATCTCTAACACGAATTACAGAAGACATCAAATGACTTGGCCATTGATCAAAGAGGTTTTAAAGATCTTTTATATAATTGGGCACCAAGTTTATCGTTTGCCTTGTTCCATCCATTCATATAAACAAAGAACATGCCAACTAATTAGTCCATTGGTGCAAGCTGGTTAATAGATCCGTCTTAATAAAGACGTTGTTGTCTCTTGCTGGAGTCGTGTGGTCGCTTGTTCTCTGTATCCCCGACAAGGAACGGCTACTCTTTCCAAGTTTTAGCCATGTCGGAGCAATGGGAAGTAAAATACAATGTTTTTTTTTTTTTTTAAATATTGTTTGCCTCTCTCTTGGTGCTCTCCTGGGAACCTTCTTGTTAACACATCTATCAATCTCTCCTTTCCTTCCTTGTTGGTTTACCTTAATTCAAACAAAATACGGCTAAGGTTACAATAGCCAGCCAGCTAGCTGGTTTGTTATTAGTGTGGTTGGAAACTTAGAATGATTCTTAGCTTAGTGACAAAATGTATGATTCTTTTATCTTCGGCTGCTATCTGAAAAAAGACCAAGTCCACGAATCTGCAATTTAATGTTTTTTTTCCTTTCATTTCTGATGGTATCCAACAACACTTGAACCATGTTAACCACCTCAAAACCGCATATTGGTATATGTGATTATTATATATTGTTCTCCACGCCATTTTTTAAAAGGGTGATATGAGTTTATTTTATTATTAGATGTTATCTAAAAGGTTTGAATATATGAGACCGACCTTCCGATTGAAAATTAGCAATAGAGTTGTTAGACTAGCCCTTTATTTTTCTCACAATTACTATGTCAATACTTGATCAACCTGGGAGTATATATCACATACTCATCAACGGTACTACGGTAGTGAGCGGAAAAGAGTTTGTAATACGAGCTAGCATGAAATCACAAAAACAAGTAACAACAACGTAACACAACACTTTAAACTCTCGTAGCTAGGTTCGTTAGAATTAGTTTTGCTAGTCGTTCGTAATGATTACGAGGGATACGGAATTATTGTATATAAAATCTCTTTAGAGCAATGGAAGAGTCTCAACGAGACAAATCTGCAGAAAATTTCCCATTTCTGCCACTCAACTCATCTCTTATTTTCTTCACAATTCATGTTCCGTAGACCATAGTGCTAATCATGATCATACTTCCTTTTGGTTTAACTAATCCAACATTCATTTTCCTTTAAAAAAAAACACGGAAAACAGATTAAAATTGAAGAAAAAAGAAAAGCTCGGAGAACTAGAAAGATTAGTAGGTGAGCAGTCGGTATTTGCCGACAAATAATTTCTGCCTCTCCCACTTAACCCAGTGATCAAAAGGCTACCTCCAAACTAACCCATATTTTTTTAAAAAAGTACAATTTAATTAACCCTGCTTTTGCTGTTCTTTAGTGTTCTAGAGCTTTTCGAGAAGGAGGAAAATCCTATATTGTCTTCTCTTATAACCCTTTTTACTGTTCATTTCCACTTTTTTTTTAGGAGGATGGGTGAATATGATATTCTACTCCATCTTGTGGGATTTTAAAGTTAGGGATCTAGCTAGCTGCTTTTAACAAGTAGGCTACATCATGAAAGAATGTTTTAAGTTTGACATTTGAGTGCAAGAAGCTAAATTAATGCATAAGATATGTCAAATGACCATAACTGGCAAATTTTGGGTTTCCATAAAAGGCTTGGTGATTGCTTCCCATAATTGGGAGAGATTTTTTTGCTTAAGTTTCAAAGGAAGGAAAATGGAAAGAGATGAGTAGTGAGTAGTGACAGACACAGCCCGCACCCTACAAGCCATTTTCAAGGACTGTTTTGCTCACGATTGCTTTTTGCTAGTTCATAGTTTACAATCCTTTGCCTTCAATTCAGATGACTAAATAGAGTATTCAATTGTTGCATCTGTCTAATCCTGTGCCCATATCGGTTTTTCCGGCTTCTTTGAATCCGTGTTCAATTGAAAATTGTAACACATGACTTCTTGATATGAATTTTTTTTTTCGTAACTTTGAGTATTGAGTTTACCAACCTAACTATTGATATATGACGAGTTACATTTTATACTCGTGATATTGCTAAGGAAGAAAGGGTGGAAATTGCACACCAACTCTAATTTCATACCGGCAATTGTGGAAGATATCATCTGCTGGCAAATATTCTCAACTTGGCTCAAACAAAATGGCAGACGTCCACCTATGATTTTCTGAGTTCAAACTTGTTGGGCATGTGACTCGGATCTCACCACACTGAGGAAACACCAAGGATGCTCACGCCAAGGCAAAACGCGCGAGTCACCCCGGAGTCCAGCGCGCGAGTCGCGCCGGAATCATGCGCGCAGGTAGAGGCCACCCTCTTGGAGGCGCGCGCACCAAAGAAGCTCACGCGCGAGTCACCCCGAAGTCGAGCGCCCGAGCCGCGCTGGTAGAGACCACCCCCGTGGAGACGCGCGTAAACACTCAATGACGGCGCATTGCATGGCCGTGGTCCCTCATCGAGTATCCGTAGAAGCGGTGCCGCGTCACCCAACGGGCCGTCACCATCATAGTCCTAGGTATAGTCTTGCCTCTGTCAGGGGTAGTCACATCAGGGTCCTAAAAGTATGGCCTAAATCCCTGATGTGTCAGTGGTCACATCATTGTATCCACTTGTAACCCAACCACTCACCCACCACCATGTAGCCTATAAATATGGCATTTACTCCGGTGGGTGAAGGGATCGGATTTTTCGGACTCTATCTCTAAAATCATCAACTTCTCTCTCAAGGATATTTCTCTCTCAATTTTCTCTGTGATCTCCTCAGTTCTAAACCGAAGATTATTTCCTCTTTGTTTACTCTCCTTGACCCATTTTCCCCGAGTCTCACTCCTACACCCAGGAAGCTGCGGCAACAGCGGGCGCGACTCCATCTGCGCCGGGGACTGTCCTGCCATCACACCCCGCGCACGAAGCGCAACAGGTCGAGCTCACAGTATGCGCAACACCAGTCGCGTCCCAACAAGCCCACGGAGAAGCGGCGGGGACGGTCCCACCACCCCACCCCGTATATGAAACGCAGCAAACTGAGCTTCCAGGAAGGGCGGATCTCTGCTTTCTAGAGCAACACCTGTCTCCGTAATACCGACTCAACGCGCCCAAGAAGGCGCTCCACCAGCCGCTAAGCGCGGAAATCATGGCGGAACACCTGAGCGGAATGCCACCCGTCCTCCCAACATACAACGGGACGACGGATCGCGAAGATCATGTGAGCACCTTCTGCCTGCGGATGCAGTTCCAGACCAACTCCAACGCGGCGCTATGCCGAACCTTCCCATCAACCTTTTCAGGGATTTGCCTGGATTGGTATAACAGGCTACCGAACGGGATCATCCGCTCATTCGAGGAGTTTATACTCCTATTCACCACAAAGTTCGCATCCCAAAAAAGAAGGCCCCCCATCTCAAGGCGCTGGTAGACCTTAGGCAGAAGGATGGGGAGAGCCTACAATCATTTTACGCCAGATGGTCCAGGGTGGCGATGGCAGTACGCGATCTTACTCCTGAGACCGCCGCCCATCACCTTATGGAAGCCACAACTAACATGGAACTCAAGCGGGCGCTAGCAAAGAGGCCCGTAACTCTGTCAACGGAATTAGAGATGAAGATTGAAAAGGCAATCACGCTGGAAGAAACCCTCGGAGCGGGATCGGTTAGGCGCTTCGAGCCAGCAAAATTGCCACGGGAGGAGCAGGGACGGCGGCAGCTAGCGCAGCTGCACAGCGGGCAAAAGCGCCATCCCCCTCCCCCACAAGAGCAAGGCCAGCGGGGAAGGTCGCCAGACAGACGCGCGCCCCACGCGTTCACGCCGCACAACGACTCCGTGAAGAACGTGTTCCACGTTCTGCGCGAGAAGGGGTACAAGCTCAATTGGCCCGCGCCTCTGAAGTCATTGCCCCACATGAGGGACCCAAAAAAACATTGTGACTTCCACAGAGCAACGGGGCACTGGACGGAGGATTGTCGAGAGCTGCGCTACGAAATAGAGGGCCTCATACGGCGAGGATTGCTGACTGAGTTCACACACGAGAAAGAGGAGCAAGTTCGGGGGACCCAAAACCCGCCACCACCGCCACAATCCGACTACAACGAAACCACGGCAGAGTATGTAGTGCGGAAAGAGATAGGGGTGGTAACGGTGGAAGGAGATCGCCCGAAGAAGAAAACCAAGCGCGAACGAGCGATCGAATTCGCGGCAGCGGATGTACCAGCAGGAGGCCAACTAAGCTTCGACGACACCAAATTACCGCAAGGCATTCCGTCGGAAGACCCGCTCATTATCACCGCGCTAGTGGCCGCCTGCAAAATTCACCGTCTACTGATAGATGGAGGCGCCGCGGCGGACATCCTCTTCCAAAGCACCATCGACAAGATGGACATCGACCCGCGCTTAATCAAGCGCGCCCAAGGAAACCTGGTTGGTTTCTCTGGAGCGAGGGTGCCAGTAATTGGGGTGGTCACTCTCCCTGTGGTCATCGGTGACCAAGAGCCGCGCGTCTCAAAGCAAGTCGAGTTCACAATAGTCGACTGCCAATCATCCCACAACGGCATCTTGGGCCGACCCTTCCTAGCAAAATTCATGGCCCTTCCTTCCACGTGCCACCAAAAACTCAAGTTCCCTACCAAAATGGGAACCGGAGAGGCGCGCGGGACACCATGGGGGGCCCTGAAACTAGAGGGAGAGCCCTGGCAAACAAACATCGTCGACACAAGGCCAGAGGAGCCCCGCCCAGAATCAATGGATTTCGATTTCGAGTTCGCGCTCGACCCAACCGAGCCGACCAGAAAAATACGCATCTCTACTCACGTTCGCGACGACGCGATTGAGCCACTCATAGCGCTATTAAAGGAGTACAAAGAGCTATTCGCCTGGTGCACAGAAGACATGCCAGGGGTACCAAGGCAGGTAGCCGAACATTGCCTTGCAGTCCCGCCGAGCGCGATTCCGAGGCAACAAGCGCGACGCGGCTTTACGGGCGACAAACTGAAAGCCATCGAAGAGGAGGTGGCGTGACTCTTGGCGACAGGGTTGATTCGCCCGGTCAGATACCCAAAGTGGTTGGCGAATGTAGTCCTGGTGAAAAAATCTTCGGGCGCTTGGCGGATGTGCGTTGACTACACGACAATCAACAAAGTATGCCCAGGTGACCCCTACCCTTTGCCGCGCATCGACCAATTGATCGACGCCACCGCCGACCACGAGACATTGTCTTTCTTGGACATGTTCTCAGGATACCATTAAATCCCGATGTCACGCGAGGACGAAGAAAAAATGGCGTTCGTGACTCCCTTCGGAAACTTTTGTTTCGTCGGAATGCCGTTCGGACTGAAGAACACGGGCGCGACATACCAAAGAATGATTGACTCGGTGTTCTCACACCAGAGGGGGCGGAACATCGAAGCGTACGTAGACGACCTCATCGTCAAAACCAAGGCTGGGAACTCGCACCTAGAGGATCTACGAGAGACATTTGAGGTGCTCCGCAAACACAGCATCCGCTTGAACCCACTGAAGTGCGTCTTTGGAGCGGAAGCAGGGAAGTTTTTGGGGTTTATGATAACCAAGCGCGACATCGAAGTGGACCCAAAACAAATCACGGCGGTCCAACAACTGCGGGCCCCAAGGAGCGCGCTGGAAATCCAATCCGTGAATGGGAAGATAGCAGCGCTGGGGAGATTCATCCCAAGGTCGGCCGACAAGTGCGCGCCCTTCTTCAAAACACTCAAAAATGGCGCGAAATTCGCATGGACCAAGGAGTGTGAAGCAGCCTTCCAAGAGCTGAAATCATATCTTGTATCCCCCCTATGTTGACAGCTCCCAAGCTTAATGAAAAGTTATTCCTTTATCTTGCCGTGTCAACAAGAGCAGTGAGCGCTGTTCTGATAGCCAGAAGAATTGATAATACCGAGCAGCCCGTGTATTACACTTCACGCACGCTAGTCAGCGCAGAAACGAGATACTCCCCAATAGAGAAGGCAGCCCTGTAATTAGTAAGCGCGTCACAGAAGTTGCGACCCTACTTCCAAGCGCACCAGATCACCGTCCTGACCAACCTCCCACTAAAGAAAATTCTGACCTCGATGGAAGTGTCAGGGCGCATGGTGAAATGGGCAGTCGAACTCTCGGAGTACGACATCCAATACGCGCCGAGACCAGCAATCAAGGCCCAGATCCTAGCAGACTTCATCGCTGAAGGAGTCACCCTCGAAACTACACCAGAGGGAATATGGGAAGTTTACGTTGACGGAGCGGCAAGTAAGCACGGTGCTGGCGCGGGAGTCGTCGTGCTCACGCCAACAGGCGTCGTTCACGAGATTGCTATCAGATTCAGAGCGTTAAAGAGTAATAACGCGGCTGAGTACGAGGCCATCTTGGCAGGGATGACCGCTGCCCACAATTTGGGCGCAAGAACGATAAGGGTACTTTCAGACTCCTCACTGGCAGTCAACCAACTGAACGGAGCCTTTGACGCGAAGGAAAATACTCTTGCGCATTACATAGAGCGTGTCAAGCTGCGAGCAGCCAACTTCGACGCGATAACCTACGTGCAAGTACCAAGAGAGGAAAACATGCACGCCGACGCGCTGTCCAAACTAGCAACTGCCACCGATTTTGAGGCAACGCGTCACGTGACAGTACAGAAGGAAGAGGAGGAAACTCGCCAAGAAATGGCGATTAATACCACCCAAATCGTGAGCGATGAGGACTAGAGAGCCCCAATTGTGCGTTACCTACGAGAAGGCACGGTACCGGAGGACGCTAAAGAAGCATGGACTTTAAGACAGAAAGCGGCCCGATGCACACTCATTGGAGGAGAGCTGTATCGCCGGTCGTTCTCGGGCGTCTACCTAAGGTGCATCGGACAAGAGGAGGCGCGCGACATAGTACGCGACATACACGAGGGGTTGTGCGCAATGCACGCCGGCCCACGCAGCATGGAGCGCACCATTTTGCTACACGGGTACTACTGGCCGCGAATAAAGAAAGACACGAAAAAATACGAGGACCAGTGCCACAAGTGCCAAGTCAACGCGCGTCAGCACCACCTCCCGTCCACCGAACTCCAAGCCAACCTGAGTCCGTGGCCTTTCGCCCAATGGGGAATGGATCTCTTGGGCCCCTTACCAACAGCAAAGGGGAAGCGCAAATACATTATTGTGGTCGTGGACTATTTCACAAAATGGATCGAAGCCGAAGCACTGGCCTCGATAACGGCACAACAGGTGACGCGCTTCCTGAAGAACAATATTTTGTCGCGCTTCGGAGTCCCAAACGCGCTCATCTTTGATCACGGGAAGCAGTTTGACTGCGCAGAAGTGATAGACTTCTGCGACCAAGTGGGAGCCATCGCAAGGTTCGCATCCGTAGCTTATCCCCAAGCTAACGGCCAAGCGGAATCCGCCAACAAGGCAATCCTGCACGGCTTACACACCCGCTTGAACGATGCAAAGGGTAATTGGGCTGACGAGCTGAACACAGTGCTATGGGCGCACCGCACCACACACAAGGTGGCAACAGGCGAAACCCCTTTCGCCCTCACATATATGGCACGGACGCGGTAATTCCAATTGAGACAACGACCCCAACCTACCGTGTTGCGCAGTACAACGAGGAAACCAATGATGAGGCGCGGTTGCTGGAGCTGGAGCTATCGCAGGAAAGGCGCGAGTTAGCAGCAATCAAGCTGGCCGCAATGAAAGAGCAGGTAGCCAAGTACCACAACGCCAAGCTGGTTCCGCACAAGCTGATCCTCGGAGACCAAGTACTGCGCCGGAACTTCCGTCCCGATCCCAAGCACGAAAAGCTCGCCTCAGTATGGGAAGGCCCCTACCTAATCCGCGAAGTGGTTGGCGCCAACACCTTCAAACTCAGTGAGCTGGGGGGCAATAAGATACAAAGAACGTGGAACGCCCAAAATCTCCGGAAGTATCACCAAGCAACTTAACATGTATTTTACTCACGCCACGGCGTCTTGTCTCAAAGGAATGAAAGCACGTAGTTCGCAAGAACAACAATTAGCAATAGTCCAGCACTATTCGCGCCAATCTAGTTCGCAAGAACAACAATTAGCAATAGTCCAGCACTATTCGCGCCAATTCAGTTCGCAAGAACAAAAAATTAGCAATAGTCCAGCACTATTCGCGCCCATTCAGTTCGCAAGAACAAAAAATTAGCAATAGTCAAGCATTATTCGCGCACGCAAAAATTAGCAATAGTCCAGCACTATTCGTGCCTATTCAGTTCGCAAGAACAAAAAATTAGCAATAGTACGGTATTAGCCACGCTCACTCAATCCCAAGGAGCAAACACACGCAGTGAATTAACACTTTTGGATTCAATTAAGCGGGAGCAACAAATCGCAACTACACTTGATAAAAAGAAAGAAGAAAGACAAGCAGCAACAAACGCAAATAGGGAACATTTCAGTACAAAATACTCAAACAACAGGGGCTCATCATCTTCCTCGTCGTCATCATCAACTCGCTCAGCACCCCTATCTGCGCCTTCAGCCTTCCCCCCAGCTTGGCCCTCTTCTCCTTCCGGGCGCTCATCCTCCTCCACATCTTCCTCTTCATCATCCTCAACCCCCGACTCGGAGTCAGACTCCAGGGGACGCTTCTCACCAATCCACGTCTGCACGTGGCGAACCATATCGCGCGTGTCCCAACGGAGTTCCGGGTTCTCCGGCCGAACCTTCTTCCCGACCGCGATCACGGCCTTGGTCATAGCGTCGGCCAGAATCTTCCCGAAAGAAGGAGAAGACTTGAACTGGCGAACGGCCGCGACCCCGGCCTCGCGGACAGCTTCCGCCTTCGCGATGTTATGGAGGCAGACCAAGTCATCCTTCTCCTTTTGATGCTCTTCGCGAGCTTGCTTCAGCTTCTCATCATAGGAGGCCTCCAGTTGACTACGGATGGACGAGCGCTCCTCAGCTCGCACTTGCTCTTTCGCCGCCAACACATCGGCGGCCAGCTTACTCTGCAGGAGGCCAAGTTCCTCCATTGCCTCGTTGGCTTTGTTGGTGGCCACGTCGGCACGGTTGTTCGCACCAACCACCTTGCCCTCCAGCTGGACAATCTTGGCTTCGTCGTCCTTTATCCTGGCGCGTTGCAGCGCGCGCTCCTTCTAAGCCCGGAAAGTGGCCGACAAAAACAGAGGAATAAAAAAAAAAAAAAAAAAAAAAAATTAGACGCGGCAAAACTCAAGCCCGACCTTACCGCGAAGTGAATCTGAGCCAAATCGTGCAATGGGTCAGACTTCTCCACCCGGGGCAGAACACTTAGCACGGGCCCAAGCGCCCGAAGTGCTGTATTTGCGTCCACAAGATTGCATGCCGCCGATGTATGAATCCGCACGTCGCGGAAGTAGTTGACCGCCGCAGCGCCGACAGTGGGTGACGCGGAGGTCCCCCCAAAACCTGCCATTTCAGGCAGCTTCTGCTAGATGGTGGCACCCGAGGAGCTCCCAGCCTTATCTCCCCTCTCCCTCTCAGACCGAGAGGGCCTACTCACCGCCTCCTTCGGCTGTGAAAGCGCCAAGCCAACTCCCGCGCGACAGATAGCGTCGCGTTCCCTTGTGAAGCTTGCGCATCCTGCGCCACCCGCGCGCTCGCCTCCGCAACGCGAGCCGCCTTATGTGGCGGTTCAACCGCCACTCGGGGCTGCTCAATCCCCTTCCGCTTTGTGCCCCTCGGCACCGCACCCTCCTTCTCCTTCTTCTTCTTCTTGTCGGCGCGTGGCGCGACGTCGTCGACCGACATCATGCTGACCAGACTGGAGAAGTCAACACCTGCGCCAATAAGTCGTAAGAAAGCGGTTAATATGACAAGAATGCAAAAGAAAAGAAATACAACTAACCATCGGCGAACAGCTCCTGCAAACAAGTCTTGCGCACTCCCGCGTCGTATAAGTTCATCCTATGATCCATGCACGCCTCATACTCATCGTTCAGCCCGTCGTAGACGCCGACGTCCGACTCGTACCCGTGCGTACTGTCGTTCTTCCATTCAGTAGACTCCTCAACAAACTCACTCGCCCACTCTCCAGGAACGGGCTTGACGTAGAAAAAACGGGCAAACCAAGTCTTCTTCAACTTGGGCGACCCGTACACGAAGCCCTCGGGCCTCTTGTCGCGACGCTTAATAGAAAGGCAGTCGCTCCGCGTGGATGGCTCCTTGATCTTATATATCTTCCGGAAGAGGCCGTAAGTCGGCTCGATATTGAGCCGCTTGCACGCGAGTCGGAGACAACTCGCGTGCATGATGACCAACGGAGAGAGCCGCCCAACGAAGCATTTGAGGCGCCTATACAGAGCGCACAAGAGCTGGTCGATGGGGAACTTAAACCCCATCACCCAATACTCCGTGTACACGCCAAACCATCCCGCGGGGCAGTGACCCACCATGCTGCGCATAGACGGAGCAGCGTACTGCCAATGGGGGGGCAAGCCCAGCCCGCGCACTATCTCCTCCACATCGCCAACATCGTATATGGAGGCGTGTTCGGGACCGCGCTTGAGGTTGTCGTGCAGCGGGGGTTGATCGCCCCACATCTCGGCCCACTCTATAACATTGTACGCGGCGCAAACACCGCGTAATCCGAGCCGAGCCATAGCCTCGGAGACGCGCACATTATAGTCTGGCTCTGATTGTGCGCAAGAGTCTTCGCGCACGTCACCACCAGCTTCCACCGGCCTCCCATCACAGCCACGGCGGGTTATCAGCACCCCACGAGCCCCTTGTCTCGCCTGCCCGCTCCCGAAAGCAACCATACCTTCGTCAGGAGAACCGCCGAGATCGTCCTCCAACTCGACGTCGAACGACGGCATCGCCGGAACCCCACCGCCACCGCCGTCGTTCCCATCACCGGAACCGTCGTCTAATTCCAGCGAGCGATCAGTAGAAGTGTGCGAAAGAGTGGAAAGATTACCTTCTTGGCCTTGTACGACCTCAGCCTCGTTGATGTTGATGCCAGCCATAATAACAACTTGATCCAGCAACAGCGAAAAGAGAATCGAGGTTGTAGAAGAAGGAGAGGAATCTCAGAGAAAGAAAGAACAAAGAAACGAGAAGCAAAGTTGCAGAAACAGATAAATCCCACTCCCCTCTAGCAAACCAATATTTATAGTCAGCCAAGGGAAAACGAAGGGTTAAAGTTACATAGGGATTCGTAACCGTCAGATCCCACAAAATCTTTTCGAATTCTTTCGAATTTCAAGAAATCCCCGCCCAAATAGCCCAATCAGACAGAGACACGTGGACATCAACCATCAAAGATTTTAGTCGGCGACGCCACAAGTGCCGCGCACCGCCTGGGGGGCATGACACACCCGCGAGGAAGAAAAAACAACCCATCCCAAACCCGAAAGTAGCGCGCACCAATGAGAGAGCATGACTTACGAGCGTAGATCAAGGTCACGCGCACAATAGGGGGGCATGACTTACGAGCGTAGCTCAAAATCACGCGCACAACAGGGGGGCATGACTTACGAGCGTAGCTCAAAGTCACGCGCACAACAGGGGGACATGACACACCAACTTCGACCGGCGCCATCCTCAGCCTAGACAACGCGCACAAGCGAAGAACCCGCGATACACAGAACGCGCGCACCACTGAGGACACGAAGCGCGCGAGGAACCGAGGGACCCAGACTCACCCAGAGTGCGCCCATCCCAGTCAATAACGCGGGAAAGATGGAATCGCCCAGATCCGAGTCAACCACACGAAGACCGAACAGGAGGCATTCGCGGAATACCCCCTGATGGGGGGCAATTGTTGGGCATGTGACTCGGATCTCACCACACTGAGGAAACACCAAGGATGCTCACGCCAAGGCAAAACGCGCGAGTCACCCCGGAGTCCAGCGCGCGAGTCGCGCCGGAATCATGCGCGCAGGTAGAGGCCACCCTCTTGGAGGCGCGCGCACCAAAGATGCTCACGCGCGAGTCACCCCGAAGTCGAGCGCCCGAGCCGCGCTGGTAGAGACCACCCCCTTGGAGACGCGCGTAAACACTCAATGACGGCGCATTGCATGGCCGTGGTCCCTCATCGAGTATCCGTCGAAGCGGTGCCGCGTCACCCAACGGGCCGTCACCATCATAGTCCTAGGTATAGTCCTAGGTATAGTCTTGCCTCTGTCAGGGGTAGTCACATCAGGGTCCTAAAAGTATGGCCTAAATCCCTGATGTGTCAGTGGTCACATCATTGTATCCACTTGTAACCCAACCACTCACCCACCACCATGTAGCCTATAAATATGACATTTACTCGGGTGGGTGAAGGGATCGTATTTTTCGGACTCTATCTCTAAAATCATCAACTTCTCTCTCAAGGATATTTCTCTCTCAATTTTCTCTTTCATCTCCTCAGTTATAAACCGAAGATTATTTCCTCTTTGTTTACTCTCCTTGACCCATTTTCCTCGAGTCTCACTCCTACACCCAATTAGACTCAAACAAAACTCATTGACGTAAGTATGTGAATGCCCACAGTTTACACAAAGTGCTGAAGGGTCAAGTCTTCTTCTCCTCTCTTGTTTCAGGGTTCTAGGGTCCAACTCTTATTCTTAGTTGGCTCAAGACAAAACCTATGAACAACTTGTAAAAGCTTTCTCCTCCGGCCCTAGGGAGGAAGTGGCTCTCTCCTCCAATTTTTTTTAATTACCTTGCAAATCTCATTCTAACCAATAACAAATCAAACTATAGAGCAAGATTAGCTCTTCACACTCACAAATTCAGCACCCACTTTGGTATAGGAACAACGCCAATACAGGACGGAATTAAAGTCAAAGCACCAAACATAGAGATTTTGTTTTATGCATATCTTGTGAAAAACGAAACTGCTGTTGTGATTGGTTTGAATGGATCAAAAATTGGATCAATTTAAAAACAATGCCTCCTGTTAAATTTATGCAATTGTCTTGTTCCCACGTTCTAGGCATCCTATGATATTGTTTAGTACAATGACAAAGACTCTAGCTAACTGCATTTTCCAAGTCTGGGGAATAATAAATTCAAAACAAAATAAATATTAATCCCAACTGATTAGTCTTGACAACTTACATATTTGGAATTAAACGGTGGAAACCCATGTATTTGAGTATTCTCGCGAGTAGTATGTTTGGTATCTACTAACAATCGTTAGATATACAAAGAAGTTAGATATATAAAGAAAGACGAAATATATAGTGTATTATAAACGTGATCGTACCTCTAATACATTGTGAAGTACTATTTTCCATCAAACATGGCATGTTACCTCAGCCGGATTCCTCGACAACCTTCACTTTTGTTTATTGGGTCCTCGAGAAACAACCTTTGTTGCAATAATGGCGATCAATAAGGGTGGAAGTAGAGGAGAAATTTACCCAATCTTCCTCTGCATGAAACGTCACTTGAGGCTTTGTTGGAATGTTTAAAAGAGACGTTACCACTTACCACCCACGAAGAAAATGATGGATTAGATAGGGATAACAAAACCAAGAAATTTTAAAGAAACACTTCACCGAAAAGTAAGATAGCCTAATGGTAAAAATGTTGCGACTGGAATCGATTCAAGTGAGGCCCGTTGGCGTCGAAATTGATTGCAGATGGCCCCCAGGTTTAGTGTGCTCGCTTTTACAAAGTGCACGTGGAGCTGAGGTTCCTGGGTAATAAAAAAATAATAAGTTATGGGTTGGCACATTGTCATTTCATACGCATTTTTTCACAATCCATTATTTTGATAAGAATTTTTGAATTGCCATTATCAAATTATAAGTTTGAGAACTCATTTTTTTGTTTAGTTGATATTTTATTATGGATTTAAATGTTTTTACATTAAGGGTCTCAAATTTTTGCCTTTCGTAATCAAATCCCAAAGGAAATGTGGGATTTGCAAATCCGTGGACGGATTCGGATCTAAAAAAATGTTCAAATCCGTGGATCCCACAAATTTTGTATGTCTCATCAAACAATAAATTTATGTTAAGTCCATAATAATTAGGATTAAAACGTAAATCCATAACTCAAATCTCACAAACAAACAATAATACCTCAATGTCTTATACCATTAGCTTTTCAACGTATCATACAAAGGTCGAACATATACTTCTCATTGAGAAAAACACAATAGCTAGCTAGCTAGCTAATTGTCCTTTCTTTTCTTTTCTTTTCTTTTCTTTTCTTTTCTTTCTTTCTTTCTTTCTACCCCCACCATGATAACAAAGAACTTTGCAAGAAATTGACTTCCACTTCTGCCATGGGTGGGTCTCCACCTTCCCAATCCCTCCAAACCAAATTTGAAAAGAGAAAAAGGAAAGAGAGATACAGATTTGTAGAGATTGAGGTCGACAAAAACACAAAGATTCATACAAAGACAAGTGCCCTCTTCCTTCCTTCCTTCCACCTACATCAACAACATGACAGAAGAACAGTGTACTACTGTCTACTGGTCCTCTCACCAAGGTTCTTTTGTTTTGACCCACAGAAACACAATTGGGCAAAATTTGACCTCCGTTGAACTAAGATCAGATTGCTCATTAAAGGGAAATGATTTCCCTCTGTGTAACAACCATTTCAAACTCATATTCCCACCTTTAATCATGGGTTTTGATTTGTATTCTACAAACCACTAATCTACGGTTAATGATTCATCTTCATTTGTTTTCGATACAAAAATTTCAAAAAGACAAATGATTATAAGCCCAATTTGGACCCCAAGAACCCTAGTCTGATTTGCACAGAGGGTTGACACTTTGAGCACTGCACATATGTGACGCTTTCTTGTCTAGCAAATGACAATCGATTAAAGGAGTTTATCTAAAAGAAACTTGACAATTATCGTTCCGGTAAACTAACAACAGTAACACAGTAACTAGTAACCAAATTAACTAATGTTACTGAAAATGAAAAAGGGGAGAGAACAGACATCTGATGCATTCCCAGTCCAAGCCGTGGAGCCGCACTAGAACTATGTTCTCCTGCCTTGAACTAACATCATGAAAACCCCTTCTTTCTTAAACAAATGGAGGGGAAATCAAGCATGGAATTCACATTGGGGATATGATATGGTAATGATAGTTATGGAAAAGGCAGCTGGTGGGTAGATTGATGCTTATGGTTCAAGGAACTCAATATAAGAAAATGAAAGCAGGGAAGTTGAGGAGATCCACTTGAAAACAACACTTATCCTACCTGATTGAGAATTGCACTAAATTGGAATGGAATGTCAAAGTGAATAGGAATACTGTCACATTCTCAAGGACAGAAAGGATCCAAAATAAAGCAGACTGACTTTTGGGTTTAGCCTGGAAGATCTGCAACATAGTTAAGAACTTGCAAAAAATGCAGAGGGGAAAAGAACAGAAAGAAGAAAGCCCTCTGGAATTCCCACAAGTTTCCATGTCAAGGAATTGGCTGTATTCAGATTCATCTTCATCTATAGCTTGTTCTCTCTTTTAATAGAGACTTCGCATCTCGCTATCATATTGAAAATGTATATATCAACTCGAATTAACATCGTTGGATGGTTTGTATTACGGTTTTAAGTTTTAAATCTAAATGATTAAAATGCATTAATAATATCACAAAGTCGTGTCGTTCAATGTTGTAAACTCATCGTAACGCTTACAACCTTTTCGACACATATATAACTGGACTTCGGCAAGACAAGAATTCAATTTAAATCATCGCATGAATATCATAGATAAATGGTCCATACATCAATTGATGCTATCTTTACATAGAAATACATATATAAATCTAATGAAGTCTTCTTCTTCTTTTTTTTTTTTTTTTTTGGCTGCAAACTCAAAGAGACTCCAAAAAATTTCCATCTTAAGAAGGAAGGAATGGGGAATGATAACTCAAAGTGAGAAAATTCCCCTTTCTCTTCTTACTTCCTTTCCTCCTAAAGCAGAGAAGTAATACCAGAATGAAATAATCAAAAGTGAAAGAATCCAATAAATCCTAATAATTTAAAGAACTCAAAAGAAAAGAGGGGGGAAAGGGTAGAATGGTTACACTGAGGAAGTATCAACAAGAACATCATTCAGCACATCATCCTCTGCACTCCCCATGGCAAAAAGCTCTGCATCTTTATCTTCATCGGCAGAAAAATCGCGCCTTTCTAACTTGGAATGAGCTGCAACGAACACCAGCTTCTCTGCCTTCTCCATTGCTGCTCTTGACTGACTGCCATGGCTACCACCACCATTATGACTACTACAACAAATCCATCTCAACAATGACCAATTGCACTTAAACCCACAAGCCGTGGCATGAAGGAAAATCAGCCTAACCGCAACTTTCCCTAACGACTTGAACTCAGTCAAATAAGTCTCCCAAACAAGCCTACTGCTTTGAGGGTTAGCAAGCCTCATCTTCCCACTAACCGGATCGCGATCCTTCATTTGAACTGCTCGTGCATAAACCGGGTCGAGCCCTTCGGTCCTCCACTTCATCAACTCCATCAATGCAATGTGAGCTTCCTCCCTCGAGACGAGCCGGGTTATGAGCTTGTCGACGTCCTTCTCCTGCTCGGGCGTCAAGTACTTGAACGGCGGAAGGTACTTCCCGCTCGAGTCCCTTAGCAAGTAGAGAGGATCGAGTATGTATGCAGCCGCCCAGGCTGGGTGGTAATTCTTCCTGAACCGGTTCTCGATCACTTTCTCTACCGGTTCCACCTCAGAAATGCTGAATTTGTCACACCATTGCTTCACTTTGGCCCTCAGCTCTTCCCACAGCGGCAAGCATTGTCCAACTAGTGGCCTCTCTGCCTCAATCTCACTAGCCATGTCTTTGATCAGCTTGATCAAAGAATGGACCGCCTCTAATTCGTTCCAAAAACCGACATCTCCAATCAATTCGGCCACTTCTCTAGCTTCCGGCTCCTCCATGGATAACACCAATTTGTAACATTCGTCCAAAAGGACTAACTGCAATGCCCTGGAGGAACAGAGTATATCATCGAGCATCGAGAAAACAGAGGCGAAATCGATCTGTTTAGACCCAGGCAAGGGAACTCTGAGCAATCCTGAATAGCCATACTCCTGCAGTTGGTACTTGTGGAAGGTGGTCCTGATTTGGTGTTGACTGTTGACGAAAGTTGCTACCTTTACGCAATTCTCCGCGACCAATTTGAACAGGGGAAGCTCTCTGGTGAAATGCTTGATCAAGCTCGTAAACCCTTGAAGCTGGCAGCTTAGATTGACCATCCAGTGATGCTGATTCTCCAGACTCCTCAATGCTTTCGTCTTGAATCTGTCCGCCACAATTCCAGCGCACTGTTGACCGACATTCCCGCAGATTCCTCTCACTGTCTCCCACAGAACATCCTCTGCGTAGCTTGACGGCGACGAGCCTGTAACAAACACGGCGCGGCGGTAGAGACTCGTTCCGTTGGGCAAATTGACGGTCAAATTGACCAAATTGGGGTCCACCGAAGAGGCGTTACAGTTCGATTTCCTCTTCCAGCCGTCGGAGGCAATCTGGAAGAACATCGCTTCTCGAATCCTAGCCTCGGACTCTGCTCTGGCTTCCTCGTACTTGATGTCCAGCCTCCCACCGGCGAAATCGCGCCTGGAGACCGCCGGGAGCCCGACCTGGTGCAGAAAAGCTCGGAACTTTGGGTGCTCCAGGCTGGAGAACGAAACGGCGCCGCACGATTCGTACACCCAATCGGCCAAATGTTCGACGGCGGAGTCGATTTGGGTTTTGCTCAGAGCTGGACCTGGAGAAGTCTTGGGACTCTTCAGCTTCTTCACGCTGTCTTCCAACATTGCAAGCGGACCCAAATCGTCTTTTCCGCCGGACAGCATCAAATGCGGCTGCTGGTGGTGTTGTTGATGATGATGATGTGGCATGACGGCGGATTCGCCGGTGAACCTGGACGGATCCACGACGGTTAGCGGGCTGGGGCTGAGCTGGTACGACGTGGCCGCGGTGGAGGCAGGGGAAGGGGGAAGATTGGGGCTTTGTTGAGCAGAAGGAGCCGAGCGCTTCCGGCTGGTGGCTGCACCGCCGCCAGGGGACGGCAGAGCGGCGGTGGGGGAGACAGAGGAGATGGGTTTGGGAAGGGAGGAGTTGAAATTGGGGCAGGTGCCGCGCTTGAGGTGCTCGGAGGCGGTGCGGGAAGGGTTGGAGGCGGAGAAGACGGCGTCGCAGAGGGAACACCGGAGCTTGACGGCTTTAGGGAGTCCGGTGTCGGCGTTGTGAACCAACATGGGCTCCAGGTGAGCCCAATACCAAGCCCCTTTCCCCTTTACCGCCTTGTTCCTCACCATCATCAGCCCTTCGTACCTCTTGTGCGCCGCCTTCGCCGTCGTCTCCTCCGCCGCGTTGTTGGGTGTCGCTGCGGCCGCGCCGCTGTTGCTGGTGGCTGCCATTGTGAGAAAAGTGGGGAGCTTTATTATGAGAATTGGGGGAGGGTTTTTGTTCCGGTTTAAAGGTGCGAACTTTGGACCGTTTTTTTTATTATTTATTATTCTGTTCTCCTCCTTTGAGTGTTTCCGTCGGTTTGCATTCTAATTGGGGAAGGGCGCCGGCGGGGGCTGCCGGGTCTTGATCTCCCGGCGGGTGTCCATGGCCGGCGACCCTAAAAGTTGAGAGCTTTGGAAGGGCAGGGGGGAACGGGGTAATGGGAATTTCAAAGAAGGAGAGAGAAAAGCGGAAACTGTGGTAGAGAGAGAAAGGGAGGAGACAAATTGGGAGAGGGAGAGAATAGTATGTAGTTCAAGGAGAACTAGAGAAGGGAATAAGGAAAGGGAGGAGGCTACGTGCCAGCAACGCGGGTGCAGTGTGCGCGTGAGGAGGAGATAAAAGGGCTATGTGTTGATTGAAACTGCTACAAGGAAATAACACCACCGCAGTCCGCCGTACGAAATCAGCAGATTCAGCACTGACATCCGGCTGTCACTCGTTGCTGATTGGGGAAGTGAGGTTCACGCGCCATATTAATAATAATGAATGAGAAAGGATTCTAGTTTTGGCATCCTTTTCATGTTCATTGGCCTTTATGTTTTTTTTTCTTCTTCCTTTCCCTTTAATTTTGAATAACTTTTTCCTTCCTTGTTGTTGGGGGGCTCTTTGTTTGTGTGGGGAAAAGAGGGGTTTTTCAGTTTTTGTTTGTCTGTTTTCTCCCCCTTTTTACCCCCCATTAATTTGACAACAGTTTCTTGGCTACAGATTCTCTTTCACCTTAAATTTCTATCTTACTGTAAAAATAAATCTACCTTATTGATTTCACGTTTGAACGATAACTTTGGATAGGTATTACCCTTGATTTGATAAAAGGAACCGACTTTTTTTTTTAAAGGAACTAACTTTCAAATCCTCATAAACTTATATTCCAACTAACTGATTGATCATAGGGATTATTTTGGACCATGAATCTATTAAAAATTTTCAATCATAAAATTTAGGAATGGATAATTTGTCAAGAACGGTTGATCTGAAACCCGCTCTTATTTCACAGGTCTCTCATAATACTTGTTTCGTCCTCGAAACTTCATTTCCTGTAAAATCAAAATACTTTGTATCTACAACTTTTCACATTTTTTTGTATCAATTACCATTTGTTCTCAAATGGTGCGTTTATGACAACCCTTGTGGTATTGGTCTTTGTGTTCGTAACAATAACTCATTTCTAGATGCGTATGTTAAATCGATACAATTGTTGATTCATAAAAGTATGGTCCAACATCGTTAGTCCTTGACCCCTATTAGAATATGAAGCTGATTGAATATTGATACTTGTACAATCAGATGAATATTCAAGAGACTTGATACGGTACCAATGGCTTTGGCCATCAGTTATCTTTGACCTTTTTTCCTGCTTCTTTTGTTGAATGGCATCAGTTTCCATTTGTGACTTGTTTTCCATGTGGGCAGGCTCAGAAAATGGACAAGAAAAGGCAAACCTAGCTAGGAATTTAATGAAGAAAAACAATCACTCATCATATGAATATGGGAAAAATTGGGTATTTCTCAAAATTTTCCTTATACTCCCTACTGACAGTCACCACACTCTCCACTGCACTCAACTTCAGCTGTGGTTTCTGCTGTGGCCTGCTTAGCAGTAAGTAAGAGAAGAAGGAAAATTCATACTGGGCCAAGACAAGAGACAAACAAACAAACAACCAAGAAAAAAAATTCTGCTTCCACAATTTCTATTGAATTTTCCCATTTGTTTATTTGCAATTATGGCATTATTCTCTCTCTCTCTCTGTTGCATTTCCTAGTACGAATTTATTATTTGGTTTTTGGACGTATAGTACGATTTATTATTGCAAGTTGCATCATTCAGTATTGAAAGAAAAAAAAAAGGTTGGGAGTTGAAGAGTAGGTAGCCGTGTAGTAGTGGTGTACATTTGTCATTTTGGAATTTTGGATACTCACAAAAGATTTGGAAAAACAAAAAAGGGAGAAAAAAGTGGGGAAGTTGAGTTGAGTGAGTGATGGCTAATCAATAAAGAAGAGGAGAGAAGAAGAATCCTATTTCGCAGAAGACCAATGACGACACAAATCGCCATACGTTTTCATATTTTGGTATTTTGTTGACTGACTACTACTACTCCAACGACTTGTGGGCTTTTTGGTTTTGGGCAACAAACAAGACCAAATTTGAGCTTTGCCTTCATAGTTGATATGCATTCACTCTCATATTACCTAGACCAACTCCAATTTATTTATAGTGCATATATGGGTATTTGAAACAATGGAAGAAAATTTCTCCTCCAAAGTCCAATCCAACAAAAATATCCCTCTCAAATTTGAGAAGAATAGACCAAGGGTCGGGCAAAAATGAGAAGGGGACACGGGTTTATGACCATATTTGGTTTGGAAGGAAGAGGAATAACAAAGACGAGAGAGCGAGGTGAGCAGCCTGGCTGTGCAGCGCACACGTGCGGCAGGGAGGCGCCCCCAGACCACATGCCTCGGCCTTTCCTCACTGCTCTTTTTGAGGTTTTTTATTTATTTATCTGTTGAATTTAGGGTATAATGCAGACAAAAAAATGGACACACTCTAACGCCTATAAAAAATCACATTTGAACAACTATAAACTTTTTTCTGTATATTAAGTTGTTCTCTCTTGTATGCATTCCCGAAATTCTCTCAAATTAATAAAAAATCTTTGCAAAACAAAAATGTCAAACGAGAGGGGAGTCAATTGGCAAGCTGAATAACGAAAGTACTTGTGCAATATTTGGGTTTCGATATCGAAAGATGAAGCTATTTGTGGTAACCAAAAAGGCGTGAGGCTTTGGGATGGCGATTCTCGAATGAAAAGTATTACTATCGACCTCAATTCTGTTAATGACATCTTGTGTGTTTGATCTTGATTATTTTCAAGTATTACCTCATCAGCTTTATCTTGTTATTTCATCTTAATCATTTGTATATGTTATACTTAAAAACAATTAGACCTATATAATAACCGTGATTTAAACTAGTCTTGCATTAATGGCTATTTTTGACAGAAATGTTTTTGTCTCATAATTATTTTAACAAAATTATAACAAAAATAATGTGAACAAAATATATTGGAATGCACATAAGTACGATTTATGCGAAAGATATTGAAAAAGAAAGTGAGCTAAATTGAGAGGGGTGGGTTGCAGTAAAAAAGTGAAAGAGGAAGCTAAATTTGGGTGTTTAGAAGTAGGAGTGAAAATCGGTACGGTATCGGTATTCCAATACCAAATATCTAAATCCCAAATACCGAATTACACCCTAAAGGCAATCTCAATCCCTAAATCTCCTCATCTATCTATATTTTGGCCATCAACATTAGTTTCATTTCATAGCAATGAAAGTGGGGGTTGGAGGTTTATATAGATAACAAGTCTAGATAGATAAGTGATATGTCCAAAAAAGTGGAGAAGAAAGCCTCTTATTTAGAAGACCTTAGTTTCTATTTATAGACAAATGCTTGTGTAGGGGTGGGCATCAGTCAATTCGGTACATAATCAAATCGAATCGAGATAGGACGAAACGAAAAGCAAAGAAAAATGAGGACCAAAATCATACCAAAAGCTTGTTTAGTTCATTTGATTCCGTATTCAATTTCGGTCCACCTTCATTCATTCTTAAAAGTTAATTAATTCATAGAGTAGAAACCGAATCAAAATATATACAATCTTGTTCGGGCCAAATATCGGTTATTTGATCCTATGTAGACGAAATTGTTTCCCAGCTTGAGACTTGTGATACTTCATTGGACATTGCATGCACATGATGCCTCGGTATATACGTTTCGATTGGATTATAATTGTGGTTTCGACCAGATTGCGTCACATTTTAGAAAAAAACTTATCCTCATATGTTTAGAGAATTTATCGTACTTGTATAGTTGTATTATAGCTTCTCTCTTAGCCGATATGATTCGATCTTATGACTAGCATTGTGGGTTTCAACCTTGCTTGATAATATTTACATGGGCGATGGTTGCAACGAATCTACATAGTCCACGATAACATTAGAGAAAATGTTGGAACCACCAAATGAAGCAACACCAATGTCTACTACATTACCCCAACTAAGTGAATCTTGTAGGATTAGATGTTGAACTTCTTTGGCTTTAAATTTTCTCTATCATGGTAAATGAGGAAGGTTCCGAGTACTTCTCTAGTGGTAGGGGTGATTTAATTTCTTCACAACCTTTCTTCTCATAATCGCCATGAGGTTCTTATTACTTGTTTTCTATCCCCCATTCTCCATCAATATAGTTGGATGTGTCTAAGAAAAGGATTGTATCGGAATTGGACTTAAAATACTTTCTTAGATGTATTATTTAAGCTATTATATGTTGACGTGGAGATGACTTGTACTATACAAGTACGCTAGATAACTCGAAAAAACATTAAAAATTTGTACAGAATAATATCTGAACTCTGAATTAAATTATTGAAACCTTTTCACAAAATTAGTTTCAATAATGGGAATGAACTAAAATGGGGAATAGAGTTGAGCTTACAAAGCTCAATGGAAGGGGGATTGGTGGTTGAACATTAACCATGAAGTGAATGTGTTGTTAGACCCACGCGAGAAGCATTCTGCCTTGTGTGAACTGTGAAGTCATCATATGTGAGAGCTAATATGGACGGGCAGAAGGGTTGTGCGCCTATCGCTTTAGTGAAATTGGATCGTTTAGGAGGATTTGTTCCTCGATTATTACACTCAGGTGGCACGAGTAGGGGTGTCAGTTCGGGTCGGGTTCGGGTATCTGAACCGAAACCCGAAAAAACCCCAAAAATCTGAAACCGAAAAATCATTAAAAGCTAACTCGAATTCGATAAGGATTTGCGGGTTCCGGTTACCCGAAACCCAAAAATTCCTTATCGGGTTCGAGTTCGGTTAAAGCAAAATCGAAACCCGAAAACCCGAACGCCTAAGAATACGGGTTGAGTTCTATTCATTGGAGGTTTTTAGCCGGAACCCGAAAAATCGATAATCAAAACAGAACCCGAAACCCAAAACGAACCCGAACCGAAAAACTGAAAATTATATGTATATAATCGGGTCGGTTTCGGGTAAACCCGAAAAACCGAACCCAAATGGACACCCCTAGGCACGAGGTATCATCTAACATGTTTCATTGGTGTACAAAAACTTGTGGTGGGCCTATGTGTGACGCAATTTTTATGCTCGTTATAGCATCATTCTAGTGCATCTCCAACAAATTGGTTGAACCATTGTTGTACTACGTACCCACTTAACATTTTTGTTCTTACTAATCAAATATGATATTGAGTTCAAGGTTACTCTTTTATATACAAGCTTGGTCACATGTCATCATATTAAAATTGATCTTATGTGTCTTTGTAACAACTTAGACAATAAAGGACCTAGGTAGCTGCTAGCTTGCTAGCATGGAATTGATCAAACAATGAAAGTAATAACACTGAAACCACCGCATCATTGTTGATAGTTTAAAGTGCATGTGCGAATAATCTTTGATCATGATAATTAAAGCTCTAGTGAATTACGTTAGGTTTCAAATGCAACATTCGAATTACAAAGGCAGGTAAGGTAAGGTAAGGTAAGGTCCATGTCTGCATGTTCCAATTATCACCTACCACCTTCTATGCTAATTGCTAGGGCATATGTTACAATGAGAACAAAGAAAGTTAATAGATGAATTACCTTTTTCCCCATTACTAAGCATGTTAAATTAATTATGATTTGTGTTATATTGTTATTTTAGTTTTGAGCTCGATCTGTTGGTTGGAAGATGAATTCTTTTTCATGTTAAGATAATGTTATTTATAGTACCCAACGATAATGTTTTTGACACACATGAGATTGTTGTGTACGATGGTGATATAAAATTAAATGATATTAGTATAAATTTTGTAATTTTGTAGAATAATAACGTATCAAATGTGTTATGGGATTGGGGGTATAGAACTGAATAATAATGGTATAGTTTAGTAGCATTGTCAAATAAATGCTGCAATATTTTCACACTAAGGTAAATAGAATCTGTCCAATTGAATGCATCTTTATTACCTAGAATTTCTTGTAATGAAAATGGCCCCAATGTATTCTTAGGTCATTTTTATTGTTAAGTCTCATTTTGTTTGGTTGCTTTTAGACTTTCATTTCAATTCGAGATTCTCAATTACCTAATTGTTTGGTAGCAGCAGCATCCATCCCAGTCCAACAAATCAAATGTACTTAAGGGTCGTTTGGAGAATATGAGTTAAAATCTACATATTGTCAACAATCTAAAGATTCTAACTCTCCAGATTGTTGAAAACAGATTTTAAAATGTTTATTATTTGGTAACTGTGATTGTTAACATTCAATTAAAATAAAAAATTTAATTTTATATTAAATAAAATTTGTATCCTTAATAAAAAAATTAGAGTGGTTCAAGAAATGTTAAAAACTTTGTTGATAGATATAGTTCATGTGATAAATAAATAGAAGTAAGAGAAAACTAGGAGAAAAAACAATCTCACGAATCAAAATATAGAATCTCTCTAATTATGAGAGATTTGATATCCGCAGATTTTAGAGATTTGAAATCTCTAAAGCTAGAATCCATAATATAGAAAACAATAAGAAACATAACTTTCTACAAAATCTACGGATTCAAGAATTGAGAAATAAAATAAATTTAAATCTCGTAGGAAAAGTTCAATGGACAAGAAATGGTCTTTGGGGTTGTCATTTTCGAACTAAACTCCAGTGATAAACTATGGCAAGTTTGGCCTTTCCTTCGAAATAGCTCTTTGTCTCTTCTCAAGGGCTCTACGTCTTGCTCGATAAGGGCAACATCCTTATACTCATTAACTCTCCTTGTTTTGTGCGATCCTATTTAATTAGTGAAAGTTATTAATTATTATCTGTGCTACGAATTGAAGAGACATAAACAAAATAATACAACAACAACCTATGTACTCATCAATTTTGAATACATACATTTGATCTCTATATGCTTAACTTGTGTATCTGGAGTGTACTGAGATAGAGAGGCAAAGTGACATGTATTTTGACATGTACTAGATATATCTTTTGTCACATTTGTGCCATTAATTAAGTACCCAAGTTGAGTTCTAGGAATCTTACTATCTCCCACTCTTGATGGGGGCACAATGTAATGTAGTTGTGTGTTATATGTTGTTGGAGTACATAGGTAAATTTCATGTGTACATGTGTCGAATTTATAGAAATGCAAGGGAAGATAAATTACACATATATAAAGCATTATATCATTTGGCTTAGCTAGCTTTCTTAGTTCAATGCTAACTTTTGTTAAAGGCAAACATATAAAATGGTCATTTTCATGAATTTCATGTGCTTTGTTTTACAATCTGCAAAACGTCCGAAGAATGATAGGGTAAAGGTAAATAACTTTGTAGTATATTAGCATCCGGGTTCTTGTTAAAGTCTCTTCGTTGGAAGAGTTACTTTGTGTTTGGAATGTCTAAAATTACGTTTGATTATCTCCTCAATGAAAAATCAATATAACCTTAGGTTGTTTGGGTGCGGGTCAATGCAGCAGTGTATAGATACGATGTGTAGGGCGATTAAGAAAAAGGAGGAGACATGGTATAGACATGTAGTACTGCTAGGAATAAGAATAAGACAGTAAGGCATTCGATTTTACCAACACCATTTTGGTTGAGTTTCGGAATGATCAAAATTAAGACCGTTCGAAAATAACATATTTTTGAAAATATTTATTGGGGTAATTGAAATGTAACATATTTTGGAAGTACACACCTATTTTTTTCTATTCTACAACAATTATTGGAGTAATCTTGTAGGGTATTTTGTGGAAGGGTGAATTCAAATATGAATCTTCTTTCAGGTGAATTCAACATAATACCTTAATCATTGAACTACAACAATATTCCTGGTGTTTGTCTAGTGTACATACATTAAGCCATGTAAATTGTAATGAACGATTGGTACCAAGTGAAACTATGGATGACAATTTTGCCAATACTCATGGGTTTTTTACTATCCAACTCAATTGGGTTGGGTATGAAATCCAAATAGATGGATATGAGTTAGACTTTGATGGGTTTGTACCCATACCCATTTACTTGGGTTGAGTTGGGTTTATAACAAATGGATTTGAGTTTGCACCCATGCCCAAATGCAGATTACAGTTTGATACCTAAACTTAATATATATGCATTTTTAGTACCTAAATTGAATTTTTTGTTTCATACAAGTCCTCAAAATATCGATGGAAAATTACATTTTGGTCTTACATTTTGGTACCTAAACTTTTCAAGTTTTACAAATAGGTCCAATTTTTGCATGTGTAGTTAAAACACCCTCAAATAAATGAATATCCATATCCAACCCATACCCATTTAGATTATGAAAGCAATACACATACCTTACCCAAATCCATTTACAAACCCACAAACCCATATGCACTTCACCCATACCCAACCCAACCCATTATGAATAGATCTACTTGGATTTGGGTATAATTACTCATAGGTGGGTATAAGTGAAACACATTCAATAGGATTTCTGTCCATTGTCTTGAATTTCCTCTTAATGAAACTTATAGGGACTGTATTATCCGTAGACTTTCATATTATCTTCCTATATCTTATCATTATCACTTTTGTCATCATGATATTCGTTCCTCATTTTGGTTAATAATTACAATGAAATCAAGCACAGTTGTTAAGTGCTTTCACCTGTTAGGTGCCTGATCAACAACAAGATAAAAGAGAGATTGGGGAAGTTGAATCAATAACAATGTTGGCCAAAAACCTCACCCTTAGTCAACGGGGGAGTCAAAGCCCTAGCATCACCAAATCAAGTAAATTTGTTTTTCCTTTTCCCCCCACACATTAAAAAAAATTTACCCTCTCCCCACCACTTCCTTTATTAATTCAAGTGGGCCAGAAAGAAAATATACATGATAGATATTAGATAGGGAGTTATATTTTGCCAAACGATTGGGACCCATGATTACCAATTGATTTCCAACACGTGTCTCATCATACAAAGTGGTTAAAAAAAAAATTCTACAACCAAACTATACACACCAGTGATGATAAGGGTCTGACGTTAGTAACCTAACCACCCTAATGATGCCCTGAAAAAAGTAACCAATTAGACTGAAAGCCAAATTATTGTGTCGTTTCCCTTTTCTGTTGGGAGAAAGAGCAGAATGGTTTTGGGTCATTAATCAAAACCCTACAGAGAAGATAAGAAGCCCCATAGTTTTAGGATTAAAGGAACAGCTTTCAATTACCTGCTGGTTATTTTCAACATTCACTACTTGAGAAGGAATTACTTACTTGTGTTTGATCAATGTGGTGGTTGTAAATTGTAATGCTCAGATTTTTTTCCTCAAAGGTATCAGGCCCGGCCCAGGTCCTGTGCTGGTTAGACCCACATCACAGAGCCTCAACTTTTCGGAGCCTCATAAGTCATAATCCATTAGACCGGACTCCGGAGGCAGATCCAACTTGGACTTCGACGTGGGCCTCATAATCGAAGGCGGAGCTGATCCCTTGGGTTGGCAAGGTGGCCCACATAAGAACACACATGCACAAGAGCATCTTGTGACAGGATGGAAAATCGAACCGTGAACCTTCGTTTCATTAAAAACAAACTAAACCACTTTGCAGAAACTGAAAGTCATTTGATGAAACAAAACTAACAGTAAGGATATTTAACGTCTCTCTTATTCTATTCTTCAAAAAAATTCAACTTTATGAAACCATCCAACGCCTAAATATTAATTATTCACACTTAATTCTAATGAACTTCTAATAGATGTCCATCCCTATTATCCAGGCACATAATCGACTTATTTTGATTTTTAAGTTCTTTTTTCTTTCTGTTTTGGAGGGAAATTAATATTGATTGGAAATTTGGAATCACTAATCTTTGGTTATAATTTTCAGTTATGTGAACCCAAAATTTTGAAAAAGGTAGTTCTAAGTGTAAAAGAAAACAAAGAATTAAGGAGTCTGGATACATGTAATTCGGAAATTAGCAGGGCCGGCCAAGAGGGTGTGCTGGCCCGCCCTCCGGCACAGGGCCTCAGAATATTAGGGGCCTCTACTTAGATTCGTTAGTTACCGATCGTATATTGTAGGTTGTATTTTTAGTGTATGATTGATTGATTATGAGTATGATGATGTGTTTAATAGATAATTTTAGCTATAATAACAATTGAAAAGGATCTCATGGAGAATAGGAAAATCTGAAAAATAATAGATAATTTTAATTTAAACAATATAGAAAGATATTACATTTTGAATAATGTTATTATAATCATTTTAGTTTTATTATAGTTAAAGGTCGATTTGGACCACGTCTAGATTTTGAAATAGGGCCTCCACGATCTAGTAGACAACCCTGCACCCACCTCTCTATCAATTTAGACTATTTTCATTTCTCCATTCAATTTTTTAGCTATATCCATTTTCTCTTCCTTCCAGATTTACTTTCCTCCCTACTAGGGTTGGGAATTCGGTATTGGTTTCTTGGTCAAACTGGAAACGAGATCGTTTATTCCTGATGTAATCTTTTTCTGAACTTAAGTATTTTTTTACAATTATTTACTAATTTTTAATTTTGATAAATTTATGGGGAAAAAATTAGGGCCACATTTTAAATTTTCGAACAGGGCCTCCAAATACCATGGGACGGCCCTGGAAATTAGAAGTGAAGCTAAATCATTGGATTGTAAATTTTTTGTAACCGAATTTTTGGGGCCACATTTTAAATTCCTGAACAGGGCCTCCAAAAATCATGGGACGGCCCTGAAAGGTATCCAAAGCGGGAAACAATAAGATACGAGTATATATAAGCTTCGCAGGTCAAATCATAAAACAAGAGATAAGTAAGACACGTTGGTCGACCAAGATGCAATCCATCGATAAAAATGACTTGTTTTGCCACGACATGGACAACCATATTATACTCACATGGTGCGAAATAAGAGGGTTTGGTTTAGCCACTCATTTTTATATTAACTCGAACCTAATTACGCCGTGTGAAAAGATACTTAGACACAAATAAAGTGCATGTTAAGATATAAAATATAGAGGAGAGTGAATATTTTTGAAGACGTGACTTCCCTACCGTCGACAAAAATGCCTCACAAAGTTGTGTTTAGATGGTAATGGTATTGAAATTTGAATCAAATTGTATAACGAAACCGAATGCCCATGGCCCATGAGTGGTTCACTGTATAAGGACCAAAATCCGCATTTACATATTTGGACGGGCAGTACCAGCCTAGTGGGCCTGCAAGGCCCAGTTAACGGTCCAAGCTCCAAACTTCAAAACTCCATCACACACAGCTTCAAAGAGTGTTCGATTTGGTGGTGGGTTAGAATTGGATGGCAAAATTATAATAGGCTCCGACTTCGGAGTAGTGCCCAGCTACTAGGTCTATTAGTGGATACTCAAAACCGTCATCATCACCGGCAGAAGGCCCGTTAAACAACTGTGAAGCCCAAACCGTTTTTGAAGTTGGCTTTCACTTTCACCATAAAAACATTTAATCAACAAAATAAAAACGCCCACCGTGGGGCTCGAACCCACGACCACAAGGTTAAGAGCCTTGCGCTCTACCAACTGAGCTAGACGGGCTTGTTGAAACTATTGTTTTGATTCTTGTTAAATTACTTTCGGTGTCTATTATTGCAAAAATATCAATATTCATTGATCACATCCCAAATCTAATCGGAGCAGTGGAAAACTCGAATTCGATATATTTTTGGTGTGTATGGGTAAATCTCAAATTCGAATATTGCAGATAATGGATGGACATAGTTTTTTTCTCTATCTAACTCGAACACGTCCGATTATACATATGTGTATGTATTTTATCTAGAATTAGTCTTTATTTTTCTCATTATATTTGATATTTTCATAAACTTGTGTTCTTTTCGACTGATTTTCTTAGGTCTAGTAATTTATTGTTATACTTTCACTTATATAATATTTTCATATACGTCTAATTGTTAACATTATTATCGGGGTTAATTGCATGTAGGGCTGGCATTTCGGTTGCCGGTTAGCGGGTAACCGTCGGTTACAACCGAAAACCGGCCGGTTACAAGCTAACCGAAAACCGACCGGTTACCTTGGCGGTCGGTGGTCGGCTGGGAAAAGGAAGGAGTCGGTTGACCGAGTAACCGACGGTGATTAATCGCGGTTATCCGATTAACCGACCCCAACCGAGACCCACCTAACCCTCCCAAAATCTGTCCATTATCTCCTCCTCCACTCACATAACCTTCCCCAAAACCTAGATCTAAAACAAAACTCTCACCCCTTCGTCCACCTCGCCGCCGCCGTCGCCGCACCTCTGTCCACCTCGCCGCTACCGCACCACTGTCGCCGTCCACCTCGCCTCTGCCGTCGCGTCGCCGTCCTTGCACCTCGCCCTCCGCATGCTTCCCATCGCGGTAACCGCTGCGCCGCGCCGTACCTCTGCATCTCCACCCTCCGACCCTGAAGACGACCCCAGCCCTCCACTCCGCCGTTCGCGTGCGCTCTCCCCTACTGGCTGCTTCTCCTCCTCGAATCTCCAACCACGTCGGCTCGACGTCCGCGCGAACACGCTGCAGCCTCGCAATGCAGGGGCTCCCGGTCTCCTTCGCCCCCTTCGCGGCCCGGGGAGAAGTGGTCTGGTGGCCACGACCTGCGTGCAGTCGACGTCGTTGAGGATCGGCGAAGAGAAAGAAGGTGTGAGAAGAAGTGGTTTGGTGAGAGGAAGAAGGTGAGAGGAGGAGATAAGGTTTGGTGGGTGTGAGAGGAGAAGTGGTCTGTGGTGGAAGGAAGGAGAGAGGAGGAGATAAGGTTTGAGTGGTGCAGGATTTTTGGTTTTTATTTTTAATTTTTTTTAAAGAAAAGGTAATTTCTGGTTGGTCGGCTAACCGAGCCTAAAACCGAAACCGACCGGTCGGTTGGCCGGCTAACCGTGACCACTCTCACGGTCGATGGTCGGCAGGTGTGCAGGGTGGCTCGGTTTAATCGATAACCGGGTTTTTGGTTTTCGGTTAAACCGAAACCGACCGGTTGACAGCCCTAATTGCATGGGTGGTCACTGTTATTACAAAAAAACGTTCATGTTTGGTCACTTGAAATATTTAAATCCATTCGTAGTCACTAAAATTAGTAAAACCATCCAAGTTTGGTCACTCTCCGTTAGTTTCCATCAGTCTCCGTTAACGACGTCAACTTTTTGATGACGTGGCTAACAGAAAAGTCTAGTCACCAAAATTTAACCCCAAAAATTAAAAAATATTGTCTGCCACATCAGGTAATTCAGCCCAACCAATGACTCAAATCCTAACCTAACTTATTGACCCGCCATCAACAATCCATCTTTGCACCTCTTCCTCTAGCTCCGCGCATCCCCAATCTCTATTCTTCTTCCTCCGCTGCTTTTAAACCCGATTCTCAAAAATCCTCTATTTCAATTGGAACCAAATTGAGCCCAAGAGACATGAGTAGATGAAGCGGCCAACGCCATGAGTCTATACTTTACAGATCTGAATGGGGTAGATGATTGGCTCACCGGAGAAGATGAATCGGCCAACAGATTTGAATGAGGAAGATGATTGGCTCGCTGGATCCTCTGCTTCTTTTCGATAATGGAGGGGTAAGAAGAGGGGCTAGGCGGATGGAGTCAGAGGGAGAAGAATAGTGCTGGGGAGAGGATCTCAAGCGATGGGTGGGAGAAGAAATTGAAAGGCAGTTACCCTGTTCTGGAGGTGGTGGTCAATTTCATCACAATGACTTCTTCCTTCATCTATGAGTCTCTCCTTCACAACCCCTCTCTTGGGATTTCATCCACCCCAAAAATTACCTCTGGTTTTCATCTATTCCACCTGGGAGAAACAAGAAATTTGATTAATTGGGTATTTGGGTGGATATACAGAGGCAAAGAGGTTGTCAGTGATGGCGAATAGAGATAGAGAAGTGGTGTTTAGCCCGGGCTCCAAGGGTACAAGAATTCACCGGCATCCCCGCACCGCCCTTCTCCTCCGCGTCCCCTTACTCTCGCCTCGACCTCTTTGCCTCCTCCACCCTCAGGTCTGCCGTCGGATCGACTACATCTTTGATTATGATATTCTAGACGCTTGGCTGGTCGATTTTGTCCAACTTGAGGAAATGCGGCCGATTCAAGCACCATTCAGACCTGGTTGTCGAAGGGAATGCAAGAAAAATGAAGAACTAGAGTTCAGATCTGGAAAGGAAACAGGGATAAACCCTTATTTTGTTTGAGTGGTTGGTTTATGGATAGGTGGTTCGGTTTGGTTCAAGGATTTGGTTGGGATGGAAAAAAATGACATGGTGGGTCGGATTTCACTATTTTTGGGTCAAATTAGACTGACTAGGCGATTCTGTCTGCCTTGTCAGCACATAACGGTCATGGTTAACGCAGACTGACGGAGACTAACGGAGAGTGACCAAACTTGGACGGTTTTACTAATTTTAGTGACCATTAATGGATTTAAATATTTCGAGTGACCAAACATGAACGTTTTTTGTAATCACAGTGACCAACCATGCAATTAATCCATTTTTATCGAAACTATGAAGCAAAATTACTACCTATATATAACCATAAATACCTGAAATCCGATCGCTGAGTATGACCATGGTTTCAATTTTCTACACTATACTTGTATGTATATGAATACGAATATAACTAAAACCCAAACTATTTTGAGTAAAGTAATTGATAAACAATGTCAACCCCAACCCTACATGAAAATGACGGCCCTAGAAAGCTCCCATGTTGACAGAAACAGCACACTTATTGATTCAACACCTTCAACTGAGATACAAATGCAATCCATACCGATTATTGACAAAAACTCTGCCTAAGCTCACACACCACAAGCTAACCCAACTTATTACTTCTGCCATGTTAACACAACAACAGTGCTAGGTATGAGAAAACACTTGGAACGCCATTGGAAATCTCCCCGCCATACGACTGCACTACCTTGACAGCTCTGATCACGTTCTAGTCCGATTTGAAGCCTCCATCTCCGTCTTCCCCACCATTTACTCCCTCTCGCAGCTGAACTCGCAGCCAAAAACAAACAAAAAAGCAATATTGTTAGAAGAATTATCCGAACCACAACATCATCATCATATGTATTTTCATTTCTAAAAATGAAGATGCTTTTGATGTTACTTTCTGAAGGGCCTTCTTTTGGTATCGGTAACCCTGAACAAGAAAAAAGAAGAAGAAAAAAACCGTAGCCAGAAACAATCAGAAAACTTGAAAAATGTAATTAATCACATAACGCTCAATGTTGATTTTGGGTTGGTTACTAGTGATGACCTTGTCGGTTCCATAGATGTAATCACAGTAAGTGAACACCGACGCGAAGTTGCTCTGGCTTTGGCCTCCAACATAGTGATGGTAATCATGGTGATCCGCACCGCCATAGAATGGTATGTATTTCGTCACACTCCATGGGAAATCATATCTGCAGCACCACAGATCAGAATTCAGAACCAACCAAGTTGTGAAAACCCTTGAAAAGCAGAGGAAAAGTGGGAAAAAAGCAGCAGCAGAGTGCATTACCCACTGTGCGTATCTATGGCCTCGATCTGCCGCAAAACGAACCAGAGCCAGAAAGTGGTGACGTGACCAGGAACCATTGCCGGTCCCAGAAAAGACGGGATCCCGAGGATCAAGATCTCAGCCCAGTGAGCATATGGTGCAGCAAATGCAATTGGGGATGTGTAGTGGTGGTGAACCTTGTGGATTTTCTCGTATCCCCATTTGCAATGAAGGAATCTGTGGATCCAGTAATGTGTATAATCCTCAATCAGAAAGTAAACCAACAATTGGGCAGAAATTTCCCCAATTGATGGCAATGGCAGCCCTGTATGTACCCCAACAGCCTGGGTGCAAGCAAACAACAAGATTTTTAAAAGAAAAAAAATCCACAAACACCAAAACACGTGCTGGTTTTTGGTTCAGTAAATCGCGTAAATCTGCGTGTTATTTACTTTCTTATATTGTCGATTTCCCAATTCGAAGTTTACCTTGACGGAAGGGTAGGAGATGAGCTGCAGGGGACCGACGACGAAGAAGAAGGAGAGCATGACGTCCTTGTAGCAGTTGAAGATTTCGGCGGCGGACGGCTGGATTTTGGGCTGGATTTTGTGTTTCTCGAAGAAAGGGGACCGGAGAAGCTGGATGAAGACGAAAGGGAGCGGAGCCACGGAGAAGAAGAGGCAGAGGAAGAGAATGTTGTGGCAGGCGAGGACGTCGTCGGACTTGTCGGCGGAGTAATTGAACCAGAGTGTCTCGGCGTAGGTCAGGTTGCGGCCCAAGTGGGCCGCCGCCGCCTCGATGGAGTTGTATGGTAGCATTGTGGAAGGGGACGGCGGCAGTGGAGGTTACAATTGCCGGTGACTGTAGCGATGACGGCGAACAGGGTAATTGGGGGAAAAGGAATCAAATGCTACAATGTGAAGAAGAACTGGAGAAGCCCGAAATCTGGAATGAGGGAATTTACAGAGAGAGTGGGAGATTGATCTGTTAGCGATGAGGAATTGGAATGATGATTTTTGTCTGGTTTTAAAGCCGCCACCAGTCCATGCAGACTGTTCCTTCCTTCCTTCCACTTCCGGTATATATTAATTTTTAATTTCATATTTTTTAGTAAATACAATTTAATATCCAAACCTTTCATTTTAAATAATATAATAGCCAAACCTTTTCGAAAACAATCTAATATCCACATCATCAACTTTCCGTCCGTTTGACCGTTTGTTGACACTTCATCAAGTTCGAAGTACGACACTTCATCAATATCCATCGATATTTTCTCTGAAAACCACAAACATATCGTGGTTCCAAACCCGAAAAATCCATGACTCCACCGTGATAGTATAGAATATCTAAATATTCAGTCATCTGCAATGCCAAAACAAGAAAACAAAGTTGTATTGTGACAATTTTCCCTAAACAAAGCTTTTTTGAAGTGTCAACTAACGGTCAAACGGACGGAAAGTTGATAATTTGGATATTAGATTGTTTTCGAAAAGGTTTGGCTATTATATTGTTTAAGATGAAAGGTTTGGATATTAAATTGTATTTACCCTATTTTTTATTTATTATTTATGACCGTGAAAAAACTTTAGTTTAGTACCTAAACCTTCACGTGTTGATTAGTTTGGTTCCTTGCACTTTTTTTGGGTTAAAAATAAGAGGTGTTTTAGTCATAGTTAGTAAAATACGGTACGAAAAAGTTACGTATAAAATACGTACGGGTATTTTACGTCGTCTCTAAACTAACGTTACGTTTAATAGTACGCTAATAGTCATAAATAAATAAAATTAATTATTTTAAAAATAAATAAATATATAAATAATAGTAAAGTTAACAATTTAATTCATTAAATACGGATATTAAACGTATTTTACGGGTTTTATACATGTTTAGTACGGGAACCATCAAATGAACGAGGGAAAATGAAACAGCTTGATAATAATACGGATACAGGATGAGATAGCATGCCAGCCCCTAAAAGGTTGGAAAAATGACACCCCTATTAATTATAGGTTTTTAAGGTAATTAATTTGTGTTGCATTTAATAATCTGTATGAATTAAAAATATATATTAATTACTTTCCTTTTTCAGTGCACTGGTAGTTGTATGAGTGCAATGGTATTAGTGTACAGGTGCAATGGTAGATGTATCAGTGCAATGGTAGTTCCAAAAAAGGAACGTAATTAATATGAGTTCAGTATACATGTGCAATGATAGTTGTATCAGTGCAATGGTAGTTAAAAAAAAAGGAATGCAATTAAGATGAGTTTTTAATTTCCAAAAAATATTAAATGCAACACGAATTTAATACAAAAATAACTATAATTAATAGGGGTGTCATTTTTCCAACCCCTTAGAAGGGTTAGCATGCTAACCGATCCCTATGGATACGGAAGTTTTAAACGGATAAAATAAGTACGGGTACATATACGTGTATTAAACGGAGTATTTACAAACTATGGTTTTAGTGTTAGAATTACTTTTAACATATGTAATCCCCGAAACTTCATCCTATAAGATTATCAAAGATTAGTAGGAATAACTGGATTCGGGTCGGTTGATCCTCTGGATCTTGATGCGGAAAACATAAGACGATATGCAACCGGACGATACTTCTGGGAGCACGATCCGGGAGGTAGCATGATCTTCCTCAACCAAGCCTCCTTAGACCACTAACGGGAATCCTCTGATCTTCCTGATGGGGAGAAGAAGAGAGTGTTTCGTCTTGGTGTCTTGGGGACCACAACCTCAAGCTCCTTTATATACTAGTCACCATGGGCTCCCATAAGACCCAAGGTGAACAAGTATTGGGTTTCCACCCATTTATGCCCATATCAATGCAAGATGTCTTTGGGCTCCTAATTGGATCACTTTCAATTAGCCCACATAACCAAATAGCCCATATAATTGTAAAATATGTGGCCCATATCATAATTGGAAATAGAATTTCCTAACAATCTCCCACTTGGGCTACATATTTTTCTTGAAACAATTATATCACAAAATTCTTTAGGCACGCAACCGTATGCTATTTGTACTTAGACATCTCCTAAAACAATCTGGTCCACCTCCTGTATCAATTATGGAACCAACGCGGCTTTAATCACAATATGATAATGACTAAACCACCATGATCACCATACCAATACACTCAATGACATAGATCAAATATGGATGAGTGGCATGAAAATTACATGCAATGTGATCTTGAACATGCCTATTTTCAACTGGTCCTACTTTAGTCCTTAGTGAGATCAACTGAAATTCCTTCATACAATGTGACCACTGTATAACTGAAGGCACTTTAAATTCCAAAATAGACTCTAGAAAACCATCACTTTATTCTGCAGAATTGATTTAGTCATAATCTATTGAACATACTTAAACGACTCCCACTAAACCAAGGTACCATCCGGAATAACACTCATGTGAGCAATATGCTCATGAAAAAACCTTTATGTGTCAAACCATTGGCTAATGGATAAGCTAGCATTAGTCATGTCCTTAATGTTCAATAGAAACTTGTCTATTTTGAACTTTATCTTTAACCACCAGGAACTTGATGTCAATATATTTGACTTCTGAAATCCATGGTAATGATAGTGTATCACCATCAAATTATTGTCACTATTAACCTTTAATAACTTACCAAGGTCATTCTAGTGACAAAAACTTTGCAACCATAATAGGAAGTCTCAAGATATGCTTTGAACTCTACCCAACAATGAAGGGTAACCTGATGTAGAGTTTATGCTACCTTGACATCCTGTAACATCAGAGTCAGAGTACTTGATGATCTCTAAATTATCTGATCTCTAACAAATTTGCATGAATTCTTTTTATCAACTTTAGTAAACGCGTAACACGTTTGAATCCTTCTAGTATTTCTTGCATAGACCAAACAAATATCTGTCAAAAAACTCTTACTAGAAATGCTTTATTGGGATGAGAATAAACTAAACTATACATTAGTTCTTTAATGCAAATATGCATTCAAGAGATTTTGTATCTTAATTTCTTAAATATAATTGGGGCACTGATTGAGACCAAAACTGTCTCCCTTAGCTACAACATATCTCCTGGTTTACTAACTTATTCTACTTGCACCTTAAGTAGAACAACCACGATGTATAAAACAGGAAAAAGGATATACTCCCACTGAACTTAAGATATACACAATCATCTCCAACATTAGTCTCTAATTCTGAATGAGCTAATAACATGAGAATCATTGTGATATCAATAATGAGATACTTATATGAGCCACCATTGCCATTATATTCCTTAAAGAGTCTTTCAAATATACCAGAGAGAAAGTCTCTTGAGTCAATACTTTCCTTATTAGTAAAGCCTTAGAGACCAACATGCCTTATATCTCTCATTGACTTCACCACATGACATCAATCCACTTTTCATAACTAGAACTGTGCATGACTAGACTAATATGAACCTGATCATTAGTCAACTTGACGTCATCCTTATGTTCAAAGAAGATACAACTACTTTGTGGATATCCTAATTGATGGCATTTCTTGAGTTTGTTGAGTTTGTGTAGTAACAACATTTCCATATGGTTCCTTCCCCCCAAACTCAATATCCTCAAGAAATTTCTATTTCTCATTAAAAAAAAACTTCTTGAGGTGGGATTATAAAACTTTTAGCCTCGAGAGTACTATTGAGTAGCCAACAAAATATAAGTTAATTCTTTTGTCCATTATACCTTCTTGTACCTTACAAGGTATTTCCTAAGTTGGACAACCCTAAATGTGCAAGGTCCTTATTGCACTTATTGATTACATTAACTACCTTCTGGATACTCAATTTAAGGATGTACGTTGTAACCTTTATGGCTTTTATCCAAATGGAGTCTCGTAAGTAGAAATACTCCTCACCATGTCCTTAAGAGGTCAACGAAACCATAACATCCTTAACTCTCTATTTGTTCCTTTATTGAGAAATTGAGGTTTAGTGATTGAGTTTAGTCTCATCTCGTATCTTCCCTCCTCTCCTTTTGTGAATATTAGTACTCACCTAAAACTTCATGGAGGAAGATAAATTAAACCAAGTGTTGAGTATGTCTTTTGACACCTCCAAAATATAATACACTTGTACATTTTGCCTTTACACTTTATGGATTAAATTACCCCAATAGGTAGCTTACCCCGGATCCTTTTATGTTTTGGCAAAATACTGTATTATTACTTCAATAAACCTCAAAGGCATCTCAGTATAATAGCCCCATAATTATTCAACGATAGAGCGCTTAATGATCACCATGCACACTGAATTGGATATATCTCTATTCGCTATTATTAAATCTCATTGAGATATCCCGAAGTAGAATAGGGATTGTTCCACATAAAAGCGCAAGATCAATGCCTATATATCGAGAATAATTGTCTTGAATTTACTTTAAATTCTTTAGATTCATCCCATTTAACAGAAGAGTTAACTTTAATTTCAACAGAAATGTTTAAATCAAAGCACGAAAACTATGTTGAGATAAAAGAAAACACACATCGGCCATGTAATTAAACAAGACGATAAAATTATTAAATTTTGGGGATCCATCATAAGATACCAAATGCAACATTAATTCTTAGTCTTTGGACAGAGAAATTAACTGCGAGCGGTACTCTTAAAACAATGATCAAATACTGATAATAAGTTCTGTCAAACAACAACCTATCTTTGGACCGACTGTTATTTACATGAACAACAACTTTATAATTATCACGTATTTACCATTAATGTGCTTGATTATTTTGGTCAAATAATGTCGTCCTTTGGGTCGAGCACTACCCACATAAAATAACCTTACACGTACATCCATGTAATCTAAGTTAAATAATTTTTCACAAGTAGAGGTTACTTTGGCAACATACTGCTAAAATTGACTTAATTAAAATACCGGACAATTCTCTCATAATCACAAAATTCCAAATAAGTGATTAATTATCATTAAGAGAGAATTACAATAATAATTTTAAATAACTGTTTACTCCATCTCAAGACACCTTGCACTCCATTAATATTTTATCTTTGGACAAAATATTAACTTGTAAGTGATGTCTTATGACACGATAATTAAATATTGATGATAAGAACATATGAAACAGTAAATCCACCTTTGGGCCGATTTAAAATTCACATGCTAACCGAATAATCATCACATATTTATTACTTTATGCGCACATATGGAACCTTAAATATTCACCTACCTTTGGGCCAGTGAATACATAATTTGCACGCACTAAAATGTAAACCTTTACCATATAGGGATTTATCAAAAAAATTTGTTAAACCGACCCCAAAATTGATTTGATGAAATGATGCTTACATTCCTCATAAACTGGTCTTGTTTACCAAACAATTTACGAGACATGAAATGCACAAAATTACCGTAAAGTGCATTTTAATAGTCGAACGACCATCACACAACGAAAAAAAAAACAAATAAATCTTGAAATCCTTATGGCTGGCCCTAAAATCCAAGGCAAATATATAAGCAGACCATAAATTCATGTTGTTGTCTTTATTAATGGACCCTTCAGAAGCATAATGAACTCACAATAATGGTTTACTTAACTGTAGGAATTAATTACTAGTCACGGCAAAAGCCAACAATCATTATCATACAAATAAAAAAAATACTTAATATCGGGAAGGTAATAATTAAACTTCACATTTGTAACCCATCATAAATAATTAGTATTATTGAAACCGTAACCGAACCATAATCATCATCATTAGAATAGGGATGGGATGGGATGCTAACCCCATACCCCGTTAGCACCGTCCTAACCGCATATATCAATTTCCTTTTTTTTTCGGCTGATAAAAGGGATTTTTATTGTGAGGGGTATTTTTGTAAGGTCTGTGTAATTAGTTGACGTCACGTCATTGCTTCAAATCAGCCGAAATTTTTGTGGTGGGATCCCAACAGTCACTTTCGTTTTTTTGGGAGATTCTTTCTTCTCAATTTCCTCTCTATTTCGTCGCATCATCTTCACCTAGCGAAGCCGAGAGTTGCGGCCGTTGTTCGCCTGAACTATCCTCGGCGACGCAACCCTCTGCTCCTCCGACCTCGTCGCCACCGAATACTCCCTGCGCCCTCCTCTGCTCCTACGAACTCGACGATAGCCACCGCTTGTCCGTCCTCGTCGCCGTCCTCCGAGGTTCCCACCTTGTCGCCGCCCTCTGCTCATCCGAGATCGGAGCCGCCTCAAGTAATAGTCAAGTCTCATCAATCGTCCTTCCATCATCTCATAGGCGCCATTGCATGCTCCATTCCATGTTCTGGTTTTTTGTTTTTGGATTTATGATCTGTCTTTCCATTGCATGTCGCCGTCCCTGCTGGTTATTTATTTATTTTTTTGTTCAAGATCTGTCTTCAATGGAGGTTGCGTGTAGGTTGCTGTATCCTAGCTCTGTTTTGGGTTCTGATCGGAGTGGGATTAATTTTTATTTTCCGGCGATGTTCAGTTTACAGTGAAGGCAGATGGCCATTCATTCGTAGTGTTTTCGTTTGTGGATAGTATTGAATCGATGGGTCAGTTCGTAGCAGTGACATTGACTTATTCCCAATTCGTGTGGTAGCGTTTCAATGTTGTAGTGTTTGGAAGAAGATTAGTAGTTTTCTCCCATTTGTATTTCCTGTAGTAGTGTTTCATTTCAATATAGTAGTTGGTTTAACTTTTTTTAGTAGATGTTTATGTGTAGCAGTAACAAGTTCTTTTCTTTGCGTTGTTCATAATGAATTCAATCTTATTATGTTGATAATTTCTCTTTGTAAAATCACTACTACCATCATAAAATATTGCTACGATCACGATTAACAACTACTATATTGGAATAGTACTTTTTATTGGAAACACTATTACCACCTCGAAAATAGCTACTACAAACAATCAACCGAGGAATGAAATGACTATGACAAAAAAAAACTATTGAAAACACTACCAATGGTAATAACCACTACACCATATCGTTAAAATATGTAATGTTATTACTATGGAATCACTACTATTAAATTAATATTGCTACTAATAAATATCTATCAATTAAAGAGGGAGACGTGATATTAGATTGATATGGAGCACAATTATTTTTTTCCGAGAAATTAGGGTTAATAATTATTTCCAAGCAATAACCATCCCCAATCCCTTAAAATCCGCCCACTAACGGAAACAGATTTAATTAAAAAAATGGAAGTTAATAATTAATGGATCCCTTAAAATTAAACCAATTAAAAAACCCAATCCCCCACTTTCCGTAAATCATATTAATTTCATATTTTTTTTAATTTTCTTCTTATTTCCTATTATACCCTTTCTTTAATTATGGCCATTTAATAAAAAATAAAATTAAACCATTTAAATATTAGTTAGTACGGTGCTAACCCCCTATAGGATTAGCACCGTAGCTTGTCCCGTTAGAATATGTGAGTTCCAACTGAAAAACTGAAAGATAGATTCAGCTCAATTTCCGTAACTGGTACCAAATCTTAAAGATAACTCATGGAAAAAGGAAAAAAAAGGTTTTTACTATCCTAGTTAATGACAACAAACTTAATTAATTATCTGGTTTGATAATAATTATTATTATAACCTCAACCAAAGTCGGAAAAAAAACTCTCCGTAACCGAATGAGAACATAATAATTATTATGGAAATCATAAACACGGAAATAAGTTCCCGTAACCGAAAGTCTGAATTATTAATCTTTTCACTTCCGTTACCCTTAAACGGAAGATAATAATAGTTAATTCTGTAACCTTCCGCAACAGCACAATTATAACTATTATTATACTGAAACCTTTCATAATGGAGCAATACAACTAACCGATTTTTTTTTTTTTCATAATAGTTGTTAACCTGCACCAAAACCTTAAATTAAGCTTACGGTAAGGGGCAAAAATAAATAATTACAATTTCACTTAATACCCCATCCTTATTACCGAAACTTTAATGAATTATATCCCAAATAGAATTCCAACGGGTAAGAAATAGCACAACTGAAAATGACCATGAACGTTGATGCATTCATTTTAGTTCATATTTCTGGAGAGCATTCTCCATTCCACAGGGGCAAACAAAAAATAAAACCATGAATAGTAGCATAAATAAAAAAAAACTTATGACTTACCGGTTCCCTCTAATTATCAAAACCGCATTCATGCATTCTGTGATTAGTTTCTTGTCTTTAATTACTGAAACGACTAATTAGAGGGGAAAACCAAACTAGATGGGATAAAGCAACAATTGCCTAAAGAAACCCAGAAAACTTCCCCCAACGCAGTATGGGTGAAAAAATTAATCACTTGCATGAGTTTCGAATAGTAGCATGCAAGTATTGTGCAGTTCTGGATTCAACAAAAAATGAAACCACAATTTCCCCATCAACACAAAAAGCATATAAAACTTAATATGAATACATAATTTCATGAGATTATCAAAGATAAACATGCCAAAGTGTTCCAAAGGAACCACAAGGAGGAAAACACAGAATCAAAGTGTTCCAAAATGCATTCCAAAATCCCAATAACCAAACAAAGATGAAGGGCTCTGATACCACTTGTTAGAATTACTTTTAACATATGTAATCCCCGGAACTTCATCCTATAAGATTATCAAAGATTAGTAGGAATAACTGGATTCGGGTCGGTTGATCCTCTGGATCTTGATGCGGAAAACATAAGACGATATGCAACCGGACGATACTTCTGGGAGCACGATCCGGGAGGTAGCATGATCTTCCTCAACCAAGCCTCCTTAGACCACTAACGGGAATCCTCTGATCTTCCTGATGGGGAGAAGAAGAGAGTGTTTCGTCTTGGTGTCTTGGGGACCACAACCTCAAGCTCCTTTATATACTAGTCACCATGGGCTCCCATAAGACCCAAGGTGAACAAGTATTGGGTTTCCACCCATTTATGCCCATATCAATGCAAGATGTCTTTGGGCTCCTAATTGGATCACTTTCAATTAGCCAACATAACCAAATAGCCCATATAATTGTAAAATATGTGGCCCATATCATAATTGGAAATAGAATTTCCTAACATTTAGTTGATAAGATCTGTTTGAAGATTGATTAAAGTGGTTTATTTGTTTGATTGCGTTAGAGCTTCTTGCTAAATGAGTTTGATTGTTTTCTAGAAATTGTTTGGTGTTTTATTCTTATGTTTAAAAAATGTTTTATTGGTTGGTTTTAGTATTATGTGAGCCATAATGATCATTGAATTGAGTTATTTATGTGATAATATGATAAAAGAATAAAAAAATGATATTTTTACTCTGAGTTGTTTCTTCAATCCAGATATCTCTGATTCGTTTGTCATTGAGCTCTTAGATTTATGAGATGCTCTTGGCTGATGTTTGTCTCGATAATTTTCTAACCGACACATTCCTTCACTGATGTTCTATTTTATGATTGATATGTAGGTAATTATACGGATGGTCAACGTGAGGGATTCATCGCACACGATGGGAAAGGCTATCCTGCAAGAGATTCATGTGCTACGATCATTATTTCAGCGTGCTATATATGTTTCATTTCGCGCCACGTAGGTAAACTATGGATGCCTATATCATGGCAAAACAATCTCTTTTGTTATTAGTCCGTACACTTGTATCTAACTTATTTCTCTTTTGCGTAAATATGAAAAAATATATATACATCGGTGTGTCAATTGATCACATTTACTTTTAAATGTGGATTATTTAGTTGATCTCGTGGACCAAATGTATTTCCCGAACTCGATTAATATAACCTTTGCATCTGAAGTTAAATATTTTGAATTCACTTATTACTATATTTAGACAAATAATAAAGACGAGAGAGATAATTTGATTCCATGGAACTTGGGTTGTGATAACTTCGCGAATTATGTATGCCTAACTTAAAATGGTTGAGCTTTTAGGTTGGGCATCTAGCCAGAAAAGAGTACTGACCTCAGTCAAAGAAATCGTTCAAGCACACCATTGCCCGAAAATCTCCTCCGTTGATCCTCCAATGTGTATTTAGCCTGTGATATACCTATGGAATGAATGGGAAGTTAATTTCGTGTAGTCACAAAAAGCTGGTTAGTGATAGTTAGAAGGCACTCAAGTCAAGTAGCTAACTTGAGTGGGGGCAACTCTGGTTGTGGTTTGGATAGAGCCAGCATGCCCCATTTCTGATGCCAATCCATACCCAACCTAATTGATTGCAGCGGTGTCAAGAAACATATATAATTCGAGTTATTGGTTCTTATATTGGTTATTAACACACTTTTTTAAATGAAAGCCAGGCAACTCAGGGACAGATTCTGTAAGGCTTGGAGGAATGAAAACTTTGATTAACAATTTTTTTATGCCAATCCATACCTATACCACTTGGGTCTTATATTCGTTATTAGTATTTTTTCTATATTATTATTTTGATTAAAAAATTTGGTCTCCCGAACTTCAAATTCTAGCTTCACTCCTGAGTTACTTATAAGGGCTTTCGTTTGCACATGTTCTGAATACGAGAAAATCATGTACTTCATAAATGAGGTCACCGGAATTTTAACGAAAGACATCTCGGTCACAAAAAAACTCTATTTAAGAATAAATTTATCGTAATAACTGATCAAATGATTAGAAGATGGTGGATGACGAATTATACCACTCGCTAACAAGTGGTATAGCTAGATGGATGGGGACGGGCTTGCAGTTGCATGCTTCATCAATCTGCAACATGATATCAATCTTCTCGGCAGTCGATCGAGTTGCAGGTCCTCTGCTCTAATAATGAAACAACGTAACACATCAAGCCAGCTTGCTTAGCGACGAAGCGACCCCATGCTGCTAGCTACCTAACTTTACTTACGTCCACACACTAGCTAGCTAGAGCAGAGACAAGGGAATTTGCATTGGAGCCCATGCATGCATTGCATGCCCACTCTTTAATGGCTCCAGATACGCTCTAATTTATGAGGGGCGACAGACTCTTCAGTATTTATCAAAGTTCGGGTCCACTTTGCCATATAAGGTCCAGTGAGTTGAGCATGTGATTAATTAGCACTATGTAGTGTGAGGGAAAAGGAATGGAGAAAAATGGATTGATGGCGTGGTTAGTCACTCTCTTTAGAGTGTTATTTGACTCCATTATGTTGTTGTTGGTAGGAATTAGGCAAATCACTTCCAGGAGTCCCTTCAACCAAAATCCGAAAGCAGCACCTTTCTGACTTCTGTGTTTGTATTTTCGCAAAACTCAAACTCAATTAATTATCCAAAACCAATTAATAAACATTAATTCCAGAAATTAATTAAATAGTCAATAATTTCAATTCCGAACGCGTCACGCAAACGTGCTAAGTGCGTAGTGCGATTTAATATGTCAAATTAAATAGCTCACACTTTTTTCGAAAAGCCCCCTAACCACTTTATCTAATAAACTAAAATGGAAAGCAAACTTAAAAATCACTTGCATCTTCTTTCTTCCACCAATGTCGTATTTCTCTTTTGACATGTAGTGTAGACATGAAGTGAACCCAAAAAAACATGCTATATCCTCCGCCATACACCTGCAAGGCAGCCAAAATTGTGTTTCCTTCATGTAGATGTGCAATATATACCTCTTCAATCTTTGTAAGTAAGCTGATGAAACTGCTGTATAGTACTCAAACATGTTGGTGCAAATCGTGCTATAATTTGAACAATTATTGGACCATACACTGCAAATGTATTCTCTAGTGCCCAACATTTTTTTCATGCCAAGCGAAGAAACTTCGATAAACCTACTCAACTTTACATAAATGATGGGAGCATAAACATAGATTACAAATTAGACCACTGCGAGTAGTGCTTTTTATGAACTCGGATAAGACCACTTATAACGACTTATAACGACGTGGAATGATGGCTTGTATTGGTGAGAACATAACATGAATAAATAGTTAAGGTACAAGCATGTAAATGTATGTTATTGTCAGCGGTGGAATAAGAGATTTGAATGAGGGATGACTTTAATTGTCGTGATTGGGACTGACTAAAGTTTTACCGATTTTTCAAGTTCTAAAATCTGTACACAATTTACATATAATTTTATCTATGGCTTAATTGCAAGTTTGATTACTCGAATTGCTTAAAAATTTCACGTTTGCCACTCAAATTGATTTATTCCATTTATAGTCACTCGAATTAGTTGAACAGTCCAAGTTTGGTCACTCTCCGTTAACCTCCGTTAGACTCCGTTAGTGACGAACGTTAAGTGATGACGTGGCTAACAGAAAGACACAGTCAGCATATTTTAACATTAAAAAACGACGACCGGACCCGCCAGCTCAGCCTTACCCGCCCTGTCAGCCATTCTTGCCCAACCCGCGAACCAACCCATTTAATTGACCCTAAACCCAAACCCGAAACCCCTAAAAAGTAAATCGAAAACAGATGGTTAGGGCATTTCCCTTCCTCCATCTTCGTCCTCTCATCCTCCCGCGCTGCCTCTCTCCATCGCACACCTTCGAAAATCGCCGTCGAAGGGATGGAGGCCGCCACCCCGCCGCCCTGAATCCCTTCCCCCTCCCGAATCGCCCTAACCATCTGTTTTCGATTTACAACCCAATTGGGCAAAGGAATGTTGCGATGAAGTGATGAACAGCCCGAGTTAGCCATTGCCCATCACCAATTAAACCCCAAAAAGAAATATTGACAGAGACGAACTTACTCGCAGGAATCACCGACGTTGCCACCGCACTGATGAAACGACATGATGGCCTGGACCTTAAGGCCATGGCGCTGGGCCATCTCCAGAAGGTCGGAGTAACCTCCCCAATTGTAAATCCCGGGAGCATCTCTCTCCACCAAACCCCACCACACGTCCATCATAATCCCTTCCATGTCGGCGCTCTTCAGAGCCTGTAGGCTAACATTCATCGCCTTCCTCCAATTCATCGTGTTCTTCGTCGTCACTCTGTCCAGCGGCATCATCACGAACACCGGAACCCCCTTCCCGCCCTTCTTGCTCCTGCCTCCTTCCTCGTGCACCAACAGCTCGTCGCTCTCCGCCGCGAAGGCGAGGCACGCGACGGACAGATCTGGCCTCGCGCCGCCGCCGATGATGGGGGATTTGCAGGGGCTGGCCGGTTGCGACCTCTGCTCCGCTCCTCCGTCTTCCTTCTGGATCTTGCAATTGATTGGCGCCGGAGATTGCCACACCACCGCTGCAAGCGTTGAATCGCCCGATGACACGGCGACCTCGGCTCGGATTGGAGCCCCGACGAGGGCTCCGATCTGGTGAGCCACGTTTTTCTTGCACTTCTCTGTTTGGGTTTCCATCCGACGCCGAATCGCCCTAACCATCTGTTTTCGATTTACTTTTCAGGGGGGGTTGGGTCTTGGGTTTGTGTTTAGGGTCAATTAATTGGGTTGGTTCGCGGGTTGGACAAGAATGGCTGACAGGGCGGGTAAGGCTGAGCTGGCGGGTCGGGTCGTCGTTTTTTAATGTTAAAATATGTTGACTGTGTCTTTCTGTTAGCCACGTCATCACTTAACGGTCGTCACTAACGGAGGTTAACGGAGAGTGACCAAACTTGGACTGTTCAACTAATTCGAGTGACTATAAATGGAATAAATCAATTTGAGTGGCAAACGTGAAAATTTTAAGCAATTCGAGTGACCAAACTTGCAATTAAGCCTTTTACCTATTTTTCAAAGTTTACGGAGTATAAAGCATAGCTTTTAGCTTTGGCTACCTTCAAACTAGCTCCACATTGTTTATGGTGCAAGCTGTAAAAGTAACTACTCGTACCGTCGTACGTTTCATTTCTTGCTAAGACCAACTTCAATGCTATTTCTAAAATTTGGGGACCTTCATCTCCAAATTTGGGATGATCCCCATTTTTTCTCCAATGCTATCATCTCCAAATTTGGGGATGATCCCCATTTTCATCAGTTTTCTTTAGTTAAAAGTATACTTATGATCATCTTAATACAATTTGTTCATGTTAATTTTTGTATAGTTCGTCATCATTTTTAAATACTAATTTTTCGATCAAATTTTTTCAAATTTTGAGATCAATTTTTTATGGCAAAAAATGATTGACCTAATTTTTCTTTACACATAACACTTGAAAATTATTGATCTAATTAATCACCTAGTTAACCTCCAATTAACTCCTAATATTTTAAAAAAAAGTCAGGTGGCGGGTTGGCGGTTGTTCCACCCATCAGCACACCCCTCCCCATTTTTGGCGGAATCCTTATTTCCATCCCCAATTTTGGGAATTCTTTTGCAGATTTTCTCCAAATATGGAGGCTCTCTCCATTTATGAGGATACATTGGAAATAATACTACTTCATCTACGGAGACTTGCCCCTATTTACAGGGACTCCATTGGAGTTAGCCTAAGCCTTCCTTATCTCCCAACAAGGACTGTAAGTAGTGATGGCAATTTCAACCCGCCCCGCGGGTATTATCCGACCTGACCCGCGATGGGGCTGGTATTACCCGACCCGCAGTAGCGTGAGGCGGGGCATGGGTATCTACTTTCGACCCGCCCTGCCCCGTTCTCGACTCATTTATCTCAATTTCTTACAATATCTATACATATGTCTCCTATTTTGACTTTTCTTCAACTAGTTAGAGTCGTTCTTTCAACTTGTTAGGCTCAATTATCCATTCTATTATCAATATTTTTCATTCTTAAAGTGTTTTTCCCTGCATTTTATTGTAAGTAAAATGTACTTGTATTTTTTTTGAACAATATGTAAGAGTGGGTCGACCCGCCCCGTACCCGTGCGGGTTTTACCCGCCTCGACCCATAATAGCGTGGGGCCGGGCATGGGAATTGAGGTACCCGCCCCACCCCGCTTCATTGCCATCACTAGCTGTAAGTAGTGTAAAGACGAAATAGATTCATTGAGAACATTGGGCCTATTGAACCCAACTCGAAAGTCCAATAATACTTACACCTTCTTTTTTAAATACAGTGGGCCATGAATCCAGCGAAGTCCTGAGTCCTCTCATCAAGTCACATTAATTGCAAAAGCAGGCAATAGAGTTTGGGGCCATAAACGGGAAGCATATGTTGGGTTTTCCTTATCCAGGCCCGAGGCCCTTCTGTTCTGTTTACTTCTGATACGGGAATCGTCGGATTTGCCTTTCCCCGGCTCCTCATCCTCCTCCTCCGCCACCCGGCAGCCGGCTTTCAAAAATCCCCGCGAGCAAATACCTCAGCTTATTGATTCTGGAATAAAAAGGGCCTTTCTTTCCCTCGTGTGTGCTTTAACTCCCTCTTGCGTGACCGTTGCTGCTGTATGATTTTTCTGAGCTGAATACCCTAAGCTGTAGTAGCAATCTTTGGCATTCGCTGGCCCCGTTGATGAAATCAACTTGAAGCTAATTGATTTCTGGGTAAGTTGTCCTACCCTTCTTTGATTGATACTGTTTTTGTATTTCCGAGGAAATTGATCCATTTCTATTTGAGTTAGGTGATGGTTCTGCACAAAACCATTTCTTGAATTCATTCATGTGTTTGCACTTTGCAGGATGGCCATGGAAACGTCTTGTCTGTTCCATTCTCGCCTGCCTGAAACATTCAGGAGAAGGAAAGCAACCTGTTTTAACTATTCTAGGACAGAAAGAGCTGAATTCCATCGCCACTCTGATGAATTTAGGAGCATGCTAAGATGTATCTGAAAAACTGGTTATTTAGACAGTATGCCAATGGTTAGATCAGCTTGATTGTGCTCCAATTTGATGATACTCAAGAAATGTTGGTTCCTAAACTTGAAACCTTGCTGAGCAAGCAGATCACTGTTCAGCAGGGGAAACAAATCCATGGATGCATTATTATCAACAGACTTTATTACCTCGAACCTCTGCTGATTCGCCAATTAGTCCCCTCATCTCGCAGCTACTCCACCGGTCTTGCACATTACGTTCAGGGTATTCTCCACCATTTACAGAATCCGGATGCCTTCTCGTGGAGCTGCACAATTAGGTATCTCTCTCAGGAAGGTCAATTTAAGGATGCTTTCTCTCTCTATGCTGAAATGTCGAGAGTTGGACTTTGTCCTAGTACGTTTGCTGTATCTTCTACCTTGAGGGCTTGTGCTCGTATTGTGGATAAGATTGGTGGTAGGGTAGTTCATGGTCAAGCTTACAAGTATGGATTGTGTACTTGTGTCTATGTCCAAACTTCCCTAGTGGATTTGTATTCCAAACTGGGCGATATGGGCACTGCACAGAAGGCTTTTGATGAGATAGTCGATAAAAATGTGGTGTCATGGAATTCAATTTTATCAGGGTATTTGAAGTCTGGGAATTTAGCAGAAGCAAAGAGAATGTTTAACTCAATGCCAGCCAAAGATGTTGTGTCGTGGAATTCGATGTTATCCGGATATGCTAGGGTGGGGAATATGGACCAAGCCTCCATTATGTTTAAACAAATGCCTGAGAGAAACTTTGCTTCATGGAATGCAATGATCAGTGGATTTGTCGATTGTGGTAGGATCAAATCTGCGAGAGGCTACTTTGATAAAATGCCTCAAAAGAACAATATCTCATGGATGGCAATGATCTCCGGGTACTCTAAATGTGGAGATGTCGAGTCTGCCAATGTGCTTTTCAGTAAGCTTCCCAAGAAAGATCTTTTATCATTCAATGCCATGATTTCATGCCTTGTTAAGAACAGCAAACCTAAGGAAGCCCTTCAGTTGTTTGACCAAATGCTTAAACATCACGTGGATATCCAGCCAGATAAGTTGACTTTGGTAAGTGTTATCTCTGCTTGCTCCCAGTTAGGTGACCTGAGATTCGGATCATGGATTGAATCATACATGAAAAGTATCAAAGTTGAAAGAGATGATCATTTGTGTACTGCATTAATTGATCTATATGGCAAGTGTGGCAACGTTCAGAAAGCAAGTGAACTGTTCAATAGCCTTGAGAAGAAAGATGTGGTCGCTTACAGTGCAATGATATTAGGGTTTGGAATAAACAGCAAGATTGATGAAGCCACTAAGTTGTTCAAATCATTGATAGATGCTCGTATCCCCCCAAACTTGGCCACATTCACGGGACTCTTGACTTCTTATTGTCATGCTGGTTTGGTTGAAGAAGGCTACAAATGCTTTGCCATGATGAAGGACCACAAACTCACGCCTTCGACCGATCATTATGCAACCATGGTAGATCTTTTGGCCAGAGCAGGAAGACTGCAGGAGGCATATGAGATGATTACAAGCATGCCAATGCAGCCTCATGCCGGTGTGTGGGGAGCTTTGCTTCTTGCTTGCAAGGTGCATAACAATGCACAATTGGGAGAGATAGCTGCTAAACATTGCCTTGAGTTGGAGCCTGAGACAACTGCGTATTACTCTCTTCTCGCTGACATATATGCCTCAGTTGGGAAGTGGGGTGAAGCTAGAAATCTGAGAAAAGTCATCAAAGAGAAGAAGTTGAGGAATTTGCCTGGGAGCAGTTGGATGGAATAAACCACATAAAATGTGCTACTTTTGTAACTGATTATGTGTGCATTTCGATTTGATGGATAGTACAGAAAATATAGGATGAAGGTTTCCTGGACGACTTGAAATAGAATCGATTCTCTGACAAGGTATGTTGTCTTCCAGACTTCCACTTCTCAAGGCTAGCTTGAAGAGGGATCAGAAGACTTGTACTGTGGTGACATCCAATGTATCAATGTATCCCCAAGACAAATGGATTTGAATTCCAAAATTCTGTGTGTTTCCCTCTTCTTATTTGTGGACTAGAATGAATACCGGCGGCTATGCCTCGAGATCTAAATTTGCAGCAGCATGTTCATATTGTCAAGATCCCAATAACTCGAGTTCAGTGTATAGTTGATGCCAAACTGGGTTCGTTATATTATTGTCAAGTGGTCTGAGTTTTAGAATATTGGAAGTTTGGTTGGCGCCCTACAACAAGTAATTATTATGATTAAATAGAAGTTCAGTGTATAGTAGAAACATAGGTTTCTATCATTGATGAAAAAAATGCCTATCTACTTGGGGTTGCTGAATTTCTTTCCGACTGCAGTCTCTTGTTTCTGTAGGATAGTAACGCTAACATGTATGGGGTTTTGGGAGAAACACATTTCAAGTGCTACATTGAAGTATCATTATCCTGGGAGAAGTATGAGGATTGTGATATATTGGAGACTGGGACACATGGTGAAGCTAATGTTGCAGACAGCTTAGTTCAAGCCTCCATCTACTTGCTCAATAGTTTTTGCATCCCGTCTGTTCGTTCTTGTAATCTTGTCTACTAATTAGCCGCTTCAGCTGCCACTTGTTTCAGTCATGTCAGCTGAACTTTTGTGATATAATGATGCAGCCATGCTCAAAGCATCAAAGATTCTTAGCAGAGAGATATTGTATATATATATATATATATATTTTTTTTTTGTGGAAAGAGATATTGTATATCTGTATATTCTATAACAATATCTCTCTATAATTATTTATGCAGAGAGATATTTAGTCCTTGGCGGGATCGGTTCAATCCGAGGAAATTATTCCTTTATGCTTTCTCGTTCTGATATTTGAATTCTTTATCATCTTTAATCGTTGGGACTTGGGAGTATGACTTTTCTTGAAGTAAGGTATGAGCTAGGGGTAAAACTAGGCCAAACCCAGCCCTGGCCGTGTCACTACCCAAAAAACCCCAGCCCTGTATGCTCAAATATTCAGCCTGACCCGGCCTGACCCTATTCTCATTTGGCCCTATTGGGTCGGGCTGGGTTGGGTCGGTCGGGCAATAGGGTCGGCCCAACTTCTTTTTATACAATTTTAGCCCACTTAATTATTTAATATCAAATTAAATTTCAAAAAATTGCAAGTATATACTAGAAAATTTAAATGAGTTCATAACAAAAAATAATTTAGATAAAAAATATTTAAAACTAATTCACAAAATAAAATTTTAATTACAAACATTCCAACTAATTCCAGAAAATTTAAGTTAGTCCAAATTCCTTTACCAAAAATCCTAATTAATTCGAAAAACTTAAAATTAATTTCAGAAACTTAAAATTACATCTAAAAAGTCTAAATCACCTTACGATAAATCCAAATTAAATAAAAAATACAAATTACATCTAAAAAGTCTAAATTACCTTACGATAAATCCAAATCAAATAAACAAAATGCAAATTACATCTAAAAATTTTAAATTACCTCACAATAAATCAAAATCAAATAAAAAAATACAAATTACGTAAAAAAAAGTATACAATTTCACAATTCATCAAATGAATTGCTCATAATATCAATTGGTTCCTGGAAAATGATTGTTGTTGTTCCCTGTGTATAGAGTTGCAAACAGAAAGTGAAAATGGGGGTTTTGCCTAGTTTAAGGTCTAGATCAATTGGCTTGGGTTGTAACTGAAATTCAGCTGGATGGTCCGTTATATTTGACTGCAGCAACTCTCCGACAATTGATCTTTTGATTCTGTGCCATTTTATTCCGATTACACTGACTACATTATAGGACTGGAAGCAGAATATTAAATCTAGAAAGGGCTAGGATACGAATTTCACTGGTCACTCAACAACGTTCACATGACCAGAAGGTTCATTTCGCGTCCCCCTCCGCCGCCGGGGAGAACCCCCTGGGAGACCGGCAGCCAACGCTCATCGTCGCTCAGCATCGGCGAGGTCGGAAGCGAGAACTTCACCACCATGAGCAGAGAATTCAATGCTCTCGTCCTCGCCGGATCAGAACACGGTGCCACCACCGGCGAAGGTGGCGCCGGCGGGGGAATAACGTCCCGGATCACAACCCGCTGTTGGGCAATTAATTATGGCCGAAATGGATTAGGGTAATTAGGGACTTAGGGTTAAAAGGGGTCAAAATGAGATTGAATGGGTTTTAAGGGTAAAACCCAAAAATATCCTATCCCGTCAGAATGTGACCCAACCCTACTTTGGCCTTAAAGACTAATTGACCCTACCCGATCCACAGGGTAAGGGCCATAGTTACTAGGGGTGTACATGGGTCGGGTGGTCCGGGTTTAGACATTTTAATCACCCGACCGATGCACTACAGTTTGGAAAATATTAAACCCAAACCCACCCAAAAAAATATAAACCCTACGGTTTGTTTCTAATTGGGTTGGGTCGGGTTGCCGATAAATTTAAGTAAAAACCCAACCCAACACAAAATATGTAATTATTCTACACCATAAAAATATTTTATAACTAATTAAAAATTCAAAAGAATAAACTGATATGAAAGGTATCAAAATTAACAAATGTTGTTTGAATTTTAATAAAATTTGATTTACTTCAACTTATGTCTAGTTTTTTTCACGACATTTGTTGAAATAGGCTAAAAAAGTTACAAATGAACGCATCCATAATATGTTATTCTATTAAAATTGTACACAAGAAAAAGAATTATGTGAAACATAGTTATATTAAATTTATGTCTAAACTTTAAGCCGAAGAATGCATTAGATTAGGGGAGCCTTAAAAGAAAAACATGATGAAATATCTTAATTTTCTCATAAGTATGGCTATATACGACATAAATATTTTTTTGGATATGAACTCATACCAATAATTGGAACACAGGTTGAGTCGGGTTCTACGGGTTGTGTAATCCAAAATCCAAACCCAACCCAAAAGAGGCAGGTTGTACAAAAGAAAATCCTCACCCAACCCAAAACCTTCATTTTAGTGATAAATACTGGTGAGTTGGGTCGGGTTGGACGGGTGGGTCGGGTTGCAAGTGTGTTTGTTCACCCCTAATAGTTACAGCCCTAGTATGAGCAGGTTCCGGAGAACTCATGCCATGAGCATTAGATAGGTGTCTTCCCACATAAACAAATTCTTATTGGTCGAATCAAATTCTCTCATAAAAACTCTGAATTAAAAACTTCATTAGACAGCTTTGAGTTACCTGCTGCTGGTATTTTCAACTTTCACGGCTTTAAAAGAAATTACTTATTGGTGCATAATTAATATCGTCGATGTATCACTTGGTCGGTTTAACCATAACTTGTATTATAATTATGCGAAGTAGTGTCAAATTCGACCATAAATAAATTGTGTATAAAGATGTGACTTCCTCATCGTTGATAATTACCCCAACAAAATTATATTTAGATTTTTTTCATAATGAAAATTATATTTAGATTTTGATCTTGACGAAAATTCTACAAGTTATAGACTGGGGGTACAAATAGAGTCAAAATTCATTTTCGCTCCACTATAAAATGAGAGAATATATACTTTCATTTTCATCTCAATAGCACTGTTTATTGTATAATCATACTTGTCAAATAGTCATAAATTCTGGCGAACAAATGTGGCCTAGTGGTAACTGGTAACACCACTAATTTTGAACCATGGGATCCAAGGTTCGATTTTTTATCAGTAACACCTAATTATAAAAAACTACATACATCACCCTTATAAAAAAAATAGAAATGATGAGAGTTCATATTCACTCTTGGTTTCTAAGTTGGGTATGGGAGAGTATCTGAGTATGGACGATGGAAGTGTGGTGCTCTCAGTTAGGAACGACATTGTGGAGCTCAAACCAATAACCATTGATTTTCAGCCTGAAGTCCCTAGGATGGACGACATCGCGGGGCTCGAACCGGCGACATTAAGATTACATGTTAAGCAGACCAGTTCTGATTGTATATACGGTACGTTGTATTTGTAGTGAATGATTAATTGGTCATGACATGAGCATAATGAATAGTTTAGTTATATTATTGCTATTCATTAGTCAATAATTTCATGTACATATACACTAGACACGTATATTGATGTAAAGTATTATTGGTGTTTTGAAAATTCTATTTATATAAAAAAATATTAAAAGAAAACTTAATAGAATAGGTATGATAATGATTGAAAATGATGTCATTGGAGAGTACAAAAATTAGAAAGATAATAGATAGGTTTTGTTTTTTAACAATGTGAGAAAGCTGTTACATTTCAAATAAGGATAATATAATCATTCTAATTTTATTACACTTAATTAGACCACATTTTAATTTTGAAACAGAGCCTCGATGATCCATTAGACGGCGACCCATTGGAGATCTCCCCACCAAACGGTCTATTCCAAAGTGAAGCCTCCATTTCGGTTTTCCCCACCATTTACTCCATCTTGCAGCTGAATTCCCACGCAACAAAAAATAAACAAAAAGCAATGTTAGAAGAGTTATCCTAACAACATCATCATCATATATATATGTTCATTCCAGAGATGGAGATGCTTTGATGGTACCTTCTTAAGGGCCTTCTTTTGACATCGGTAACCCTGAAGAAGAAGAAGAAGAAGAAGAAGAAGAAGAAGAAGAACGTAGACAAAATGGTAAGAAAACGTGAAAATATTGGTAATGCTCAAATCTTGTTCCGGTTTGGTTGCTAGTCACCTTGTCAGTTCCATAGATGTAATCACAGTAAGTGAACACCGACGCGAAGTTGCTCTGGCTTTGGCCCCCAACATAGTGATGGTAGTCATGGTACTCTGCACCACCATAGAATGGTATGCATTTCGTCACGCTCCATGGGAAATCATATCTGCAGCACCACAGATCAGAACCAAATCATGTGCGTAACTATGGTCTATGGCCTTCATGAACTGATAAAAAAGCAGAGGAAAGGTGGAATGCAATGCATACCCACTGTGCGTTTCTAAGGCCTCCATCTGCCGCAAAACAAACCAGAGCCAGAAAGTGATCACGTGACCAGGAACCATTGCCGGCCCCAGAAAAGATGCGATCCCTAGGATCAAGATTTCAGCCCAGTGAAGGTATGGTGCGGCAAATGCAATTGGGGATGTGTAGTGGTGATGAACCTTGTGGATTTTCTCGTACCCCCATTTGCAATGAAGGAATCTGTGCATCCAGTAAGTGGTATAATCCTCAACCACAAAGTAAACCAGCAGCTGGGCAGCAATTTCCCCAACTGATGGCAGTGGCAACCCGGTATGTATTCCAACAGCCTGGGTGCAAACAAATAAAACAAAACAAACAAACCCAGAAACACCAAAAAGCGGGAAAAGAACCAAATCAACAATTTCCTCACTTTTTTTTTTTGTTTTTACCTTGACGGAAGGGTAAGAGACGAGCTGCAGCGGACCGACGACGAATAAGAGGTTGAGCATGACGTCCTTGTAGCAGTTGAAGATTTCGGCGGCGGGCGTCTGGATTTTGGGCTGAATTTTGTGTTTCTCGAAGAAAGGGGATCGGAGCAGCTGGATGAAGACGAAGGGGAGCGGAACCACAGAGAAGATTAGGCAGACGAAGAGAATGTTGTGGCAGGCGAGGACGCCATCGGACTTTTCGGCGGAGTAATTGAACCAGAGTGTCTCGGCGTAGGTCAGGTTGCGCCCCAATTGGGCCGCCGCCGCCTCTATGGACTTGTATGGCAGCATTGTGGAGTGGGGGGACGACGGCGAACTGGGTAAATTCGGTGCAGAAGTAGTTGTGGGAAAAGGGAATTCGGGGGAGATTATTCGATTCGATGGAACTCTGGTTGTGACTAACTTGGCGAATTATGTATGCCTAGAACTAGAAGGACGGCTGAGCTTTTAGGTTATAGGCATCTAGCAAGAAAAGGAAAAAGAATGAGGTACAAGAAATCGTTCAAGCACCATTGCCCGTGGATCTCCTCCATTTTGTGTGTAGCTGTGACAGACCTCTGGAGTGAACGTGTTTCGTTTGCGTGGGAAGTTCGGTTCGTGATAAAAGCTGGTTAATGATAGTTAAGAAAGCACTCAACTCAAGTAGCTAGAGTGGCGGCAACTCTGGTCAACTCAACACCATTCCAAATTCGCTGCTCAGGGAGGCTTTTGCTCTGAAGGGTGTGGCAACGTTCAGAAGCAGAAGTGGTGCTTCCGTGTTATTATATGCAGATAATGTGAGGTGCCATGCATTTCTGAATCTTCATTTCGTACTGTTGCAGAGGCTTGATTACTGAGCAATGTGACCAAGCGTTGGGTAGTCCTTCCTTTGGTCTTGTGAAGCGAAAATTGGACAGATGAATATCTGCTTTTTGCAAGATGAGGGCTGGAGAAAGTAGCTCTCACTAATTGTGATGGTGATAAATAAAAGCATGATAGTAAGTATACACACCGACACTTTTGAATGCTCTAATCCCAAATGTGATTTGGATATCATTGTGATAATAAAAGCATGGTAGTAAGTAGGAAGTACACTGATGAATGTGCTATATTGTACAAATTTAGTCGAAAAATAAATAAGAATGAAAACATTTAATATTGTATAAAATCAATAATTGAGATCATACTCAGAACTTATTTCAGGGTATGAAAAACTTTCGATTGATTTTCAGCATAAGCGATGAATATATTTTACAAATCTTTTAGGGTATGAAAAACTGTCGTGGTTCATTGTGAAAAAAATATTGTGGTTTTTTTTATGAATTATTTATTTGTTTATTATCTTATTTTAGCGGCCGATGCCCCTATTAAAAATCTTGGGTCTGCAATTGTAGCCTAATTTCCATTGAAATATGTATAGGAGTTAAAATATCATTAGGGTTGCAAATGAGCACAACTGTTTGTCTGTTTGTGAGCAGGGATGACAACAAAACCCGAATTCACAGGTACCCACCCGACCCAACTCTGTCAATGCGGGTAAAATCCGTGTTGACGGGGTTTGGGCCGGGTTCGGGTTTAAACTCGCTATACTATTCACCGGGTCGGGTCGGGTTTGGGTTTAGGTAAACCCGACCCATGGGTACCCGCCCACACACATATAATTACTTTCTCGATATATTTAATATTCTAAAGAATATATTTTCCTTAAACAATTAATATTCTTTATGTTTGTGGAGACATGTATAATTTGTTCTTTCTAATTGTTTAGAATGAAATTGATATTATGAAGTGGAGAGTGAAGAAACTTAGTTGACGAGGAAGAAGCTTTCAATTAATCTTTTTGTTTATAGATGTTTATCTTTAATTTTGAACAATTTGTATTGATCATTTGTGGTTTGCTTGTATGCTCTAGATTAGTGTTTTTTTGTATGATTAATTTGTATGAGAAAATTGATGTTAAACTTTTATTTTGAAAGAAACTTGTTATTGTAAATTTTTTATCACAAAAACCCACGGGTACCCATGAACCCGCGGATACCCAGCGGGTTGGGTTAGGTTTGAGTTTTTCAAACCCAAAGGGTCTTACCCCGGGTTTTTTTGGTTGATAAACCCATGGGTTTGGGTTTGACAAAACACGCCCCAACCCGACCCATTGCCATCCCTATTTGTGAGCGCCTCTACATTTGGATTGGGAACAACTCGTTTCAAACTCGACTCGTTTACTAACGAGTCGAGTTTGAGCTAAGATTTGTTCAGCTCGGGAAGCTTCCGAGCTAGCTCGACTCGATGACTTGTTGAGCTCAACTCATGAGCTGACTCGTTCAGAGCTCATGAGATATCTCAGCATTGTGGCTATAGAGCCACCTTGATCACTGACTTATGAGCGAATTGATCTATATCTTAGGAGTTGGATTTTGATCATTCATGAGATTTTTAAATTATATATCTTCGCGCTATATGAAGTTTAACATGTTGAGCATGTAAGAAAATATGTCTTATTTTTTATTTTAAAAAGAAATTATGTATCATAAATTGCTTCGATGCTATGAAATAACACGATTTGAACTATTTAAAATTTATTATGTAACTAATTGTATACCAACAAATTATAATACTAGATTAGTAATGTTAGACATTTGATTATTTGTATTTTTTTCATCACAACATTGATCACATATAGCATACATGATATATAAAATGAATGTATTAAATATGAACTAAAATTTTAATAAACTCGTTTAGCTCGTTCTCGACTCGACTCGTTAATTAACAAGTTGAGCTCAACCTAAAGTACAACTAGGCTAGTCCTAAATTGATAGTATCTTTATCCAACAAAAATCAAATAGATGTTTTAAATAGACGAATGGGAAAATCGACCTCTTTGTGGAGTGTGGACGAAACAAGCACCGGGAATCCCAGAGGATGGGTGGCTTTTTAATTAAGCAAAAAGCATTGGACGGCGTCTCCCGAGCGTGTCGACGAGCAGTTGCACAAAAGTTAAAGCAGACTCCAAAATTCCCCACAAACCACACGATTTCACCCCATTTATTATTCTTACCTTCTCCCCTTTTCTCTCGCTTTGTCGTGCCTCCAACTCCAAACTACCTTCCCAACTTCCCTCGATCTCCGCCACAACCCCCCATATGCCGGAAAGAAACCCCCGCCGACGGCACCCCAGATCCGGCGGCGGAAGCAGTCGGAAGACAAGGCCTCCACACCCTTCTCCTTCCCCGAGGGCGACCCGCTGCCGAAGGGCTTCTCCTTCCCCCGCAGCTCCGCCCAATCGCAATCGCCCATTATCCAGGATCAGAAACTACCGTTCCGGCAAGACTTCCAGGGTACTGAAGCGATGCGCCTCCGAACCCATACTCCGGAGCAACCCCACCGGCGATCAAGAGGAAGAAGAAGAAGAAGAAGAAGAAGAAGAAGAAGAAGGACCCAGTGATGGCGATCCTCTACTCCATGATCGCCCAAGTCATAGTAGTAGCTTCACCTGCTTGGAAAACTACTGTTGGCCCGAGGGCGTCGCGGCGATCCACCGGCCTCGGACTTGGACCGACGTATTCTCTTCGTCTCCGTCTCGTCTGGGCTCGGGATCATCTCCTCGGCCGAGCTTCGATGTAAGTCGGACTAATTCACCCTTTGGTTTTATTTTCAAGTCTCGATGCTGGAAGGCATAAATTTGGTTGGGGCAGTTTAACAAACAGTTGGAAGGCGTGAAATTCTTTTGACTTTCATTTACCCCTGCGGCAGGTGTACTCAAGAGATGCGAAGGTAGTGCTGAACGTGACGGTGGAAGGGAGCCCAGGTCCGGTGAGAACGATGGTGAAACTGGGCTCCACCGTCGAAGAGACGATCGGTCTCGTGGTAGATAAATATTCCGAAGAGGGAAGAACCCCCAGGCTTGAAAGAGATGCCGAGCCGTCGTACGAATTGCACCACTCCCACTTCAGCCTTCAGTGTAAGCAAATCAAATTCAAGCGCCATATGGCCGCAAGTTATTCCCCGATCAGGCGATCATAAATTTAGGCGGATTGTGTCCCCTGTTTTCTAGTCCTCAGTTTTCTTTCCATTTTTCAATTTCCCAATTTTGAATTGCAGGTTTGGAGAGATCGGAATTGATCGGGGAAGTAGGGAGCAGGAATTTTTATCTGAGGAAGAGCGGCAATAGTCGGAGGAAGAGCAGCAGCGGCAGCCTGTTGGGTTCTTCGCCGGCTACGGTGGAACGGAACTCGCCGCCGCCTAAGGGGATTCCGCCGGCGATTGTGCTGTTCCAGGGTTTCTTCGCCAGGAAGTTCGGCAAAATTGTGAGAAGAACGCGTCGAGTTTGGAATATGGTGGTGTGCTTGCGGTGATCGATCGACCGACCTCCCATCCCACGATTTCGCTGTTAGAGAGAGCCCCATTAGCTTTTTTTTATTACTGGCAGAGCTCTCTGAAACGGGAAAGGCAAGTATTAAAATCGCGCAACTTTACTTTTTTAACCTTTTTGCGAAATTGTGTGGAATATACAAACAAATTGTAGCCTACCTAGTAAATATCAATTATGACAAATTGACAATTGCCACGCACCATAAAAATACATGATATTGGATTGATGGGATTTGAAGTGTATGTTTAGCATGGTCCATGAAACCGGATCCTACCGACCGGTTGAATCGGAAAAAACTGGGAACAATTACAAATGAATTCTTTTAAATACCAAATAAAAAAAATTTAATTTCAAAATGAATTTCTCAAAATTTCTGAAATTTATTTACACCAAACAATATGTAAGGCTTATTTGGTGTGCCTACCAAATTTAAGTTGAGTCTTTGGTTGGGTGATATAAATCTTGGGCTTTCAGTCTTAAAGACATTAAAACCAACTTAGTTTATTGCAATTGGATCTCTGAGAATTGGGCTAAAATTGTTCTAAGCCCAATCTTATCCGAGAAACATACAGATGGTCTCCGACTCTCCGTTGTCTTCCTCTTTCGATTCCATTTGTCTCGTTTCCTCTGCTTCCCTTGTCTGAAATTCTGTCTAAATCCCTAGAATCGGTCAAACCCCAATTTCAGTTTAGATTGACGTTGTGGGAGCTGAATTGTTCTATCCTCCAAACCAAACCAGGTACATAGAACAATCTTAATGGCGTTACAGCCGGCTGGCTCCCAAAGATTCGGCACTTCACTTCCATCCTAGGTTCTCTGCAGGTCGAACTGTGTCATGATTTTTTATTTCTTTATAGATGAACTATGAATTTTCAGGCTGAGGAACTCATGGCAGCAAGTCCTCTGCTCTACTTAGCATTGCTGAAAGCAACCTCGAGAGGTGATTGGGAAACTGCAGAGAGGATTTTCAACGGCGATCCTTCAGCACGAACAGCTAGAATCAACGCTCAGCAAGACACTCCTCTACATGTTGCAGTGTTCAATGACAGCCCCCAGTATCTGGGTTTCGTGCGAAGATTGGTGGAAGATGTAGTACCGGAAGATGCACTGGGACTGACGAATGCACTTGGTGACTCTGCCCTGCACAGTGCAGCCATAGTCGGGAACACCGGGGCCGCAAAGCTTTTAGCCTCAAAGGCACCAAGATTGCTGCAGCTACGGAATGATAGATTGGACGACCTCCCAATTCATTCCGCGGCCAGGTACTGCCAAGCGGACATCGTCCGTTACCTGTTATCAGTTATGGCCAATGACACTTCATTTAGCGGCCAAGATGGTGTCAAACTCGTTAATCTCCTCATATATAGTGATCTCTATGGTACGATCTCAATCTCTCTCTCTCTCTCTCTCTCTCTCTCTCTCTCTCTCTCTCTCTCTCTCTCTCTCTCTCTCCTTTATTGTTGTCTTCACTGCATTCGATCAATGGAGCGGTGAGAATCTAGACCTTTGTTTGCATGATGATCATATCATATACATAGGACTTGCTGTTGATGCGCTGAGGATGTTCCCTAGGTTTGCTAGGGAGCAAGAATTGCATCGTGGTCATGGCGAAACTGCTATACTCGCATTGGCGGGAAGGTCCCAAGCTTTTCTTAGTCGGCAGAATATGATTGGACCTGCTGGTCTGGTAGGTTCTTTGCTGCATCAAATGAGGCGAACGTTTTACTATAATGTTTACCTCCTACCTGTTACTGGAAGTAGTCTCTTGAGTAGTGACGGAGATGACGCTATGGAGCTGCTGACATTGTTGATCTCTGAAGCCTTGAAGGCAGGCACAGCAGCTGAAGTTGAGAGCCTACTGAAGCCTCCGATGCTGCTTGCTGCTGAATCCGGGGTTTACGAGGTGGTGATAGAGATTATCAAGGCGTATCCGGTTTCAACCTGTTTTGTGGACTCGCACGGCCGTACAGTCTTCCACCTGGGGGTACTTTATCGTCGGGCGAAGGTCTTCAACATCTTCTATCAATTGACCACAGCGAGCAAAAACTTGGTTGCAGCCTTGGTTGACGATCGTGGCAATAACTTACTGCACTTGGCTGGGATGTATGGGGAAGACCAGGTTGCCGAGCATGATCTCGGAGTCTACCGTGAACTACAATGGTTCTATGTACTTACGTAACAATTAACAACAATGAAGCGTTTTAGTTGATGTTTGTTCCAATTTGGTTTTAATCGTAGTGACACCCTAGCTAGCACGATCGATTGAAAACTATAAATGATGATGTTAGGGTTTGATTTTGCAGGAAGTAGCAAAGGTGGTCCCGCGATCATATCGAGAAATGATCAATGACGACCGGATGACCCCGGTAGAGCTTTTCGACGACCAGCAGCGTCAGCGAATGGAGAAGGGACAAAGACGGATGCAGGACACGGCTGGATCGTTTTCGTTTGTGGCTGCACTTGTGGTGACAGTATCTTTCGCGGCGGTGTTCACCCTCCCTGGAGGAGCGAACGACAATGGGATCCCGCATTACATCAACAAGCCGTCTTTCATGGTGTTCACGGTGGCGAACGCTCTGGCATTCTTCTCTTCGTCCACTTCGCTGGTCATGGTGCTGTCTTTCATGTCCTCCAAGTATTCGGCCCATCATTATCCGAGCTCGGTCATGGAGAGCTGCCTTTTGACTCTCGCCTTATCAATAGCGGCCATGTTGGTTGCCTTCGCTGCATCGCTGCACATTGTTCTCTACCAGAAGGTGAGCTGGATTATGGCTCCGATTGGGGTTGTGGCCTTCGTGCCTGCAAGTATGATTTTGTTTTGGTTGGTTCCTCCACTAATAAGCGGGCTCATCTCAGCATACGGACCTAACGTCCTTGGGACACGGCATAGTGATGAAGTTATTGCATGATGATATTAATTAGTGATGAAGTTATTGCATCATGATTACCCTAAAGGTAAGCCCATTTTATAATAGCTAGATGACCGATGTAGATTGAACAATGAGGGTCCACCAGCTGCACTGGGCCCGAATCAGGCTCTGATACCACTTGTCATAACCCGGGAGCTCTCGGGAGCTCAATTAGTATGATATTGTCCGCTTTGGGCAAAGCCCGCACGGTTTTACTCTTGGGTGACCTCCTCAAAAAGGCCTCATACTAATGAGCTTGGTGGACACTAATATACAAAGGTTTCTTCCCTTGTATTATCGACGTGGTACTTGGATTGTCCCATAATAGTTACATTGCAACCATAATCTAGCAAGTCCAGTTTTCGCACTTTAGGACTTGTCTAAGGTTCCGTTTAACTCATTTTTCTCGATTTGTGTAGAGAGTAAGTGCAAATCTAGGGTGTCGGAAGCTCTACTCATGCTATTTAAGTATAATTCTCAAACGAAACTTCACTCTGCATGGAATTTACTCAATAAGCAACGACGTACGAACGAGAACCGATGCTTAGTTGAACCTTTCTGATTTTTCTCTGTGCAATGCGTGATTGGCTCTGCATGGAATTTACTTTATTCAACCTGTCAGGTTGATTTTTGAATGTATATAAAGATATTGTTCAACCTGGCCAATAGAACCTTTAAAGCGGCGAAACTCGTAGGAAGAGTTTAAGAACTCACAAAGGGAAGTGATAAGCAATGTATTCAGAACTTTCGAATGGTATTTAGTCTCATGATGCTAGCATCCTTCATAGCCACAATAATAGTATCCCTAAACCACATTGCAGTGCAAAGACTTGCAATTCGAAGTAAAATGAGCTTTGAAATTGCTTTGAGGAGTGTGGCATATTAAAAATGTTCGAACAAACAATACAAGGTCAGTTTGGAAGTTGCGACAGTTAAATAAATGTTTTGTTGTAAATGCATGTATAACATTATACATGTATTTTCCAATTTGGTATGTGTTAATTTCTCTTTTCGTATATGATATATCTTGATTTAGAACATTTTCGATTTGTGCAATTCATATGGGCTTGGATTGAAGTAAGTGAAGAAGTGAACATGTTTTATTTGTTGCTCCAATTAGTGGATTGAGTACAAATATTGGATATGAAAAGTAAGGAAAATGTAGGGAGAATGAAGTTAGATAGGTGTACCATGCGAGATCGGCTTTGAAGGGGAGGAGAGTGGATTTCCTCGAGTGCTTTGGCAGTTCCAATATGAACTTCAAAAACTCTATAGGGTCGTTTGAATTAGCAAATTTGGGAAGGGATTTTTGTCAAACGTCCTGCCCTTTTTTAATTTAGCACATTTCAGCTTTTGAAAGACTAAAAAAACTGAGAAATTTTGGACATGAGGGATTTTAAAAACTTGCAACTCAAGAATTTCTAGTCTACACCCATCAACTCAAGAATTTCTAGTCTACGTCCATCTTCTTTCTGCTTTAGTATGAAATGAAATCATGCAAACAAACACTGCATGCATCAAAACTTAAAAGTATAAAAAATACTCATAGAGACTATAAAATAACATAAAATAAATATGAACCATAACATAATGACTATAAAGATGCATTGAAATGGTCAAAATTTCATAAAGAAAAGGGTATGAAAACACTAATTTTTAGGTGTCATGAGCAATGCGTGATTATCTCAAATTCTCTTGGTGTCATTGTACCCACAATCTTCTTATAAAGAGTAGGGGTCTCATGCAAGATGACAATGGTGACACCCCTTGCCACTTAATGGTGGTGGCAAGGCATGGTGACTCCCTTGTCACAATGCGTGACGACTTTCTGTGGCAAGGCACAATAACCTCCCTTTTTGTCGCTTGATGACAATGAACACTTTTCGTCCTTTGCAAGAAGGGAGTTAGGCACAAGAACGAAAGCTAGGCATAGGCGTCGATGTGACATGTCCTTATTATGTTTAAAAATCCAACCCTAATGACCGGGTTTAAACGATTTTGATTGTTACCGTTAAGAAATCCCGATAAAGACCTCACATTTTTTGTATTTGAACTAGTATGATACGAAATTGAATTGAGATGCAAACACCACATGATATTGAAGAGTCATCCCCATAGACAAAGACAAAGATGATGGAAGTGGTACAAACTGTGCTACGTCTATATCCACAATAAACAGAAGATCCAAATCGCGATTGCACTATTCTCGCCACCTTCGCGGAAGTTTCGTGTCATTCGGCTTTTATATATAGGTCTTCTCGAAGCAAAGCCATACAAACCAATTTTGTTTCTGTAGTAGAATTACTCCCCAAATATTATTTTTCTTTTCGATGATAGACAAAAGAGTCCAAAAAAATACTCTACTCCATCGACGACACTTGCGAGAGAATATATCACCATGTCGTCGAGCGGCGGCGGCGGCGGTGGGCAGAGGCTGAACAAGTTGCTGGTGAATGTGAAGATAGAGAGGAGCCTAGGCCCCGTGCAGGTGATCGTGTCGCCGGAGAGTCGGGTGAAGGATTTGATAAAGTCGGCGGTGGAGATTTACGTGCGGGAGAAGAGACGGCCGTTCTTGGAGGAGACTGATCCTCGTCGTTTCCGACTTCATTACTCCCAGTTCACCTTCCAGAGTAAGTCCTCATCATCACTAATTACTAATTAGTCATCGAACTCTTCAGTAATCGGCTGTAGTAGCATGAATATTAATTAAGTAATCTTTTTATACGTTTATCAAATGTAAATCATAGACAAATGTTTAACTAACAAATAATATTATTCTCGTGAAAAAAGATAATTATTTGGCGTGAATATATAAGTATGTATTGTGTTTCAATTAATCTCATCTTGAAATATTTGTTGAATCTTATTGCAGTCGAATGAATTCGATTGGTAACTAACTATCAAAAGAAATTAGACAACTTGGATATCCGTAACGCAACGATTAATGTTGATTAATAAGTGTGTCTGGAAATGTGGGGTGTAGGTTTGGAGGAAGAGGAGAAGCTGGTGAATTTGGAATCCAGGAATTTTTTTATGTGCTCAAGGCCTTCACCGACCACAACCTCATCGTCATCATCAGCTGGTTGCTCATCGGAGGACTCTGAAACAATGGTGGCAATCAAGTCTCCTTTCCTTTCAATAAACTGGATAGACTTCTTGCTTTAGATGATAAAATCAATGACTATCATTGGTGTTGTTTTATTGAAATGTCAACTATATATTCTGCAGTGAAAAGTGAATGAATGACGTTCCTTGTGGGGTTTTCTTATGCTTTTTTCCTATAAAAAGAACAATTATAGTATAGTATAGTACTGCTGTGATGAGTAATTGATTGTGACACGAAATACATATAAGTATTAACTGGTCATTTTGTTTGTGATTACAGTGAACAATAACTCCTTCGAGATCGGATTCAACTATCCAAAGAAGGGAGAGTTACTAGCTAGTTACGTTGTGCACCTAGCTAACCAACGGCAGTAAAGCGCTCTCTACTTCGCCATTGATTTTGGGGGTTGTGTTTCGTCCTAGGTATAGTAAAGGGTTATCGATTGGGAGAGATTTTAAGGTCTTGATTCCAACTTTAAAATTTATGTTAGTTTGGACACAATGTGACTGGAGAAGTGACAGTGGTAAGAGAGAAATTTCGGAGTTGTATTACAATTAATACAGGATGTGAAACGATGATAAATATTGAATTACGTTGGAAGAGGCATCCATGACACCTGCTTCAATCGAGAGGAAAACACTAAAAGTTTATATGTATTAGAATGGTGGGATCGATGTGTGAACCCTAAACTCCAATGTTATCACAACCAAAATTTATACCATTGAACCACAACCATTTATATGAATTAATTTTATCTCCATTTATATTAATTAAAATTACCTTCTAGTTTTTATGTATTAATACATATGCATTCTAGTACTTTATCAAAATTAATAAGAGGTGAGTCATTTTTTGTTTATTTATGATAATGATATTCACAAGATAAAATCATTTTTATAAGAGAATGATAGAAAATCGAATTGGACACATTCAAAACAAAAACCCATCGTATAAGTTTGCGAACAAGAGGTTGATATTGTAGTATTACTATTTGTTTTTAACGTGAAGGTCTCATGCATATTAGCACTATAATGAAGGAAGGGGGGATCACGAGAGTCGCGATTCGGATAACCCTTGGCGAATCCTTGTTTGTTCGACAATCAAAATCCATTTTAGGCTTTACTTTTGTTGGACTAAAGATTGACTTTATTTTGATCATTGGTGAACCGAAAGCTTACTTTGGTTTGACCAAAGGCCAAACAAAACGTGTTTTTGAACCATGAACTAACCAAATTCATTTTGATATGACCACTGATCGATGATCCAAAGATTGGCTATGGTTTCATCATGAACGGATCGAAGGTTGGCTTTGATTTGGCCATGGACTGATTGAATTGACTTCGGCTCGACAAAAAAAAATCGAAATCCGATATCAATTTGAATGCGGGACCAAACATATTTCGGTTTCAATGTCAGTTGGATCAAACTTTGGCCATGGTTTACCTATGGCTGAGCTGAAGCTATATTTCTTTTAAGCATAGAGATCAAACCTAATATATTTTTATCACAAATTCATTACTTTAAAATAATTTATGTCCTTTTATCTAATGATAAAATTTATTTGAATATTCAGGGAAAAACTATTTTTTTGTTTTTCTTTGTGCCAAAAGATAAAGATGTAACTTTAATATATTTTTTTTGACAATTTTTAGAAATTTACATGACCAGAATTAGCATTTCTTTAAGATTTGATCATTTTTATAATATAATAATATATAAATTATTCGTATTTTAATTTTTGGCCTTTGGGTCTTGTGTTTTTGTGGGGAATCATTTTTTCCCCTTCTCCGTGGCGAAACAAAAAAGAGAACAAATAAGGAAGAAAAGAAAATCAAATAATTACCGGGAAAGAAAAAAAAGAAAATCAAATAAAAACAGTGTTGGTATTGGAGTCCGGAAGGTAATGGGGAGATCGAGGATTACCGGGCAGTAATACGCACCAATTCCTCCCTACCAGAGCGCATCTCTGTCAGCAGAATTCTGGAGAAAGATCCTCGATCGAGCGAACGAGCTAAGAACAGGGAGAGAAGAAGACATTAGAACAGGGGAAGGAGAATGGGCGATCTATATGTATGGCTAATCTCCTTCTTCATCCTCATAGCCCTACTCGTCATCATCGTCTTCCAGGTCAAGCCCCTCCATAAACCCTTTCTCTTCTTCCTTCAGATTTATTCCATTGGTGGTCGTTGAACTTCTGCCTGCCAATCCGCTTACTTCATCGCCCTAAAACCCGAAGTTTGCCCCACAGGGTGGCCAATTTGTTCGTTTTTTCCGCTAATCTACTTCATCCCGCTTTTAGTTTATTAAGTTGTAAGTGAAAGTTGATTAATTCCATAGCGGACAGCCATGATGCGTCAGAGCTTGTTGGTTTCTTCCCTTATTGGGAGGCTTCAATCATGGTTAGACACCAGTTCTGGTTGTTAGCAGTTTATGGCCCGCTCACTTTTAGTCTTTAGGGTTGATAGCTTGCTTGTAAGGTTTGGATCGTGGTGTAAAAACGATGAGCTTTATATCATGCATTGTGTATTGCAATGTAATGTGGGGTTCCCTCTGATCAAGACATTGGGTGAGGAGCTCGTTGTTGAGAAGTTGTTTACTGCTGTTTAAGAGGTTGGGATGTGTTTAGAGGTTGCTTGAAGACGGAAACTTCTTGGTCAAATTACATGCAAGGACTAGGTTGGATTATTGGAGTCTGCAGCTTAATGCTGCAGTTTGTGATATGAAATTCTGACATGCTGTGAACTTGTTTTTGCAGCTTATGTGCTTGGCAGATTTGGAGTTCGATTACATCAATCCTTATGACTCTTCTTCAAGGATAAACAAAGCGATTATGCCCGAGTATATTACGGAGGGAGCTTTGTGCTTGTTTTACCTAGTGACAGGGCATTGGTGTATGTCACTCATTTGTGCTCCTTACCTCTACTACAATGTCAGGCTGTAAGTTCACTTTTACTTTTCTCCTATGTTTAGCCGGTGTTGTAGGTTGTATTGTGCCCTGCACGCTTTCAAGATTGTTTGTTTATTTGAGCATTTGCTCGTAGGATCATGTGCATGTGCACAGAGTGATTTGATTTGATAGTTGTTGCATTAAAGTTAACAGTTGATATCCAATCTAGAGCAAGCATATTAATTTCATTGTTGAATAGTAATCAGATCGCCAACCGGTTGTTTGCTCTGTGCACTTTTTATATGCTAGCTAGAACCAATGTTTCAGCCTGAAATGGGGTCTCCTAAATCTTGGAATACACCAACAGGGCTATACGAACTTGAATTTTTCTGGGGCCTCTAGTTTGGGTTATAAGAACCAATTGTTCTACTGGTGCTTGCACTGTTAAACCATATTTATTTTGGATGTTAGGCTCTTCCATTCTACTAACTTTCCACTATCCTGTAATAGATGTTAGCTCTCCAATCTTGAAATTGAGTATTTGGTGCTGCAAAACTGGAATATCTGCATGTTATATGATGCTTTGTCTTATGCAGCAAATTATTGATTGCAATCTGATAAAAATAATTATTGGTTGCAACTGTCAACATGTTCAATTTGTATATTAGGGGGATCATATATTGGTAGACTATTTTGCGCTTTTAGCCCTTGAAGCGTCCGGTGCCCCATTATTTCAACTGAAAGAATTTGAAACGAGTAATGGAGTCTAATAAGCTTATTTCTCTTCTGTGATGAATGCAAGTTCTCATTCCACTACATGGTTTCTTAAGGGAAGTAAACTTTTAGGTTCTTTCACATCCAGCTTACTCATTACCGTTCTTGTTTTATTCGTTCCGAGCTGCATGTTCTCCTTTGCATTTAATAAGCCTGATAGGGGCTACCTTTTCTTTTCCTGTAATGACTAATTCTGACTCGGTTTTGGCTTGCTTGTCTGTGTTTCTTGTGATTGATTAGTTACACAAGACAAAAACATCTGATAGATGTTACAGAGATTTTCAACCAGCTGCACGCGGAAAAGAAGCAGCGGCTTTATAAATTGTTTTATCTCATTATTCTCCTTTTCCTATCAATATTCTGGTAAGTTTATGCTGGTCAATTTCTTGCAGGTCCCATTACCTTGACTAGTTAAAAACTGAATTTTAGATGGCTCTACTCTAATTCTCCTGTCCACTGTAGGATGATCTTGACCGCCTTGGAAGATCACGACATGGATTAAGTTGCATCTCACTTATCCTGGATCTCGATATTGTGTGGAGGTACATGGTACCTAAATCTGCTGCCTTCAAATGAGCGGGGCTTAGAAGAAAGAGGGTTTGTGTAACTGATATAATGTGCAAGTCCCAGGATGAACAATTGATTTTCATCTTTGTTGATTTAGCAATTATAGATTTTCTTTGTAGACATCATACAACTACTACAGGACTTTGGTCTCAAGATTAGATGTACGTTTTTGCTTGCTGTGTCCTTTTTCTTGCCTCAGCCTCCATGTAAGATTTCACTTGGTTAGAGGTCGTTTTGTTGCCTCACCCTAGTTTCATGTTTGACATTTCGTGCTCGCCAAGAAATTTGCCCTGTGTGTGTTGCCCACATGACGTGGACACGTGGGTAACCAGTCGGCCGAACCCTAATTATACACTCATACACTCCTCCTTATTCCACACGGAAAGGAAAACGTTGACGGATAAATGCACGACCACCCCTGTTTCCGACTTTGCTACTAATTCCCCGTGTCTGGTATTCCGCTTCTCCTCACCCTTGCCGATTTTAGCTTCGCCCATCGGCGTTGCCCCAGCGTAGTCGGCGTTCAAACGTTTTCTGTTCAGCTGTAATCTCGCCTTCTTCTCTTGTTTCAATCGCCAGGTGGAGCACAGCGCCGGTTAGTATTTACTTCCCTCGTCCTTCCCTCTCTGGTTTGATGGGTTTAAAAGTATCATGCAAGTTTATCTCGTTAGCAGTTGGCTTCTGTTAAAGACTCTCTCATATAGATATAGATGTTCTGAATGAGGACATGAGATGTGAATCCAGAAAGTAGCCCGCTAGCACATTGCTTCTACGGTCATGCTTTGCTTGGTCTTCCATCTTAGATTAATGGTGATCATTCCATCTATTTTGGCTTCAGTTTCGGACCCTTGAGGTTACCACGGCTTCGCTCTGTTGAAGATGGTTGGGAACGCCAGCACCGAAGGAGTGTTCATTGCCTGGTGAGCATTAGAAGTTCCCATGAAGAGATGATACTTTTTCTTTTTTTTGTGTGTGTTTGAGTTTCTGTTTTGGTGCTTTCATGTTCACTGACCGTCTTTTTCTCTCTATTAACCATGTTGTTTTGGCATTTTGACAGCGACATACTAATGGCACAACTCATCATCCACCTGAATGATTTAAAGGCACCATCCGAGAAGTTCATTATCCGTGTTTTGGATGAGAAGCATCTCTTTGTGCTACCCGATGCTGCTGGTATGATAAGAAAAGCCATTTCCATGTCCAGAAAACGGAATTCGTTCCAGAGGCCTTCCTAAATTCCTTTCAACTTCAGATGAACAAAAAGGGTGTATGTTTTGGTAGTTTAAGCATAGAAATCACTTGCCCCGAATCCTCACTTTTCATGCCCTACTGAGTTTGCCTTCGGTGCATAGTATAATACATCGGTGTAGAGTGTAGAATGTTCTCAGTTTGCAGTAACTCTGCACTGGAACGATCAACACGCATGGGCAACATACGATTCAGACACGAGAAGATCATACTCCGTTTAACACTCGGAGTAGTGACTAACTATTTCCACTCCTAAAAATGTTGATCCGACTTGTGACATGGGCCGGACAATAGCCCGGATACCTTACTGGGCCCCAATTCCATCTCTCTGTGGCGTAGAAGGGTCGAAATAGTCATTTAAACAATAAAACCCTAGAAAACCCTAGACGTGGCAAAAAGACATGAAAGTTGAAACTCTCGCAGTTCACGGCCGCCTCCTTGTACCCAAAACCTACAGAGGCTCATCTCATCTCTTCTTGTTATAAGTCAGATCCGCTTGGCCACTTTCATTCACCCATCTCGGTACTCTGCCAGCCTCACCCTGGATTTTCTGCATCATCATGAGCTAGGGTTTTCGTTGATTGTTCTTTATTTTCCGTCTCCGTTTCAGTTTGTGAATGCTAAGATTTTGCAGTGCTTCTTAGTACCGTTGATGCTGTTAAATATAGTTTGAGAGATATGGTTTTGTATTTCTGAAAGCAATATTGCACTGAGACCCGGCAAAAATAAAGGATCAATCTTTTATCCTGCTGTTGATTTCTGGTTGTTTGGGTCGTTGTGGGGAATTGGAAGGGGCAAGTGATGATAAAAATAGACAGGGACATCAGTTACTCCCTTCCTCTTGTGGGTTTGGAGGATGATGACTAGTCTACAATGGGAATCTCTCTGATGCCTTTCCTTCTTCTTCCATATTTTGTTATGATTAGCTATTTTGTTTGATCCTTTGAAATTCTCTCGTGGTTTGCCGATGATGCATATGGAAATGTCATGTATTACCAGATAAAATACAGCTGATGATAATTCCAATATTGTCACTACCTCTGAGGTGAACTTTAATTTGTTTGTTTTTGTTAATTCTACTGGTCTTCTACAATCCTCTTATGGTTTTGCTTGTGTACCAGTGATGGTGTTAAATATACTTTGAGGTATGGTTTGTATCTCTGAAAACAATTTTTCTCTGAGGTACACTTATCAGCAATAGAAGTTTCAATTTCTTTGTGCTTGATTGTTTATCTTCTCAAGTATGTATATGCAGTCTGTGAATTGGGCAATTGATGATAGAACAGACAGGGACATCAGTTACTCCTTTCCTTTTGGGTTCGGAGGATGATGATCAAGTCTAAAATTGGAATCTCTCTGATGCCTTTAGCTTATTTACAACTTTTTAACAACTTGATTTCTCATGTAGCGTGTAAAGTTTCGGACTTCATGGTTTGCCAATGATGTACATGTTAATTGCACGTATTATCAGAGGTATAGCCTGATGACTTTCACTACCTCTGAGGCGAACCCTTATTTTTATTTTTATATCGGTTATTAGCTGTGGATGTGTTTGGAAGCCTGATGATGATTGTGAAAAGAACGGAGATTTGAAAGTGGGTGGGTGCAGCTGTTGAAGCTCGGTTTTTTTGAATTGGGCTCCAATTGCATCTGTCAATGTAATAGAATCACTACGTCATGTCGATTTTGAAGGCTTTGGCTTTCGTCTCTGTTCTATCCAATACTGTTGAAACTAGTTGGCATGTTCCATGTGGTTCAAGTAGTTTCTTTACCAGCTGACAGCTGCTGCTGCAAAGATTATGGTGGAAGTCTGATAGTGTTCTAGTTCTGCAGGAAGCAAGAGGGAGTTTTAAAACTATCATTTTAGTTATTCATCTATTGGTGTTGCTTTTGCTGCAAAATTAATTGCAAGAGGGAGTTTTAAAACTATCATTTTAGTTATTCATCTATTGGTGTTGCTTTTGGACTCTCAATTGTCCGGATAACGTTATGAAGTCATGATTAGTTGAGATTAGATCGCCAATTTGCAGAGCAAGAGCGTCTGTCTAAAATGGCGCAACTTGCATTGAAGGTTGGGAAGAACGAATCAAGCAATTCTCCGTGCCTATCAAATCTCTCGATTTTGAATATGGCCTCGAACAAGTTGCAACATCCTTTTTGGTTGTCTGAAGTTATGCTCTTTTTTCCTATTTAGCCGCTGCAAGGTTTTTTGTAGTTTGAATGGTGTGCAGTTTTCGGTTCCTTGGGTGATTTTTCTGTTCATGAGCAAACTGGACCAAATGTCGAAGAGCTCGAAGGTGTTCTTTGATATAGTGGTAGGTAAGATGAAAGCAGTCTTTGCCGATACAGTCCCAGAAACAGCAGAGTATTTTCGTGCTGCTTGTATTCAGGAGAATGGTGGGAAGTCCATATACGGGAGAACTTCAATCTGAAGCGCACTGGCCATGGCCTCCTGTCCATGTTGAATGAATTGTCAAAAGACGTACCGTTCTTAGTTCACCGTTAAAACTTCGTGGTTTGGTGATATCCACTTGGTGCCAAGTGGTAGATGGCAATAGTGTCGTCAAGGAGATGGTGAAGGCTGGTTCGGTTCTAATAGTGGCATCAGTTCCTAAGTGTTGTTATTCATTATTGTGGAGAGGTTGCTGTGGTCTGTGAGGCTAATCATACTGTTTATGAGAAATACGTTTCGATGTTGAAGGATGTCTTTGTTTAGATTGCATCATTTATTTCCTTTGGTTGATCGCTGGATCAACACTTGGAAGCATTTTAGTGTTAAGACAAAATTCACTTGATATCACATCAAGTGGTATTTGAGCATGAGAATAATTATTGGAAGTGTTGGTTTAGTTTGAGCATTGGTTAGTATTCAATTGTTCTACCCGAGTCAATGCTTTTATCAATACTTTCAAGCTCTGATACAACTTTAAGTGCTTTCAATTTGAGTTTTGCTTAAAGTGTAGGGTTAATACCTTATTATGGTCTGAACTATGACTATGTAATCAACTTTGGCTCGTAGTTTGAGAAATTAACATCCTGGCCTGAACTATACAGTATATAGACAGAATTGGCCTGGAACGTGGTATAGACAGAATTGTCCAGGTCACTGCAACGTCAACAAAAAAAATTATAATTTCATTTTTCTTTTTATTTCCTTTATAAAATTGAATAATAAAAAACTGTAATTTTATTTTTCTTTTTATTTCTTTTCATTTTTCTTCATCGTTTTGCCCCTCCCCCTTTGTCTTCTCCCCATATCCATATTTATCTTCCCCAGAAAGTCAGAAACCATAAACAAATAAAAAATGGATGCTCACTTAAAAAAAAAGATGATCGGAAAACACAGAAGAAACCACTGTCGTCACCACGGGAACCTCTGATTTGAGTTGAATACTTGGAACCCAGAAGAATCTGGCCTGAATCTTGAGGATTTTCGGCTCCTTCGATTCTCGCCTTCCTCATCTCCCTCTTCCTGCGCTCGTCTCCCATTGGCGATTCAGAACCCACCAATAGTCTCCTACCGGCCGCTTCCATTCATTGTCGTCGTCCTCTTCGGCCCACACGAAGCGCTTCAAGGGGTCGTAGGCGCGAATTCTGATTCGAAATGGACGATTTGTCTCCCTTCCCCTCGATCATTGATTTCTAAATCCGGGCCTTCGCCACGAAACATTCATCTCTTTCCATATTCGTCGACGTCGAAAGATGGTTTGGTGAGGTCGACTCCGTTAGGTCGCCGAGGTTGTCTTTGGGAAGGATGACTCCGGCCCTAGATTCTGGTCGGGGATATGAGGAAGATAACGTTGGTGGCTATGCAGTGGATACGAGGGGCAATGGTTGGAAGAAAAAAAAATGGTTAGGGTTTTTTTGGCTCTGATCGAAAAGGAAAGAAGGCAAGGGGATAAGGTGGGGATGGGTGGTCGATTTTTTTTTCTTTTATTATTCAATTTTATAAAGGAAATAAAAAGAAAATTGAAATTATAATTTTTTTCTTTATCATTCAATTTTATAAAGAAACTATAAAGAAAATTGAGATTATAATTTTTTTTTGCTGACATGGCAGTGACCTGGACAGTTGACTAACGGTCAACGGTGTTGACCGTCCAAACAAACGGTCAAACCACGCTCCAAACCAATTATGTCTATATGCTGCATAGTTTAGGACAGGATGCTAATTTCTCAAACCACGAGTCAAAGTTGATTACATGTCGTTGACCGTCCAAACAAACGGTCAAACCACGCTCCAAACCAATTATGTCTATATGCTGCATAGTTTAGGACAGGATGTTAATTTCTCAAACCACTAGTCAAAGTTGATTACATGCCGTTGACCGTCCAAACAAACGGTCAAACCACGCTTCAAACCAATTATGTCTATATGCTGCATAGTTTAAGACAGGATGTTAATTTCTCAAACCACGAGTCAAAGTTGATTACATGGTTATAATTCAGGCAATAATAAGGTATTAATTCTAAAGTGTATTATCGTGAGAATTAACTTTAGGTGGAAATGAATTGACACTTCTGATTAGTTTGTTGATAACATCCTTAGGATACAGCCAATGTGTCAAATGTAATAAACTATTAAGGATAAATGTGGATTGTTGTAATTGAGATCTCATCCAACGAGTTGGAATTGTTTTATTAGAAATTTGTGTACACATTGATTTGATTTATTTAAACGAATAACATGGCTTAGATAATTCATCCTAAATGGGAAATGGAAAAGGTGGATCATAGCTGGCTGGCAGGATCACTACATATATATAGAAATTATAAGCGCACATTTGGTTATTGTTATCGTTATCTTTACTTCAAATGACAATTCATTTGACATTGTACTTTTGCTTATCCTTGAGTTTGTAGTTGTCACGACTTAAATCCAAAATCAATCGATGTAACGAGTGGGTGAAATTCGAATAGTGAATCAATTCTGAGACAGAATAAAAAATAAAAATGATTATTAAATGAAAAAATCAATTGGATTACAAAATGCAGCAAGAGGTAAGTTTGAAATATAGAACGACAATAACCATTCAAAAAAACACTCGAGACCAACGAATCTCGTCAAGATCTAAATATCGAAATAACTATAAATAATAATACACTATAGTTTCGAACAACACAATTAAAATGATATTAATATCACCAAACATTTTGAGACTCGATAGAAAATATAGCATACTTGAACAATTGAATTGGAAGGGAACATATAATTGTGTAGATGGGGACGGAAATCAATCATATATTTTTTTGTCTTATATTTCATTTGTCCAATCTAAATTGGTTGGCCAAATATTTGTTGGTTATTTAGAGGATATATCCAAAGCGATTCAATTTGTTAATACCTACATTTTTATATGATCAACATTATTTCTATAATGCTACAAATACATTATGAGTATAATAACATCTCAAAGTGAAACAATATTTTCACTTGGGCACCTGTGTGCAGTGGGTATGGGCTGTGTTGCTATCGCAATATGTAGGAAAGGCTGATAGAAAAGATTGTTGTTGGGTTCAAGGCCCAATCAATATTCCGATCTTACCGTGATACAGGGAACACCATAATCTGCCCTCCCTCCTCTCTAAACGGTCTAACTCCAACTCCAATCCTCAAACCTCTCTCGGAACTAGGAAGACCTTAAACTGTTAAACTCGCACGACAGGACTCGGAAGAACTCAGCAAGCTCCGCAAAACAACAATAATGGCGTCCTCGCTCAATACTAACCTCCACCAACCTTCTCTCAGGTTCAACCCTCCAGCCTATAGTCTTCTCTCTCTCCATGCTCTAATATAGCTAAAGCGCAATTGAACTTTCAATTACTTTCCGGATTTTGATTCTGTATGGTCTTCTGTGGGCAGCTTCGGGACGAACCTTTACTCCGGATTGAAGCTGCAATCTCCAAGTCCTGCTCTTTAGAAAACTCCCTTCTCCGTTCTTGGAATTGGGCATTACAATTTTTCCATTCTCGTGATTGTGTGTTGTTTGTTGTCTTTGCGAATTTGCAGGTGTTCATGGAATTGGGCGACCCAATGTCACTGCAGAATTCTTCGGCCGAGTCCATAAGAGCCTCCATTCCGGGTAAAGTTCGGAACTTTTTACAATTCTGCTTCTTTTGGGGCTTGATTAGAGTTGAGACTATATGCATGATTCGTAAAAGTTTGAAGCTTGAACATTTAGGTTCTTGCTTTCTTGTGAGTTTTGAATTAGTTGCATCTCGTTTGAAGAATCGTATATTGAGCTGAAACTTCTTTTCTGGGCTCTAGTTACTTATGATGAATGCTGGTGCTATCCTTTTCCTGCAGGATTCGCAACTCTAAACCAATTCGAGCGGTTAAAATGATGCCTATAGGCGAACCAAGAGTACCCTATAGGACACCAGGGGAGGGAACTTGGCAATGGGTTGATTTGTGGAATGCCCTCGTAAGTTATTTGTATGAATGTGGTTAGTTCGTTGTGAACACAACTTTCACCCTAATGACATATTGTAGCATGGTTTACCAAAGCCTTTTGTCCTTCATTAGATGGCTTGAAAACCTTTCCGAATCATTTTGCTGCAGTATAGAGAACGAGTCATCTTCATCGGGCAGGAAATCGATGAAGAATTCAGCAACCAAATATTGGGAACAATGTTGTACCTTGATAGCGTTGATGAGTCCAGAAGGATGTACTTTTACATTAATGGACCCGGTGGAGATGTATGTGTTTCGTGTATTTTATTCTCTCAACTTGAATGCTTCTATTTGGTTTTTGTTGTGCTCAAACTGCTTTTGTTTATACTTTCACGCTAAGAGTGTGCATTCTTCTGTTTGCAGCTTACTCCCAGTCTAGCTATCTATGACACCATGCAGAGCTTGAAGAGTCCTGTTGGTACCCACTGTGTTGGGTTTGCATATAATCTGGCTGGTTTTCTTCTTGCAGCTGGTGAAAAAGTGAGATTTCAATTGCACTCAGTCTCTTAACCGGCTAAACTCCTGCTAAAATGTTCGACCACCCATTAACCTTCAGTGATCAAGTGTGCTAAAGTGTTTGACAAACCTTATTTCAATTTTTCCCATGTTACACAGGGACAACGGTCTGCAATGCCTCTTTCCAGAATTGCACTGCAGTCTCCAGCTGGGGCAGCTCGTGGTCAGGTAAAGAATGCTACTATGATATTTCATTGTGTAAACCCCATTGTGGACATTTCCTTGCCAATTTTTTTTTTTTAATTCAATTGACATTTTTCTCACAGGCGGATGACATTCGGAATGAGGCAGATGAGCTTCTTAGAGTCAAGGACTATCTTTACAAGGAATTGGCAAAGAAAACCGGACAACCTTTCGAGAAGGTTGGCTTTTTTCACTAATACATGAATGGTGTTGCCTCAATTTTTATCCCCGCTCTTAACGTAAGTGTTTGTGCAGATTGACAAGGACTTGAGTAGAATGAAACGCTTTGATTCCCAGGAGGCCCTTGACTATGGTCTGATTGACAAGATTATTCGACCACCACGAGTTGATGAGGACACACGTCCCAAGGATGCAACAGCTGGTCTTGGTTAGTGTAGAATACTTATGATTCATGTTTGGCTGTAGCTGTTGTCATGACTACCGCATGTTTAGCCAGCTCCCTTGTACCATAGTTGTACTCTTGGGAAAATCAGATGCACTTTACTTGTACAATAAGTTATCCGATCCCGAAGCAAGCTTGATAAGTTTGATTTTAGTTTATTGAACAATTTTTTGTTTCAGCAAGCAAGTAATTGCATGGCTGCTGAACTTATGGTCATATTCAATCATTTGCTTTTGGTCTCTTTTAACATACCTTACACCAACCTATGGCTGGATTCAAATTTGGGAGACGTGTCTTTGCTTCCCTATGCTATTTTAACGCCAGATTTAGATTAACTATTTGTAACCTTAAATGCAAATGAAAACAGTTCTGCATCATGGTCTCGCCTGATCAAGAATCAGACCCAATCTAAACCAAAGGGAAAACGGAGGTCCATATTTGGATTGTAAAAATGGATTCATGTGAACCTAATTGCCGCACACCATCTGGATGTGACTACTATGCCACTCAATTCGTGAACATCATCTAAAGGCACAAAGCAAAAACTGAGGAAAAAAACATATAAACAGAATAGCATACAAAATTTTTGAGGATTGACAGCAGAACCAGACACCAAAAAAGAAAACCAGTCTTGTCTCATTCAATCAAACCATTTCCCATTGCTCTGTCTGATGATCCCTTAACAATTCATCTCTCCATCCTTTAGTAACCTTTGTAATGAACTCTTCAGCTCTTTTTTCCAAATTGTCATGCAACACTTCTCCACCATCAACCTCATACAACCTATGGTTCCTATCATCATCCACTACTGCCACTTCCTCTTCTTCTTCTTCTTCTTCTTCTTCCTCACAATCTCCCTCATCTAGCCACCCAACCTCGCCATCGCTCCCATCATCATCGTCATCTTCGTCATAGCCATGTTCCAACTCCTCATCATCTTCCTCCTTGCAACCATCTTTGCTTTCACCATCACTATCATCCTCATCCTTAGCATCACAAGACATATCATCCTCATCATCATTCCTAACAGCAGCATAACACAAATAGTCATCCCCAGCTCCTCCATAAGATGAAGACTGAAACGAGCTCCATACACCACCACCACCACCACCATCGACGTGCTCCTCATACGAGTTCCTGCTGCTGCAGCTCCCAACAGCAGTGGCCAGAACCATGCTATTGAACAGGGAGAGCAGGAAGACAGGTGATGACAAGGTTGAAAGCAGAACAGCTGCCAGCAAACACAAGATCAAGATCACTGAAATGGGCTTCAGAAGAAGAAACTCCATGTGCATTCTGTTTAATACCAATATATGGTAAAAGATCAAATGATATGATTATGATGCTGCTGGGTCCTTTGATAGATGCTTTCAAGGGTCGATTTATATACAATGGGATGATCAAATTAATTTAACTGAAGTGTATAGCATACATTCAGAGAAAGTGTGGGTGAAACTGTATGAAAATATGTGGCACGAAAATTATGTTGAGTGAGACAAGTAATGTAGGCTTCCAAGCATTGTGAGGTTAAGTGGTGAAAGTTTCAGGTGCAGTTGCCTTTGCTTTGCCCGTTTTATGGAGCTAATCATATATATACAAACGTGTTATGCCCATGGCAAGCCACTAGGAGAACAATTTTTATTTTTATTTTTTTGGGTGGTTGAGGTGGCAAGTTCACTGCTATAGAAGTTTCCCATTGGCTATCGTATGTTACTAAACAAATTCTGCCTATAAGGCTATAACCAAACCAAAGTCCAAAGTCTTGGTCTTGTTATTTTGTTTTAAACTAATATACTCGCTTTTAAAGTAAGCTCACTAGTAGGGATGTCTTAGTCTAGGTATGGTGGTTTTTGCCATCTAAATTGATCCGTCGAGACATGAACGAAATACTTAAAGATCATATCCTACCATGGTAAATGAGTAGGGTTGGGTTGGGCAGGATGAAAATAATTGAGTGAGTTACATTTTAAATGGACTAATTTTATACATGCGTATATGTATATATATATATATATTTTTAATTTTATGAACAGTGAATAGACATTCGTTTTATTAAAATGAATGGATCAAGAAAAGAACAACCTACAATCTTAAAATTTCACAAGATTAACCGTCGAAAATTATTGAAATTTTTCTCAATTAATAGTGGAGCATACATCCAAAGTCTAATGGTTGTTGGTATATTTGTCCTCTGTCATATAATCTTCTGTTCTCCTCCAAAGTTTATGGTCAATGGAGAGTGATTAAAAGATAAGAAGATTGGTTTGTGGTACGATGATAAATAGACAATTCTTTATCATAGTATTATTTACGGAAGAAATAGAATGTGGAGATCAACGATTCACACACTCACATTATTGTTAATAGAGATTTTCGTAATCGTAACTTGCTCAACATTAACCCATTCATAACGGTTCGTGTTTTTTATGGGTAAGTTGACTTCAAACCACTGTTCAATCACCACTAGGTCTAGACCGCCCCTGGTCGACAATGCATGACATTGACAGAATCTTGAGCATTTCAGGGCATTGAATTTGGTTGGCATTTGACATTGTTTTTGACCTATCAAACTGCTGGTCAAGAACCAGATCGAACAGTTGAACTAGAAGAATTAGTGGCTCGAGTTTTTCTCGTTTAATTGCTAAAAACTATTGCTAAACTGGTACAAAACTATTTGAAAGAAAACAATGTAAAAAAAGTATGTGATACATCGCAGATTTCGTGTGAATTTAGAACTTTCACGACATTATAATTTGAGTTAATGGGAACACATCCATCTGCATTTGTGGTTCAATGGAGACTCACGAACTTCCAAAAAGTCGGTGTAGAACAAGAAAGTCAAAGTTTAGGAGGGACATGCTTTTTCTCATCTTCAGTAAGACAATCAGAAGAACCAGTCTATAGATCCTCCATCAATGAGCAATCCATGGCGAAACAACAGGCAGTGCAGTATTAAACTCTGCAAATCACTCTCAAAGTTAACGACAGTAAGAGGAGTCACCCTGAAGATATAACTAAATAAATAGTACATCATCATCCTGTATTCTACAATGAGACCAGCAGCAGCAGCAGCCTCTCACTAATTAACCACCCCCAACTAATCACTAGCAACCCTCTTTTTTTCTCTCCATCTAAACAATAATAACTCAACCGAAAAATCGACATCCCAGGCAAGAATTAACTGTGTACACAGGCAAGAACACAACAAAAGACGCGAATTTAACAGGGAAAAAAAGAGATAAACACAAGGTGAGAGATCATGTTGCTCCTACAAATGATTCCAACTCTCTTGGATGATTTTGTGGTCTGCTGAAGAAGCAGCAAAGACTCACCCTGCATGTACTGTCATGTTAATCTTGCCTTGTTCACTTCTCGAATCGGCTGGAATAGAAGACCACGTATCTCCTCGGAACGAGGTCGATGTGATTCCAGATTTAGGATCAGCGACTGAGATGGGAATGGCATTGGTTGTGGTTGTTGTTGTTGTTATGGTGAAGGAATCTGGTTTTGGTTTCTTTGGCTTCTGCTCGTGCTGATTCCCCGCCAGAAAACTGCCTACCACGACCTGATTCGACCAGCAAAGGATGTCCAAGTGAGGAAATGGGGTTTCTTGCAAGACAAGCAAAAAAGAGTGAGAAACAAACAGTAAGGAATGTTCGAGAGCAGCAGACCTGAACTGGACCCGCAGCTACTAACAGACCAGCGACACCGCCACCCAAAACTCGACCATCTGGACTTGCCAACGAGACACTCATGCCGCCAGATCTGCTCCTTGTCCCTCCCGTTGAATCAGTAGGCATGAATGACCCAGATAAGGATAGTATTTCAAAGCGCCCCTGGAAGAAGATTTATAGTTCATATAGGGAGTGTGTATATTAGCCTTCTTCAACTGTCATAACTACATCAGTAATTTAGGATAAGTAATTTAGGGAGAGAGAATCTCTTACCTCGAAAGTTAGTGTACCTCCAGAAGAATCAGGCTGACGAAGGGTGACACTGGAGATGACACCATTGGCAGAGAGTATACATATAGCGCGAGGACCTTGTTGAGAGAAGGATATGATCTTCATCGTAACATCCTAAATAATGAACCATGAAGAAACTGAATTTGTTATCACAGAAGTCACAAACCCTAAGCTTGTGTCTTAATACGTACTATTCTTATATTGAATCTGGATTTACATGCTCAAGCTACCATAAAAGGATAGGAAATGACTACAATAACGTAGCATTCAACCACGAACATCAATAAAACTTGCCAACTTCCTGAATTAGATATAGAGAGAAGTTCTCGAAGACAAGAATAATACCAGTAGAAACATTCAACCACAGTTTCCCAGAAAAAAGGGGTCAAAACTCAAAACTCCAGACCAAATAGGACAGTAGCCGTATATATGGTCTTGTTCTACATGTAGAACCAGATTACAATAAGTATGGAAACACAAGTCGTGTTTTCGACAGCATACCTCGCCCGCATTTACAGTGATGATATGAGGAGTGAAATTAGCGCCAGCAGAGCATGCGACCCAATCGTTCACAGCAGGTGCATATTCTGGTCAAAATCATCAACACCATCATCAAAACTTCCAACCTTTTCAACATGAAAGGCATATCCAACTAAAGAAAGGCGTTGCAATAGGCACAAAACACAAAAATTCTTCATTTTTTTTTATCCCAAGAAGACATTCAGAAAACTACCAAGACACATTAGAGACCACTGCTACTTATCTCCACGTCCCCACTTCAGCTATAGGAAGACAAACAAACAAAAAAAGAAGCGGCGACAAGAAAGTAGAAATTATAAGTTGACCACATAAGCCCAATATAGCCCAGTCAACTCAACACCCAAGTTCTCTGTTCTCCCCTTCCTAACCACTTGAGCGGAAAAGAAGCATCAGTCACAGAATCACAAAAGACTTGCCAAAGAATAAACAAGACTCAAAACCAGCAACAGAAACATTCAGATAGCAAGGGAAGAAAAATACAGAGCATAAAACATAAGGAACATATACACCAGTACGCTAAAAAGAAGAGTTCAGTTGTGTGTTCTTAAACCCCTTTCTTTTCCAATTCGTCAACCCGGTCAACTTCTGCAGAATTGACAGAAGAAGCCCAGCTTTTCGTCCATAAAAGGGAATTCAGGGAAGCTCCAAAATGTCCCAAATTACATATTACCCTGCTCAGCTCTCAATTTCATCGCAATTGGAGATTCTTTGTCACGTTTCATTCTCTGACCTACCATTTGTATCTCAACACTTTTTCCAATCTCGATCCAAAAGTAACAACAAGCGAAATCAAAAGATCTCGACTTGATGCATAAAACAGAAAAAACCCCATGTATATAACTATATATGAACAAAAAGGAAACATCTATCTAACACACATAAAGCTCAAAACTTTTGTCTAAAAACTCACCGAAGTTCTCTGCCTGTGCCTGTGGCTGCTGTGGTGGAGGAGGTGGCTCGTATTTCTTGGTGACCGATTTCACTTTAGGGCGCTTCTCGGAGGAGAAATCTATCACCGGCGGAGGCGCCGGAGCGGCAGAGGAGATCGGCTTGGGTGATAAAGCCATGGGCACACTTCCGTCAGGGGCGTACTTCCTTGGCCTCCCTCTCTTCTTTTTGACGGGCATCCCCGCCGACATCGGCGACGGGGCTCCGACCACCGCCTGCGGCGGAGGGAATTGGGCTGATCCAGGAGGAGCGGCAGAGTTGGAATGATCTGACCTGTGAGAAATTTGGTAATCCGACGGAGCATCGGATCCCACCACCGTAACCCCACCACCACTACTAACTACTACTTCTCTTGCTTCCATTTCCTTAAACCCTAAAAGCTTTCCCTGTTTTTTCAACCCTTGAATTTTTTTTTTTGGCTTATCAGAAATATTTCCTCAAGAAATCAGGAGAAACCCACTTCGAATTTCTGCTCAATTCATTAAAGCTTTCAACTTCGAATTAAAAAAGCTGAAATTCTTCAAACCCAGCAAGAAAACCAGACTGAACTTTGACACCCAGAAATGTAAAGTTTTGAAGGACAAAAAAAAAAAAGGAGGGGACAGGGGGAAAAAATCAAACTGGCAACTGCTCAGAAGGTATGGAACTTTCACAGAAGGATTTCAATCTGGAAAACTCAGACTTGAAGCTTAATTTTATTTTAAGATTACAGAAGCTTGAAGTTAAGCTTAAGCAGTGCTTAACTAACTGAGTTTTTGTTGGAGAAAATAGGCGAAAATCGAATTAAAATGAAAATATAATTTCTGAATTTTGCGAGTTTTTCAGAAGTAAGAAATGAGAAGAAGGGCAGAGAAGAAGAAATTCATGGAGGTGGTGTATGAAAAATTTTGATTTTTGGAATTTGTGAGTTTGAGACTTTTGAAATGGGAGAAGAAAGGAGAAAAGGAGGGGTTTGAGGTAATAAAGAAAAGGATATTTGGTAATTCTTTTATTGATTATTTTGTGCTGTTGTTGAGCTAATTTAGGCTCTTAAATTCTAACTTTCCAAAGTCTGTCTGAAAGGAGCTTAAAAAATTAATAACATTACAAATCTTTTTAAATAATTGAAAGGGAAAGAATAGATGAATATGTTTGTAATGATTAAACATTTATATATTTTATAATATAGTTTTGTTTTGGTATTTTATTTTAGTTGGAATCTGGTGGAAAAAAAAAACTAATAAGATAAAATAATGTTGGGAAAGTGGGAAGGCATTTCCTCTTATCCTTCTCTGTTAATTTTCCATCTTTTCTTATTTAATAATTTTATGTTAGACAAAGTGGACAATAGGTGTGATATTATTGTCATCATTCTTAATTTCTTATTATAACCTTTACCCTTTATTATTTCCTTTTTGTTTGTTTGTTTGGATATTTTTTTGAGTGGTTTGCAAGTTATGAGGTTGCCCAAGGCCATAAGGAATTGTGTATAAAAGGTAAAGGGGATTGTGAGTCATTTAGTACAATTTTTCTATTTTCTAAATTGGTCTTGCTAATATAGTATACAGAAACATCACAAAGCAAAAACACAATGTTATAGAAATCCTATCATATCGGTTGGTCTGATCGAAAAACACAATGATAGACAATTTTGCAGTAAGAAATGATAAAAATATGGCTCAACTACAATTTTAGTACAAACTATCATATTACTAACTTTTCGGTATAGCTTATGGTACGATTTCACAATCATTGCAAAAACAAATTTGTCGATAGTGACCAACAATAGTTATTTTTCCCATCCGTCATTTACTTCTGTGGTTATCACGTCTCATAAACCCTACTAAGCTATAAAAATAAAATTTTAATAATTTATCAGTTAAATATTTAACTACTTTTTTAAAATATAGTTTTTTAAAATCCTTGTTTTACAAAAACTACACTAGAGCCAAATAAGCCATAAAAATCAATGCGACTTCTAATCTGACTAAGCAATAATAATAAAAGTTTCTAACCATTTATTGAATTTTCTTATTTGCCGTTGAATAGAAATTACATGTGCAGCTACCAAACTAACTATTATCATTTTGTATTTCATATTCAAATTTGTCAAATTTTCAATGAATGGAAAATTGTTTAGTTATTTGCAAATGGGAAACTTCCTTTTGTATTCTATCTAACTATGAAGCTTCCTAATGTGTTAATTATATATTTTTTTCTTCTTACCTGTCCTTTTTCCCTTAATCCTTGTTTTGGCCTCTTTGCACTTTGCTAGTAAATGACGCTTTGAGGAAAATCGGAAAAACAACTCCAGAATTCACTTATTTACTTCTTGTTCTGGCTTACCTCTTTTGGTCAAATTTTATTTTCTTGTGAACTCTAACTTAAAAGTGAAATATCACATCAGTCATCAGTGTAATTAATAGGGCTTATTGTCTTGAAGAGAGCAAGATAGTAGAAAAGAAAATAACCAACCTAACCATTTTGCCAAAAGAAGAACTTACCAAGGGCAATGGGTTAGAATGATTAAGCCTCACAACCAAATATTATTATGACACCTTCGTTCTAAGTAAATGGGACCAAAATTTTATCAACGCAAATGTTTATATAATGTAAAGGGGATTGCTATTCGTCGCCCTAAAAAATGTTATTCGTCGCCCTAACGCTTAATCAATTTACCCTAATGTCCCTAGTTTTTTTTTCTTACAAACACAAACCTTCAACAACATGCAGACTGCCGGAAACAGAGTATCAACGGTTGTGGGAGTGGCAGTAGCGGCAGCTGAAATCCTGTTGGTGGGTGGCTGAGAGCAGAAGCGACGGATGAGGGTAGTGGGATCGGCGGGGAGCAAATTTATTTTGATACTTGTTTCATAATAAATTAAAAACAAAAAACTCAAATCCCATAACTGCAAAAGAAGAATGATATGCACAGCTGAGCAATTTTATGTTTCCCGCAAGGAAAGAAGACAAACGCACACCATTCCGAACTTCTCTGCACGAAACCAGCATAGCAACTGTTGCTTCTCCGTCGCTCTCACCACTTTCTCCCTCTGTCGCCATCGCCGGTCATCTTGCTTGATTATGCTCTCCTCCGTGTTCGTTCATTCTACAAGAACCGCCCGCCGCGTTTTGATCGACTTCCTCGGAATCGGAGGCGAAGAGGAAGCAGTTCCATGGCTCTGTGTAGGCGGTTGTTTAGGATTTAGGTTAGAAATGGAGATTAAGGGTAAATGTGTCAATTTAGTGTGATTTAGGGCGATAAAATTTAAATTTTAGGGCGACAAATAGCAATTCAGAATGTAAAAGGGTTAAAGACACATTTGGTTACTGAGATTACTAAATTGGGACATGTTTAGTCACTAGAAAAAATTAATATCAATTTTAGTCACTCGAATTATTGGAACAGGTCACATTTAGTCACTCTCCGTTAGTCTCCGTCCAACTCCATTAATGAAGTCTGTTAAGTGCTGATGTGGCAAACAGAGGTTCCTAGTCAGCGCCGTTTTGAGTTGGAAATGGTCAAACCCGACCCGCCACGTCACTAAACCCGCCATGTCATATGCCCAACCAACCCATGCACCCACCCGACCCATAAACCAAACCCAACCTTTCCGATTCCACTTCTCTTCTCCGATTCCTCCTTTTCCTTTCCTCCGGAGCGCCGATCTGGTCAAGGACTACGGAATCACCACCGGCAACGTCCTCCACTTGGTCCTCAAGCTCTCCGACCTCCTCTTCATCACCGTCCGCACCACCTGCGGCAAAGAATTCGAATTCCGCCTCGACCGGTACCGAAACGTCGGATACCTAAAACACCGCATCTTCCAAGAGGGCAAGGGTTTCGTCGACGTCGACGAGCAGGAAATCTTCTACAACGGTCAGAGGCACGATGACCAGCGCCTCATCGACGAGATCCGCGACACCAGAGCCGCAGACGCCGCCGCGATTCACCTCCTCGTCCAGAAAACCGCCAAGGTTAGAGCCCAGCCGCTGAATAGAGATTTCGAGATCTCCGTCGCTGCCGCAACAAACCCTAATCAAAATCGGAAGCAGAACCAGAAGCAGAATCAGGAGTCGTCGATTGAGGCGCCAAATCAGGGGCAAGCTGGTAGGGATTTCTGGCTAGAACCCGTCGATCCGTTTGTCGGAAGGAACAGGGGGGACTTATTTCATGAGGAACCCATCAGGGCAAGGGTTCGTATCCGTGTTCAAGCCCAGCGACGAGGAGCCTAATGCATTGAACAACCCGCAGGGACTGCCGGTGTCGACCAACGGGGAGGGGTTGAAAAGAGGGACAAGGGTAGGGGAAGGTGCGATTAGAGAAGTTGCCGCTTACATATTGGATCATCCCATTGACGGACCGAGGGGTCTGAACAATGAAGTGATGGGGTTTGCAGGTGTGTCGCCCACCATTGTTGTTCAGTGTTTGCACAAAGGGTTCCATCATCCTGAAGGGTTCGAGTACTCTTCCAAGAATGTGAAGATGTGGTGGTGGTTGTAATTGGGGCGGAGGTGGGGGTGGTGGAGATTGGTTTCGATGTTGGAGAAGGTGAGAAGTGGGAAAGGGGGTTTTTTGGTCTTCTGGGTGGGTTGGAAGGTGGTGGGAGGAAGGAGGAAGAAGGGTTGGGTGGGGTTGGATTATGGGTTGGGTTGGTTTTAATGACATGGCGGGTTATAATGACGTGGCGGGTCGGATTTTATTTTTGTTGGGTTATATCCGGCTGATTAGGCAATTCTGTTTGCCACATCATCACTTAACGGACTTCATTAACGGAGTTGGACGGAGACTAACGGCGAGTGACTAAATGTGTCCAGTTTTAGTAATTGTAGTGACCAACTTTGATATTAATTTTTTCTAGTGACTAAACATGTCCCGATTTTGTAATCTCAGTGACCAAATGTGTCTTTAACCCTAATGTAAAATGATATAACATTAGATGAAACAACATCAAAATCTGTTAAAGAGAGGTGTATAAACAAGTGCCATTGTTACTCAAGGCTCCTTATAATTCGCAAAGAGAGGTGTATAATGCTTAGGGATAATACTCTATTTTAGTATGAATTTTGGTCTCAACTTTCAAATAAGACAATTTGGTAAGAAACTAAGGTTGGTCATAAATATTGATAGTCAAACATTTATCAAGTGTATGACTCATCATATAATGTTGAGGTGACTGCCGCGTGACTTTCAATTTCCATAACATTTTTTTTTGTAAGAAATGGATAATGCTCTATTTTGCTCTGAATTTTGACATAAAATACAATTTTCGCCTGACTTCAAATAAGACAGTTTTGTCTGAAATTGGAAATATATATGGATGAATTTAGCTTATATTTTGGGTTGATCATTAATATTGATGGTCAGACATTTCTTCCGTGACGTACAAAGGTTAAAAAATCAAATTGATTCAGGCCCCCAAAATTTCATTGCCCGAATCTATCTCTCTTTGCACCCTTCTTTGTCAGTATTAACGGTTAACCTAAATCTCGAGCTAAATTTGTCTATTCCTTTCAAAATTCGATAAAAAGTTACTCTTACTTGAAATTTCAGGCTAAAAAAAGCTTTTATGTTAAGTTCGTACTAAAATATGGTATTATGTCTATGTGAAAGTCATGTCGCAACCACCTCATCATTGCATTGTTGAACCATAGATAGAAGAAATATTTGACCATCAATATTAACGGTCAACCCAAATTTCAAACCAACATTGTTGAGTTTTTTCAAAGTTCGAACACAACTGTTTTATTTGAAAATTCGGGTTTACATTGTCTTTTATGTCAAAGTTTATCCCAAAATAAAATATTATCTCTAATTCTTATATAGAGTGACGATTGATTCTAACTCTTACCGTAATTAGTTTAATTTTTTATATCACAGTAACTATTTACATTTGTTTGGTAGGTAAAAGAGAAAATTAAATGCCCCATCTTAATCTACAAGCATTTTAAATTCGAACTACATTTTAGACTTTTCCAACCTGTCAATTTCAAAAATTATAATTTTAGATGGGCTGGATTTAATAATAACTAATTATTTATATCGTCAATTGATTAATACAGGTGCTGTCAAAAACAAATTTTATTAACAATGTTTTTGGGGAAAGAGGAAAGTCATTACAGATCACCAAATTTGATTTAATACTGTATATGGGACCACAAGGATTTGAATATTTAAATACAAAGTAACTACAATGCTCCAAAAACCCAAAATCGAATATTTTGTTTTTTATTTCCTTTTGAAACCGATTATACAAGTTACCAAAAAAAAAAAAAAAAGATAAGAACGAATTAAATTAATAATTTAGAGGAAAGTTATTTTTTACAATTATGGTGACCAATTCGATGTGAAGTAAGTTCCCACAACTCCCTATTTTTAATTATTTGATTCTTTTTGTTTTCTAAACTGTACCTTGGCGTGGGAGGAAATTTTATTTTATGTTTTAAAATTTCAGTCGGTAATCCGACCTAACTTTTCCCATTTCTTTTAGTAAATGAATGGAAGGAAGCTGAGGAATGACAATTGAAAATGGTTCACAGAAAATTTTAATTAAACTAATGACCACTTTTAAGTTAGTGGTGCTTGTGTTTCACGTCTGTATCAGAATTCAAGAAAAGTCATAACCAAATATGAAATCCTATTGGATTTTAAGAAAGTAAATGTTCTGTGTTGAAAATGAAGTAAAAACCAACAAAAGAGTTTATATAATGATAATTGATAAGTTGCTCGATCAGAATAAATTGTCTTATTTAAACAAAAGAATATTTTTTTAAAATGCCGACTCGTCTGTTATTTTAATTTTTATCTTTGTGGATGGCTGAAATTTATATAAAAATTAAACGAAATTTGTTTATTATAAAATATTAGGTAACTAATGATACAGTCCTTGTACTTCCTTGAGTTTAGCAAATAAATCCCTTTACTTCAATATCTAACTAGTTTGACCTTGTAATTTATGATATTTACTAAACACATCCCTATATATTTCTTTCGGTTTGACACACTCCTAGTCCTAAGTAGGGGTGAAAATCGGTACGGTATCGGTATCCCAATACCAAATACCAAAATCGCGAATACCGAATTACACCCTAAACTCTATCTCATTCTCAATCCCTAAATAATTTAGGTATCCCAATCCCAATCCCTAACTAATTATGTATCCCAATCGATACCTCGGTATCCCAATTGGTATTACCGAATACAAAATTAAATGCCTTTACAATTAAAAATTAAATATATAAATTATATTTGTTTGTTTAAATATAGGACAAAGAGACTAAGCGAAGAGTATTGAGTTTGTCTAGAGCTAGGATATGGATAAAGAGAATGGAGGAGAGGTGACATCTCAAGTTTTTGTCATTGGTAATCTTTAATTTGACGAATTGGAGGCCGAGAGAAGACTAATACTAGTGTTTACTTTTTGGTGTTATGAAAATAACAATAGATTGGTGGTTGAGGGTCATGTAGTAGTGAATGAGAGAGTCTAGTCGAGAGAATAAAATACACACTAGCTTACATCTCAGTATTATTCGGTATTTTGGTATATACCGATCTCAATCTCGTAATCCCTAATACCGAATAACAATTGAAATTGAATCCCAAAAAATAATACGTGTATTCGGTAATACCAAATATAAGCAAATTTGGTACGGTATTCGGTATATCACAAGTACCGGTACCAAACTTCCAGCCCTAGTACTAAGCACTAGTTTCAAATTTGTAAGCAAAAGGGGCAATTCTAGATGGAAATCATGACGCATGCAAGAGCCATGACTACCAGAATTGTTATCGACCTTTTTCCTTGAACATTCCAAAACTAAAAGAGAATAAGATAAAGTTGTTTGGTCACGGTTTGTAAACACATATTTATGAAAATGTTCGACTTGTTCAATATTCAAATATCCAACCTGCAAAATTTACTCTTCCAAATCGTTAAATGGATTTGCGTCATTTCCGTTTTCTTATTTGCGGACTTGGGCAGGTTGTGTTTGGTAAATATAAGAAGGTTGTGTTTGATAAAAAGAATAGTTTTTCGGGGAGAATAGGTAGCTAATTGAAACAATTGCCGGAAATTGCGATTTGTCTGGTACTGAATAAAAAATATTATCGGAAATTGCGATATACATAATGATGATTGATGACTCATACTAATAGGAAATTAGCAATTATGAAGTACTTCCCGTAAAATTAAAATAAAAAATAAACACAGGAAATTACGTACGTATGAGCAAATGAACTATGACTTCTAAATATGTATCGTTTTAAAAAAAACTTAAAATGATGTATTTGTACGTTCAAGAAAAACACTAGGCACAATGGAATCAACCTTTTATATGGGTCGATTGCCCACCTAGTCCTATTTGGGACTTGTTGGAGATTGATAAAACCCGATGCTAATCTTTAATATATTACGGTGCTTTTTATAAAAAAAAAGTTATTCCACAGAAAAAAATAGAAATGTTTTATAATAAGCATGTCATCGTGGTTCATTGTAAAAAACATGATGAACATGTCCTAAAATATAGGGTGGTATATTTTGTCTCCAAAAATAATTGTTTAAAAATTTGTAAATCACAATGAGCATGTTATTTTTGTGCAAAAAATTTCAAAGGTTGAGTTAAAAACGAAGATGGTACACGATTGGTATCAAAATGGTAACAAGTGATACTAATTTTTTTTTCGGAAGATAACAATAATATCATTTTGTAAATTACAATAATTTTTTTTAACTTTTGCAAAACTTGCATCCAAATCGTCTGAATATGGTTTTTTTTATGTCCTTTCTATGAAGTTTTGTCCAAACTCCAAACTTGTTTTGATGTGAGTAGTCTACTATGCAATTAAGAAGACAACTCATACGTAACGGGAAATGAGGTGCTGGTAAATTCATTATACTAGATTTGGGCCCGCCCGTTGGACGGTTATATTTTATTGATAGAAATTATTCGAACCAAACATACAATTTTATATGGTATGATAAGGGCATCCAAATAATTTAGTTGTTGAAAAGATAAAAATGAACAGACATACATCATAGAGTTTTCCGTTGGAATGACAAAAATATCCTTAATCATGTTTATACGTCCGAATCCGACCTAAACCCCAAACCCGAAGGATTTTTAGTGAATACGGGTAAAATTCGAACCCGAATGTTGTGGGTGATGAGTGAACATGGTTTTCTCACCATCCAACCCGAACTCGCTCGATTATACACGTGCATATGTATTTTAATTTATCTAGAAATAATCATTATTTTCTTAACATATTTTCTATTTAGCATATAAATATATTACTTTCATATAATTGTATTATTTTAATTAATTTTCTTCATTCTAATGAATTATTTTTCCTCTTATGTAATGTGTTGGTTGGAATTATAAAGGAAAATTATTATCGATGGATAACCGTGGATACCCGAAACCCGAAAGGGTATGTGCAATTTTGATTTTCTACCCGTTTCTTATATGGCTATGGGTATGGGTAAAATCTGAACTATTTTGGGTAGCGTAACGAATATGCATTATCCGCCTCCGACCCGTCGTCATCCCATTTCTGACATCTAAAATGATTCATAGACGTAAGGTTGAGATTAAAAACTAAAATAATACCAAGAAAATGAATGATAATTAAAAACTTATCAAATTGAACTAAAGCTATGATCTTCACCATCAAATTGAGCTAAAACTAACATCCTAATCCATTAACAAAGGTTTATCATTCCTTCACATATACTTTCGAGTCAAAATTTCTCAGTCAAGGTAAGATCACTGTTGATGGATTATACATATGTGATTAAGAAAACGTATTTAGTATCTCGATCAAAAAGGGAAAATACGTTTTAAATAAATAAACCAGGAAGAAAACAACATGACTAATTAACAGGTAAAATATCTCGGGTACCACTTAAGTTTGAGAATTGGGGCAGACATACCACTTAAGTTTGAATAGGGCGTCGGGTACCATTAAAGTCGTCAAAATGTGCATCCGTCTAGTTTTTCATCCAACCCAAAAATTTAATTACTTTTTGGTACCCAAAACTTGTGAAAACATCCAAAACTATATTTCAACAAGTTTTTATCTAATATAGAAATTAAAAAAACTTCTAAACATAATATTACTAAAATGACTAATCAAAATTGACAATAAAATAGATAAATTAGTAAAAATAATAAATAAATATCAAGAAGAATAAATATATAGAATATAATAATAAATATTTAAAATCATTATTAGAAGATCTATTTAAATTGCTAATCCAATTAGAAGTACTATTAAAAATAGTTAAAATGGAACCAAGTCGATCATAAATACATCAAGACCAAAGAAGGATAAATGGAATCGAGTCAGAAAGAATTAAACATATTCCAGTAGTTGAAGAAAATTTAGAATGAAAAGAGAACGGAAGTAACCAAAATTCTAGTAATAAAATCTACAAGATTCTGTAACAAATCTAGAAAAGAAAATACGACTATAGGAAGAGAATTATAATTAGTAAATTTAATTAATATGGAACATCTAAAATATAATATTAGAAAATTACAAGGATATTTATACAACACCAGCATGATGTACGAGAATTAAATATAACATCCTCAGATGATTTATAATGATATATAATTCATAGTATATATTTGCTTCAACAAATTATTCGATTATTATAACATATAATGGTAATTGAAAATAATTATAATGATAATTGATTCTACATTTCCTATTCAAAAATTGGTTTGGTATCAAAGTCTTCAAAAGAGGATTCCAACTAAATAGAATTCATAGGATATATTTGCTTTAGAGAATAATTCAATTATTAGAAAATATAATGATAATTGAAAATACTTATAATGATAGTTGATTCTAAATTTTTTATTCAAAAATTAATTTGGTATCAAGTCTTCAAAAGAGAATACCAACTAAATAATAAAAATTGATGTTTTTTATAAGTCAAAATTATTTTTTACAATAAGAAAAGTAGAAGGACCAATTAAGAAATTTAGAAAACAGAATATTCCAAGAATATTCTGTTAACTTTAACGGTTTGCACCTAACATTAAACTTAAGTTGTACCGGGTGCACAAATAATAGAGTTCAGTGGTACCCGACACCCTATTCAAACTTAAGTGGTATATCTGCCCCAATTCTCAAACTTAAGTGGTACCCAAAGTATTTTACCCACTAATTAACCTAAGTTATTTCAGAAATGGATGCTTACACTAAAGTACCCAATAAATCGGTTAACCACTTGGTCTAGCGAGTCAAGCTGGACTTTTAATCTTTTAGTTCTTACTCACCGATAGGCTGTCTACTTGGGTTCGGTTTTCTGTTTAACTCAAAATTGAACCGAACCGATAGTTAGCCATCAAACTCTATAACTCTCGCCATAGTGAGTCATTTACTCGTGGAGGGGCCGTAATTTAGGCATTACGAACTCATACAGGAAGAGAGGGTGGTAGCTAGGATTGTAAAACTATATCAACGATTATATAAAAAAAAAAAAGATATTTTATAAAATTTAATAAACAAACTGTTGCAAAAATGTAACCCTCAGGCCTCAATTTGAGAACCGCTAGTCATTTTGGTCGAGTACCACATTTAGCATACCATGATATCACCTTGGCTTGGGGCACATTTGAAATTTAGGATCATGCGCTCCAAAATCCAAATCATCAAGCTACTATATACGTTTAGTTATGGTGCTCAAAAGTCTAAGTCATGACAAATATAGTTTTAGGACACATTAGTTATCAATATAATAAACTCGATTAGTAAAGAACATTAGTTTTAGGACAAATATAGTTTTATGGTCAAATATGATGAAGGCATGAAATCACATACATACATAGAGACTAGTATAGTATGCAGAGTTGTAGACACATCTAACATATCAATTTGGCTTGGCACATAGGTATGGAGGTTATTTGGCGTTTAACCAAAGTGTTGGACCGACCTGTGAGGGGCGTAGCCATAATTTTATCGAGGGTGGGTCCATTTAGGAAAAAATACAGACGATAAAATAGTTTTCTTAGATTTTTAAATTATTTAAGATATAATTTTGTATTTACAAAAACTTGGTAAATTTAATATATGTCGAAAGGGTTAATTGCATGCTTGGTCACCAAGATTACAAAAAACGTTCATGTTTGGTCACTGAAAAATATTTAAATCCAATCTTGGTCACTCAAATTAGTTAAATGGTTCAAGTTTGGTCACTCTCCATCCAACTCCGTTAAATATGTCTGATGTGGCAGTCAACCCTCAAAGTTGACCGTTAACTCGGTGACGTGGCAATTAAAAAATAATAAATAAAATAAATTTAATCTTCTACTATTTCCATCTCATTTTCACAATAAAATAAAAATGAAAAAATAAAAAATTTATTATAATCACAAATTGAAAAAGTAGCTTCCTCCTCCGCCACCACATCCCTTCCCGCAATCCCCTCCGGAAACAGAGAGAAAAAAGAGGATAAAAATGGCTTCTGGGTTCCCCGACGGAGGAGGAATTGGCGGCGGTTCAGATTTCTTGTCCGGCAGATCGATGAATCCCAACATGCAGACAAACAACCCTTACCGAACCCAGCTCTCCCAAATGTTCCTCGACTCTTCTTCCCAGATCGCCCAGCAGCCGCAGTTCCACCAATCGCCGGTGGCGAGTTACTTCGGGAAGAGAACCCTGTCCGATTACCAGACTTCTTCGATTTCAACTCTATCCCCCATAGATTGGCGGGTAAATTACTCCATCATTTCAAATTTCCCAATTTCGAGAAACGAGCTCCGAGCGGAAACCCTAGATTGAGGCGACGGAGGAAGAAATGGGACGTGATATCATCGTAACCAATCCGCTGACGGTCTGGTGATTCTGTTGATGAAAGCCCACCATGATCTCGCAGCGGTTCAGTTCAAGCTGGAGAAGGAGTTTCAACAGACTTACCCTGACAATGTAAGTTGGCTGGTCTTCGAGGATTTCCTTTCTTCAACTCCATTCTTCTGGCGAAATCTTGCATTGTTTTCTGGTTCATTTTCGTGCTTCGTTCAGCG